ATGTAGTTAAATCGCGCACCCTATAGTTAAAGTAAACAGTAGAGACCTAGAGCTAGTAGGAGCTCTAGGGAAACTGTCTACACTTTTTTCCTAAGATTTCTGTTTTATTTTTGTATTCTATTTATGTTCTATTAATCCCTACCCTACCTATCCTTATAGCCTACCCTTATTCTATTACTACCCTATTTTTCTTTCTTATTTTGTTCTTATCCTACTTCGTATAGGTTCCTAGGAAGTTTACCCTTAAGGGGGGGGGGGTTATGTTATAGTTAGCTATCTAGTTACACCTAACTATAACCCCTAGCTGCTAGGGTAACCCTAACCTTAGCTAGTCGCTTACTAAGCGGCTATATAGAGTTACTAAGACTACTTACTACCTTCTATAACTCCTCCCTATTACCTCTTTATCTCCTTATCTACGTCTCGTTATATAGCTTAGACCCGTATCTACGTACTATTACCTATTCCTAACTTCGCCCCTTAACATATAGGGAAGCTATAATATAAAGACTTCTATACTATAATAGTAGTTAACTAACTTAATTATAATATATATATTAGTTCTCTCCTTAGAGCTCTAGCTTCTAATTACTAGGCAATACTTTATAATAAGTTATTACTAGTCTAGACAACTAATAATAATAACTCTATTAAGATAGTTAGAATATTAACTCTACTTACTAAAGTTTACTATATAATATTTAAGGACGTATTTAAGAAAGTAGATATTAACGTAATTACCTATCTATTACTCTATGTCTCTTATAATATATAGAGTAAGTATATTACTATATTCTCTAGTAAGATATCTCTATATATATTAGACTAGCTATAGCTAGGACGTAAGAAGTAGCTAAATCTTACTTCTAGCTATAATTATGATAATAAAGCTATCTTACCTAGACGCTATTATTCTAGTAGCTTTAGTAATAGTAGCAAATTTAGGAATTATTATAATAATAATAGTCTAATCCCTTAACCTTATAGCATTAAGATCGCTTTCTTAGTTTCGAGAAATAACAAAACTAGTTACTATAATTAATAGGGTTATATATAGTATAGATGTTAAATAGTATAGATTTCTAGAATAACTAGAATATTTTACTAATATTAGCTTAATTATTCTATAGAATAGTATAAAATTAGAGGTATAGTTTATACTAGTATTCTAGTTATTTTAATAGCTAATTTTAGCTATATAGACCTCGTTATCGCCATCTTAAAGTTTAGAATAGGGTAAACCCCTTAGTAACTTTTAGGTAATTTAATATAGTCCCTAGGCGTCTAAGTAACTAGCGCGACTTAATTATATTACTATAGTAGGTATTAAAAAAAATTGCGATATAACGCTAGCCTTCTAATTAGTTAGATCTTATCTTAGAGATAAGATCTAAAGCTCTAATTAGCTAGAAGCGCGTTAGCTTTATAAAGGATCTTTTTAATACACCTAAGCTTTACTAACTACCTTATTAATCTAACGCGCTCGCGTCCCTATAACATATTACTATAACCTAACTACCTCTCTTAGAATATAAAGAAATTAACTATAATCTCTTACTACCTATTAAGCATTATATCTATTTCCTATTATACTATCTATACCTTCCTTCCCTTTATATAACTTCTATACCCCTTATTATAATTTATAATAAGCTAAGTATACGCGCTAATATCTACTAGTTAAGATTTAGAGTTTCTAGAGTCTTAGAGCTAACCTTACCTCTAATGCCTTAATAGCTAGCTATTAAGAGCTCTTAAATATATAAGATAGTAATAGACTCTTCTACCCTTTATATTTACTAGTCCTTCTACTTAAAATAAGAGAAACTAACTACCTAAGGGCATATACTAGAACTTAGAGAGAGATACTAAGAGTCTCTTTATTAATAATAACTATATATATACTAAGCCTTCTAATTTAGATAGTAAGTCTAACTCTTAATAACTACTTATTCCTTTATTAAAGAGAAGAAAGATTACTAAGTAAAATAAGCCTATCCTAACCCCTAATACTATACCTAACCTAATTAAGGGGTTACCTTCTCTAGAGCTATATATACGTCCTTCTTATAGACTAAACCCCTCTTATAGAGACTTAGATCTACTCTAGTCCTTTACTAGACTACTCTATATACTAGAACTAGAGTAAGAGGGGAGTAAAAAGATCTAGTATTACTACTTTAATAGGAAGGATTATCTAAAGTAATATAGTACTACTAGTTAAAATTAGTATACTTATAGTAGATAAGCTCTTAGCTATTTTTACCCTTATAAGAGGATAGCTAAGATAGTCTATATACCTCTTAATATAAGGGAAAAGCTTAACCTAGTGATTAGTCCTTTACCCTAAAGTAATTAAGTTAATTTAAGTTATAAGGAGTTATCTATTCATTTAGGGGTTCTACTATAAGCCTCTTAATTTCTATAGTATACCTTCTAGGTCTTCTACACTTCCTATTACTAGGGAAGAGTAGTTTATATAGATTTATACAAATTATTTTAACTCTACTAACTATAATAATATCTAGTCTTATTTATAGAAGAAGTATAGCTTTAGTAGTGTTATTATAACCTCTAGAACTATTAAGCAAATACTTAATAGACTACTTGCTTAAAGGCTTAATAATGTCGATAGAGTAAAGCTAAATAAGCGCTTAATTAACTATATTACCTCGAGCAATATACCCTTCTATATAGTAAGTAATACTAAGCTATATGCTCTACTTAACGAGGTGTTTCCTAGTACCTCTAGTCTACTAATTAAGACTTATTATATAGTAGCTAAGTACGTTAAGAAGGAGTATAACTTTTATTAAGATTAGCTTAAGGCATTACTAGTAACTTCTTACTCGCTAATCTACTTTACTTATAGTGCTTAGACTACTAACTATAGAAGCTATAAGTTGCTTAGTATTACTACTTAATTTATTAGACTAGATAGCAAGCTCTATAAGGCATTACTTACTCTATACGAGCTACCTAATAGCTATATAGGATCTAAGTATACGCCTTTATTCTTTAAGACCCTCGTTAACTATAACCTCTATAATAATACTAGCTATATTACATTAGATAATACTACCTATAACGACACTATAATATAGTACCTATTAACCCTATTCTATAATAGACTATTAATAGATTAGGACCCTACCTAGCACTAAACTTAATGTTTTAGACATTAGATTAACCTTATAAGTTAAGTATTAATGTTAGCCTCCTTAGAGGCTACTATTAATGCTATTATTATAAGTAGTTAGTACCTAACTAAGGCTATTATAATACTTACCTAGGGTACTAGTCTAGCTAACTATAAGGTAGTTAACTTCCTACGTAAGTTCTTTAAGTAGGTTATATGCTCTACTTATTAACGTAGGGAATTTAAAGAGGCTACTAGTTATGCTACTATCCTTAATAATACTACTTAGTAGAATAGCTAGCTTGCTATATTTAAGCGTAGCCTCTAATGCTATATAGTAATATACTTAATCTAGAGGAACTACGATAATATAGAGTCTATAACACTTAAATAAAGGTACTAGTAGTTCCTTAAGGACCTTATTAAGTTTATAGAACCTCTATAATTAGTTACTAAGGACTAAGAAGGTAACGACGTAACTCTTAACTAGGTACGCCTAAAGTTTTACTAGATTTGTACTACGTCGTAGTACAATTTGCACATTTAAAGAGTCGCTAACCCTAAATATATAGGTATTACTAAATATAGACTTCCTTTATAAGTATTATAATAATCTAATACGCCTTAAATACTCTCCTCGTTACTACTATCTAGACTAGCTATTACGCTCTTAATAAATAGTAAGGAATTAACAATTATACGCCTACGTATACTACTATAATCCTTCTTTACCCTATCCTTTATAAGTCGTATATTAATAATTACTAGCCTTAGTTATAGCGCGTACTAGCTATTAATGCTATATAAGGCCTCTAGACTATAAAGTATAAGGATAGAAGATAACTTCTATAGTAAGAGTAGTAGAATAAGCTAAGTAAGCTAGCTAAGTAGTAGGCCTTAATATTCTAGATAACTTTAACTTATATATATAAGGAGTTTATATACTTTATAAAGAGTCCTCCTATGCTAACTTTAAACCCTATATAATGGTAGCTTAAACTAAGTTAGTAGTAGAACTATCTAAACCTAGCCTAAATAGCTATTAACGTACTCTCTATTAATCTAATGTCTACTAAGTTAGAGAGGGTATTTAGTAGTTATAGAAGGACCCTAACATAGGATAGAGCTAGTTTATTAGCTACTAACCTTAGCTAGATTAAGTGACTTAAGAACTAGCGAAAGAACCTCTACTTTAAGAAGGTTAAGTTAATCTATAAGGCTAAGCTTAGTACTAATATTGCTAATATTAGCCTCGAGGACGAGGACGACGATAAGGTAGAAGGATAGGGTAATAACGACGACGAGGACCCTCTAGCATGCTCTAGAATTGGCATTATTTATAGAAGGAATTAATGTGGATAGCTAGATGGCTAGAATACATGGAATCGAGTTAATATTTTAGGAATTTTATGTAACATCCGCACTAGTTACATGGTAGATGAACCCTTTAAAGCTTTCGCAGATTCACCTTTCGCATGGTGGATCTAGCACTTGAGCAGTATTCGTCTAGCCCCATGTCTAAGTCATCACTCGGATTTAAAGGAGGTCACAATCTGCTACAGAGTTAAGCTCAAGCCTGAGCTGACCGTAAAGGCGAACGTACCTTACCTTTCGCTTACGGATATACCTACTCGGATCCTCAGGCAATCGCCGTCGTGAAGTCAGCAGAGAACAGATTGGCTGCATGGTTGGAAAAGACACCTTGCACCTTCACTCATGCCTGGATATTAGAACTCATGCGGGAAGCGTGTATGACGGACTACGTTCACCAGATAGATGGTATCCCTCAAATTGGGGATGCATAAAGCTTAGAAGAACAGAACTGGTTGCTTCTCGTAGACCACTGTATGAATGCTGTTCTTTTGCTGGTCAAACCTTGCCTTTTTGATTGTCGACTTACTTCACTTCCGCTATTTGCTCTCGACCACGCTTGAACTCCTTCTTGATCTCCTCAAGATAACCCTCCACAGTCAATACATCAACAGCAGTAGCAGCTAATGCCTTGCCAACCATCAAAGCCTTCTCATGTGCCTTTTCCGTCCTACTTGCCCTGGTAAAATCGGGCGTGTGCGGCCCTCCTCCTCGTCCTCCATCCTCAGCCACACTCTCAATCCTAAATCCAGCACTGATGGACGGCATAGCATGACTAATATCCCCCTGATCCGTACTCGCCTGCGTAGAACCCGTCAACAACTCCATCTCCGGCGCTTGCAACTTCCCTCCCAAAGCAGTAAAATGCTTCGCATACCCTCGTCCCAAAGGTACATTAGGCACATGATCCAAATATCTCGACTGCAATGTCATTTTCAACTTCGCCCCAGTAGCCACAGCAGCACCTTCGAAACATTTATCCACTCGTTTCTTCAATGCTTCTAGCCTCTGCTTCGTCGTCGACCTTACTACAAAATCCCCACTGGCGTATGCGTGGATGATATTAGGTTTCACACCTCCTTGTGTAATACATCCTTGGATTATATCTCCGGATTGGGTTTGTTGGCGGAGCACGGAAATGGAGGTGTATGCTGTGATCAAGGCGTCTAGGGCGTTGATGCCTTCCCAGGGTGCGGCTGCTGCGTGGGCTTCGCGGCCGAAGTATTCGATGCGGAAGGCTTGGAAGGCTGATGTGCGGACGAGGGAGGCGTCGGGGGTGATGCCGGGGTGGGAGATTAGGGATATGTCGACGTTGTGTTTTGCATAGGCTCCGGCGTTTAGGAGTGCGATTTTGCCGCCGCCGCCTGGGGGGTGAGTGTTAGTATTTGATGGAGCGTAGGTGGTGCTTGTACTATGCTGAGTGTGAATTGAAATGTGTTTGGGACGTGAGAAGAGTATCGGCCGCGACTTGCTCTGAGCTTCTCGACCTTGTGCATCACGACAATTCCAGAGAGTGCCATTGGCATGTTGAGAGAAGGGAAGGTGCAGTTGCGGCTTCAGTAGCCCGGCCAAATCCCAAGCTTGGGGCCAAATTGAGCAAGTCGGACGTACCTTCTTCAGCAGGTGTACCGAACAGCACCACTTTTCCAGTGATATCGAACTTCTCCATGACATGTTTCGAGGCCAGGGCAGCGGATATCGAAGCAATGGCGATGAGATTGTGACCGCAAGCATGTCCGATTCCAGGTAGAGCATCTGTAAATCCAATCAGTCGATGGTCACGACACACATGTATCTCCTCATTTCAGAGAAGACAAGTCACGAGCACGACAACACCTTCACGCTTTCACTTCCTCGTCCAATCCCTCTCAACCACATCAAAAGAGAACGCAGAACTCACCATACTCTGCATTAAAACTCACAACCCTTTTTCTCCCACCCTTACCCTTCCCTCCTGTATTATCAAAAACAGCAATAAAAGCCGTCTCAATCCCACAAGCCTTCTCCTCTACTTTCCACCCGTCCAACCCCTTAAAGAACCCCACCAACAACGCATAAGCTTTGAACTCTTCATAATTCAATTCCGGATTATCGTGGATGGCTAGACTGATGTCGCGGAGTTTTGGGCTTAGGGTGTTGATGTGGGTGGATATGGTGGGGAGATAGGACGGTGGTGTAGAGGTAATGGAGGTTGTGGGAGGGCGACAGGGATGGTCGATTAGGATGAAGTCGTCATCAATTGTGTCGTCCATTTGAAAGAGGATTATCAACAGTGGTTGGTATGGTCGGTAGAGTTGTGGAGAATACTTGTATTGGAGAGATGGACGTGGTGATGCGGAGATGTGATGGAGGGGCTCGGCTGATAGGGCAAGATAGGCGAGATTTATCAGTAACAGACAACAGAATGTGATGTGAGTGTTCCAAGTCAATGGTTCCGTATTCACTCATAAGGCAAAGGTGCTGCAGAAACGAACATGGCCGCTGTGACTCCTTATAAGTTGACTAAAACATATGTCGAGTTCTTTCAATAGAAAGCTGTCGTCCGGAGTCAGCTCCATGCATCAACACAGCGATATAGCCATGCCGTTATTAGTGGGACGTGAACAGCAATAATGTCTATAATCTTGGATGAAGCTTCCTGCTCCTTATTTATCATAGCGCAATTGGGTATTCTCACAAAGCAATGCCAATCATCTGTTCCTCGCCCTTCTCCTCAATTCCACCTTGCTCATCAACACCAACGGTCTTTTGAGCAACCTCAGCAGCCTGAAGCAGTCTAGCATCGATCAATTCGGCCAGTTCAACTTCCAAGAAACCAACATCCTCTTCTCCGTCTTCCTCATCACCAGTGATCATCTCGAACTTATCGAACAGTCTGCGGCCTTGGCTGTCATACTGCTTGCCAGGAATGTCACGCTTGGCCAACTGCAATCCCAAAGTCTTGTTGTCAGAGACATGCTGGATGGAAGCGGTGCGCACAGGTGACATTGCTGGTGCCCAATTGGTGGCGGCTGAAACCTCGAAGCGTGCAAAGGTGATGATAGCACCCGGGACAATAGTTTCTGGCGTCAGAGGAGGCAGTGTGGTCAGATCGGATGGTAAAGCAGGCAGGTCGGCGGCATCCGAAGATTCAGCCAGCAGCTGTGCAGTAGCCGCTTCCTGATCGGCTTCCTGGGCAGCGCCAGCGGTGTCGTCGTCATCATCGCCATAGTTCAAAGCATCTCCATCTGCACCATCATTGTAGTAGTCGCTGTAGCTGTTGTCAATATCTCCCTCAGTGCGTTGAAGCTTGGCTGAATCGAAGGCTTGAGAGTTACGCTTGCGCTTCTTGGTACGCTGACTGGGGTCCCAACGCTGATAGAACGGAAATGACGGAGTAGAGTAGTAGTATTCCTCTGATCCGGGCGCGCATTCAACGGCGGAGAGGGAGATTTTGGACTTCCAGGCATCGATGTCGGTGGGATCTTGGTCCTCCTCGGCGGATGAAGGCTGCTCAATGGAGGCGGCAGTAGCAGGGGCAGATTTTGTGACTGGCTTGCGTGTAGGCTGTGCGAGTTTGGCCTGTAGGCGTTGTCTATCGGCGTCGTTCTTGGGAGCGCGGACGCCAAGGGAGTTGAACAGAAGGCGGTTGGAGCTTGCAATGTCGAGCCTGGCTCTACGGGGCTCCGGTTGCGCGGGTGGACTGTCATCGCCAACATACAGTGTATTGAGATCGGCATTGGCCATGACGGTATCCTCTGATGGAGCAGATAGATCGTGATCGACGTCGATACCACCAGATTGCAAAGCGGCGAGAAGTGCTTCTCGCTTCTGACTGAACTCCTCAGACTTGTCTTCTGTGACAGGCTTCTTGCCCTTTGGCTTCACTTTCAACTGTCTGGGGATCATGGCCACTGGCTTCTTGACTGCAGGTGGAACAACTTTCTGCGTTTGCACTGTCTCAGGTTCGGAATCAGAGTCGGAGTCGGAGCTAGAATCAGACTCTGAACTAGACGAGCTTTCATCGTCCGAATCGGAGTCTGCATCAGTTGTGTGGTCCTGTCCTACTTGATCCTCTCTCCATTTCTTTAGATCCTGACGAGTGGCAGATTCGGGTAATTTGCCAGTCGACTTGAGCCAGGTAAGCTTCTTTGCATCGCGACGACGTCGGTTCCTAGCACGAGTCCGCTGTTTGCCGTCACTGGGTGGTGCTTGTTTCGGGGGTGGAGCGGTGGTAGGCTTCGGTGCGGAAGGTGGCTGAACAGTACTGTCGGTCTGTTTCTTGATGGGCTCTTCAGAGGGTGCGTCACTATCGGAACCGCTGCCGCCAGCATCATCGTCATCCGAGTCGTCAGTATCGCTATCACTGTCGCTCGACGACTCGTCGGTGGTTTCGTCTTCGCCGCCATGCGACTTCTTGTCTCTGTCTTCAAGCAGTTTCATGATTTCGTCTTCTCCTTGATCGAACTCGTCGTCAGATGGAGGCTCGAAGTCATCATCCTCGTCATCATCTCCATGGTCATAATCGTCAAAGACCATGTCGCCGTTGTCTTTGTAGTCGGCTTCCATGAATTCTGGACTGAAGGTGACGTGTTTCTGAGACTTGGTACGTACAGCAAACTCAGGAGCAGAGGGAGGCGGACCATAGTCGCCAAGTTGTAAAGCAGCGTCCGACTCTTCCAGTTCAGGATCTAGCCTGGCACGTTTGCGAGGAGGGATGTGGATGGGAGCGTGAGATGGGGCACGTAGTAGAGGTCTTCCGAAAGCGATACCGTCGACGAGATGTCTGCCGTCTTTTGAGATTTGGTGTCTGCCTGCAAGGTTTCTGGCGCGGATGTCGTTGGTCTGGAGTGGCTGGATGCTGATAGACATTAGGATTGTATTGCGATAAGGTATGATGATATACTCACACAATCTCATCATCTTCCTTCAAGACGTCGGCCAACTGCTGAAAGTGCAACAGCTCATAACCACCAAGGTGGACAGCGTAATCTTCCAGCCCCCATCCTGCAGCTTCAAGAGGGAAGAAGTCGCTGATCTGAGTGAGCAGCTCGGCCGTGGTGGTTGCACCATCGACCTTCCACAAGACCTTTGTCGGCGGCAGCTGATGCCTCAGGACCTGCAATCGGATTCTCATATTGCGACAAGCGTAACAAAGTCAAAGTTGCTGTCACGCGAAAAGTTGGAGATGGTGACGGCGTTTGGCACCGATCAAGGCTTATCTCCATATCAATCAAGCTGCAAACGGAAGCTCCGCATGCATTTCGAACGAGACCTTGTCGACTTCTTCGCAAACGTCGATTAACTCTATTCACATGGCAATTTCGAATTGTGCTTCTTCTCGAAGCTCGTATGTCAATCCAATCTCACGGGTGCATCTTTATATGCTTCGGTCTTCGTGACAAATCCTGCCGATAGGTTGGTAGTCTGTACAAGGCCACATAGACGACTCTTGACCTCGGTCGTCATGCATCCAACCATAGCACAATCAAAGGCATTGAACGGGAATCTCCATGGCAGGATCGAATGGCCCTGCTTATCAGGAGCAAAGAGTAAAGTGGATACAGAATTGGCAGCGACTCTTCTCAAAAGCTCGGACAATTTGATTGCATCATCGCCGACAGCTTTCGTCTTCCGCCGGCCTCGCAAAGAGTCAAGTTGAGCCGTTTATCCCATCAATTGCCTTTCCTTCCTCTTTCCTCCCTCCTCATCCCATACCATAATCTTTAGTCATCATGTTTGCCAGATCAGTATTCCGTCCCGCAAGGACAGCGGCCAGCGTATGTCCAATTCAATCCCTCGCGCGCCTGCACCCGCCGCCTCTAACACGTCCCTCCAGCATGTCCGCCGCTATGCCTCTGAGGCCGCCGCAAAGTCCAGCTCCAACACCCTTCTCTTCACTGGTGCCGCTGCTGGCGCTGGTATTGGTGGTTACATGTACTCACAGCGTGCTTCCGCCGAGGGCCAGCACGGCAACACCAACGAGAGCGGTGCTTTCGGCCAACCCGCCTCCAAGACTGAGGAGGCCAACATCCCCGGCAAGGCCGCAGACGCCTCCAAGTGTTTCACTGGTGGTGACCAGGGTTTCGTCAGCTTGGTCTTGATGGAGAGCGAGAACATCAACCACAACACAAAGAAGCTGCGTTTCCACCTTCCCGAGGAGAACAGCGTTTCCGGTCTTACCATTGCCTGTATGTTGTCATTGTCGCATATACAATCATTCCACCACTGACAAGCTCCCAGCTGCTCTGATCACCAAGTACAAGGGTCCCGAGATGGAGAAGCCTGTCATTCGTCCCTACACTCCCGTCAGTGACGAGAACACCGTCGGCTACCTCGACTTCATCGTCAAGAAGTACCCCGGTGGCCCCATGTCCGAGCACCTTCACAACATGCAGCCCGGACAGCGACTTGACATGAAGGGTCCCATCCCCAAGTACCCCTGGGAGGAGAACAAGCACGACCACATCGCCCTCATTGCCGGAGGTACCGGTATCACCCCCATGTACCAGCTCGCCCGCGCCATCTTCAACAACCCCAACGACAAGACAAAGGTCACCCTCGTTTTCGGCAACGTCTCCGAGGAGGATGTTCTCCTCAAGCGTGAGTGGGAAGACCTCGAGAACAAGTACCCCAACCGCATGCGCGCCTTCTACACCCTCAACAACCCCCCTGAGGACTGGCCCGGCCCGAAGGGCATGATCACCACCGATCTCCTCAAGACTGTCCTGCCCGACCCCAAGAAGGAGAACATCAAGGTCTTTGTCTGCGGTCCTCCCGGCATGTACAAGGCTATCGCTGGTGCCAAGAAGAGCCCCAAGGACCAGGGCGAGCTTACCGGTATGCTCGCCGAGCTCGGCTACAACAAGGACCAGGTCTACAAGTTCTAAGCGAGCTTTGGAAGAAAATGTCATATCATGTATATTAGAAATGAATAGAATGTCCTGAATCTCTGGAAAGAGTATCCCCAACCACAAACTTTGTTGAACATCTTCACCAATTGATCCGGAAATAGTGAGGTCTACTACATGATTGATATCTAATTCCTCGAAGGTTAGAGTATCACGCAGTTCTGCTGAAGATAGAAGGTTTTGATTTTTGAGCTACGGGTTTGTGATGGAAGTCTCGAGAGTATGTCTGATTACTCGTTTACTAGAAGAGAAGCAAGAGGCGCTTTGTCAGGAGTATCATGGAGGAGGTTACGGGATGGGCAGGTTCGATTTGGTAGCGGGCAGGAGACGACCGCATCACTGCCGTTGTTTTCTTGGAAAGGGAAATCGATATTGGTGTAGAGACTTTGTGCATCTATACTATATTACAACACTCTATACAATAAACCACAAACGAAAAAAAGGAATCAATACCATACACCACTATCATCACACTCCCATCACACTCCCAACATCAATCCCCCTCGCACATGAGAGATCAGGAAACAACACACCCCCACCCCCCATGCCCCAACCCCTCCAACTCACCAACCCTCTCCTCCACCCCCCTAACCGCCCGTTCAAAATCCCCCACATTGACCTCCACATCCTCAACCTTCCCTCTCAACCCCTCAATCTCATAATCCAATCTCTGCGCCAATGTTTCCAATTCTTTAGCTCCTTCATGCAAGACATCTCTCTCGTCCACGAGAACAGCTTCAGTGGCGTCACGGAGATCCTGGAGATTGGATGCGCAAGGACGGTAGATGGAATCGAGGTAGGATTGATCTTCGTCGGCTGTGGTGAGGAGGTCGTGGGTGAGGAGGAGTTGGGTGCGTGTCCATGTTGCTTCTTTGCGGTCGAGGGTGGCGATTGCGGAGCGCAGGTATTTGAGATCGGAGGATATTGTTGTTTCGTGTTCGAATTGCGCTTCTAGTGTCGAATGTGGAGGTGGAGATGTTGGCGCGAGTAAAGCGGGCGATTCCTTCAACATGATGCTATCTTCAGCGATGCCGAAACTCAAGCGGCGTGGGTAGAAGGAATCACTGCGATTGGTGTCGGAAGTCAGGGTTTCAAAGTCGGAGTAGGAGTGTATGCGCCGGAGTAGGGGTCCGATATCTTGAGCTAGATCTGGAGGTGTAGGAAGAATATCCTTGAGGTCGACGCCGTGGTAGTCGGAGCCTGCGATTGAGATGGATGGTTCTCCACTTATAGTGCGGGAGATTGTGTCGTAGCGGTCGATGTCGGTTTCGTTGTCGCTCTTGTCTTGGTCGCGAGACTCTTCTGATGATTTCTTGCGTTGCGGGTCTTCGACTGGAAAGACGCTGTTGTTTGCTTCGAGAGGGCTGGCGAAGAGGTGATTGGAGTATTGAGGGTCGTTCCGGGTGAGGGCTGCTTCAAGTTTCTGATCTCGTGGTTGAAGAATTTGGTCGAGGCTACCATCGGCACCTTGGTTCATTTTAGGACTTGCGGGTGGTGATGATGAATCTATGCGGTTCAGAGCATGGGGAAATTCGAACTCTTGCTTCGATGGACCGGTGGGTGAGATGGGAGATTCATCTTTCGACCCTTTCGGATGATGTCCACGCACAGCGTCTTTGAACTTGCCAAAGCCACGCCTTCCATCATTGAACAGTCCAGTCGCTCGTTTTGTGACAGATCGATGAAGATGATGCTCTTCTTTGATCGAACCTTCACCTTCTCTGCTAGAAGGTAATGTAGGAGACATAACATCATCCGATACCGCTCTGTGAGTGGTGATCGACTCTGATGTATGCTTCCTCTCAATTCCGCCAAAACCCTTCTCATGACCCTCGGGCTTCCAATCTTTCATATCGACTGACTGATTTTTGAGCGGCTTGCCAAGCCAGAGCCACTTACAGCGCTGACCATACACAAGCTGCTCGAATCGATCAATGTACGATGTCTCGACATCAGCGATACCGGCTTTATCTCGCCTTCCGACAGCCTCGGCGAGCATCTCACCTCCCTTTCCGCTAAGCTCTGCAACAGTAGATTTGACAGCACGAGGTACCGACCATCCTTCAGCATTAGCAGCTTTTGCTGAAGTCCTGTGCAGTCTGTCGAGGGTATGTCTGTCCAACCTCCTGGTTCTCTCAAGTCGCTGACTCTTCTGGAAGTGAGAGATACCGCGTTTCATGCCTTCAATCTCAAATGGGTCTTTCGGCACAGGTGCACCAACAGCACTTAGTCGGTTCCGAGCACCCATCAGCAAGCCGAGCAAAGCGGCAACTGTTGTAGGTCCAAGAATACCATCGTGTGGTTCTATGTTATAGAACTCGGCCCCGATATCGAGCCACCAATCATTGGCGGCCTTTTCAGTAATGTCGCACAGTAAGCCATCCGCATACTCGAAATCAAGTTTGTCGAATATATTGAGTGCAGCTTGGCAGAGCTTGACCAGCTCAATTACAGCCTGGAAAATGGAGTTCTTGTCGCTAGTCTTGTACAGCTGGTGGAACTTTGCGACAGTTGCGCTGTTTGGTGCAGAAAGAGTCAAACCAACACGTCCGGAACAGCCCATGCGCTTGAGGTTCTCGGAGACGAAGAAATCGAAGCGATGTTTTCTAAGGTCGCCATCCGGTACTGGGATGACGGTCAAGGAGGAGGGGAAGCCAGACAGATTTGTGATCATTAGTATACCAAGTGGCGTTTCTTTCCGGCGAGCGTGATACTGATTGAGAGCCTTGAAATAAACACGGAGACGCTGGGACCAGCCAGATTCGTCGGTAGGAACGCTCAAGATACCGACTTGAGCGACATGTTGAGGATCACCGGTAAAAGTGGTGATGACAAAGGTAGGGTGGGTACGAGAAGTGGCCCATTGTTCAACAATGTAAATCTCATAGCCTTGTAGTTCTTGACTTCTCTCGACGACCTCGACCCCAGGGTCTTCTTCCAGATATCTTGGCCAAGTTAGATTCTGCATGTTTGTGATACCAGCCCCACTGACCTAAATGCTATCGGATCTGTAAGGACAAGACGTTGATGTGTCGGGGCTTTTGAAGAGGAAGAATCGGCATTAGAAGAGTGTTTCTCGGAATCATTGGTAAATGTCTTTTCTGGCTGTGTAACAAGTTTGACATTCTGTTTATGAGGGCCCGGAGGCCTCTCTGTTGCCGAAGCAGGAGTGCTCATGAGCGTTGGTATGGCGGATCAGGAACAGTATCATTGTCCTGACATTTGGAATGCACGTGATTGTCACCCGAGCTGGTGAGTGAGGCCTTGGGAATTCAGCGATACAAGTCGTTCGGTACGGTCAATGAGAAGAAGGAAAGAACAGTCGATTACGCGACAATATTGTAAGTTTGTTTGTGTTTTAGATGAGCCATTTTGTGGTTGTAAGGTTGCTGGTCGAGATTCGGGAGGTCAAGTTGGGGCCTCGGAGCGAACCTCTCTCGACCCCGCGGCACGTCATTGCGACCTCTGTGGACGGCCAGTTGCAGTAGCACCGAGGTGGGCATGCTCTTGCGACTAGTCGCTACGACCTGAACAAAAGACCATTTGACGTCGGACTGATGCGCCATGGAGTCGCTGCGGTTGGAGCAGCAAAAGCTCGACAAGAAGGGAAACCTGTCAAAGACGATCGGAGATGTGCAAAAGACGATTGATCTACTCACGGCGGCGCGAGAGGCCGTAGCTGCTGGTGTGTCCGGAGACACGTCCATCCTCTCGACGACAAGTGCTGACATACGATAGATGGAACTGCGGCGGCGCCGACACTTGCAAAGGTCAAGCGACCGCTCAAGGCTTCTCTGGATCAGGTGAACTCGGACATCAAGGAGATCTACTCTGCGCACAAGGACTACTCCAAAGCCCTAGATAAGGTGTGTGAGGGTGCTGTCTGTCTTGCTAGACGTATGTTAACACGCACCAGAAATTCAAACCGCAACCGATACCCGCTTCCCATCATGATGCCCTCTCGTCGCAACCCGCTCTCACCAATCGCGCCATCGCAATGCACCTCCTACGTGAGGGCCAATTTGACGTCGCCCAAACCTTCCTATCAGAGCTGGAATCGAGGCCGAAGCCTGCAAGACATGATCAAGATGAGGACAGTCTCATGCAAGATGGTGACAACATTGAACCCAGCCACACCGACTTTAAGATTCCGGGCGACATGCAATCACAGTTTGCTCACATGTACACTGTTCTCGATGCATTACGCAGACATCACAACCTGGACCCAGCCATCCAATGGGCCCGTCAACACAGCCATAGACTCGACCAGAGAGGTTCGAATCTGGAGTTCGACCTATGCCGTCTACGCTTTGTCGAGCTCTACTGTCAGGACAATGATCCCAACGACTACATGTCCGGCCCATTGAAAGCCCTGGAATACGCTCGTCAAACTTTCCCCAATTTCTCTGCCAGGTATATGCGTGAGACTTCCTCGTTACTCGGCTCTCTGGCCTTTGCTCCGGCTTTAACCTCATCCCCATACAAGAGTGTCTTCTATAACAATGATGCCTGGGAACATGCGGCATCCAGCTTCATTCGCGAGTTCTGCGCCATGCAGGGGCTCAGCGAAAAGAGCCCCCTCTACACTGCCGCAACAGCCGGTGCCATCGCTCTCCCTGTGCTCGAGAAACTCGAGCGAGTCATGGGTGAAGTAGGAGGTCAATGGACAAGTGTTAACGAACTACCTGTCGAGATCCCACTACCACAATCATATCTCTTCCACTCCATCTTTGTCTGCCCCGTCAGCAAAGAACAAGGTACAGATGCCAATCCACCAATGATGTTACCCTGTGGCCACGTCATTGCAAAAGAGTCGCTTGAGAAGATTAGTAGGGGAAACAAGTAAGCTATGCGTTGATATTCTGTTGCTTCCAAACCACATACTGACATTTTCGAGAAGGTTCAAGTGTCCTTATTGTCCCGTCGAAGGACATCCCAAAGAGGCCAGGAAGGTCTTCTTGTAACCTCCACCCCTTCTCTTTCTGCGTTGACGACGATCACATTGCTTTTCCATCATTTCTTTTTCCAAGTACTGCATAGCATCAGGCGTTTTTCTGGGAGGGCTCTTGAAAGAGCGGATGGCGAGGTATGGACTTTCACCAGGAGAGATTCTGGCCCTTATGAGGGAATCGCGATGCTGTCTTTTTCTCACATGGGAAAGCCCTTTTGTATATTCAGATCTATGGGCTGTTTTTCAATTCTATCATTTCGTGTACAACAAAGTCGATTTTCCTCTTCGAAGAATAACTATGAGATCTTCCCACTCCGTCGCAACTTCTTCCTTTCTTTTTTTTTTTTTTCATTCCTTCGACGAAGATCTGATGACTGGAAACAGCAGTGGGAGATATAGTTATGGACACCGTTCTTCGCTCATCATACGTCGAACTCCAGCAAGAACATGAAACAACTAATTTGATCATCTCGAAAGAAGAGATGGCTGAACAATTATGGAACAAAAGGAGTAACAAGTTCGGAAGCCACGACCAAGCGGCGATCGAGTATAGAGCCAAGAGCCATCAAACCAAGAGTTCGGCAAGCAGACAACCAAGCGAGCAAGATGACCTGAACAACAAAGCAAGAGAATGATAAACGATGCCGTAAACCAAAGTCTCATCAAAGAGTAGCAGAACATGACTAAATTCGAAGGGAGAAAGTAAGAAGTGCTACACAAAATCTGAAGTTCCCACGAGTGATGATCAAACAGACCGCTTTACCATCGCCATCAAAACATACGCTCTTGAGGAGTCTTTTGCAGTAAGTGATGTTGCATTCTCGAAAATGGTATCCCCACACGATACTGAGGGATCGAGTGTACACGATACTCCTATGCAAGGGGAAAGGAGTGCAGTAACTCGAGACGAGCCAGCCGAGCCTATAGGATAATAGCGTGGGCGGTTCTCTCCGAGATTTCTTGGGTGGGTATGCATCAGGCAGATGGCTGCTTGTTTCAACCTCTAGCGACGAGGATGTCTGGGAACTTCCAAAGCTGATAGATAGCAATGGACGGCGTGGTGCTTTGGAAAGGAGCCGCGTCAATCAACGTTTCTCGCGGATTGCAGAGTGGAAGGTCTCGATGCCGACATGATTGTTGAGTAGTGGTGAGTTAGATCTGCATGCCATACCATACCAGACTCTGAAGACGTAATGGAGGAAGAGGATGAGTTGACCTAGCTTGGATGTATGCATGTACGCGCGAGCACGAATCGCGGACTGCTTGTGAGCCTAACGTAGGGCACTATAATCCTATGCAGCATATACGACTTGCATGTCAACCTACTCGAAGAATGTCCCGGCGACAGCGATAGCAAGACATTGATGTGATTGCTGTATTACCAGGCTGTTAGTTGCGAATTAGCTCGAGTACCAGTGAAAGTTGTCCACCTGAGAACTTGATAAAGATAGATGACTGCTATCAGTAAACCCTGTAAATCTTCAACATTGATCAACTGATAAGATCAATGTTGTGTTTTACGTAGGTCAAGCTGTTGCTTGTTGCCCTTCTTCATGCAGGTTTGTCGATCTTGGGTTTAGCCCTCTTTTTCGCGGGACCCAACGCAAAGGACATAAAGGCCGGTTCCGAAGGCAAAAAACTCAGATAGATTGCACAAGTGACCATTCAGCGGGGGTGTTTGTAGATCCTCGTGCCGCTGCTATCTTGCGGTGAGAGGCAAAGTCAAAAGTCGCTTGGTATGTGGTATGCGGTGAGAGGTAAAGGAACGAGGTGTGAGTGGAGGTACGTTGATACGTGATGAAGGATGGTGTGGAAAGGGTAACTGCCGAGTGGGTGAGTGTGGTGACGGGATCTTGGATGGGGTCCATGTCGTGCAACCGCGACCCTTCTGATTCGTTGTCATGAGATCTCCTTCTTGAAGGTCCCTTGGGTGTGGCTGGCTCAAAGATGCGACTGTGCAATGCACTGTTCAGTAGTTGCATGTGTGCAGGGTCTTGACTTTCCACAGCCATCGGACCATTTTACCAAGGGTCATGGTTCATGTGATTAGGAAACATGCGCGATGCCCGCATAATGAAGGTATGCTCCCGAGGTGCGTTGTGTTGTATAGCCGGAAGTATCAAGAACAAGAAACAATCCCAGACTGTAAAATGCGAATCATTGCATGTGTCTGGTGAGTTGATACGAGGGCAGTGTTCGTTTGGGTTTTGGGTCAACCTCCAGGTCAACACACGAAACTGGCAGAATGTAAACAAAGGTTAGCGAAAGTGATTGGATGACCAAGCAGCTGCATGCCATGTAAATCCATGCAACTACTCGAGTACTTTACGCCATTTAGGAGAAGTCCTCTTTTCGACTTCGCTTGTGCTTTCCGCCTCCCGAGTCTTATGCACGCGTGCAGGCTCTCTTACTGCTTTCTGTTCCTTCGCTCGCGCCTCCCTATCTTTGCTTGAAGCCTGAAGGAATGCAAGACAAGTCCCGGCTGCGAAGGTGACAGGTCGAGCTTCGCCGCAATTCAGTCCGTGAACATCTCGCACGTCGTGAAGGCTTCGAAAGCAGCGGATGTTCGAGTCTTGAAGAGTATCCAACCAGACACAGACCATTATTATCACTATCGTTGGAATATGGAAAGCATGATAAAAGTAGAAACCGTTCACTGCTCACGATCGGCAATCGACGGTTTCACTGCCGACAGCCGCAGCCTTCGAACGCTTTCCTTCACACAGCGAGCCGCAAAGCAAGAAGGCCCTTGCAAAATAGGAACCAGCCATGACGCCTGGGCTGGCCTTTATCTTTGGTTTCACCAACTGCTTCTGCCGTTCTCGTTTTGTGGCTGTCGCAAAACCTTTTCTGTCCTTGCCCCATGTTGTGATCGACAGAGAAGTGATTTCTAGACATCGTCCTCTAACGAAGAACAGGACAGTCGATTCTCTAGAGTGCAGGAGGGAGTCGGCTTGTACGAGAGATGGACAGAGCGCCTACGCAATTCAATCTAAAAATGCACCTTGGTGTGGAGAAAGCCAAAAAGCCATTCGTATTTATGGCTCCTTTTCTCCCTAGAGTGGTGTCTGGCTATTGGTCCAATAGTATCATCTCGCCTGCCCATTAGCACTTCTTATATGTAGGTTAATCTATGCGCGTGTAGCCGAATGAACTACTTGCGCCGCTTGCATATCACTGTCGCTGTTTCCTCGACTCTTTTGCCTCAACCTTTCGGCAGCCGAAACGAAGAGGACCAGAGAATGTCGACGTCGTCATGAAGGTCGATCTGGCTGGACCGAATGGGATCGCACGATTTCAGCCGAGTCGACTGTGTATCTTCTACGTGGTACTTGGATCCACCCATTCCCCAAGGTCTCAGTGCGGAGATTTGGAGTCAAAGCCGGCGTTTCAGACACCCGGAGTGCCGAGCTGAGATGTAAAACAAGAGGAACGCAATTGCAGTCGTCGTGTGTCGCGTCTCATGCGAGCCAGAGGGACAGAAAACAACCAGACTCACCGCGACTCAAAAGAATGCGTGAGGGTGGATCAAGTCCGAGAGAATGGTCCCGCTTGTGGAAGCTTCTCCGTTAACTCTGTGACAGCGTGAGTCAGTGTCAGGTAAGCTGCAGAATGCTGCAGACTGTTGTGAACCCTTCGTCTTCTCTGACTCGCATGCTGTTGTCGTTGACTACCAATTACCAATATCGGCAGGGCTGAGATATACAACGAGGGGCTCTCCTGTCAAGCAAGGGAAGACTATGGATGAAGGATGAGCAGGGTTTGCCAAGCGTATATATCGTGTTCGTATCAGAACGTATCGCGAGAACCACAGAACGACACATGAAAGTCAATTGCTCTGTCTGGTAGACCGTTCGGCAGGTAAAGGTTAGTAGAACAAGCTGGAATGGTATGCAAGCAGCCGGCATGACGGCGAATCCAAGCCGGATAGCCAGGCATCCATGAGCCGTACTTGAATGATAAGATGAAGGTGATTCGCGCGAAAAGGCGCCAACGGATAGACGGCGGCAGTTTGGGAAATGGTCGCGGTGGAGATGGGGAAACGAGAGATTGGCTTGTTATAGCTGAACGGGGGCGATTGATTTTAATAATGGTACTTTGTACTTTGATGGTGCGTGTCGCAGAAGTAGAGGACGAGAGATTTATCGGAATTCTGGCAAGGGCCAAGATATGGTTCTCTAATGAGACAAATTCGGCTAGAAGAGAGCTTGGAGACGCGTCCCGGCGGTTGAGGAAAGAGGAGAGCTCGGGGGAGCAATTGGTGGGGATACTCTGGGCAACTGCCTTGTCAGGAACAACAAAACGATACACAAGTGCAAGACGGAGGCAGGAGCAACGGAGGTTTTGCAAGAAGATCAAGAGTCGCAAGGAGATTTGGAGGCAGGATGACGATGATTGCAGTGGCCGCCGGTGGATTCTTTTTTAAGTGGCATCGCGAAACGACCGTGGTCTGTGTTGCTTGCCGTCGATAAGTGCGGCCACTGCGGGCTGTATGTTTTGTAGAAAGACCGTGCACTTCAGCGCAGTAACTAGCGCCTCACGCCATCTGCCCTGGCCGTGTCTGTCCCTCCTCTCGTTGTCCTCCTCCGTTCAGCGTCCATACACGCATCAGTTCAACTTTTCTCTTCTCTTCGACCTCTGTCGCCCATTAGCTGTTGCTTTTCTTGTTGCTGAAACATTGCTGCCGCGCTTCGAAGCCATCTTGATTGATTGTCTGCGAGCCCCGTCTTGTTTGGTTGATTGCCCGCCGTTCTTCTTGCGTCGTGCCTGCCAACCTCGTCGCTCAACCACCTTCCCTGCACACCATCGGCTCCAGACTCGCTTCACCGCACGTCGACTCCACCCCGTCGCCGTCGCTCTTGACCGTTTGGCCAACGCAACCTCCGACCTGTTTCTACTTTACTCCATGATTGTCTGAGGGATTCGTGTCCGCCCCCGGCCGGACCTGTGTGTGGCTCGTCAACCGATTCCAATCCAACTCAATTCCCAAGGTATGCACCTCGCTGCTTCTTCTGACCGCCTTTCGTCACATGCCGTCTGTGTGCCTGCCTGTCTGCCATGCCTTGCGAGCTGTCCTGGATGGCTTGTCCTCCGACGCTCATCAGCATCATCCATGCTCGCACTCGCACAACAAAGGCACCGCACCCAAACAGCGCATGGCTGTTGGACACAACGTCCGCCAACACGACACACATACACATCAATTGGCTCCACTACCACTCTCCCTACCGCATCTACCCCACTGTTACTTGACACTGCTACCTGTTATCAAGTTGGACCTTGCTGACTCCCTTCTCCCCAGTCTCGAAACACTACCAATCGCTAATATTACTTCGTAATTGACTCGCCTCTACTGTCAACCGTCTCATTATCCATTCAAGCGCCTTTCGCGTCGCGTTAGCCCATGGCGGAAGTACTATCTCCTCTGCCCTCGCCGCCCAGCTCCATCAGCTCTATCAACATGCTGCACTCGCGTCCTTCGTCTTCGGACGCATACCAAGCCAACCATCAGAGAGTTGGCTCCACCCCGAGGAGCAACTACCGCAGCTCGCCCTCGACCACTCCAGTGCAGCCGTATGCTTTCCAAGCTACTCCTCACCTGAGACAAGAATCTCGCACCATCTCAGCCCCTTCGAATGTGCCCCAGGCCCAACAAAAGGGTCACAAAAGCACCGGCTCCACCTCGACCACCTCTTCGGCTGATCTCACTACAAAGACTCCGCCGCTGAGCCCTGGAAAGGACGCTTTCATCAACCTCTCCTCCAACATTCCCGACCTTTCATTGACGTCGTTTGAAACAACGCCAAAATCTTCTCCCAACAGATATCGCCGAACACCTCAGCGCGCCGATTCCAACCACTCGCTACAACAAAAGGGTCCCTCGCCTGCGTCATCAGCTGACAATCTCCTGACACCTCCCGCTCCTCAGCTGATACGCACCTCGAGCGATGATCTTACTGTCACAAAGTCCAGCACATCCGAGTCGGCAAAGAGATATCGCCGACGAAGCTTGAACAGCTTGGAGATGAGCAAACTTGAAGACGGCAACCAACGCCCCTCTTCGCAAGGCAATGCCACCATCCGACCTGTTTCGTTCCATTCGCGGACTAGCAGCGGAGATAGCACTGGTCGACGAGTACCGCCCTCTTCCACCCCTCCTGTAAGTTATTCTCCAACTCCGTCTACCGGTACCAGAGCTAACGATCCCAGGCCGAGTCGGGCAGAATCTCTCCTGCTGCCGCTGGCAGTCCCGTAAAACTCCCCATTCGTGGCAGTGCTACTAACCCCTCTCCTCTTTCAAAGTCGCCCATTACTGGCACACCCCAGTCTCCGGAAGAAGAGACACCAAGGCGCGTAGCTGCGGGTCGACCTCAAAGCCCGGCTGCTCAGCAACTTGCTCATCTCTCGGCCAATGATCTGAACAGAGGAATGAGGTCACGTCTAAGACGAGCCTTCTCGTTTGGCGCTGCCCAAGAGATGCGAAGATCAAGTGAGAACTTGCCTCCTCAAGGACCCATTAACCCCCTCGACGAGATGGATCCTGAGCAAGCTGCCATCGCCAGACAACAAGAAGCTGCCGGAATCGGCTCAAGCATTTACACCGGCCAAGGCGGCTTCACTGGCTCTACAGACAACTTGTCCATTTCCTCAACTGCTTCATCTGCATCCATGATGCTCCGTAAGATGGGCAAGGGTATGAAGAAGGGAGGTCGCTCGATCAAGGGTCTGTTCAGGCCCAAGTCTGTCATTGGAGTTCCTGCTGCCGATGGGCCCATCCAGCCCAGCATGGCTCAGGTGTCGATGGTGACGGTCGAGGCCGAGAGACAGAAAGTCAACGTGAACGCACACCCTGCCGAACAACCCGCTGGAGGGACTGGATTCCCTAAGCTGGAGAAGAACTCGATTGAGACTGCACGCAAGTCCATGGACGGTCGTAATGACTCCATGCGCAAGAGCATTGTAGGAAATGACGCCGAACGAGCAGAAGTCCTGGCTGCAGTCAAAAAGGGTATATTAAAGCGCGCTGGAACTGGTTCACCCATTGCTTCACCAGATCTTCGCCCTCGCGATGGCACTCTTTCTACCGACTCGCACAGTCCGGTATCCAGTATTCCCAACACACCCCGAGATGAGCGTGGTTCGCGAAGCATGTCCTCCACCACCAGCGACTACTTCAACAACCGCCTCGGTGTTTCGGCAGCTAAGAGCATGCCTAGCACTCCTCAAGGAGGTTCGCGTAACATCAGCTTCAGCCCTCGCATCCAATTTTATGATGCCTGGTCAGCTTCTGACTATGATCGCCGTGGAGACATTGCAACATGCAATCGCCTGACCCCAATGCTCGCCCAGCAGATCAAGGAGGAGCTCAACACTTTCAAAATGGTAAGCTTTGTCAATCCAAACCACTGCCACTCTACAATACTAACAACATCTGCAGGAGATGGAGGTGCACGAGCTATCCAAGCCTCACACGCATTTTTTCTAATCATGACCGGACTTTGAATGCAGCATACTCAGCGTCACACCGAAAGGAATAAAGGGAACTCTTCACATTGTATTATGGCGTAACTAGGGAGTTCGATCGGGGATTTGGCCAGTTGCATGCTTTGGTGCTCGCCGGCGTTTCTCTCCAGGAAATTCTTCATCTCTTCACCCACCACGAAGGTCCCTCTTGTCTTTTTGCCTACATCCACTTCTTGGCAGCGTTTAGTCAGTCGCTTCTTGTTTTCACCTTTTCTTTTTGTCATGATCGGGGAAAGCACTCATTGTTGTTGTTGTTGTTGTTTTGACGGTTTTCGGAGTACATTCGTTTTTACACTCCCGGATGAACCCTTGGAGGGAAGATCTTTGTTTTTGTGAAAGATACATTTGAGCGAAAGAGAAGAGAGTATGCAAAGCAGAGAGGACTGTTCGTGGCCTTCGTTTCGTTTTCTTTACTATCTGGACGGCGCATCTTGGTTCGGTCTCAAAGTTACTGATTCAACTGTTCATAATCCCAATTGCCCTTACCAGTGCTACCGGCAACTTGCCTTCCCTTGCGTGTCTGTTCCAGCATTCTTTGTGACAGTTTGATTCCAAATCATGAGCATGAACATGTTGACCAGCTCTGCATATGCGACAAGCACAGCATATGAACAGCTGCGTCTTTGGAAACTTGGTTGACAGCTCTACGAACCATGGACCTGAAAATGCTGACACCGGTCAAGGAAACACTCCGAGCTTGATAATGATGCGAAGCATGGTCACCAGCATCGAGTGTAAATTGCATCTGCGTGCTTACTAGAATACAAGGATCCCCTTGCCTGTACCATCTCAGCTTCCGATACACGCAAGCCTGTACGAAAAAAGAAGGTTGTATCTGGTTATGTAGGTACCGAAGTCACTTTTCATCTTGTCTCTCGTTCTCAATTCAACAAGTCATCATCCGCGGAAGATGAAACTACTACAATTGTGGAGGATCGAAGCAAGGATCTCCGACAGCTGAATACAACCTGGCGTAGGAGAGGAGCTGGAATTCAAGTCACACAACGAGAAAATCTGTTTGAAGCTGCCTGTTTAGGGTAACACAGCTGATTTCTGCTAGAGCTGGTGCTGCGTGGCATGCCATTACCAAAAACGTGCCTGTTCCTTGGCCACCCTGTTCACTATCCTGATTCCTGACCCTTGTCCATTTCCTGCAGCCTCTGTGGCTGCAAATACTCGGGTGTGAATTGAGGCTCTGTGAACGGCAACACAGGCCCAACGAAATGGATTGGGATCTGAGGTGCGGGAAACAGCGGTGACCCAAGTCACTGGGACTGTTGATCCATGTCGACAAGGTGCAAGAAGGTGATACAAACCATGCTTGTTGTCTTGTCTGCTGCAGCAACGGAGGTGCAAGTTGAATTGCTCGGAGCGAGCGAAATCATCGGTTGAGCAGCACGCTGTTCATCCTTTCCTGCAAGTGCAAAGCCACACATTTTCCAATTGTCACGATCGGTCCGCAGCGGGAAGGATTTCCAAGGACAAGAAACACAAAATGCTTGTTCTTCACATGTTCCATTGTGTTTTCCATGGCGCAGGTGAATTGAAGTGGGTGCTCCAGCTGGGGGCGGCCTGTTCCTCTGGGGTCACCCGTTTTGCAATCCCACGTCATGGACGGCTCCGTTTGTCATGATACTTTTATTCGCGGCCGCAGCACACTAAAAGTCAGAAGATATTTTGATCATCGTCAGCACAACGGGCGCGGTTTTGGCTTGAGTGCAAAGAGGTTTAAGCTTGAAAATTCCAGGTGCCTTGGCTTCCTTTAAAGCCGAGGAGATGCGAGTCGAGAGAACTGTCAACCCTGAGCCTTTTCGCTGCCTCGCAACACCTCATAGGCTGGATTTCTCCAAATCATGAAGTCAGGGAAAGGGACCTCGATCACCGCAAGTAACATCGTCAGTGATGTTGGATCTTATGCAGGTCGAGAGGATCCCGCTGCGATGCTGAAACGGACTTTGATTCCGCATGGACCTGTTCTTGGACATCCATTTCGTTCCGACGCGCGGCCGGTATGCAGTGCATATATTGTCATGACAATTACGCCTGAATTATCCCTGAGTATGCAGCTTTCCAGCAAATCTTGCTCTCGTCCTGTCATCAGCATAGGCGTCGGCCGATTTCTAGGACCGTTCACTTCTGGTCCGACAATCGACGGTGCGGGAGATGCAGGACAGACTCCCTGATTTGGATGGTCCGGAAGACGTTTGTGTCGATTGGAACGTCCTTTCTGGCTTCCTAAACTCAAATGCCGTCAAGACCTTTGTGATCTGCAAGGCCCGATCTCTATCTCCGCAACCCCCCGGGTCATGAGCTCCACACATGAGGCTCATGGTTTGCGCATGATGCTGCAGGTCGACATCTTTTACGATGACCACTTTGCTCGGTGGTGACGGCCTTGCCACATTTGTAGAAGCCGGTACGTGCGATAGCCCAAAACAATTTTTTGATCGACATATAAGGCACTCTTCTTCCTTTTCACCGGATGTTAAAATCAAATTGGTGTCTTTGTCCATTTCGTATATATTTGGTCAGATCTTCATCACCCTCTTCGTGACTTCTCTTCCCATACCGCACCACAATCGATCGACTCTCCACACCAAGAACTCATTCGACTTTAATCAAACCACCGACAACATTTCAGCTGCAATCGGCTTTTCTGGTCCCAATATGGCCGCTATTCTCCTCAGCTGTCTAGGCCTAACGACTTCCAAGCTCAGAGCCAAGCAGAGAGCGAAGAAGGAACGCGAGCAAGAGTACGAAGAGAATTTCGATATTTTGAAGGAGCAAAACGCAAACCGCGTCCGACAACTCTCCAATCAAGGATCATACCAAGGATCAATGGACGGCAGGACCCTCTATGGTGACGGCGTTACTGATCACGCACCGGAGATGCAACAGCACCACTCAAGAAATGGTTCGACTGCACAACCCACTGCAGCCGCGCCCGCACCGCCAAAATACGATGACATCGTCGAAGAAACGGCGTCGAGACATTCAGGATGAGCAAGCCTGACTCTTCGTCGGACACGAATCTCTTTTTCATCATTACGAATCAAACACGACGAACAACGAACACGAATTCATCAACAAGTATCTGCAAGCTTCTTCCACTCTAAGAACATAGCAACGCCGCTTCCGGAAATGCGGAACTTTGACGCAGCATTTACACAACAATTACACGTCCTTCTTCGGAAGTGCCACCGAACCCCGACACATTGTTGTCACGATTGGCAACGTACCTCGTCATAGGTCGGTTCGTCTTTTCCGGTCATCTGCATGCTACACTGCGCAGTGGTAGACCTTCTCGAGCGAGACTCTGGCAGCCCATCAGACCTGTTCGGTAGCCAGTATCAGGCATGGGCAATGTGGATCAAGGGAGTCATGTGGTGTCAGCATATAGCATTTTGTAAGCTAGGAGTTATTCTGTGGGTTCTTTTCATCTCATTCTTGTCAACAAATCTCAAAGTAACATATTTCTTTCTCCGCAAATCGCATCTTTTACACGCATGTCATGCTTTGAGCTATGTATTATACCCTATGGCACGGCACGGTGCAATACAGCTGATGTTACTGACAAAGTCTCTGTGTGGTATGGCCGTCTGCTGGAGACCAGCAATCGTTGGACAAACTTGTGAGGCCAATATACTGGCCCAGAGTCCGGTAACTTCAACGTCAACAAGCTCTTCTCGTTTTCAGGCATTGCCAACCACGACAAGCAAGATATCAATACATCAAAGAACAGGTCTTGATGGTTGGTCTGACTTATTCTATATGAGAGCAGGTTACAGCTCTTAAGTGCTTGGATTCCTTCAGCACTCGTCTTCTCTGCAATCCGACAAGTCCAACTGTCCACCACCATGGCTGAACTTAGAGCACCACACCTACCCAATGAGGTCTACCTTCATATCGCCAATCATCTTGCAGCATGCTCCGAGGATCATGAACTTTTCGGTCTACGCCTCATCAGCCAGATCTTCACTCAAGGTGTTGACGACCACTTTCTCCGTGTTTACTACGCCAATCGCATGTGTCCGGCCACACTTGAAGGTCTTCGCATACTTCGCTACATGTTCCAGGACCTTACCCTGGCTTCTTCCACCCAGAAGCTGACAATGGATGAATACATTGGAATTGGTTGCGTCGATATGGTTGCTTACGTGAAATCGATTCGGGACATACTGCAAGCCAAAGTTGGTGTTGAGAACAAGACGACTCTGACTGTCCGTTCGGACGGTGTTTCTAATTACCTAAGGATGAGAATGTTGGTTCGCATAATTCATGCGATGTGTGATTTAGTTATGAACAGCTTAAACAGTGCAATTGACAGGTTAGAGTTCGATATGGATGCTCCCTGTTCGATGTTGGAGTTCGACATGTATGAATCGGAAAGAGGCAGTGCACTATATGACCCGTATATTGTCAGCCTATCTGCCTAGCTCTTCAACGAACTTCTGCATTCTAAAGGACCCGGTCGACTCGATATTCTACTCCGTTTGCATGGCAACGTCGACGAGACCGTCATGACCATGACAGTCAAATACACCAGAGCAGACCGCCGGTTCGAGTGCCTTGCACCACTCGCCATGGACCACTACACGGGTCTACTGGCACTTGTATGAGTTCATTTTTATCACTGCCATATTGCTGAACTGGACATACGCAATTGCTGCGTGGACTTCTCGTGGCTCAAATCGTTTGTTCGCTACAGCAGTACGACGTTGAGAAGCGTGGTATTGGAGAACATCAGAATGATCGAGGTTAACGGCAGGTTCTCTGAACTCCAGGCGGCTCTTCTTGATCTCTCGGGCCTTCAACACGTCCGATTCAACATGCTGCATGATGACCAGTCTTCCAGGATTATCTTTATGGAAGTGTTCGAGATGCACGAAGGTGGCGGTTCAGAAAGGATGCGCGACTTCATTGAGGCTGCCGATTTCAGTCTGGCTGCTACTCCTGACTCTACTGGTACGTGAGAGATACAAGCTCAGGCCTTGTGATGATGCCTCTGCCAATATTGAACTAAGTTAATGCTTTGCTGTTGCACCCGTCCCCTTTCTCTAAAGTCGGACTAGAACTTAGAAGGAATTGAAGGATCTTCTTTGGATCATTACTCATAGTTGATTGACTATGAGTTTACCAGATCTGTATTGACGCTGGTTGGGAGTTGTTTGTACTTGGGATGGGGTTTGCGGGTTTATCATCATTGTTCAGAAGGCAGGTACATGCACTAGTCAGGCACGACCGCAAAGTTTCTCTCACCCTTTCCTTCAGAACACTTTTCCACTAGCTCAGCCGCATGCACAAACATGAAAAGCCAAGAATCTTACCTTGAGGCACAACAATGAGCTCTAGCTTCCAATCCATAACAGAAGACTGTCATTTTCCATCTCCAAACACTACCTTATGATTCAACTAACGTGCTCCAGAAGCTCAGAGACTGTTCCGCCATATTTGCTGCATGGTTGTTCCTCAGATATAAGGTCACCAACCTTCCTCTGGATCAAGAATTGCCGCATAGAGTCTTAATGGTTGCGCCATGCAATTGCAGGCAACACGTTAAGACTTCGAGCCCTGATTCTACACGACGTGCAACTTTATCGTATGCGTACCCTGTACAATTCACCACCGGATGTCATGATGAATCAGATCAAGGCACTCCAGGAGTCCAGCTGGGAGAATAATCCAGAGGACTGAAAGCGTTTAAAGCACCTGTGATCTCCAGTCTGTCATTCTTTCGCAACATACATGTTTACTAGGATAAACTCCTCAACAAGCTGTGTTTAGACAAGAATCTGGTTCTAGCAGTTAACTGTGTGGCAGTTCCAGCTTCAAGTCAAGAGAGGATACGGAGGAAAGACAAGACAAATCATTTGGATTCGTTCTTCAAAGACAAGGATTGGTAGGTAGACCTACGATAGTCGTGCCCAGTTATCTCCGATACGCTTTTTGTGACAAAGATTGTCGTGTCTAAGCCACTCTGTTATCGCTAAAGTCTTGTAAGAAGATATGAAAGCGTTCGAATGACCGGATTCAGGGAAGGACTATGTGCGCTGTGATCGAGAACCCAGACGACGTCCCAGACAATTTCCCAGTGATCTCGGCATTCTCAAAACTCAGAAGCAACCAACAGATACCAACACGAGACACACACATAGACGTGAACGACACGAGACAGAATGATATAGAAAGAACAATTGCAAGATTCGTAATGCCTCGTGGCCCCGTCTAATGTGTAATAGCTGGGTCTAATTAAAACAGAAAAAAGGGGAAAAAGGAGATAAAAGAGGTAAGTCATGACCCAATCCAATGCCAGTCGGAAAATAAAAACGCCTCATTCATGTAATGCAAAACACGAAACGGAAATCGATGCTTCGAAAAAGTGGAAAAAGGTATCCGCTAACGCAAAGCGTTTATCATGTACAGAAGAAGAGAAGTGAAAAAGAGAAAAAAGACATTAAGGTGGTGCTATCCGGTTTGATGGTGAATAGTCGTTGTAGGAGGTGGGAATATCCTAGGATGTGAAGATACACACAAGGGCCACAAGGAGAGCCAGGAGGGTCTTGTCGGTGGTCAGCATTTGGCTCGACGATTGCGCGGTCCCACTTGCGCTGGCACTGGCACTAGCGACGCTACTGCTGCCCGATGCTGCGGCAGCTTGAACGCCTCCAGTGGTGGAGGATGCGGTGGCGGATGTACTCACTGTGGATGCTGCGCCGCTAGTGCTGGCGCTGGATGTTTTGCTCGAGCTTGAACCGGAGCCGGAGCTGCCAGAACCGGAAGATGTAGAGTTCGAGACAGTGACGGGAAGAGAACCCAGACGAGCACCGAGGTGTGCGATGACTGCCTCAGAGTCGCGAACGGTGATTGTTGCAGCACCATTGTTATCGAGGGCGACAGTCTGACCGCTTTGGTCCTGGGCGGTGCTGACAGAGCCAATGCTGTCACCTTCGAAGCTGAGACCGTTCCAGGTCACGTTGCTGACAGCATCAGCACCTCCAGCACTGAGGTATGAGAGGAATAGGGTCTGGCCGCTGTAGTCGGGGAGCGAGATCTGGAAGTCGATGCTGCCCTTGTCGGTAGCAGAGGTGTTGACCTGCTGAGCGTTGATGATGACCAATGAGGATAAATCGTCATTGGCATATCCAGCGTAGGCACGGACATAGGAATTCTCGGTGGCCAGGGGAGCAAGTCTGGTAGTACCGTTGCCCGAACCAATGAGCTGAGCCATGGCTGCCATGGCATAGTAGCTGGGACGGACATTGGCGGCCTCTCCATTGATGAAGATGGGCTGCCAAGGCGAGGAGTACGAGTTGTCGGTCATGTGCATCTCAACGGACGAGATGTTGAGAGTTGCACCGTAGCAGTAGAAGTTGAGGAACCACAGAGCAGCTCCGAAAGTGTTGCTGACATCCTTCAGTCCAATGGGACCGACGTTGGCCATCTCACGGAGGTTGTAAGGAATGCCGGTCGAGTGAGCGTATTCGATCTCTGTAGTCCAGTACTGGAACTGACTTTCGGTTCTGTCAAAGTCCATCATGATGTTGAGAGTGATGTCGTAAGTCGAGACTCCGACAAAGTAGAAGTAATCGTGCTGGTTCCATGAAGAGAGATAGGTAGTGCCGTTGTGGTCTTCGGAGATACCGGCGTCGACCATGTCCTTCAGGGTGAAAGTGGTCGAGATGGTCGAGGCCGTCTGGGCAGCCTCGAAGAAGTTGCAGTCCATTCCTCGCGGCTTCAGGACGTTGTTGCATACCGACTCAGCTCTTGCCAACCACTGCTGCGTGTAGATTTGACCGTTCCAAGTGCCGTTTCTCTGCAATTGCCAGCCTTGCAAATACAAATCGGGCTCGTTGCCAATCTCAAACGAGTAGAGCGAAGTGTTGTTGAGACCGTCGACAACGGCAGCAGCAGCTTCGTCAATGCGGTCGAGGTAATCGCCTTCATCGTAGGCCATGTTCAGCTGGAAAGTGATGGGCATGCCCTTGGGGAAACGCTCGAGAGCCTCTAGGTAGCCAGGTCCGAAAACCGAACCGTCTGCAGGAGTGGGCCCAGTCTCCTCTTGATTGGGGTTCTTGCCAAGGTTGAATGCATCGTAGGATGCATCCCATACCATGTGGTCGCCAGTGTTGCCGCCAAGTCTGAGATGCGGAGGTGCGCCGGAATAGTTTGTGAGATGTTGGAGGAGATTGATGGAAAGTTGATTAGGAGTGTCTTTGCCAGTGAATGAAAACAAGTTGGAAGGCTCGATACCGAGGCCAGCATAGGAAGGACTGAGAACTTGTGAAATGCCAGAAGCTGCAGGCGCGTTGGCGGCCGGTGTTAGGGAGATGGCGGCATGTGCGATAGTGAAGCACGAGGCCGATAGTAGTAGCGAATTGATAGCCATGATGTATGCGAATGTAGAATACCCAACAAACAAACGAAGGCGGCAAGGAAAGCAGAAAGCGACAGGAAGCAAGACTGCTCTATTCGATATCGAAAAGTCCAGAGAAGCATGCGGCGGCCGCCCTCTACAAAAGGCTTCCAAGTCCGGCTCTCCAATCTTGATCGTGATAGTGCACGTCCATTTTATGACGTATCTGGGGCTCAAACGCGTCTCTACCAGCCGTCTCCCACACTTTGGAGGCTGCAAAACGGTCAGTCGAGTGGAGTCAAGACCATCAATATTTCTTGTTAGCTAGGCGCCGCGCAACCAGGAAATCTCTAAGCGTCATATGGCCCTGATATCCCTTGTTTGCCCGCGCACAGCGATCCCGCCGGGATCATCGATCCGCAAAACTGAAACTTGGTTCACACGCGTACGCACATGCGCTCAACTGATTGACGCCGGGCCTCCGCATGTGTCAAACCAAGATGCGAATCCTGCAAAAGTCGCTTGGAAGTTGGCACAATTTGGGTCGAAGCAAGATGCCATGCTGTGCTACCTTGGTTCTCTCGATCTATATGCATGCGGTCCACGCCTATTTCTTGTCCCGCAGGTCATTTTAATTTAATATAATGTGAAGGCGACCCCACAGACCCTCTGCTGAACTGTTAGAGAAAATTCTTATACACAAGTCAGAAGAATCTGGCACGTACCTCTCGTCGCTCTTGGAAGTCGCTGTACAGCCAATTCCAAGCGTCTCGGTTGCGACAGTCCTTGTGTGCTGAACCCGGCATAGTGTCACAGGCTGGCATCGTCTTGAGGAGAATTTCTTCCGATGCAGGGAACCACGGCTTTGGACGGGGCCAATCTGAGAAGTGGACGAGTTTCGTCTCGTTCAACACTCTTTGAGGATCCCAGGTTTCGCCCTCATCCAGGTATCCGTGATGTGACTTTCGGCGAAATTCGCCAGACACCACCCAATGTTCGTTTGGCAGGATCATTGCATCGCCGGCGTAAAGGTCATTGATTACTTCCATGTCGTAAAATTCGTCTGAAGACGAGCGGCTGTACATGCTCTTCATTACACGTTTGAACTCGTCCATGGATGGCTTGATCAGCAAGACTGCCGACGAAATTGTGTCGGGATCAGGTAACCAGTATGCATGAGGCGCCGCCACCGGATGATCAGGCAAGAAGAAAAGCTCATCGAGAGGCTGTGATAGGTAGGACAATCAGACAGACCCTGGCGTGAAAATGGTGGGAACACAACTTACCTTTAAGATCGTGGCGTCCGAATCCAAACTCAATACTCGATCGTACTGTGTCTGTTTGAATGCCAGCAACTTGGTGAAGCTATCTGCCCATGTAGTACTGTCTCCGATCCCGGTATGCTGAGGCCTGACTGGTATAATATGAACCTTGTAATCATCCTGCGCCTGGCGCAGGAACATGCTTTCCCATGTCTTTGGCTTGGGATATAGTTCCCAATCCTGTGGATAGAGCAAGACGCGATCTGCCTTGCTTCCAAGTCGATGCAAAGACTCAAACATCATCAGGCTATTGCAGAGATACTCCTTGTCGGTGACATATTGAACATATGCATAGCGTGTCCAGTCAATGCCATCATCAGATTCCTCAGAAACCGGAGTAACATGTAAAGGCTCGAAAGTATGGCGGACAGGTTTTGGCGGCGGAGGTCTCAATAGTCGAATCAGGAGATATAAGCCTGCGGCGAGAGATATCCACTGCCAGAACGACCTTGAGCGGAGCGTTCTCTTCAATGCGTGCGTGTTGGCTTCGAAGCTCATCACAAATACTGAAACCAGATAATGCGGACAGCGATGGATGTTGAAATTGAAAAAGCAATCATCTTCTGGACTGTTCAAAGAAGCATCTGCAGGAGGGCTTCGGCTACTTCGGAGAGTGTCTTGGCTACCCAACTGGGTAAAGATCGGATGCTGGTGGGTGACCAGATCTTCTCCATCTTTCTGCGCTGTTGTACGGCAGACAGTCCTTAGGCTTCGATATGAACATTATAGAGACGTTCCATGCTGTTATTGTGAGATTGTGGGAGTACAGGATTTTGAGAAATATATTGTAATATGCGTAGGGCTAACTATTGTATGCGTGATGCCGTGTATTAAATGCTCCAAACCATGTTCCCCAGCAGGTAACACCTTCAGTCGTTTAAATTTTGCATTGGTCGTTAGAACTTAGGCACTGCCGTTCGTCTTCTCGTTCTGAACTCCATCGGGGATCGTGGGGTCTGCCAATGATTTTGAGGGAGCAGGGTTGAGGATGTTGGTGGCATCAATCAAGGGAGCAGATGGGTTGATCTCCAGACCGAATCCAGGCTTATCCAAGACAGAGACGTCAAGGTAGCCCTTCTCAGGGATGGGCTCGTTAATGAAGAGGTTGCCGAATACCGGAAGAACTGATTGACCATCGGGAGAGTTGGCAAGGTACTCTTGGAAAGGCGAATTTGTTTGAGAGACGACAAAGTGGTAGCTGTAAGGACCACTGGCGTGAGGAACGACTGGAATATCATATGCAGCTGCTTGAGCCGAAACCTTGAGCAACTCTGTCAAGCCACCGAGCCACATGACATCGGGCTGGAGAATGTCAACATGACGACCCTCAATAAGCTTGCGGAAACCATATCTAGTATATTCGTGCTCTCCAGTGGTGAACTTGATTGTGGGGTGAGCACGCTTCAGAAGAGCGTGACCATCAAAGTCGTCAGGAGAAAGGGTCTCTTCCCACCAGTTGATGTTGAGATGCTTGCACTTCTCGGCGAGCTCGATGGTGTAGGGCACTGTCAGACTCATCCAGCAATCGACCATCAGCGGGAAGTCGGGACCGACACTCTCACGCATCTCAGTCAAGTACTCGATGTTCTTTCTCATGCCCTCGAACCCCTCGGCAGCGCTGTATGGAAGAGCGACCTTGCCGCCAAAGAAGCCCATTCTCTTTGCTGCAGACGGTGCAGGGCCAGTGCAGTAGAAGTTGAGTCTGTCTCTTGTTGCGCCTCCAATCATCTTGTAGACGGGTTCGTTCCTGATCTTTCCTAGCAAATCCCAGACGGCCAAGTCAATGACGGAAATGACAGCAAGTGGCAGACCCTTGCGTCCGTAGAACATCGAGGCGCGGTACATCTGATCGAAGAGGAGGTTGGTGTCACGAGGGTCTGAGGATACGTGTCAGTTTACGCTTTCAACACTCAAGAAGTCGTAGCAACTTACCAGCGCCAATCAGGAATCTGTTGAAGTGCTCAGCAACGAGCCAGCATGCCGGTGGGCCACCGAAGCCGGTAGCAAACCCCTTCTTGCCGTCGGTGGACTCAATCTCGACACAGAAAGATCCAAGTACGTTGATACCAAAGTCGGTTCGTGACTTGCGGTACTTGTCGTATCCAGACATGGGAGTCGCGATCTTGGAGTCGATCAGCCAATGGCCACCCTTGACATTGTGGTAGTCGCCGCCAGAACCAACGCCTTGAATGACGAAGGTCTTGACGGCCTTGATAGTAGGGAAACTGTTGACAGAAGCCATCGTGAGTGTGTACAGCTAACAATCTCGAGAGAATGGAAACAGTGAGGGGTAGGAGGGGAGGGGAGGAAAGGTAGAGTCTAAGACTTGGCCTGAGGTCTAGGGGGAAGCATGGTTATATGGCAGCCGCGGCAGGTGATGGTGTCCTCCGCACATTCTCGTGAGCCTACCTCTGCGAGAGGTGGTACTACCGGCGGAAACATGTCGCGGCATCGGCTTTCTCAGACAATGATATCCCGTGGAGAGGAACAAGCTCGCGGGTAGTGCCAAGACGAAACGCAGAAGCGGGGCTCCTTCACCACAAACAAAAGGCTTCGGTCGCCTTCCCTCCGAGGCTTCTGCTCTTCAGACCATGGCGGCTCAAATCACCCCGAACAACGAGGCCTTGTCACCAAATTCGCCCAACCTCGCCCAACTACACGCCCGACCTGACACCGACGAACCTGCCGAGGACAGGGAAAATGGCCATGACGAAGTCTGGAGTGACGAAGAGGGCGAGGAGGAGGGCCCGAAGAGGAAAAGACCGCGACCATTGAGTGCGTCCTGCTCTATGAACCTAACACCACTCTTCTTCCTATTCCCACCAATCTTGCCCTGTTTTATCATGTGAACTTTCCCCATTCTGAATCTATTGAATGTCTGACGATTCTGAAGGTGTTTCATGCGAGCTTTGCAAAATTCGCAAAGTTCGCTGTGACCGTGGCAAGCCATCATGCGGCTGGTCGGTGACTTTTACCTGTAAAGACGTGTATGTGTGCTAAGGTGGATCAGGTGTGTCCGGAACAGCCAAGTGTGCGAGTACAAGGAGCGCAAGAAGCCTGGGCTGCGTGCTGGTCAGTACCTGAGTCTAAGAACATTATGTCGAATGTCATCTAAATTTTTAAAGGTTACGGTAGAGAGCTGGAAGCTCGACTTGGTAATTCGCGCCAAAGCAGCTGTATTTCCATAACGTTGACATCTTGCAGACAAGTTGGAGAACGTGCTACAAGCACAGCAACAGCTCCTGCAGCACTTTACTTCGGTCATCCCCGGATTGACTTCCCAGCAGATCAACCACCAATCACCCTCTGCTCTTTCTACTGCACAATCAGTCGACCAAGGATCTCGCTCGGAGGCTGCCCTCTATATGCAGCGACCCGCTTCTTACCCCTCTGTCACTTCTCCGGCTTCTGCTATCACCAACACAGGATTTGGTGTGCATTCTTTGAATATCGCTCAATCTGGACAACAAGGTGAAAAATATTCTCAGCAATTGCAAGATGCGCAGCAGCAGCAGCAACCACAACATGGTACGCCACATCCCAGGCTTGAGTCCCATTCTGAAGCACCTTATGCTCCGACCAATCCGCCTCTTGAATCTCCTAGCCTGAATATACCAGGCTCAGGTCAAAGTGGCAACCTGACAAACCCCCAGATGCAGATCCCCAATCAGATGGCCACTAGCCAAGATGCGGAACTTCCACCATACGACCTTCTATATTCGCTTGTCGATCTGTTTTTCAAGCATGTCAACACGTGGGCCCCGATCTTGCACAGGCGCAGCACTCTAGATTCTCTTTTTGGAACTTCCAGTCTTGAAGAGGCCGATAGGATCCTCTTGCATGCCATTGTTGCGACAACACTGAGATTTTCGAACGACGTTCGTTTGACAGAACAAGCTCGAGAGCGATACTACTCGAACTCAAAGCAGAAAGTATTGCTTTACGGACTCGAAAACAGCTCCGTCAAAGCGTTACAAGCTTTGGTCATCCTAGCACTGGATATTGTCGGATGCTCGAATGGCCCGCCTGGTTGGAATCTTCTTGCTCTGATCGCACGTAGTGTCGTGCAACTAGGTCTAGCAGTCGAGACTACTTCAACGTCTGTATCTCCTCTATATCCTTCGATCTACACTCTCCGCGCAATGGTTCTTCCAGAGTCAAACGATTGGATTGAAGACGAGAGTCGCCGGCGTCTTTTCTGGATGGTGTATCTCCTTGACCGCTACGCAACAATAGCCACAGCTTTCGAATTCGCGCTCGACGATAAGGAGATTGATCGCAAGCTGCCATGCAGGGATGATCTTTTCGCGAGAAATCAACCAGTCGAAACCCGATGGTTCCACACGTCGGAGAGGACTGATTACAGCATGAACAAACCAGAGAATCTTGGATCTTTCAGCTACTATATTGAAATTGTGGGTATCTTGTCAAGAATACACCGCTTTTTGAAGAAACCGGTCGACATTGGCGATCTGTCGGACGTTGAGCAGTGGCAGCGTGAATACCGCGAACTCGACAGTGCTCTCAACAGTTGGAAGTTCACACTTCCTGGTGAATACGGGAACATGGCGCGCTTATTCAACCCCAACGGCAGCAGCAAGATTGTCAATTGCGTATGGATTATGCTGCACATCACTTATCACACGTAAGTCGGCTTTTTCCGCAAATTGATCCACCACTAACATTTCGAAGTGCCGTAATCCGCTTACATTCTTCTGCTGCATATCCAACCACAAGGTCGCCGATTTTCACACCGTCATTCAGTGCTAGCCAGAGATGTCACACCGCTGTCGAAGATATTTGTTCTCTCTGCACTTACGTCAGAAACAACAATATGATCACCAACCTTGGACCACATTTTGCCTTTTCGATATGGGTCGCTGCTCGCTTGCTGCTCGTTCATGGCTCGACAATCGATCACCAGGTCAATCCAGCTATATATCCTCTTGTCGAAACATTGAGGGATATGGGTCGTTACTGGAACGTGGCGGAAAGATATGCCACCTTGCTCCAGCGTGTACTCGATGAGTATAGTGAGTCTGAACGCATCCCTGTCGGCGCAAATGGCGAAAGAGTCACACCATCGACCGTAAGAATTCTCGCGGATATGAGACGGTGCGCCTACGATCTAGACTTTTTGATTTCCAGGCAACCACGACAGCAATACGGTGGTGGAAAGCAGCATGCAATCACCCCCGCACGTACACCAGCTCCACAAGATTTGGAATATCTAGACGTCTTCGACTTCTTCAACATGCCTCGTCTTCCTGTTCCCAACGACACATCAATCACGGCGGCCGGGAGCGGCGGAGATTTCCAAACTCCGGACCTGGGAACGAATAGCGAGTTCAACATCACCAACTTCATGCTTGATCCAACTTCTGACTGGTTCGTCCGAAATCCTGGTACTTAGACGTAACGTCAGAATTACTACTCGTCGATTGCGATCCTCGTTTCTCCATCGGTGGATGAGTAAAGCCAGCAGTAGACAGTGGATTGTAGTCGGCACTAGATGACCGTAATCGGCAGGCACCGGAGCGTTGTCCTTTGTACATGTACCTCGGCGACTTGGCAGAACCCCGATAATATCGAATTTCACAAATCATGAATCCTCACAATCAGGCGGAACGAGCTCTGCACAACATGGTGGCTGTTTCTTCAACCGCGACCGTGTGTATGCAAGCAGATGCAGATGCAGAGCGTCTAGCACACATCATGTCTGACGATCGGAAGGATGCTATGAAGTCAAATTAAGCCCTTGCGGCTATACTTGATCCCTTGGTGTTTTTTACGATGTGGTCATTCAGCAGGTCTTGCCTTGAGTTGCCGTATGCATGAGCTTGCGATGGATATGTTGCCGCACAACTGCTCGCCGCAAAGTATCGCCGACTTCCTGACATGCGTGTGTGTATTGTTCTGTTGAAACAAATCGGTACTTAGTGGTTCGTTCTCTGAAACGCTTGATTGGACGAGTCGTCTCCCAAGGCTGCGCTTGTAGTTTAGTGGCCTTCTCAACACCTGAACCCTGTCCGAGTTTCCACTATTGCGATCAGGCGTTCAGGCAACCTGCGTGTGTACGATATGCCGCCCCACTAACTGTTCGATGTGCTCGCAAATCACACGTAGGCCGTAAGCCGAAATATGATTGCGAGAACACAAATCGACTTTATCACTGCTGACTGTACAAATCAAGCTGCGCCATCTATGTCATCATCATAATTTGAGGAGGCGCTTCGGCTAATAGCAATATGTGCAAGGCACTGGCCAGAACTACGGATCTCACCCACATGGCAACCTTGAAAAGCATCGAGGACCTGCAGCAGGTCTATCAGTTGCCAAGCGTATGGCTAGACCATGTGACTACATATGATCTAGGATCCGTCCATTCCGGTGATTTTCAAGCAAAGTACAGTCTCTGCGAAGACAGCTTGGAAAGCCTTTGCTCGTCGCTAAAGCAATAGGCCGGGCCAACGCAGATGCGGCCGCGCCGGCCGAAAGACCCTGTGACAGGTACCAAGAAGGAGCAACCAACGCGCAAGGGATTGACTCTACCTCTTATGTTTGCTGCCAGCATTTTCTGTTTTGGGTCAGAGGTCGAATGACCGAAAACGTCAGGGAAAAATAAAGATGAGTACAGAAATGTTTGTTATCCAATCTACTCACCGCACTGTCTTCGCTACCGTTTGTGTCGGCACATATCCCGGCCTACGCCTTTCCGCTTGTCGGTCTTCGCAAACAGATTACTAAAGTACCTCGCTGTGCTGCCTTATCGTACTAAGATGCTCGCTCAGCATCCAACATACGTATGTCAGATATCGAACTCCGTGCACGTCTATCCAACACGTTCTGGTCGCCTGTCAGGAGCAATAGCATACAGAATATATACCATCATACAGACCCCAACAACATCCTGGGGACAGCAACCAGACTCGAAGCCATTACAAGCTTCAAACCCAGGAACACGCCTCACACAATCCGTCTATTGCGCCAGCCGACCTCCTACTGCGAAATGTGTATACAGGTCGTCGAACGTGAGTGAGGAGGGCTCGATCATCGATGGTCACGGCTGTCAACGAGGTGACTAACTTGCAGTTCAGGCTATGCAGTATGTCGATGCATCTATCATCGTCACTCGCTCGACCCATGCGCGGCATATGGCTCCCGTAGTCACGGCATCACCGAACGAATCGTCTTCGTCGGATACAAATGCCCGTCGCATACCAATACATGACAAACTGCACTACAGCATAATGCCCGATGCTACAAGTCTGGTAGCAACCCACCAGGACTTGGAGGCCACTTCAAGTTCCAGTAGCAGTTGCGAACAAGCACACCGGCCCGCACAGCCTATACTTGAAGTACATGAGACCTGCATATGCATGCACTCCCTGGTTGCAATGCGGGGTTTATGAACTTTGCCTCGAACTATGCATCAATGACACACGACGACACGACCTCCTGAGATGTGCAACACATATCACCCCACCTATCTAATCGCTTGCATAACATAACCTTGAGGTGTTGAACCTCGGCAGTTTCGATACTCACCCACCATTCCGCTGGGTCAACCGCGGTTCAGTTGTCCTCTCTCCTTAGTTTCAGCATCCTCAACATCACGGCCTTCATTCTCATTAGCGAGCACGTCTAGCTCCCTTGAACCACCTCAATATCTTTCTTGGGATCCAAACAATTCGATCTCCATCCAAACTCTCGTCCCGATACCATTTGTCGGCAGCAACGCAGACATCAACTGATTTTTCCTGATTATGCATCAATTTATTCACGGGCAACAGTACAGCTTTCCATACCCTCAACTCATATAGATACGAACAAGACTCCAGCGGTCATCTATGCTCTTTGAAGCGCTCCATGTCTCTCCCCACGTCGAATCTGATGTCACTTGCGACCACTTGAGTTTGTTTCCATGTGGCCAGAGGAACACCCAGACTCCTTTGCGGACCACAAAAGGGCTGCACGATGTCTCTCTGTTTCCTCTTCTCTTCCTACACTCCATCACACACAACTCTCATCATCATGAAATCCATCTTCTTCTTCCTCCTCGGCCTCGCCGCCATGAGCTCCGCCGCCGCTCTCCACCCCACTGACTCACAACTCGTCGACATCCCCGAACCAGCCCTTTCGTAAGTCGCTACTCCACACTTGATTGTACTCGAATCTGACGTTTCCTTTAGCGCTGCACACTCCCAGCCTTCATTGCAGCCCAGACAAGACTACGACGACTGGCATGAAGACCCAAGCATTCACCACAGGTTCACCAAGCAGGATGCTAAGAACTGCCACGAGCCTTGTCAGGTGAGCTATCATCACCAACTGAGAATATGGGAATGTATCTGCCTTTGAGTGGGGAGATCTTAGAGGGGGGTGATTGGGTGTTTGGAATGGAGTAGGGTCAGAGGGGTCCAGATGGCTGCATTGGTGGGAAGTTGATGGTTCTGGCAGTTTTTTCTGTAGACTTTGGAGGAAGGAGCGATCTTGTCGCCAGGATCTACGTACTCCCTTTGTCTTCGATGTCTGTTGTAGGCTGTCAGTTGCACTACCAGTACTATACATTTCTCTATGAGATATGTTCGAATAGAATTTCAGATCTCCCACTCATCTTCCGCTCGTCCTCCGCTCTTGTATCCTCTACTCCTCATACCCATCGAAATGCAAGACCCCTTTTAGCTCTCCAGCGTTATCTAAAGAAGGTACTAGTCTAAAACACTCCGACCACCCATCCCCCACAACCCCCAAATCAATCACCACGCTATTTCCCTTCTTCAGCACCCCCACTGCAAAGTAGAGTATACCAACGAAAAAAAAAAAAAAGACTCGTGTAAGTAATGCTTTGTACTTCATGCTTGTGCAACACGATCGCGAATGGTCCTGGGCTGCCTTGACCCCAGTACTGTAACGGCGATGTGAGCGACGAGTCAGGCTGTTCTTTTGTATGTGTTTTTTTTCAAACACCTTGATGAGGATTATTTTGTACTGTCCCTCTGCAGGATACTGTACATGTTTCAGAAAGGAAAAGAAATATAAAAAAAAAAACAGGATCGATGGGAAACGAGAGAGAGAGAGAGAGGAAAACAAAAAGTGAATTCAGTGGAAGAAATTGAAGATGAGACAAAAACGGTTATCAAAAGAAAAGAAAGCAGACAAAAGAGAAAGCGACAGAGAAAGGCCTTTAGTAGGTAATTTGTAGTTCCGTCGTTGCAGGGAGCGCCGAATCGCTGGAAATCATCTAATCTGCCGTACTACCACCTCGGTTAAGAGAATGTGCTTCGGGGTAATCGGGACAATCGAGCTCTCAAGCATAGTATCGAAAACGTCCACATAGCTTGTGTTTGCAAGACAATGTGAAGGCCTCTAGCTAAGGTCTTGAGTGTGCCGAAGCACATAAGACGGTAATGTTAAAGATGCAAAATCTTGACTGGCCGGTGGAAACTGGTATGGGAGAGTAAGAGGGAGCAGACAGGTGTGCTAAGGCATCTTTTTGGAAATGGGGATATGACGTACGAAACAGTCTGACCCGAAGGCATCTTTCTGAGTAGGAGTTGAGAGGACATTCTGTGCCAAAGCATCTTTCAACAACAGACGACATACGAAAAAGCTGGCCCGAAGACATCTTCGAACAACAAACGACATACGAGATGATTGACCCGAAGGCATCTTTCCGAAACAGCAGATGACATACGAGAAATTGTGCTTAAGCATCTTTCCGCATGAAACAGACGACATACGAAATGACGCGACAAAAGAGATGACTCACCTTTCCGGAAAAAAGCAATTGAGACCTGAGAGTATGTCAGCTACATTAAGATAAGATGAATAAATAATGCACCTGATAATGAGTCCTGAATGAGATCGCCGATAATGGAGAAGTACCGTTGCTACCTAATCCTAAAAAGCACATCAGCCATGATCGAAACCAAAAACGGACAAAGCTGAGGTTGGTGAACAAGACACTTCACAGGAGTGAGATGAAGGAGAAGAGGAGCATAGAGGGGGAACAGGACCTCTTAAAGCGCTGGCTGCTTACTAAGCAGATCAGTGCTTAAAGATCATGTGTTAGGATTATCTCGCTGCTAAGATACTCTGTGTGACTGCATGCCCAAATCTTGCGTTAGTTTTCGACGAATGGTATAAGATCCCTGACGACAAAGCGTCTGAATACGGCGAGACCCGGGACGTAAGAAGAAGTCTACGTCTCCTTAACTCCTGTTTCAAAAGCTCGAAGGGAATGTGTTTGGTCTTTTTAAGACTCTGCTTCGACATGCTGAGTTAGGGATCAAGATGTTAATTGTTCTTGATAGATGCGCAGAAGAAGCTGTACCGAACTGATGCGAAGCAACACTACAAAATGTAGATGCGGTAAGGCAAGGACATTAGCAGCGGCAAAATAGGAGCAGTCAGAGAAGACAAGAGATGCAAATATGTACGTGCTATAGAAATAAGTAATGCAAAGTTTCTCCAAAGCCAAGCTCTTGATGTATATAATCTCTTTTGTGCTCTGATGGCAAAATTCTTGTGGAAGCTGAGTGTGTCTTGCTGGTTGTTTCTATACTGGTGGTGTATGTGAGGATGCTGGTTCTTATGCTGTCGTTGATCATAATTGTGGGCGTGTCTTTGTTTTGGGGGAGAGGAAGGTATAGCTGACGATCGGATGCGATGTTGTGTGTAGCGACGTACACAGTACGATTAGTTTTATGTTCGCAGGCTATTGAAGCTGATAAGTGCCGATAAATGTCGGCAGTCTTCTTCGCCGAGGCGTTGGTATAGAACACCGGGGTGCAAGACTCAAACTTGCGTTGCGGTATGTCCGCTAGGTGAATTGGGCGCTAAGGCGGTAGTGGTGCTCGATACAGACGATTGGTCGGAGCGTTCAAAAGTCGTGTCTCGAGGCTGTTGTTTTGGAGGCTTTCGTCCCGAAAGTCCGAATGATCGAAGCCGAAAAACGTCGCACACCGAGAGAACTTGAAGGATGTGTGTATTTCTGTTGCTCGCCCGTGATAGACTTCGTGCTAGTGCAGCTTGTCTCGGTCGAGGAAGAGAGGATGACTTGTACTTGGCGAGCATGTCGTGGACTTGTGATGCGTACCTCCTTCACATTATGGTCTGAACCTTGGACCACATGCCGTTCCACTGGGTTCTACCAACGGTCAGGTCCTCAACGTAGTCTCCAAAGAGCAGTGGCGTGCCCAGTGTGTTGGAAATGATGCGATCACACCAGGTAAGATATCGGGAGAGGATCAGTCCATCTTTGCCGTTCGAAGCGATGACTTTGAGACCTCCTCTTGCAGCCACCATCCTCTTGAGTGCAGGCGCGTGTACATTGACAGCAATGTCTCGTTCGCTTCTTAGAGCCTCATTGAAGTAAACGTATATCACCGTCATGATGACAGAGTCCGTGTAGGCGCGAGTCGGGTCAGTGATGGCTTTTCTGAGAGCCTCAACAGCTTTATGTCGTAGCCATTGGGACATGAATGGCTGCTGACGCATGGATATCGCATTGGAAGGCGGTGCCATAACACTGGTGTTGGACAGGACGGCGTAAAACATGGCAGGTTCTCGTTGGGCGATCGAGACTTGGAGAGGAAAGTCGACAAACTCAGTATTGCCTTGCTGACCCCAATCGACGGCGATCATGCCCATCCAGACCTCTCCGATGCGAGTGCGGTCTGAAGACGTTAAGAATCAGTATAGAGCAAGACAGAGCGACGAACATGTGCAATGAGTTGCAAATGTTGGCACATGTGCATTTCGAGTCTAAGCAGACCAGAGGAAGAAGATCTCACTTACAGAACTGTACTAATGGTCCGAACGACTCCTCCCAGCGGACTGGAAATTGTTGAAAGGGATCGTGAGTTGAGCCTAGTTGGTGAGGCTTGAACATGCGTGCAGACTGAGATTCTGACAACATCAGGCTTGTGGCAGCAGCCAACGCGTGAGAATTCATGTCTTCTTCCTCATCATATTCGACGACTCGAGGATTTTGAAGGTCAGGGTCATCCATTAAAGCGTCTGGAGAATAACTGGTTGATGGCGTCGAACGTGATGAGTTGGTTGAGTGAGAAGAGAAAGAAGTCGACTGAGGTAGAGACGGCACAGCTCTGGTTATGTTACCGTCGGTCGGCCATGATGGCACAGCAGGTATATTCCTACGCCGCGGTGGTGCAAGCAGAGCCGCCGGAGCATTTTCCGTGGTGGCACGAGGCAGGGGAGTTTGTGCGGCCGCGGCGATACTTTTCGACTTCTTCCTCGACTTCCATCCCTCCTTGGCTGCGTGAGATCTGATGGCACGAGTGGATGGTGACTGCTGTGGTTCGCCAAAAGTGATGAAGTTGAGGTTTCCCTGCCGCGGTTGTGTCGGTGCCTGGCCTTCTTGCGACGGCGGCTGGGATTGCGGCATGATTCCCCAACAAGGACGGGTGCCTGCGTTATACAAAGAAGGAAAGAAATTCAATCAGAACAGCGATACTCCCACGCGACATGGCTTTTCTCCCCTCCTGAGCCACTGATGTAAAGTCGAATCCTCACGTCCGGGAACCTCGCGGGCAGAAACTCATCATTAGACGATGGCTTTTTACTAGATCGCGATCACCCTCGGGAACGACATGTGCAAAACAGGGTCTTGATGGTCCGGGCCAGCCGCACGCTTGCGTAGTGTAGGTTCAGCCAAGGCGGTGAAAGACCCGCCAGTTGATAGGAACGCCATTGGAACGCGAAATCAACAAGTTCCGTCAAGCCACCCTGGACAATCAAGGCACAACATCTATCTCCCTGTACTTGAAACAAACAATTTTCGGGTGGACCAATCACTAAAGGTTAGCCAAAGGCTTCTTGCGTAACAGACGACCCTTTGATGATCTCTTTGGCAGAACGACAGCTCGAGACGACCCGTCTGTTGTAGCGAACGTGCGACCCGGAGACATGATTTAACTTTAAAATTATAGGGATGCGATTATGCATATATCTTTTCCTAAGCAATTTGAGGTCAGATTGACGAGGAGTAGGTCATTGGAGGAGAAATACGAGACTGGTGAATCAAGCGTCAAGGGCTCAAGTCTTGGACTCTTGGTCGAACTAAATGCTTTTGGGTCTGCCGACTGTGACTGCTCGCTATCTTGGAGCTCTAATTAATTGTTTCTGTGAAGGATTGTCTATTATGACTTTCGTCGCCTATATGATCGCTGTCGGTAAATCGCCATGCTGGTGATGGAGAAGGCGGATGGATTTCTAGTAGCCTGAGGCTTGACGATCGTCTGCCAAGATCAGCATCGTTCTTGCTAGACGAATGGTATTGAAGACTTACAGTTGGCACCCATGGCCTTTCTCAGCTTCATGATAACTTCTGAGTCCTTGAGATCGGTCTTGCTGTCGGTCTGAATCTCGATGGCGTAGCTTCTCAAGACCTGCTTGACTTGACCGATTTGAGTGGTCATCTTGGCTCTGCGCATGACTCTAGTGTTGGGTCCTAGTAGTATTCATGTCAGCCATCGGACCTCTCTTCAGTCGAAGCAAAAGCTGCAAATGCTTCCATCCAACTTGGCCTGAGAGCCACACGACAAGCATATGGAAAATCCATGACAGATCACGAGATATGCTCAGATATCACCCATCATCTCTTCCTCATCCCTGTCGTCTCCATCATTTTCCAACAACCTCAAAAACAACACAGAAACCCCAGAAAACGGATAGTCAATCACTCACCACACCAAGAAACAAACACAAACTTGACCCTCTGCGACAACTCATCATTCCCCACCGTCATCCTCACAAATGCATACGCAGCCTCATCATCCCCCAAATGCTCCACCATCTCCGAAATCTCTCCTTCACCGGTACTGTCCAATTTCAACGCATCAGAAGTGCCAGAAATGTATTTGAGGACCATCCATGTCGTTGCGGATTTGTCGGAACGGACGTCTTCGTAGGCGGTGGCGATTTCGGGATCGCTGAGGAGGTTGTCGGCGGTTTGAGGCATTGTGAGAGGTTCAATTGATATAGGTGGGAGATAAGGATATTGTGGATGGGGTGGGAGTTGGCGATTGGATGTGCGTGAGGGAGAGGATGGGAATTGTGTATATCCAGGGGTAAACGGCTGGGTAAACTGCGGTTGCTCTTTTGTAAGTCTGGAACGGGCTTCGTTCTTGGTATGAGAGTTCTTGAGAAGAGGTGGAATAGATGAGCTATTTGCTCCTTTTTGGTAATCTGCTTGACACAGAGATACGACTGACGCACCACGAGCCTAGCCATGGGGTCTGAATGTTCTCTTCGAGATTCTGGAGAAGGTACGTCTTTTTCTCTGTGATGGGTCGCCCATTCCCGTGAAGCCTTGTGACAGTTTACTGTCTCAAACACAATTTGTCGACAGCATAACGTACAGACGTCTGGGACTCGCGAAACTCGGCCGTGACATGAAAGCCGCTCTTAAAATATCATTCCACACAAGCGTCATCGACCATCTCGATATGTTTTCGGATTATGTCAGCTCGAACACAGTGACAGGGTACAACCCTCAGCAACGAACATGGCACGTGCATCAAAGTCTGCCAAAGTCATGACGACTCGAATAACCTACACCATCGAGACTCTTATCGTTCTACAGTCCAGCAGTGTCAAGGGGGTAAAGGAAATCTCTCTGGCCTAACACAGCTCGAACCTCACTCTCACACTCACGTATTCCACCAACCACGAATATCACTCGAGACACCTCAAAAGCACAGATCATCACTTGATCCCACTCCTCAGAGACCTCATATACGTGTCAGGTTCGCAAAATTCCATCCAACAGCCACAGAGAGCCCAGCTTTCACATCTTCCGTGGCGCAATTGGCTAGCGCGTTCGACTGTTAAGATTTCGTAAGATATCTGGCTATCGAGAGGTTGACAGTTCAAGCCTGTCCGGGAGAGCTCTTCTTTTTGCTCTTTTTGAACATGTGTGGTGGGATTACGAGTAGGCGCTGCATGTTTTGCGATGTAGAAGCAAAACAGTCGAACGCACTAGCCAATTGCGCCACGGAAGATGTGAAAGCTGGGCTTTTGAGGGTCAGGATAGGTCGCTAATGCGACCTATTGGTTGCAGGAAGGGAGGTGTTTGCACTTTTCTTTTGGAGGAGTCGTGTGATGTTGTGGCACAAGTCAGCTCTCCCCTTTGCTCACAACCTCACTAGGTCTTTCAATATTCTTATCAACATGCAAGGTCATTTTTAACAGCTGTAGATGTCCACTGAAAGTGCTGTCCTCGTACTGCTCTCTTTGGACACTCACAGGGATGTCAAAAACATCATGCCTTTCTACACAGGGTCAGCAGGACGCTTTGACACGCCGAGAACACCTTTGAGCAAGCACATTGACAGTGATCAAAGTAAAAGAAGTATGGATACAGTTAATGCAGATTGTATCACGAAGTTATAAAACCGCGCTCGCTGAAAAGTTCGAGCGCAAAAAAAAGGACCAGAAAATGCCCCTTTTTCCATAATTCAGCGCCATGCCCGCTTCAGAGATTTGCCCTGAATTCAGAAAAGAAGAAGTAAAAAAGCAAGAAGTGTCATCCTCCCCTAAAAGCTAGCTCCCACGTAAGATCTTTCACACGAGAATGTCGTGTGTGTGGATCAAACGAATCAGATGAAATCAAGCAAAGATCATCTAAACTCATCCATAAACTCCTGGTGGAACTTTGTGATTCTGCCAACCCACTCGGTACCAGGAGCAAGGAAAGTGGTTCTGAAATGAAGTGTTCCCTCCTTTTGACCGAATCCACTACCAGCGACGACGCAGACACCAGTGGCGTCAAGAAGTCTCAAGCAGTAGTATTCATCAGGCTTTCTGCCCTCTTGCTTGGCCTTTTCGATGGCCTTTTGAGGGAGGGTGATTGTGGGGAAGAGGTACATGGATCCGGCGGGTGATTGACAGTGCACGCCTTCCATTTCGCGGAAGGCTTCGTAGAGGGCGGTGGCACGCTTTTGGAGGCCGGCGAAGATGCCGCGTTCTTCGGTGTGGTAGGTTTCGTAGGATGGGTCGCCTTCGACGGGGGGTTCGACCATGAGGGAGACGAGGCATTGACCGATGACTGGAGGGCAGAGCTGGATGCTGACGTACTTATAGATCTGCTCGGTGACCTGTGTTGAAATGTTAGTTGTTGCATTCGATCAGCGAGTAAATGATCAGCAACTCACCTTCTCGTCAAAGCCGACAAGCTCAAAGTAACCACCACGGTGACCGCACTCTCCAATCATACCCTTGCTGATACTGTGCAAGCTGACAAGCTCAAGTGTGTTGAACTTGCCATCCTTGTTCTCCTCGCTTTGCTGTAGCTCTCTAAGACACTGCTTGAAGCTGGTGAACTTGCCCTCGAATACGTTGGTTTGGTAGACTTCATCGGCCATAACAACCAGCTTCTCCTCGGCAGCAAACTTCAAGACAGACTTGATGTCCTCGATGGAGAGGGAAGCACCGGTAGGGTTACCGGGGTTGATGATGACAATGCTGCGGACGTTTGTGCCCTCAGCCTTTGCCTTCGCGAATGATGTGCGGATGGCTTCGAGGTTGGTACCCCATGCCTTCTCTTCCTCCAGTTCGTAGGGTACGCACCTTGCGTTGAGCAGGGCGAGGGTTGCGGTGTAGAGAGGGTATTGAGGGATAGGAACGAGAACACCAGAGTTCTCGTCTGCGCACATGACATTCAGCAGGGTGCTAACACCGCCAGAAGCACCAGCAGACAAGAAGATGTTCTCAGGGTCGGCAGGATAACCATCTCTCTTCTCAATGAAGTTGGCGACACTGCGACGAATGCCAGCGGCACCCTTGGAGGCCGAGTATGCTCCCACGCTCTTGACATCATCCAACAACTTCTTTGCGCGCTCGAGGGCGTCAGGCTTGTAACCAAGGGTCTTGGTGAGGACGTCGGGGTGTTCGAGAAGGAGAGGGTTCTCCATCAGTGACAGGACTTGGCGGAAGAAGGTAATCGGCTTCTGGTCGAGTTGTTGGGGGTTGCCGATGTTGGCCGAGATGATGGTGTCGAAGGGTAGTGAATGATCGCCCTTGCTGAGTTGTTCGCGGTACTTCTCACTCTTGATTGCCAGTTCTCCACGGACGGCGTATTCAGCCTCGACGACATTCTGATTGATGTTCTCGAGAGTCAATCTACGCTGACGAGGGGTGGTCGAGAATGCGCGAATTGTCTGGGTTTGGAGCCATGCCGGCAGAGGGAGCGAGTTTATCAGACCTGTTGAACCCATGACTGTGGTTCTTGATCCTGTAGAGATTGCCGAGCGTGGGGTTATGTATGGGGAAGAGGAGGATTGAGATAGGGCAGCATATGTAGACACGCGATGCGGCACAGAGTGAACCCCTCCAAACCTTGTCGCTCTACCCACGGCAATCTTATATGACGACATCGTCACACGATACAAGTGAATGAATGAATGATTGGGGGAGTCGGCAAGTGAGGGAATCTGGTGACTCTAAGCTGGCCTCACTCGAGTGAAGGAGGGGGCCAAGGCAATCAGCCTAAAAAACAACAAAAGATAAGAAAATCGACATCTTCACATGAGTCAACGACTCTCCGCGACTCCTCCGAGGGCGGATCTCCTTCGGTAAACAACGCCTTAGGGCGGCCCGGCAACCTGCCGATATCTCTGCCGTGCGGGGTATCTTTCCCGGCCCCTATCTTATCGCCACATCCCGATGCTGGAGTCTGTCGACTAAATCAAGATACACTCCAAAGAGATTGCTGGTGGAAACCGCTCGGAAACTGCGTTGTAACAAGAACTTGATAACCCTCAAGTGTGCTGTCATCAACACCTCACAACGCATGATATACTGGAAACTCAGACCAATTCTGACCAAGTGAAGATCACACATGACTCCTGTCCCACGTCGCATGTACGAACAGAGTCGAAACGTAGTTGAGCCCGTCTTTGGTGACATTTGTCATGCTATGTAGGTTGCTGTCGAACCAACCGCCTTCAAGCAAAGAGCCGAGACCACCACTCTGGAGCGATTGGATGGGCATAATTCCACGAAAGCCCTCCAACTACTAGCACAGCAACAGCTTCCGATTGTTCCCCCTTGTACTCCAATTTCTCTTAAAAGATCCTGCGATCGTTCCTTTGCAAAGTTCTGCAACACACCATCTTTTGCGATCCATCGGCATACAAAGGGCTCTGTGAAAACCAGACTCTGACTTGTTGTCGTCTCCAGACTCGGAGTTATTGTCGTCGGCTTCAGGAGAGTTGTTGTCATCTCCAGACTTTGACTTGTCCTCAGCCATAGAAGAGTCGTCCTCGAGCTTGGGAGAATTGTTTCCAGACATCGATGAAGGGATTGGACAAGAAGAAAGGAATAATGGTGATGATGCGTTACGGAAGACGCAAACAAGAAGGTCAAGAATAACGCGTCGATGTTGATTTGCCGACAATCCAAGTGAGCGTTTTTGAGACAGTGTTGTTCGGACAAAGGACGCTCACATCTTTCACGCAACCACTATACAAAAACCTTGAGTGAATGCATAGTCCCAAACATCTGAGGTGATCTCACACACAGTTGAAGCAAGTGAACGGTGTTTACTGATTCGAGCTCTGCCTGAATGTATGTCTCGAACTCAGTAGCTTAGGAAAATGATCAAGGAGCGCACGCCCAAGTTGGTACCAATATCATTCTCATACCCCTTCACATCCCCTTCCATCTTCACCCCTTCACCCCTTCCCCCCTCCTCCCCTCCTACGCAGCAACTCCTCCCCAAATCTCCCTACTCAATGTCCCATTGCCCTCCGTCACAGCCCTAATATCCCCAAACTGTTTCACCATCAAATCACTAACCATCCTCCCAAACACCACACTGCCATGTACATTCAAATGCGTATGGTCAGTAGGGTTCAAATTATACTCCCACGCCGCATCCGGCCCGATCTCGTTGCAATAATCCGTGCTCGCGATATTGAGATCGATATGACGGGAGCGGGTGGTGTGAGCCGCTTGTATCGTGATATTACGCTGAATAGCCAGATCTTGTTTGATAGTAGGAGGAGAAGTGGCAGCGTAATTACGACGGGTCAAGGGAGTTACAAAAATCTAATCATACATTTCAAAATAAGCATGCGTCAAAAAAAACCATCAAGATCATCAGAACAGAAAAGAACAAAGGAAAGCAAGCACAGCACACTTACAGCAATCCCTCCGACCTCTTGAACTTCCCTCCCAAACCTCTCGAGATTACCCCCATATTCCGTCTCGTTAACCCCACTGGTAACCTTCTGATCATTATGTCCAAATTGAATGGTCACGTAAACAGTGTAGTTTCCAATCTTTGTTTTGGCCTCTTCAATCACTTTTGCCCAATCGCCTCCTTCGCGGAAGGATTTTGTAGTGGCGCCGTTGTGTCCGTAGTTGTGGCCCGAGGAGCCTTGCCGGAGAGTGTGGTTTAGGAAGCCATCGCCCCAGCCGCCGCCGTTGGCGCTTTGGGTGGCGGTGGTGCTGTCGCCGGCGAGGAGGAAGTAGGCGGGCTTGAGAGTGGAGAAGTGGCGCGGTGATGCTGATGCGAGGATGGGGAGGAGGGATAAGAGGAAGAGTACGGGGCGGAGGAGAAAAGACATGGTGGATACTTCCATGGAAGCAGCGTTTGTAAAGAAGGGAATCAATCTTGTGCTTGTTGCCTTACTTCTAATATATGTGTTCGCACCTTGTCAGTCTGAAACGCAATACAAAAAGGCATGAGATGGGGAAAAGAGAGAGGGGGTCTGTGTCAATAGAATAAAAGATATATATTTGTTCCTCCAATCAAAGCTTCGAGAGCTCGGTATAGTTATAGCCCGGATCTTCCACTGCGAAAGAAAGTGCAACATGCAAAGAGAAGAAGAAGCACACTTGTGACGTTATTGTACAGGATAGATCTGCTCAAGAGGATGATATCTGTCTGCGGGGAGTGATTGTTCCGGAGGTGGGGGAGAAGCTGGGGATATCCGTTGGCTGGATCGGCTCATGTTGTTTAACCGGTGTTTGAGGATGGGCGGTCCAAAGCCCTAGAAACCCGCAGCATCTATTTGCTAGGCAGTATGCAGGAATAAATTCCGGTGTCTTGGTATGCGCTGTTTGGTAAGATCGACTTGCATACCCCACTATGCAAATACGGAAGGTGATAGCAAGTTATGCTGCCATGGTCAGGACTTGAAGATAACCAAAATCCAAAGCATCGGTGACTTGGTGCAGTATTGATAGCTCCAAAGAGCTGTTGCAACCAAACATCCAAGCGACTCACTCTGAGCAGACCTAACCTCTACGTCTGGACCTGACGGCTGGAGGAGTACCCTGAGTGCCAGTGATCTCAATAGTCTTTCTGCCATCATCGTACAGACCACGTTGGATCTCAATCTCTGGCTCTGTGGTCTTCTCTTCAACAGCAACAGCCTTCTCTTTCTTTTCCGGGCGCTTTGTGCCAAAGGGAGGATCGAAACGCTTGCGGAGAGCCTCGATCATCTTGGCGAACCAGTACCAGTTGAGCACGTTAAGCACGATGTTGGAGGCAAGATAGCTGAGAGCGAGCCAAGCAGGAAGCGTACGAGCGCCTGCGTAGCGCATGATGTCTTCAGATCCAAAGAATGGCTGGTCTTGGGGGATGACAGCTGCTGTGGGTTGGTCGAGACCATACTTGAGGCCCAGGTTTTGATCAAGTCCGACAACACCACCGTTCTGCATAGCGATCCAGATGTCCTTGAAGACGAGGACAGAGTTGACTGAGCCCCAAACAAGGCGGCAGAAGAAGAAGGTCGAGATGAGGATGATGCCGTTGATGAGCTGGTAAATGCTGCCTGTCATGTTGAGCTTGTCCATGAACCAGTGCATGTTGAGGGCGGGAGATGAGAGCTCGTAGAGGATGAAGACGGGGCCGTAGTAGTTGAGGAAGGGACGCTACGAGGGTTCAGTCAGTGCGAGCTCGAGGTAGAGGGATAAACAGGAGGAGGAGGAGGAGGAGGAGAAGAAGAAGAAGAAGAAGAGAGAAGAGAGAAGCTTACGAAACCGAGGGAGAAGACGGTGCAGGCCGAGATGGCGTGCATCAGCATACCGACACCGAAGATGTCAATGTGGTATGTACAGGTGAACAGGTCCCAGATGAAGTAGCCTCCTGCCAGACTCTGCAGGAAGCCTAGAGCACCATCGTAGCCCCAGATCTTGCCGGCCCAGTTCATGCTGTTGCGCTCAGTGTCGTAATACATGATCCACAGAGCAGTCGTGTTGACCAGCAAGCTCTGGACCATAGATACAACGTGTACATCCCAGTTGATGCGTGTGCGCCGGTTGAACGAGTTGTATGCTTGAGGGAAGAAGTGACGAGACAAGGCGGGCGCGACAACGACGTTGATGGTCTGGTAGAAGATAAGGGCGATGATGATCTCGTGAATGTGCAGCGGCAGCGTGGGTAGCGACATCTTGTCCGCCCATGGCTTCACCGCTTCCGAGAGCCACTGCGGCGACGAGATAGGAAATGGGTCGCGCATGTTCAAAAAGTCTGTTGGCTATGATAAAATGTGCATGTAGGTCGAGGAAGACAAAGGGAATCGGTGTACAATTAACTCGAGCCAGCTGCCAGCAGTCAACAGCGGGAATGACGATGAGTCCAGGCCTCGGCTGATCCTTGTCCCATGCGACGCCCATTTCCTGCAACACAATCAATCACAACCCAGTATTATTGAAAGGAATGTTCATCTGATATGCATCATTCGCTTCCTGCCGTCCTCGTCACGCGACAATACCAACACATCTGGTTAATAGTACAGTCGTGCCTCAGTCGTGCCTGATACTCGCGAACTGAACACGACTTCAAGAACAATGTCTTGACGAAGCAGAATGAAGCTCGAATTTATGCATTTAACTGCACTTCTGCCTAGTATACCTAGTCTTCGAAGCCTTCGAATTCCTCTTCTTCTCCTTTTTGCCTTACAATCTCAATCATCCTCTTCAACTCTTCTTCCTTGGCCTTTTCTTCCGCCGTCAAGCCCTTCTGCCTCTCATGCTCACGACGCGCCAGCTTGATTTCGCGACGTGTGTCTTTGGTCGTCTTAGCATCCTTCTGATTTGTCCATGCTCGGTCCTTCCTCCTCTCTTCCGGCGTCTTGCCATCACCTGCTCGTTTCTTCGGACCTCCACTGGCCTTGAGCTTCTCCAGCTCTTCCAGTCTGTGCTCTTCCCGTTTCTTGTCGTTGTATGAAAATGTGTCCCAATCGATCTGCTGACCGAGCAGCTTATCTCCTTGGAACTTCTTCAGTTCGGGCATCCTGGGAAGTCGAAGAAGACCCCAACTGTGACCCAACTCCTCCCAATCTAAATCTTGTACCCTGAAGATACTGCTTGCTGAGTGCTTGCTATATGCTTGCACCCAACTCACAAATGCCCTCTGTGCCTTGTCGTGTAGTGCTCGGTCTGATATCAAGACCTCCCGGATCTTTCGTGTAGCCTCGTTTGCCTCCTCTTCTGTTGGTTCAATCGCTGGTGATGTGAGCGGTGCGATGGGTGTCTTTCGGATGCGCAGAAACTCGATGTAATCCTCCTCTTTTCCTTTGCTCAAAAATGTGACAGCCAGACCTCTTCTTCCTGCTCTTCCTGCACGTCCACATCGGTGGAGGAATGTTTTCGGATCGCTGGGAGGGTCGAGTTGTACTACGAGATCGACTGCAGGAATATCCAGACCTCTCGCGGCGACATCGGTGGTAAGAAGGATTGACGAGTCTATCGAGTTTACGAATCTGCCAAAGTTCTTTGTGCGTACGTTGGGTGGGTGCTTGCCATGAAGCGGGACGATTTTGAATTGTTTCGGGAGGACTTCAGAAAGTACATGCTGATAGTGATCGACCGTCGCGCATGTCGAGACGTACAGGACAGTCTTTTGAGGAGTGGTAGGAAGTTGGGTGAGCAGGCGACTGAGAGCTGGTAGCTTCATGCGTGGTGTAGTCGAAAGGTATGCCATCTGCAGACTGGCTGGTGTACGCTTGTCATGAGCACCGGAGGCACTCTTGACCTTGACGGCAATTCTGACTGGGTTTCTCAATCCCACGCGAACGAGCTGGTCCAAGGCTTCAGACACACTGGCACTGAAAAGTCCGGTTCTTCTTTGTTTCGGCAGTCTCGAGAGAATCTTTTGCAGAGTGTCGCTGAACCCGAGATCGAGCAATCTGTCGGCTTCGTCCATGATCAGAAGCTCGAAAGCAGATTGCGGGCAATGTACGTGGGGTGACGAGAGGAGCTCTAGCAGACGGCCAGGAGTAGCGATGAGAAGATTCGGCGAGGTTCGTAGGAAAGCGGACAGGTCTTGGGCGGGAGTTGTAGTACCTCCAAGGAGCAGTTGCGGGACGACCTTGGGGGTTGATGAGGGAAAGGTGAGTTTGGGAGGAGCGTTCGGGTCGGTCATCTCTTCGTCTTCGTCGTCTTTTGGTCGGATGGCGGCAGCGGATGGGGCATGGAACTGTAATAGCGACATGAGGACCGAGTGGATTTGTGTCGCCAGTTCTCTAGTCGGAGAGATGATGATTGCGCCGACATGGTGCTTCTTGATGGGTTCGTCGACTCGTAGCAGACGTTCAACAGCTGGGATAAGGAATGACAAAGTCTTGCCACTACCAGTGACGGCCTCGACAACGACATCCTTGTGTCCCATGAATAGCGGAATCGTACTCGCTTGTACTGGAGTCATGCGCTGGAAGCCCATGCTGGAAATGGCGTCCAGCATCCATTCTGACAGCGCTGGTGTGAGTCCTTGCCATGCTCTTGCTGTCGACTTGTCCGTCGTCTTCTGATCTGCTGCCTTCTTCTCCGCTGCCATTTTTGGGTATAGTTGGTTTTGTGACGGAGAACTGACAAGACATGTTTTGCGCCTCAGTAAATTTTGGTCAAACATGATGCAAACTCGACTTCCTTCGGCTGCACTTGCCCTGTGAAATGCGGCATTCTCGCCCTCACCTCCGAGATGTTCCAATCCTCCACTCCACCTTGATGTATCATGTCAAACCCAGACACCTTATCTCTGGCTGGAGACATAAGAGCTGCCCTGACCCCTCTGTCTCCAAAAGATCCTATACATGAATGTGGTTCTGCTCCATTGCGTATCATTCAACAGCGCCCTGACGACGTGCTAGCCCTGGCACATGAAAAACTCCATACCTGGAAGTTTGAGCATGTCTCTATCTGTTGGAGACGTCTGTACGAGGAAGCGAGTCTATGGCAGGCTGTCAATATTCTCAAGGATCATGGCGCGCGTGGTCAAAAACGCAAACGCGACTCCTCACCACCACCTGATCAAGACTGGATTACTCGCATCGTCTATGTCCTTGACATGGCGGTGATCCTGACAGGTGCTCCGTTACGTCGTCAACTCATACTAAGTACTTTCGATGCTTTACAACCTTTCCTTGATTCAGATGAACACAAAGGCATTTCCAGCTCCTTTCCTACCACCCCAACCACCGAACTACAGAATGACACCTTCGCTCGTGTAGAGAAGCTTGACTTTCTACAGTTCCAGCAGCACCTCGACACGAAAGCTACACCAATCATAATCAGCGGTGTTATTGAAAACTGGCCTGCAATAGCAAATCCCAATCGACGATGGAATGATCCATCATACTTGCTCAAAGCTACCCTTGGAGGTCGTCGACTGGTGCCGGTAGAGTTGGGTAGAAGTTATACAGATGAAGATTGGTCTCAGCGAATCATGACGTTTGCCGAGTACATGAAAAATTATCTTCTACAGCCAAAACAAGAAAAGACTGGCTACCTCGCTCAGCACGATCTTTTCGCTCAAATCCCAAGCTTGAGCGCTGATACAAATACACCAGACTATTGCTATACAACTCCTCCACCACCTAGAACTCTCTCTTCTACAGTCGAGGTCGAAATTTTGGAAGAGCCATTGCGTAACGCTTGGCTAGGTCCTGCAGGCACTATCAGTCCGTTGCACACGGATCCTTATCACAACATCCTATGTCAGGTTGTAGGTCACAAATACGTTCGTCTCTATGCGTCATCAGAGACACCAAATCTGTACCCACGCGGCATTGATGAAACTGGGGTTAATATGGAGAACACGTCACACGTCGACATATCGCTTGCAAAGACATTGTATACGCCTGATCAACAAAGCCAAGCAGATGAAGAAAAAAGAAAGGAATTCGAAGTGCAATTCCCCCTGTTCAAAGGCGCAAGATGTATAGAAGGTGTTCTGGGACCAGGAGAGTGTTTGTACATCCCTGTAGGATGGTGGCATTATGTGGAAAGTCTTAGCACTAGCTTCAGCATGAGCTTTTGGTGGAATTGAACGAATTTCCAATCTTCTCTTAAAACCCTGCTCTTCCTCCGAAAAAATGAATGAACCGTGTATCAAAGCTCCGTGGCTTGCAATGGGGGGTATCGATGCAAGAAACTGACGAAAAAAACATCAAGAATTAAACCAACCACCTTCCCAGCCTGATCTTTCCTGTCGCTGTTTCTTAGCGCAACCACTTAGTCCAACTGATGTCCACCTTCTTGTCTGGTTCGAAAGAGACACAAATGTCTAGAACCCCCGTATCTCCTAGTTGGCTCTGCGCCAGCTTGAGCTGAAATCTCTGACTGGTGCAGGTTTCTGCTCGGGCTTCTGTTCAGACTTTTGTTCCAGGCCTTGCTCTACGACGACCTTTCTGTTGGATCTCTCTCTAGCCATGTTGACCTTGAGCTTGCTTCCAGTAGATGTCGTGGCTCCATTCACTGCCTTAGCAGCCGCTTGCGCATCCTCAGTAGTGGGGAAGTCGACGAAGCAGTAGTGATGATCGCCAGGCAGACTTGCAGTGGACTCGTGAGGCGAGATGATTTTGCTAACAGCCTCGATCGGGTAGTCGCTGAAGAGTGCCTTCATCTCCTCCTGGACGGTCTCCTGACCATCCATTCGCGGCAGACCTCCGACGTAGAGTCTGCGTCCATTCTCCAGAGGTGCAGTCCAGTGGGATGAGGCATCATTGCGTTCCCAACGGTTGAAAACATAGGAATCACGTTCGCCAGTCTTTGAAGGAGTTTCGGCACCATTGGAAGCAGAAGGAGTGCCTCGCCAGCTGCGCTCAGCAGAGAAGGGAGATCTGGTAGAAGTACGCAAGGGAGTGCTTGTTCCATTTGCGCCGCGGGTTTTGGGGGTGTGCACATTGACTCTGAGCGGACGGCCCATGAAGCTTGCTCCGGGAAGCGAACTGATAGCTCTCTCGGCCTCTTCTACCGAGAATAACTCTGCAAAGCAGTATGAGGGATTCCTACCCGTGAAAGGATCGGTAGCCATATCCAGACGCTCGATTTGGAATCCGGCTTCCTCCAGGTATTGTTCCACATCTTCGGCTTGCGCAGCGTAAGGCAGGTTTCCAATATAGATGCGCTTGCTGGGAAGCGATTGTTCTGAAGTCTGTTGATGATCCATGATGATATAGTAAGTTCAGTAAGAGCAATTATTCTGATGATATTGAAGTGATTTGGTGGTTGTAAAAATTCGTAAAAAGTTGTAAAAAAGTCGTTTTGGGAAGGCTTCGAGAAGAAAGCTTCGGAAGCTCTTCCTCTCCACAAACAAAACAAACGGCCACTCAAATCTAGACCGGCTCCGCGGCTTCGATTGGGTTAGAGCTGCCCGTTGCGAACAAGCACTGATGGGTTGAGGTCCGAGGATGTCTGCACAGGAAGGCTTTCGTCAAACGTTTTGCGCATACTGCATTCCCATCTCTGTCGTGCAACCAGTGACGGAAAGATTCTACGCTGGACTTAATGAGGCTCTAGTGAATCGCGATCGACCCCCTCTCTTGACCTGCATGCCAAACGGATGAGCTCGGCTACGATTCAGTGACACCCAACTAGCTTGGTCAAGTGTACGTGGTGCAGACGCTCCACGACGTGTCGCAAACTTCATCACCCAACTTCATGGCCTCTTCCATGCTTTTCGAGTCCACTTCTGGCTCACCGGAAACGGATCGCCATCTTCAATTGGTACAGAGCGTGGATTGGTCCGCGACATCCATAGGCGCAATCGATGATTGGCCACCGGAACTCTTGCTTCTTTTTCATCTAATTATCCTGGACCCACAACCTCGATTGCTATTGCTTGGTCCGGATCACACATTACTATACAATGAGGCCTATGCTGAGCTTGTTGGCGAACGCCATCCCGCAGCTCTTGGCCGTCCAATTCGGGAAGCCTTCCCGGAAACATATTCCATGACCTTGTCGATTGTGGATGAGGTCGTTTCTACTGGCAGAGCATCTGTGGAAAAAGGCTTCTGCATGCCTCTGATGCGAGATGGCCGTCTTCTGGAAATTCACATGTCCTGGATCGTTGTGCCTTTTCCAAAGAAAAGCTCACTCACTGGCTTCTCTGTTATCCTTCGCGATGAAACAGAAAAACGCGTATCGGATAGACGACTCCAGACATCTCACCAGTTGTCTATGGCTCTGACTATGGCTAGCGATATTTCATCTTTGTGGGAGACTATTCTTGGAAGCTTGAGAGACAGAGATCATGATTGTCCATTCGCCTTACTCTACGCTCCAGAACCGGATGCGAATGGCAATGACGAATTATTCTTCCAAATTCGGGGCTCGGTTGGCGATTTTGAGAACAACCCGGTAGCGGCAAACGTGCTCAACTTGAGCGGCACCAGCAACGATCGTCTAAACCAGAAACTGGGTGCAGCTCTAACTTCGGAGGAACCAATTTTACTTGAATCTGAAGATGGCAGTCTTCCTAAATCTTGGTCAAACGCAGCATCCACCCGTGGTTGGAAGGATGCTTGCACAGAAGCTGTAGTCATTCCTTTACAATCAAATCGCTACCACAAGGTCAGAGCTTTGTTGGTTTTGGGTGTGGCTACAAGATCAAGATATGACGTTGCATACAAGAGCTGGGTCGAGGAGATGAGACGAACCATTGGAAACTCCATTCACTCACTTAGGAAAAAGGAAATGGCGGCTGTGGAGCTCGCCCAGCGAGAAAAGAAAGCCAACAACATCAGTCTCCAATACAACCATCTCGTCAAAGTTATGGAGTTGAGCGATGTTGGTATCTTTAGTTGCGACAAAAGCGGTAACTTGCTTCAAGCAAACGAGTCTTGGTACCGACTATCTTCATTTTCTCGTCAGGCAGAACCTGTGCCCGCATTTGCCTGGCTGGAGTCAGTCTACGATGATGACAAGGCACTGGTCATGTCCAACTGGAACAGCATGCTTCAAGGAAAACCAGTCACTGTAGGAGAAGCACGTCTCTTAAACATCACTTCATCAGCTGACTTTAGCATAGTATCAAATGAGGTGGAAACACCCAGAGCGGCCGGAAGGACGGTGGATTTTGGCTGTCTGTCTTCCAGTCATGGACGACCAAGGCAAGATCATAAGTATATGTAAGCGTTTCCAAATCTTCGATATGCTAACCAGATACTGACATCGTCGAAGCTGGATGCACAACAGACATCGATGCACAGAAAAGAGTCGAAAACGATGCTCTTCAAGCACTGCAAGCCCTCGAGCGCGCAAGTGCTAGCGAGCAACGATTCCAGCACTTCAGCAAAAGCTCTCCGGTAGCTGTGCACATTCTCGAGATACCGAGCCGAGCGATAAGTTTTTGCAACATTGCCTGGTTTGACATGCTGGGTATCGAGGAGGTGCCGTTCGATCAACTAGATATGAGTTGGACTGATGGCATCCTCGAGCAAGACTTGCCATTGTTAAGGGAGTCGGTTCAAAAGATTCTGACCACCCACGAGCCGCAGACAACGCAATTCAGATTCCGGAAAATGTTCCTTAGTGGTGATGGACATCGATATCAGTCATGGGGTTCGTCACAATCTCATGCGGAGTTGGACGAAAATGGTGCAGTCAAGGCTATCATGACGACGACAACTGATATCTCACACTTGAAATGGGCTGAAGAAGTGCAGCGCTCAAGAGTTGAAGAAGCTCTAGAGGCCAAACGTCAGAACGAGGTGTTCATCGACATGACCAGCCAGTATGTATTGACTTGATTTGCTCGATGAGGACATTGCTAACAATTCTTCTTGTAGTGAGGTATGTGCCTAGATCATTCAGGTGGTGATGACTAGCGTGCTAATTCGTTCGTAGATCAGAAATCCTCTTGGAGCAGTTGTGCATTGTGCAGACGCAATAGATGAGTCACTCATAGAGATGAAGTCGATCTTGGACAAGCTACAATATTCTGACGAAAAGGCTGGCAACCGCCTGGGTGAGCTGGTCGCAAGCAGCGCAGAGGCAGTCAACATCATCACATCATGCTCAAGTCACCAAAAACGGTATGCGACTGGTTTTGCGAAGCCTACGAGTGTATCATCTTGCTAACAACAGCCTTTCTAGAATCGTCGACGACCTTCTGACACTATCTAAACTTGACAGCAATCTTCTGCAGATAAATCAGGCTCCAGTCCGTGCTACGAGTATCCTGGACGATATGCGGCGCGTGTTCGAGATTGAGGCTGGTCGCGCTGAAATCGAGCTTCGAATTCAAGCGGATCCTTCGATCAAGGCCATGAACGTTGATAATGTCATGCTTGATACAGGACGTGTGCATCAGATCTTGATTAACCTGATAACCAACGCATTGAAATTGTGAGTCGAATGAACCCGTTCTCTTCATGTAAACACTAACCCGGACCCAGTACCAAAGACAAACCGCAGCGACGAGTCACCATCACTATGGGTTCTTCGGAAAAGCGTCCTTCGGATGGCATACTTTCCTCCATCGACTTCGCCTTACCACACACCCTCAGCGATACCGTACGAGAATCTGAAGCCGTAGCCTCGGGTCCAGAAACATTCTTCATCTGGTTCACAGTGTCGGACAGTGGTAGAGGCATCAAACCAGATGAGAAGACCAAACTCTTCTCTCGCTTCCAACAAGCCTCTCCACGCACCTACTCGAAATACGGCGGCTCTGGACTAGGCCTCTTCATCTCCAGGGAATTAGCAGAACTCCAAGGCGGCGAAATCGGCATCGCCAGTGAACTCGATGTGGGCTCAACATTTGCGTTCTTCGTAAAAACACAACCAGCTGCTCCTCCGATAGACCAACGGTTAAAAAATGACATTGCAATACGTCCTCGCAGTGGATCTGCACAAACCAGTTTCAGCAATGAAATCGTCCAGATCCACGTCCTGGTCGCCGAAGACAACCCAACGAATCAAAAAGTACTGAAACGCCAACTCACCAATAAAGGCTACATCGTCTGGACCGCCGACAACGGCCAAGAAGCCGTAGACTTTCTCCGCCAAACCCGTTATTGGAGTGCACCTTCCTCCACCTCCTCTGTCCCCTCTTCACCTTCCACAGCACAAGAAAAAGCCCTCCACGTAATCCTCATGGACACGGAAATGCCCATCATGGACGGCCTCACCGCGGCCAGGAGAATCCGCCAGATGCAGAGAGATGGACTATTGAAAGGACATGTGCCTATTCTCAGTGTTTCTGCCAATGCGAGACCCGAACAGACGAGTATGGCTATGGATGCTGGGATGGACGATTCCATTTCCAAGCCTTTTAGAATTGCGGATTTGACGCCGAAGATTGATAGATTGGCGGATATGGCGTATGCTGGGTAGTGTGGTTGGAGGGGTCAGATGAGGGGGAGGGTGTTGGGAGGGGTTTGGAGGCTGAGATTGCGTGGAGTTTGGAGGGGAAAGAATGGATGTGCATAGTGAAATATATGGAGGGGCAGATCTGATGCATATAGAAGGGTTGATATATGGGAGGGGGAGGTATTATGAAGTATAGTGGCATGTTTAGAAGTATTATAGCCTTTGTTTTTGTGATTCCTCTTTGCTGAGGTTTTCGTCTACAGTATCTCGACTCGTTGGCAGACTGCTGTATCTCCAATGTCACTGGAAAAATGTCGATATCAAATCGCTTCTGTCTGACTCACAGGCATTTTGGCAGTTGAGTAAGTTCTTAAAAACCCTTACCTTTGATAGCAAGGACTATTCCGAGTAACGACTTTGAGGAAAGAAGGTAATTTAATGTCATGAGTTTATTGTAAATCAGTATATGCTCTATGCTCTAATCATCACCACAATTTCTAAAACGATAAAAAAAGAAGTCATGATTCATTCAACACCATCAACTCAACCTCTTGCAACTCTCTTATCCCGACCATCTATACCTTTAATACCCATCACTTCCATCCCATCTTTAACGCCATCACGCAATCCACCAGTGACACCTTGCACCCACCAAAACACTATATCCTCCAGTGCTGCACCCACTTGGCCGTCATTCCAACTGCACACTGTTCTGGCAACGGTCATTGTGTTCTTACTCAATGAACTTGCAGTTATCCAGGATTGATTGAGGAGTCTTTCTGAGATGTGGTGGGAGCGTTCGTAGTGGTAGGTGGCTTGGCAGGTGGATTGGATGTAGGGCCAGAGGAAGGAGAAGAGGAGGAAGGATTGTACTACGATCATTGCTACTGCGCGGTGGAGGATTGTTGGATCTTGGTCTGGTTGGGTAGGTTGATGATCCTGAGATGGGCTTCTGATGAGTACTCCATTGGCAGGGGGTGGTGGTGGTAGTATCTCAAAGGGTATAGCGGCTTTGAGTCGTAATGTTTCTTCGTTGGAAAGGTTGTGTGGTAGACCTCTGAGTAGATAGCTCACTCCGTCAATGTATAGTTGACGGCTGAAGTCCGGGTTTGAAGTCAAGCATGACGAGCCTTGGAGAAGACTCAGACCTAATCAAAGGTATGATAAGATAGTGAGTAAGCGATTACACTGCAAAGACAATTACCTTGACGTCCAAATTCCCATTTGATACCAGTCCGCTCGTCATTGGCAAATATAGCTGTATCAAGAGGCAGAGATCTGGGTGATGTTGGGGGAGTATCTTGGAAATTATCATCAGACAAGACGGAGGTGAGAGAAGCGATGGGTTCCTGATAAGGTGGGGGAGGGGTCGCTGAGCCAGGTCTTGAGCTCTCTGCACTCGAGTTCCTGACATGACCGACTAATGCAGCTGCACAGTTGTAGCCCGACAGCGAACGGCGCAGAGAGCGCACCTTTGGCATGGAGTTTTTGATCAACGGCGGTAGCACTGCATAGATGAGAGATGTGTTTTCTTCATCGTTAGAATCCAGAATAACAGATGCAGGAGCCATTCTTGTTGGACAAAACAGGATAAGGGTACTAAGATCAGTCCCCGAAGGACTGAGGCAACCTCTGGATATATAAGAGACATGCTGGCGGCTACAGACGGAATGCGTTGAGCATCACATGCATGCAGAGTCTGACCCCCAAATGAAAGATCTCGTACCGTTGTTGAGACCCTGAGTCTTTACCTCGCCGCGAGCCAACCCTGCAGTCGCATGCCGACATGTGAAAGAGGCCCGAGCTTCGCTGCTTGCCGGAGCGCACAGACACCTGTCAGCCAGCGCGTCTACGTCACCAACCTTGTGCCTCGACTTTCTTTGATGCCTTCCGCGCCCGTCGCGACTCGTACAGGAAAGTGACAGCTGAGCAACTCACATGCTTCTCATCAGGCTACCGTCATCATGGGTGTCACTGGCCTGTGGACCGTCGTCCAGCCCTGTGCCCGACCTATCAAGATCGAAACACTGAACAAGAAACGACTCGCCGTCGATGCCTCCATCTGGATCTACCAATTCTTGAAAGCCGTCCGCGACAAGGATGGAAATGCCCTGAGGAACAGTCATGTCATTGGTTTCTTTCGCCGTATCTGCAAACTGCTGTTCTTTGGCATCAAGCCTGTCTTTGTCTTTGACGGTGGCGCTCCTGCCCTCAAGCGTCAGACTATCAACGCTCGCAAGCAGAGAAGAGAGGGAAGAAGGGAAGATGCTACCCGCACTGCTGGCAAGCTTCTTGCCCTGCAGATGCAGCGTATAGCCGAGGAAGAGGAAAGCAATCGCAAGCGTGCCAGCCATGCTGCACCGCAGGAAGAGGAAGAAGTTCTGCCTGAAAACATGGTCTATGCTGAGGAGGTCTTCATGAACCCACAAGAGCGACAACAGAACAAGACCTTCAGGAAGAAGGACCAATACCACCTTCCTGATCTAGGTGTCCCTCTATCCGAGATGGGTGCTCCCAACGACCCGAGAATCATGTCTCTTGAGGAACTTGAGAATTATGCTCGTCAATTCGACACTGGCGAAGACATCAACGTATACGATTTCTCCAAAATAGACTTCGATGGCGCTTTCTTTATGAGTCTTCCGCCTAGTGATCGTTACAACATCCTCAATGCTGCCAGATTGAGAAGTAGACTCAGAATGGGTTACTCGAAAGATCAGCTTGATACAATGTTTCCCGACCGCATGGCTTTCTCCAAGTTTCAGATCGAACGTGTCACGGAGCGTAATGATTTGACGCAGCGTCTCATGAACCTCAACGGCATGAATGACGACCTGATGTTTGGTCTCGATGCGCCAGGCAGAGTCGCTGGTGAACGGGGAAGAGAATATGTACTTGTCAAGAACGACGGAGTCGAAGGCGGTTGGGCTCTAGGTGTCGTCACCGGCAAGAACGAAGGTGTCCAAACCAAGCCGATCGATGTTGATGCAGCCGAGATTGAGGCAAAGGAAGAAGATGACGAGGACGAAGATAACGACTTCGAAGACGTTCCAATCGAAGGCCTCAATCGTTTGCCTAGAGTCGCATCTCAGCAAGATAAGACGCTGGGCTCCGAGATGGCCAGACGAAGACAAGCTTTCTACAAGTCCAAACGTGCTCCTCGAAGGAAAGCCAGAGCGCCTCAAACCCGTAAGCCAGCCGAGCCTGAGGGCCTGTTCGTTGAAGATGACAACCAAGACACTGTCATGGATTCCGACAACGAAGAAGGCAGTGCTTCCGAAGATGATGAAGAGCTCCAGCGCGCTATCGCTATGTCGATGCAAAATGAAGAAGGTGAACCGGAAGCGGAAGTGGAAGAAGAGGAAAAGGAAGATTGGCTAGTCACGTTCCAACAGTCTCGCGTTGATGAGAGTCGTCCCATACCTCGCGGTGGCGGACAAGCTATTGCGCACATCGTCAACAGCAGAGCGAACAAAGCAGTACCTGTTGCGCCGACTCCTAACAGTGATGATGACAGAGATTTGCAAGCTCCTCTAGCAGCTTCTCGCAATGAGGCTACTTCCAAGCCTGCTGCTGCTGCTGCTTTTGGAGAAGAAAGCGACGACAGCGATGACATGGACTTCCAAGCTGCACTCGCTGAATCACGCAAGTCAAGGTATCAATCCAAACAACCTGCAAAACCCCGACCTGAGCCACCTGTTCGCACAGCACCACCGAAGACCGCTCCTGCGGCCAAGAACGCGGCCGGTTTCTCAGGACCTCTGCCATTCGAAAAGCTGGATTTGGGTAGTTCCTTACTCGGCAAGAAGAAGATGCAAAAAACGCAAGAAGAAATGTCAGGAGGTTTTGAGAGAGATGATGCCGGTCCAGCTAAGAAGGACAAATCAGAGCCTGTTCCACCGTGGTTTTCTGGAGATCTTGATGCCAATATCGCCAAACAAAAGGCACTTGAACGCGATGACTGGCAAAAGACCAGAGCATACAATGAAGAGTTTCAGTTTGCTGAGACGCCGAGTCTGGGTCGTCGCTCATCGCGCGAGGTCATTGATCTGGACTTGGAGGAGTCGCAACCTAAGGATAACAGTCAACAAGTCATCGATATTTCGGACGGGGAAGAAGACAAGGCGGACTCGCCTGAACCTGTCGACATGAATATTATAGATCCGCCTGCAATGGGAGACCTAGCAGATCGCATCAAGGCTGCACCTCCGGTCTTGAGCAACTCTGAGAGGGAGAAGGTCGAGACATCGCAGGCACCGGTGATCAGTCGTGAAAAGAGCGACAAGAAAACACTACGTGAAGAAACTCCTATTGTTACGGAGTCGCCCAAACAGAAGGCTCCTCCAGCAAAGAATGTTCTGTTTGCCGAAGAGGATGATGAAGACGACGAGATGGAGTGGGAACAGGTCGACGAGCAGCAGACCAACCTCGACAAAGAGTCATCGCCAACAGTTCAACCTCAAGCCGAGAAGCTTTCCTCAAAGGCTCCATCAGAGCCTACCGAGCAACCTACACCAGAACCCGCAAAAGAGCCTTCAAAGTCACCATCTCCGGACTTCGAGAACGTGGACATCCCTGACCAGCCTGAAGAAGAGCAGCCAGTAGACGTCGAGGAACCAACCACAGTGCAGACAGAGATTAATGCACCAGTTCCTGTCACCGGTACGGCAGATCAAAATCTTCCAACGGATGCCGACGAATTTGGATACTATTCAGACTCTGAGGACGATGAGCTCCTTCGTCAACTCGCTACCGAGACTGAAGAGCATGCTCGTTTCGCTTCCACGTTGAACCACAAGACACAGCAACAGAATGTGGAAGAATACGAGCGCGAGTTGAAGCAACTTCGCACCCAGCAAAAGAAGGACAGACGTGATGCGGATGAAGTGACCCACGTCATGATTCAAGAATGTCAACAGTTGTTGAAGCTGTTTGGTCTGCCCTACATAACTGCACCCATGGAAGCTGAAGCACAATGCGCAGAACTCGTCAGTCTCGGTCTAGTCGATGGCATTGTCACTGATGATTCTGATTGTTTCCTTTTCGGCGGCACTCGCATCTACAAGAACATGTTCAACCAAGCCAAATTCGTCGAATGCTACTTGACCTCCGACTTCGAAAAAGAGTTCGACCTCACTAGACAAAAAATGATCGGTATCGCACAACTCCTCGGCTCCGATTACACCGAAGGACTTCCCGGCGTAGGTCCAGTAACAGCTCTAGAAATCCTCTCCGAATTCCCCAACCTCAATGATTTCCGCGACTGGTACAACGCCGTTCAAATGAACCAGATCCCCAAATCCGAAGATGCAGGAAACGCTTTCCGCAAAAAGTTCCGCCGTCAAGCCACGAAATTGTTTCTTCCTACCAATTTCCCGGATCCCAGAGTTGAGAGTGCGTATTTGCAGCCGGAAGTCGATAATGATCCTTCTGCTTTCCAATGGGGTGTTCCTGATCTCAGCGCCTTGCGCAGTTTCCTTATGGCTACTATTGGATGGTCTTCTGAGCGCACGGATGAAGTCCTGGTTCCTGTTATCAAGGATATGAATACCAGACAAGCTGAAGGCACGCAAGCGAACATTACTGCGTTCTTTGATGGAGGTACGGGAGCTGGTGCGTATGCTCCTCGCCAGAGAATCGAGCAGGGAAGTAAGCGTATGGGCAGTGCACTTGATCGTATGGCTAAGGAGGCGAAGAAGAAAAGGAAGGGCGGCGTCGTGGAGGATGAAGAGGAAGAGTATACTGAATCTGCCGAGACAGAGAAGCCAGCGCAGAAGAAAAGGGCGAAGAGGAATTCGAAGCGCTCGGCTGCTGCCACTGCTTCGGCTGATGTGTGACGTTGACCTAGTGACACAAAAATAAAGAAATGGAATCAACAGACCCTCCCAGCTTACCAAGTCGGCTTGTCAAGACCAACCATCAAAAAACAAGATGGTTTTCCACATGAGTCAAATGTCCAGAGAGAGCAACAAGAGATACGCGCTCTCAGCGGACAGTCACTCAAGTTTTGAAAATGATGTTGCCTTTTGACAGCTTGTTCGACGCACCTGCCACTCAGGGACTTGAAATTTCGATTTCGGATGTGCGTTATGTCCTCCATACATCCCTTCTCTCCATAACACACCCGTTCAGAAATGGCTCTGTTTCTCTTCTCCTACGACTCGGGTTTGAATTTGTCCGCGACTTCATCATATCGGGTGATTTGGCATGGTCCAATGCCATGGAGGCATCGTGCTCATAGGTCGAATGCGTCCAATACAGGATAGATAGTATCCTCAAAAGCCTAGCATGATGGATGTACGAATGCTTTTTCGCTAAAACAATGCTGGTGAACTCGTGACCACAGTAAGCGTATCCTGGATGCATCCTCTCCATGTGCTCGTTCGTCACCAATGCTGCTGCAGAATTGCTCAATAATTTTCGGAAGCAGATCTAGGTTCAATGAGAGAAAGACCTGCAAGGCATCGCTTTCTGTGGGCGCCGTGCTGTTGCTCAAGTTCATCGTGCATTTCTATAGGTAGATTGACGTGTTTCGCTGCGGCTTGAGAGTCGATATTACAGAGTTCAACACTTTGGGAGAACGGCATGGAGACAAGCCCCTGTGGCTTCCAATGTTAGTATTACATAGAAATGCGCAGCACTTTGTCATCAGAATGCCGTCGCTATTTCTGAAGCCTGGCCAAAAGTGAATGAAGCTGACCTCTTTCCAGCCATAACAAAGAAAATCTCGACATCACGTGTCTATCACCAACCATTCTGACCACAGCCATATACACAAAAATTGTCCTTATCCTAAAGCCCGCAGAAGCCGCACCAAAAGGGCAAAAGAAATGTTGAACGCGGTGGGATTCGAACCCACGCAACTTACGTTACCAGGAAACTCATTTGATAGAGAAGCTTTTGATCGCTTGAATCTGGCGCCATAACCACTCGGCCACACGTCCCAGTGTTGTGAAGTTCGACATCAAACCAAATTACATCCTTCAATGTGTCCTAAGGGCAGGGAATAGGCAAAGACCACTAAGTCTAGCACTAGACCTAACATTAGCGAACATAGGAGTAGGCAAAATATGAGACAGGCAGGGCTTTTTATATGGATTGTAAGAACAAAGAAGGAGCAAGAATGGGCCCGATACGGACATCTTAACAAAGAAACACAACAGTACTTGAGGCTTCGGTGACTATAAATTATAACATCCCCCATCTCGCCGTGACATTGATGTCGTCCAACATATCGACAGAGGTAGGAAGAAACATCAGTTCCAAGGTGTGTAGAGCGAATCTTACCACCTTTTGTCGTTGTCGCTCTAGACGTCAATGAAACGCTAAGAGCGAGGCCTTTTTGCAGTTTTTCTGGCCAACACTCTCGAGTGTGAAGCTATGAAAAATAAAAACAGCCATTTTCTCCTCCTACCACGAGTGCGATGCCACAAAACTGTTACTTGACCAACAAAAGAACACTATGCAAACATTGAAACTATAAATAATGTCCGAAACAGCAGGTTGGACCTACAGGAAGCATTTGATGTGCTGAATCCATAGTCATGGGGGTAACCCTGTTATATGTCTCATGTGACATCTCCAATGATCGCAATCACACGACTCGAGGCATCATACCTTACACTCTCTTGATACTTAGCATTTATCAAGGTAAAAACGAAGGTGATCGGATTTGTTGGTGGTTTGATGGTTTTCTCATTTGATGTTCGAGCGACAGGCAATTGCGCGACGCGATCGATCAGCGGTTTCGGCGACCGTGGCTGCGTCATCGGACGAATTTTTGGAGAGCGGCCGTTCAGAGTCATTGTTGAGAGGGGCAGGTGTTTCCCTTGATCGCTCTTCCCCTCTAGTTACATTACTACAATTGTGCAACAATGGACGTGACAACATTCACAGAAAAGGCTCGCGACTTCCCCAAGAAGAAGTGCGGTTAGTAGGATGGAGAAAAGTACAATTGGCTCGAAAGGACGAGGCTGACATTGTGGTGGTTAGGTGTGCTCGGAGCCACTGGCTCTGTTGGCCAACGATTCATTCTTCTGCTCGCCCTTCACCCTCACTTCACCCTCCATGCTGTCGGAGCTTCCGAGCGCTCGGCAGGCAAGAAATACAAGGATGCCGTCAAGTGGAAGCAGTCATTGCCCATGTCCAAGCAGCTGGGCGAGCTGGTGGTGAGAAAGTGTATCCCCGAGGAGTTCGCCGACTGCGACATGGTCTTTTCTGGTCTGGACAGCGACGTCGCCGGCGATGTCGAGATGGCCTTCCTCAAGTCTGAACTCGCCGTCTTCTCCAACGCAAAGAACTACCGTCGCGACCCCCTGGTGCCCTTGGTTGTGCCCACCGTCAACCTTCCCCATCTGGATGTCGTCCACCACCAAAGAAAGCACTACAACCTGAACAAGGGTTTCCTTGTTTGCAACTCCAACTGTGCTGTCATTGGTATTGTTATCCCCTTCGCTGCTCTGCAGTCCAAGTTCGGTCCCATCAACCAGGTCTCGGTCGTTACCATGCAGGCTGTTTCGGGTGCTGGTTACCCTGGTGTCAGCAGTATGGACATCATCGACAACGTGGTTCCCTTCATCTCTGGCGAGGAAGACAAGCTCGAGACCGAGGCCCAGAAGATTCTCGGCCAGGTCAACTCAGACGTCACTGGTTTCTCGGACCAGAGCGACCTCAAGATCTCGGCTGCCTGCAACAGAGTCCCCGTTCTGGACGGCCACACCGCATGCGTTTCGCTGCGCTTCGAGAGAAGACCCGCTCCCAGCGCCGAGGAGGTCAAGCAGGCCATGCGCGACTACGTTTCGGATGCTCAGAAGCTTGGCTGCCCATCTGCTCCCGAAAAGGCCATCGTTGTCATGGACGAGCCCGATCGCCCGCAACCCAGACTCGACAGAGAGACCGACAGAGGTTATGCTGTCAGCGTAGGTAGAGTTCGTGAGGACGAGAGCGGCATCTTCGACATCAAGTTTGTCGCTCTGAGCCACAACAGTGAGTGCAATACCTTTCGAAAGCTTATGAGCAAAACGCTAACTTTTTATAGCCGTCATTGGTGCTGCTGGTTCTTCCATCCTCAACGCAGAGGCTTGTGTTCTCAAGGGCTTTGCGTAAATGCAGTCCACGGATGTTTGTTATGTAGTTATGGATGCAAGATATACTCACCAGTACACGACGAAAAGCTTGAACAATCTCTTTAGCCATCTCGTAATGCACGATGTTTTTGATAAAACCCTGTCTGAAGAGAGCGTGCATTTTGTCACTCTCTCTTTGGACCCATTCATGATTGCGAATACCATTGTGCATTTTGACGTGCAAATTATCGCGTGTCATTGCTGTAGGAGAGTCAGAATGAAAAGTAAAGGGGGCCTATATCATGGCATGCTCTCATCACCTACACAACCCTATTCATATCATCACAAAAAGGCACGATCATTTTCAAAGTAAACGGGTTGGCCAAAGAGAGTTCAGATTGCTTGTCTCCCTATGCTAGGGTCCTTCCTGTATACCGCTCTTAAGTCTTACAAAGCATACACTCGCACTTAGCAACCTTGGCGTCCTCATCTCCCTTAACCATATAGTAAGTATCCCTCTTCATAAGCCAAGACACATGCTTAGCAAACTGCGAACCAGACCTGAAGCTCTTGCCGCTAGGATGACCCCATAGGTAAAGGTCATCCTTGCTTCCATCCTGGCGAGTGACGTAGAAGAGGGCGTAGTTTTCGGGGAAATCGGAGAGCAAGGGGATGATGACCGGAGTCTCTGATGGAAACGTGTTAGTATGGGTCAAGGCTAATGGTTGTTGTAGGGGCAGGTTTTACTGATTGCGAGTTCTGCAGCGATGCTGTTGTGGAAGCTGACGGTGTGGCTGTGCTGAGCTGGTTTGCTGCCGCTGGTGCCGTTGGGGTGTTTGGATTGATCGCCGTCGCTGGTGAGGCGGTTGAGGAGGACGACGCAGGGTTTCTCTTCTGTGGACTGGGTGGTAGTCATGATTGATGTTTGCTTTGGGGAGATGCGTGATGAGAAGAGGAATGCGTCACGTGGGATGCTTTTATAGAGTACTGTATCAACCCACGCCATCTGATTGTCTCGGCGATGGAAGCTTGGATGCGAGGGCGCTGTCTGATCGCCCAATGGGGAACAACGACGGAGATGGTCGTCGCGGCTACAGCATTCGGAGCGTATCAGAGCAGAGCAAGCATGTTCACGATGAGATATCAGCAGCAGCAGGTAACATGACTTTTGAAGAAAGTAAAGCATTGTGCACCATTTGTATTCGAGCGAGAGTGTATTTGATTGAAAAAAAGAAGCAAGCCATGGGAAACCTTTCGCCCATGATCGAGAAAGCCATATGATCATTCGTGACTTCCTCCCGAAAACCCCCTTATGCCCAAAGTCGTAAGCCATCCGTTGTCGTGAAGAAAGAACATGAAGTGAAAAGTGATCAACTGTTCACAAAGAAGTGAAGAGAATGTCAGGAAAACGCCGTTGCTGATGCTTGGAGGGAAACAAAAACGAGGGTGGGTAAGACATGTCCTGCATGTTTGTTGCGTGAGAAGCAAGTTTGAAAGTGCTACGCTGGCGGCACTTAGATGAGACCGTGACCGTGGGTCTGCTTTGCGTGGCGACGGATGAAGTCGCGCTTGGCCTTGGAGGCACCGCCTTGCTGGTAGACCTTGAGGTAGTTGACAGCCCAAAAGGCATCCTTGAATGCGGAAGGGTTATTGGCGACGAAGTCAACGCACGAGGAGGCAGAGCAGCCGTCGTTGAAGAAGGTCTCGCCAGCCCAGGTGCCACAGAAAGTGGTGTCGAAGACGATGGCGTGGTTGTAGAAGTAGCTGTCGAGGTCGCAGCCGCGGAAGTTGGCCATGGGTTGGCCGAACTTGCTGACATCGGGCTTGCCGTTCTTGATGGATGAAGGAATGCTGTTGCGAGGGAAGAACCAGACGTTGATGTGCTGAGAGGTCCATTCCATGGCGTAGACACCACCACCAATGGCGTTAAAGCCGGTACCTGCACTCGAGCTGGAAGGGGACAGGAAAGCGCAACCGGCGCCATCACCTGCAGACTGTTGCGTGTTAGCTTATCATTCAGATTAGAGGTTACAGAAGAACGAACCGAGCAATCGCTGCCTTGGATTCTACCGCTCTGAGAGGTGCCAGAGATGGAGCAGCCAGGCATGGTGTGACCGGACACCTTGTTCTGGCTGGCGAGGTTGGCGAACTCGATAATGTCGATCTCGCCGGACTGGGGCCAGTTGCCAGTCTGACCAAAGGTCCAGAAAGCAGGCCAGACGCCGCAAGAGCTCTGAGGCATGTGGGCAATGTCGGCGATGAAGAGGCCATGGGTGAAGGTGTCCTTGCTGGTCATGCGCACAGAAGTGCGACCGCCATTGGCACCATTGGCATTGAGATGAGTGTAGGAGTCGACGCCCCAGGTGGGAACGCTCTTGTTCCAGATCAGACCGTATTCAACAGCATGGTCGTGAGAGACGTAGTTGGTAAAGCCCTGAGTAGGATCGGGGCCGGTGAAGAAGTCGAACTGGTTGTAGAAGTTGTTGCCCGAGAAGTCCTTGACGAGCTTGTAGTTGGCAGCCGACACTAGGCCGACGAGAAGCGAAAGGCTCAAAGAGAGTGATGAGCGCATCTTGATCAACAAGATAGAGTGATTGGTATGTAATGAAGGTTGTTGAGAAGAGAAGGTTGTTGTTCAAGGAAGGAAGGAGAAGAGGAAACGAGAATGAAAGAGTGACTGGGTGGAAGTCTTTTGATGAATTCACAACAAACGTTCCAGTTGGTAGAAGTGAGGGAAAAGTAAAGAGTTTATACTCAAGGAAATCACATGCATACGATCACACTTGAAACACAGGCTAAGTGAGGGACAAACAGGAGTGAGTACCTTTCTAGAGCCATGCTAGATGCTACGCCGTGCCAACGGGGCGTCACACACGTGGCGTACTCGAACAAACCATTCAGGACCATCATTTGGGCCTTTAGGAATATCGTCGTTTGCTGCACGATTCGCACAGCTGCATGGCACGGCGCAAACAAGCTTTTAGGCTGTGCGGAGACGCCATTCGCGACCGCCTACCAGGTAAAAGAATGATCTTTGCGCGACCAGTTCTGAAACCTGACTGTGAGGGTGTGAAGAGGCGCATGACAAGTTGGGTCAGGGGGAGATGTGGGTGCACTGGAGATTCGGTATGCAGGTGCAGTGTTTGGCAGTGGAAAAGGCTCCCTGCAGAAAGTGCCCCACTCTCTCCAAGGGAAGGAACGACCAAGCACCAAAAGGAAGGAAGGATATCAAATGCACGAGAGGAGACGATGCTTTGGTAAGTGCGAATGAGATGGCAGGAAGCACAGAACAGACAAAGAATGGCATACGGCAGTCAGGGATGATGCGGCGGTAGTGAGTGAATCATGGCCAATCGTTGGATACTGTCGGACATGCAGAAGACGCATCGCAGCGACTCTAGGCCTGAAGCTCCACCTAGGGCAGGTGTATGGATGAGTCGGACAAGGATGGTGACAGTGCCGGAGTGCCGCAGACAAAGCAGGCAAGAAAGCGACATGTCTCTCTCTGTGACAGAGGCATCACTTGGACAGCGTGGCAGTCAGTTGACGTTGAAGTGGTGATGGGCAAGACGATGCGAAGCGGATCAACGCCGCGCTTGGCACTCCCGCTTCGGTCTCGTGGTCGGCCTGGCGCGTGCTTCTTGACAACTTTTTTGTTCTTTCCTTCGACGACGACATTTTTTGTACATATGCACTCCACCATGCCGAAAAGGAAGAGAGATGGCTCGGAGGCGTCTGCCAGTGACGCAGAAGGTGTAGAGACCGGTGTCAGCATTCGCCAACACAGAGTGCAACACAAGTTGGAGCTTGCCCATAAGCAACTTGCTCGTGCCTTCAAGACGGCAAAGGGCTTCGAGGCGCAAAAGTCTGGAAGGCGGCGCAAGACTGCTGGCGCAAACAGCGATGAGAAGGAGGTCGCGCGCATAGAAGCCGAGACCGCTGCTTTGAAGGTGGGTCGTTCTTGACGTATCTCTTTCCGTTTTCTTCCTCGTTCTGCTCTTTCCTTATGCACGCTGCTCAATGCGTTCATCCTGCACCTTCCTTGCGTACCGCAGTATACTCACTGCTACTGCTTAGACACTAGATCTCTCTGCCACGGCACGCAGCTATCTGTATAAGTCTTTGATCAAGTTCAAAGCCGTTGCTCAATCACCCGACCTCCCCAAAGCCGTGTCCACTCCACCACCACCGATCACCGACACTGCAAAGGCCAACGTCATTGCTCGACTATGCAACTCGAACCCTGTCAAGGAAGCCCTCCCTCCATTACTCAAGGATCTACAGCGCGCTCTTGGAATTGAACCTAAGGATGTAAAAGAGGGAAAGAAGCGCCTAAGGGCCAAGGATATCGAGAAGCAGAAGCAGGAGGAGCTGTCAAAATCACAATCGACCAAAAAATCACGGCCTGCCACTGACCCCGAGTCTGGTGATGTCAGCATGGCAGAACCTGACGACGAGAGCGACGTTCGGCAACCCACACACCGCAAGGAAAATGCACGGGAAGCTGGAGATGGCAGCGATGGTGAATTCGCAGAGTTCAATGACAGACTCGCTGGCTCTGATAGCGAAGACGACGAAGCAAGCGACCATGAGATGGGGCCTACAAAAGGCAAGGCATCTCGTGCTGCAGCATTACGAGCGGCTCTCGGCGACTTGTCTCGATCAGCATCTGTATCACCTTCACCGTCTGCCTCGCCGTCGCCGTCACCCTCTCCGGAACCGGATTCGCCGCCAGCCACGACCACCAAAGCCGGTACATCGGCCTTTGTTCCTTCTCTGACTATGGGCGGCTACTGGTCTGGCTCAGAGTCTGAGGCTGAGGACTTCGAGGACGGGCCACCCAAGAAGAACAGAAGAGGTCAACAAGCACGACGAGCCATCGCCGAGAAGAAGTTTGGCAAGAACGCGAAGCATTTACAAGGGCAGGAGAAGGCAAGCAAAAATGACAGAAACGCTGGCTGGGATGCGAAACGTGGCGCAACCGATAGAACAGGTCCACGAGGTGCTCGCGGAGGTGCACCTCGAGCCCGCTTTGAGAGACCAGGTCAGGATCGCGGGGTCAGCAAAGATGATGCCCCTCCGAAGAAGAAGCACAGAGATGACCAGGGCTCGTTGCATCCCTCTTGGGAAGCTGCGAAGAAGGCAAAGGAGGCCAAGAAGGTCACGGCGAACTTCGAGGGCAAGAAGATCACTTTTGACTAATCGAGTAGGACTTTCAATGCAACCAGAAGAATCATCTCGAACCGCAAACGTTTGTCCTGTCACTCCACCCTTTTGTCTGCATTTGAGGGAGCCTCTTGAGGTGAAGTTTTTCATATGTGTAGCTGTGCAAATGCACGTTTTTTTGAGAGGAGGTAGCCCGTCCACAGAAAACGGCTGATTGTCGCGCTTTCCCTGGCTACGATACTTGCCCCGAAAAATACCATGCATTCGCACAGCTCCCGCGCTTCTGAGTGAAAGCGCGTAGGAAGATGATGTGATTGAAGGAGTTTGGTCCGTTTGCCTATCACTTTGTAAGCAAGCATGCTCACATAATCCAATACCCGCCAAGTCGGATGCGATAAGAATTGAAGCAGGCAGGATCTTCTGTTGAGCTTCGGGACATGACTTCCGATTGAATCAGAATCTCCAGCGATCTCCACAAGTGTTTGAGGGTTGCATGCGAGATTTGTGGATGCCCGACAACATTTCCTTTTTCGCCGATTTTTACACCCTTAACTCCGTTGAACTCGTTCAGGCACACAGAGCCTCAAGATCCACATGCGGTAAAAGCTCGACAAGGCTTCGGCAGAAAATACTGTTAGAATACTCTAATGTGGACAAGATACCTTCGCTGCCTTATCGCAACCCCTTAAGGACACCGAAGGGAAATTAATCAATTATCTGCAAGGAGCCACCACCATCGGCCGAAGACTAGAAACGGAGAAGTCTGCGTTTCGGTGGGGGTATGGCGAAAGCTCTATCATTTTCAAGAGCTTTCGTTCTTGTTCTTTCTAATTTTCTCCCCTGGCATCGTCTGGTGTGTGAACCGAGATAGGCGGACCCACCTTATCAATCTCTCACCTAAATTTGGCTCGCGCTTTGGTATTACACCAGAAGAGTCGCGGACATTTTTCAGCAAGCGCTTGCGGTTTTTTATCCAACGCATGCCAAGTACTTGCTTTTTCCGACTCGGGCTGCCGCGTTCATATGTGGCATCTGCTTGATTCAAAGAACCATGAACAAAAACCGCCAGAACCACGGTTGAAAAATTTCAAGAATAATTTCGAAGCAGATGCACTTGGTATGCGGTTCTAAGGTTGCGATTCAGATCTGGAGAAAGGCGTGGAATGTTTGAATAAGAACGTGGATCATCTTGGCTCTGACGCCTCTTTACCATCGTTCCGCGGCCTGACCAACCGCTAAAACCTTACTCAACGCCTTTAACAGAGACCCCCCTTGTGCGACCGAGATAGATACACCTCCAGATGATGCATACTCAAGACGAAGAGCAAGATACATTCATGCAATGCAAGCCTTTTACCAAGAGAGGCGGATGGCAGTAGAGGTATCCAAAGACGCAGTGGTGACGGCAGAAATACTACTCGAGTACACCCGCTACTGTATGTCTGAATAAGCTCCAATTCGATCTACACTCGCGCTACCTGACTTCGGCCGACGGCCACGGCTCAACAGTCGTTGAATTGGTTGGCGCTGACGTCGATATCAAAATGTGTTTAGATCTGCTCACATTATTCATCAGCGGCGCTCTATGCTAACTCCGAACCTTGTGTATGTCAATGCCGTGTTCAAATTTCTTTTTGAAAGAACCCTCTTCCCGCGTGTCAATCTGTTTGGTTCCCTCCCTTTTTCCTGTGACGCGACCGCAAACACCGGTCTCCATTCTTTGACACCGCACGCCTGGTCTGTATCCAAGACGGTGTTTTTCTCGTTTGATATCAACCACTTTTAATTCCATATCGCCATTTACCATACAAATATTTCTTGAACACTACATACCAACGACATCATGTGGGGTAGCGGTCTACCTGACGATCCGCGTATAGCTCGCCTCGAGAGTCAAGGAGGCCAAAATGCCTGGCACAACCCTTCTGAGCCTCGTGCTGAACGACTGCACAAAGATCACGACTCCCAATCGTCCAGCTCAGACGATGTAGACCGTAGCGGTACCTGGGGCGAACGAGATGCAGGCATTCCGAATGAGGTCATGGCTATGGAGGACTACAGAGCATTGAGAAGGGAGCTCACCAACCGATCACGAACCAGCGCACACCAATCCCTGGGTCGCAGACAATCTTCGAGGAGACAAAGCACAACCACCGATGCTGCCGATGAGGAGTCCCAAATTGGAAACACCGAAGCCCAACCTAAGGACGAGGACGACTTCGAGCTCAGCGATTTCATGAGAGAGGGCCATCTTGGTCAACGCAAGGGCGACAAGTCTGCAAAGAAGGTTGGCGTGGTATACAAGAACCTCACCGTCAAGGGTGTTGCAGCTGGCGCTACTTTCGTTCGTACCTTACCCGATGCAATCATGGGCACCTTCGGACCGGACCTATACCACATCCTCTCGAGGTTCATTCCCTTTCTTCGCAGTAAGAACGGCGAGTTGAAGACACTCATTAACGACTTCTCGGGTGTCGTAAGAGATGGAGAGATGATGCTGGTTCTTGGCCGACCCGGCTCTGGTTGTACGACATTCCTCAAGACTATTGCCAACGATCGCGAGAGCTATGCACAAGTCGACGGTGATGTCTCATACGGTGGCATCCCTGCCGACAAGCAGAGAAAGATGTACCGTGGTGAAGTCAATTACAACATGGAAGATGATGTTCATTTCGCTACACTCAACGTATGGCAAACGTTCATGTTCGCCCTCCTGACGAAGACCAAGAAGAAGGCCAAGGGCGATATTCCTCTTATCGCCGATGCTTTGATGAAAATGTTCGGAATCAGCCACACAAAGATGACTCTCGTTGGTGACGAGTACACAAGAGGTGTTTCGGGTGGTGAAAGGAAAAGAGTCTCGATCGCTGAAACTCTTGCATCGAAGAGTACTGTTGTATGCTGGGACAATTCGACTCGTGGACTTGATGCTTCGACAGCTCTGGATTACGCCAAGTCCCTCCGTATCATGACAGACGTCAGCAACAGGACCACTCTCGTAACTCTCTACCAAGCAGGACAAGGCATCTACGACCTCATGGATAAGGTCCTCGTTATCGATCAAGGACGTTGTATCTTCACTGGACCAGCTGAAGCCGCTAAGCAGTACTTCATCGATTTAGGCTTCGAATGTCCCGAGAGACAGACCACCGCCGACTTCCTGACTGCCATTACAGATCCCGTAGAGAGAAAGTTCAGACCAGGCTGTGAGGCTAGCACACCGAAGACACCTGTTGAGCTGGAACGCGCATTCCGTGAATCATCCTTCTACACTCGCAATCAGCAAGACATCGAAGTTTATGAGCAGCATCTCCAGCAAACCAATCACGAGGATGCCAAAGAGTTTGAAGAGGCAGTACAAGCTGGAAAGTCGAAGACTGTCACCAAGAAGTCGCCATACACCGTCAGCTTTATTCGTCAAGTGCTTGCCTGCACACAGCGTGAGTTCTGGTTACTATGGGGAGATACATCAACGCTCTGGACAAAAGTCTTCATTATCATATCGAACGGTCTTATTGTCGGGTCTCTTTTCTACGGACAACCTCTCAACACCGATGGTGCCTTCTCTCGTGGTGGTTCCCTTTTCTTCTCTATCCTTTTCCTCGGCTGGCTTCAACTTACAGAACTGATGAAGGCCGTCAGTGGACGTGCTGTCGTCGCTCGCCAAAAGGAGTATGCTTTCTATCGTCCTTCCGCTGTTAGCGTTGCCCGCGTCATTGCCGACTTCCCTGTCATCCTGGTCCAAGTTTGCCTGTTTACCATCATCATGTACTTCATGACAAATTTGGACGTGGACGCTGGCAAGTTTTGGATTTATTTCCTCTTCGTGTACACCAACACCATCTGCATAACTGCTCTCTATCGTATGTTCGCAAGTTTGTCACCAACCATTGATGATGCTGTTCGCTTCTCTGGTATCGCTCTCAACTTGCTTATCATCTACACCGGCTATGTTATCCCCAAGACACAGTTGCTCAACGACTACATCTGGTTCGGTTGGATCTATTACATCAACCCCATCAGTTATTCTTTCGAGGCCGTGCTGACTAATGAATTCTCTGACCGCACAATGGCTTGCGCCCCGGACAATCTCGTTCCTCAGGGCCCTGGTATCGACCCAGCATTCCAAGGATGTACCTTGACCGGTGCTGCAGTCAACGCTCAATCTGTAAATGGTGCCGACTACCTCCAGACACAATACACCTACACCCGTGCTCATCTGTGGCGCAACTTTGGTGTGGTGGTTGCTTACACTGTCCTGTATCTTCTTGTCACCATCGCTGCCACCGAACTCTTTAGTTTCGTTGGTGGTGGTGGCGGTGCTTTGGTCTTCAAGAAGTCTAAGAAAGCAAAGAAACAAGTCAAGCAAGCCGGTGCCTCCGACGAGGAAAAGGCTGGATCCGACGAAAGCTCTAGCGACACCGCCATTGGTGGATCAACGACTGGTGAAAAGGAAGAGCAAGATGCTCTGAACTCTATCGAGAAGAGCGAGAGTATTTTTACTTGGAGAGATGTCGAGTACACCGTGCCTTACCAAGGCGGCGAGCGCAAACTTCTCAACAAGGTCAACGGTTATGCTAAGCCTGGTCTCATGATCGCCCTCATGGGTGCTTCTGGTGCCGGAAAGACTACACTCCTCAACACTCTCAGTCAGAGACAGAAGATGGGCGTAGTCCAAGGTGAGATGTTTGTCGACGGTCGCCCTCTTGGCAAGGAGTTCCAGCGTAACACCGGTTTCTGTGAACAGATGGACCTTCACGACGGTACCGCAACCATCAGAGAGGCTCTCGAATTCTCTGCCATTCTTCGCCAGGACCGCAAGATCCCCCGTGCTGAGAAGATCGCATACGTCGACACGGTCATTGATCTGCTGGAGCTCAATGACATGCAGGATGCTATTATCTCCTCTCTCGGTGTCGAACAACGTAAGCGTCTGACCATCGGTGTAGAGCTTGCAGCCAAGCCCTCGCTGCTGCTCTTCTTGGACGAGCCTACTAGTGGTCTCGATTCTCAAAGTGCATACAGCATCATTCGCTTCTTGAAGAAACTTACAGCCGCTGGTCAGGCTATTGTCTGCACCATCCACCAGCCTTCATCGGTCCTTATTCAACAATTCGACATGGTTCTCGCCCTTAACCCAGGAGGCAATACATTCTACTTCGGGCCCATCGGCGAGAACGGCAAGGATGTTATCGACTACTTTGGTGCTCGCGGCGTCAAGTGCCCTCCAGCCAAGAACGTTGCAGAATTCTTGCTCGAAACCGCCATCAAGCCAAAGAAACGATCCGATGGATCGAAGATTGACTGGAACGAAGAGTGGCGCAACAGCAAGGAAGCCCAGGCGGTGATTGATGAGATCGATGGACTAAAACGTATGAGAAGCGAATCGACTCACGCCAATCACAAGGAGGACGAAGCAACCGAATTCGCAGCACCCGTGTGGCTACAGACTACCATGCTTACTAAGCGTGTCTTCACTCAATACTGGCGCGACCCTTCGTACCTGTATGGTAAGCTCTTCGTGGCTGTCATTGTTGGCATCTTCAACGGTTTCACTTTCTGGCAACTCGGCAACTCCATTCAGGATATGCAGAACCGCATGTTCACAGCGTTCTTGATTCTGACTATTCCTCCTACCGTCGTCAACGCCGTCGTCCCCAAGTTCTACCAGAACATGGCGTTGTGGATGGCTAGAGAGCTCCCTTCACGCATCTATGGCTGGTTCGCTTTCTGTACTGCCATGGTGGTCGCCGAAATCCCCATTGCGACGGTCAGCGCTATTGTCTATTGGCTTCTATGGTACTATCCCTCGGGGCTGCCAACCGACAGCTCTACTGCCGGTTACGTCTTCTTCATGGTCCTCTTGTTCTTTTGGTTCCAATCAAGTTGGTAAGTGACATCGAAAACATCAATATCGACCCGATTTGTGTTCGATAGTCCTTGAATTGTCATGCTGGACGTGTGTCCAATCAGACACCATCTTTCATGGCTTTCGGGAGACTCGAAAATGAGGGGATCTCGTGATTTGGTCAAATCTTCACCCCAAAACGCCCCCTCGACCCCCTATCACCACCACCACCCTCCCCACATACTAGGGATCATGCTAACTGTTTTACAAGGGGAATGTGGATATGTTCGTTTGCCCCAAGCTTTACTGTCATTTCGAATGTGTTGCCGTTCTTCTTCGTTATGTTCTCGCTGTTCAACGGTGTCGTGCGTCCCTACGCTTCGATCCCTGTTTTCTGGCGCTACTGGATGTAAGTTACACCTTATTGTGCATGCGCAGATACTCCTCCATGCGTGAATCATGCTTCCATACGTACATGATACTAATGCCTCTTAGGTACTACGTAAATCCATCGACCTGGTGGATCAGCGGTGTTTTGGCCAAAACTCTCGATGGTATTCCCGTTGAGTGTACCTCAAGTGAGACCGCCATGTTCAACGTGCCTGCTGGTCAGACCTGCCAATCCTACGCTGGCGCCTTCGCAGACTCCGCTGGCGGCTACCTCCTCAACCCTGAGGCCACCGCCAATTGTGAGTACTGCCCTTACCGCCTCGCCAACGGCTACCTCGCCACTCTCAACATCCAAGCCGGCGATGCATGGAGAGATCTCGGAATCTTCTGCGTCTTCGTCGTCTCCAACTGGGCTCTCGTCTACTTCTTCATCTACACCGTGCGCATCAAGGGCTGGACCTTTGGCTTCGGACCTTTGTTCGGCGCTTTGGGTAAGATGGTCGGTGTTCTCAAGAAGCCCTTCCAAAGCAAGAAGAAGGAGTAGAGTGTTCTTCGTATTCACCAAAATTGATAGAGGTTGGGTTGTTTCTTGATTCTTAGCATGGAGTTTTGTTTTCATCTCGCTTTGCACGATTTCGGAGTTATAGCGATCATACTTATTCGGATCAATAAATTTCCTTAATTATCAACACACATTAGACAGTTATGGCGCTGAATCAAACTGAGAAGAGAGACCTTTGCACAGCGATGTACGAATAATGATTCTCGAAATACTGTATTCATGGTTCTTGCTCTTACTGTGCATCTCAGACCAGTACCAGATTTACAGGCTCATGCCTTTATCATTGCAGCAATTCTTCGCCTCAGGCCATGCTTCATGATGAAAAATGTTTGCAAGATGTGGTGAATTTTGAGATTGACCCTGAGCATCACCGCCTCCCGGTGTGCTAAACTTTGTCGTTTCGACTCTCCGGCGGCAGGGATACACCCATCAAGTTGCACGATTACTTGAGAAAGAGTAGGTCTGACACAGAGAGCGAATATTCGAGGCTCTCTCTCTCTTCGGGTTCGACTCTACCTTTAAAAATCATTGTGCAATTTCTCAGCTGTAGCGGTAACAAACCTCAGCATAGGGGAGGCGTTGAAACTCGAACAAGCACTCGTGATCCATTCGGTTGGCCTGTGATAATCTCGTTCGAGCGCTCTAGATATCTTGAGAAACATGCGCATTGGAAATCCGACAGACAGAGAAGGAGCGGCCATACAGCAGACTGCTGACTAAGCAAAAAATTCCTCGGCTTCGCGCAACTTCACCTTGATGTTTCTCGAACCAAAAACTCAAAAAAAGAATCCGCCAACATTGCAACAACACATCAGTATAATAATATCAAGCTATGCTCCGCGAAGTACCAGGCGCACTCTCCACTCCAGATATGTCACCTTCGCCTGAACCAACCACAACATCGGAACTTCACGACGACATTTTCGGCTCATCGCCAAATTCTCCCATCTTGTCAGGCCATCAGGAAAACGAGAATGACATCGACATTCCAGCTCATGTGCTCAACGCAGCAAATTCGGAACGCTCGGATATTCCTCGTCTGCGCAGTACTCATGTAACCAATGGCTACCGCGACGGTATTTCCGTATCAAAAGCCGAACACGTCCAACACGGTTTCGACGAAGGCTTTTCTCTCGGTGCCATCATCGGTATCAAATCTGGTTTCTTGCTCGGAGTCTTGGAAGGAATTGTTCGCGCTATCCAAGCTTCTGCTACCATTGCGACAGAGGCAAAGGAAGATGTTATCGCAAAGTTCGTGCTGGCGAGAAGCGAACTAGGGCTACAGAGTTTGTTTGGAAGGGAGTGGTTTGGTGAGGACGGAATCTGGAAGTTTGATGTTAAGGGAAAGAACGAGGAAGAAGTCACTTTCAGAGATGTGGCTGATGCTCATCCGCTGGTGAACAAGTGGGTGAAGGAGGTTGAGTGCTTGAAGAAGAAGTTTGGATTTGACATTCAAGCTAGAGCAAGACCTGAAGGAGATGAGGAGGAAGAGACAACTTCTTGAAAGCTGTTATCGCAGTTTCTTCAACGCCACAAGCCATTTGCAGCCTAAAAGAGCCAAACCAACCGCTTCTCAGCATCGCGTTTCGCACGGTCCTGCACTCCACGCGCCACCAGGGACAGTCCTCCGCATCGAGTTGTGGACGCGCATCGAGTTGTGGACGCGCCATGGCAGGATAGCGCAAGTCCAGTCTTGGTTGCATCGACGACAAGTATGTCGACATCTCTCACGCCACTAGGACCTACACTGTCGTTTTCCTGCCATTGTCAGTTCCACCCGATAGCCGTTATTGATCTGATGGATCCGGAAAGCTGTTGCAGAGAGCCGTGCTACTAAATATGGCGACCACAAACAAGTCTCGACGTTCATGTACCTCATGAATTTGACGCCGAACCGAGCTCATTAGAACTTTCAATCTGTTCTTGCGAAACCTGTGCCTTTACCAAGTACTGTTCGCTTCGACTGAACCGTTGAACAAAGAACAGCCATACGACGAAATCAATTACATGGATATCAGAGCCCTTCGCTCGCTCCGTCGATCAAGCAAATTTATCCATACAATCGTCCTTCTCCCACTCATAAACCTCTTCCTCCTCAACTTCATCTCTCTTTCCATAGTACCCATTATACTCTGCTGCAGATTTGCTGGATTGGCTGAATCCAGTGATGTCTGCCCGGAATTCCATGATGGTGTGACGCAGATCATCGATACTATGACGGATATCGTCGAGTGAGTTGCCTAGATCGCGGTGCATTGCGTCCAATTGATTGCTGAAGCTATTTCCGGATCCACTCAAGAGATGTTGGGCATCTTGAGCCGAATTGGGGTACTCAGCATCATTCTTAGATGGCAAGAGATCCGCATTTGACGCAGTGCTGACTGAATGAGCGACTTTTGGAGATGTTGGAGCAGACGCTTTGCGGTTTCCCAGCGAGCGACTTGATGATGGCTCGTTCGGTGTGTCTGCGGAGAGTATACGGTCGATAGATGATGAGCCGGGATGTGCTTGCTCTAGGCCAACTTCGCTCGATTGCCTAGTGTGACTTGGTGTGATGGCGACTGGCTTGTTGCGAAGACGTGTGCTTTCCAGTGGCGTACGATGGGAAGGCGTACGGTACAGAGGTACGAATTCGTACGCGTCGAGGCTGCGGGATGTGCCCTGAGGCAGGTGTTGCAGAGGATCATTGTACAAATGGCTTGTCGTTCTTTCGTACTCTGCAAGTAGAACTTCGCTTTCCGCTCGCCACTGTTTTTCGGAATCGTCTTCTGATAGCATATTGCTGTTCTGCTAGTTCGGATATGAGGCGTCTTTAATAACTTGATGGGAGATTCAAGGTCTTCTATGATCGCGAGAGACAGAAGCGTAGTGTTGAATTGTTGTACGTAGATGCTACTCAAGGTAGCGACAATGCAGTTTTCGAACCGTTATTCTTCTTGGGAGGAGTCATTGCTATCAGAATGGACTTTCGTCATGTAGCTCAAATTGAGCAAATAAATTCTTGCACGCTGCCAGGCATCAACATTTGCACTACACTGTTACTTGAACCACCGGTACCGACATATAAAGGGACTTTTTTCTTTGCATGATGGGCTTGTGATGCATGTTGAATTACAGTCTTGGAACTTGTTTGTATGCATTAAGAGTTGTCTTTAGGAACCTTTTCCAAAAATCAGAAGCAACTGCTGTGTCGTCGTGACATTCACACCAGCGAAGCATTCTCCTTGGCCAATCTCCTTTCCTCCGCCATCTGAGCATAGAGGTCAAGGCTGCGCCCTATGAATCCCACGATCGCCCATGGCGCACGGCTGTTATCGAAGACAACAGCCCATCCTCGAACGATCTGTGAACTGAGACTTCGCAGGATCAAAGGAACATTGCCATGATCCAGGTCGCCAAGCGTGTAGAGGTGACCTAGACTTTCAGGAGCATCGAGCGATGCCGCCAACTCCTCGATTACACGTACGACGATGCCAATAATCTTGAGCTCGGCTTCTAAGAGTATTGTTAGCGAGCCCTGGATTTATGGGTGACGAATCACTTACCTGTCGGACGCATGGCTTGGTACGTCTCTGCCATAGTCTCCAGCCATTTACTTAAGAAGACTGCCGCTTCCAGGTAATAGAACAAGTTTTGATTGTCCCACCAACCAAACATAGTACGACTTATGTACATGATGCCGAACTTGACCAAGAAGTTGAGCGCATGAGCTGAATGCAGTAGAGGCAATGTCATGTTTTCGGTGCGTAGTGGCGGTGCAGTGTCAAACAGACGCTTCGCTACTTTTTGCCAATCTCTGTTGCCCGCTCGCATGGGGAAACTATAGTTCGAGTGCAGGCGTATACGCGCAAGTCCGAGTATTGCAGTAGAGGTGAGGGAGTTAGAACCATCGTGGTTCAGTGGGTCGAGTATGGATTCTGGAGCCTGCTTCCAGATGGCGGTCCATTGTTTGAGTGCCAACCTATAACAGTTAGCTTCTATGACTGAGAATAGCTATAGCCTCCCCGTGTGCCAAAATCTGTCACTTCTTGCCATCTCCGTGATCACGCCAGGGATCTTCCGGCCTGTAGAAATGCACAGTGTTTTTGAGATCGGTTTGGTCAACCGGAGAGAGGCGCTAAATATCATGCTCTCAGTGGCCACAGGCTGCCCCTAACAGTGCTGAGACTGTGCATCTCTACAGTTATAGGCGTGACAAGTTTAAGCACACAGGGAGGAGGTACCGCTGATACATACCCCATCTCATACATGTCGGCTTCTCGAAGGCTGCCAGAGGGGTTCGATTGCATCTGGCGTGCTAAGTAGATACGTTGTAATAGCGCGTGGATAAGGACGAGATTGGCGAAGGGCGAGTAATTCAGGTGCTTGTCGGCCGGCGATTCTGAGAACAGCGCAGAAAAGGCGTCTTGGAAGCTGACGGAATTGGGGGTATGCATTCTAGCATTATCCCAAGCGCTTTGAGAAGGCGCGATCCACTCCGCTGTTGGACACGGTAGATCAACATCTAATTGGCTGGTCAAAGCGATCGGAGGCTTGTCAAAGAACACAGTGTGTAGATTGAGCACGAAGAATATGCCAAGCTGAGTTCTGCGGTAACTCTCGTGGATGACCCAATCGTGCCAGTTCTTGCAATTCGTTTTGCTAGACGACTTTGCCAAGGGATTGCTGCTGCGTAGGTAGGCAGCAAGTAGACTTTGCAATGTTAGAGTATCTTTAGCAGACTGGGAGTCGCATTGGCAAACTGCAAACTTGTCGAGTAGCAAAGCTGCTTGTACAGTACGCAACTGCTTGATAGCACTGTGTAAGTCAGTATCTCTGTCTAGCAGAGAATCTTCTCCATCTTGCCAGGTCTCTAAGACAACTTGCTTGCTAGCACGAAAGAGCTCCATAGCCGTTCTCGTCTCGCACCTGTATATAGCCCCAATAGCTGCCATTGCTAAGAAGAGAGCTGGAAACTGATAATACTGCGGGGGCCTGAATGTTACAGGGTGTAAGATAGGCAGATGATCTTGGTAGTGCTCAAAATACCCAGTGATGTAGCGACCAAGAGCTAGTCGTGACGGTAAGGCAAAGCCTATCAATAAGTGATGGAAAGGCGATAAAGCACCGAGGATTTGACTTCGCTCCTCTTCGTGTATCTTCCAGGGGCAAGGGACTGGGCCCAGCTCTTCGAAGTCGTCTTCCATGGGTCTGATACGGGTCTGGGTTGATGCAGCATGTACTGTTGTTGCAGAATCGGTTGGTAGAGATGGAAGTTGAACCGGCTCATTTGCAACAGTATACACATCATTTTGTGTAGATGCCATGTCTTGAAAATTGAAGGCGGGGTCATACAAGAAATCCAGACCAGCGTGCAGACCCATCGTATCAATGAAGTTGGAGAAATCATTAAAGTCATTGGGGAAAAGCAGATTATCAGGGGGTAGAAACGACTCCTGTGAAGGTATCTGCGTATATCCCATGCCTGACACATCTGGCTGAATACCTTGTTGTCTACTGACAGGCACCGATGGTTGCCAATGTGGTTGCTGGGATACCGGTTCATGCGCTACAATCGATTGGGGTCTCTCCGTATCGCAAGGGGTGCTGTTTGAAGACTCCGAACCATTGGTACCAGATTGTGTATGTTGAACATGTCCATCTGATGGTGATTTATCAGATGGCGTCACACTTAAGTGCTTGCCATTCAGCTCATGCCGCTTGAGCAAATCCTTACGAGCGAAAGCTTTGCCGCAGAAACATGTAAAGGGTTTCTCATTGGTATCTGTACCTATGACTCAGCATAATCTCGGGGTTGAAGGGCAGCAGTATGTAGGATTACGTGTGGTCGTATGCCGCTGGAGATGCTCCGCACGGGCAAAGTCGCGATTGCATATGGAGCAGTGGAACGGCTTTACGGGATTTCTCCTTCTAAGAGATGTGTTGCTCGCCATTTTTTCGCTTGCGATGCATGATGACAGGAAGCTGCCCGTGTCATTCTGATGAAGAATTGATACGACGAGGTTGTTGAGGTGGTCTTCATGACCCCCGAAAATTGGGGTAATTAAGCTTTGGGGATGTCGGAGAATGCCAAGGCCTGAATTGTTCACCCTCGAGCTTGATGAATCAGCGTCATTGTTGAGGTCGACTCCATCGTTCCTACCAATTTGATGCGTGCTTGTCGGAATGCATCATATGATCATGCTGCGAAGATCAGATCGAACCGCTTATGCGTAGACGATGAGAATGGTTATAATCCGATCGTCGCGATGGCAGGTGTACTGCTACGTGCGAGCTTCGCATTGATGCGTTGCAGCATCTCGAACGTTGGATCCATCATGGAATGGAGTATACATAATCGTAAGTGGGGATGATTTGGAGAAACGAGAGGTATTGTTGAGATTTGGTTTGAAATCAGACTCGAATAAGCAGATATAACTGTAAGTCAGATGGCTCATCATTCTGTTAATAACTGCCATTCTGGTCCTCTTTCATTTTCAATCCCAAAATTGAGTGATCAGCTCATGACTATCTTAAACGCAATTCGGGACAGCCCAGCAGGACAGCTCGTACGACTGCTCCGCCCAGAACTTTTACCATATCCAGAGGAGCAAGACTTTCCTCAAAAAGACCTTTACAAAGATGCAGAGCTCATTGCCGAGAAGTCTGAGCCATCATCCACACCTTCTGAGGCTACCATAACACCGCACTCAGATGATGAGAGACGACATACAGACATCGAAGCCGGGATACCGGAGAAGTTTGAAGAGAACCACGAAGCGTCGCCAACGATCCGCGAAGACGGCACTATCATATGTGACTGGTACTCTGCATCGGATTCTGATAACCCGGAGAATTGGTCTTCACGGAAGAAGCTATGGGTCGTGGCCTGTATCTGTTACTGTTCCTTCGTCGTCTACATGTCCGCTCCCGTCTGGACCCCTGGTGAAGAACAATTCATGGAAGTTTTCGGTACCAACTATGCTTATACTGCCCTTGGACTGGCATTGTTTGTCTTTGGCTATGGTGTAGGACCCTTGTTGTTTGCACCGTTGAGCGAGATTGCCAGTGTGGGAAGGAACATTCCGTACATCACCACATTCGTATTGTATATGTTGGTAACTATTCCCACGGCATTGGTACGTAACGCACCTGCGTTCATGTTCTTCCGGTTCTTGCAAGGCTTTTTCGGATCTCCAATTTTGGCTACAGGCGGCGCATCTCTTGCTGATGTCTATGATTCGACATATCTACCTTGCGCCATGACTGGGTGGGCGTTCGCTTGCTTTGTGGCACCTGTCATTGGACAGATCATAGCAGGAGCAGCAATACCCCATCTGGGCTGGCGCTTTACGATCTGGGAGATACTCATTGCTTCTGCGCCAGTTCTTGTGATGTTCCTTTTCCTGCCCGAAACGAGCCCGGCGACGATTCTTCACCACCGCGCCCATCGCCTTCGCAAAGCACTCGGCTCAGACAATATACGCTCTGCCTCTGAGATGGAGCAACATGGATTGTCTATCAGGACTGTTGTGATCGACTCGTTGGTCAAGCCAATGGAGATTACATTGCTAGATCCGGCAGTGTTGTTCGCGAATGTTTATATGAGTCTGATCTACTCTATATACTACAGCTTCTTCGAAGCGTACCCGCTGGTTTTTCCATCTTCATACGGCTTCAATCTTCTTCAGGAAGGACTGGCTTTCCTGCCGATCGCTATCGGAACAATTTTGTCATTTTTGCTCTACAACTCCTACCTGGTTTTCTATCGCGTGAGCTGCTTTCTGATATCGCGCTGACCCACGGCTGACATCGAAAATCCAGATACCTAAAGTCAAGGCTGGTACACCGACGAAACCTGAAGACCTTCTTCTCCCAGGTCTGGTCTCGTGCTTCTTTCCTCCAATTGGCCTCCTTATCTTTGGCTGGACATCTCGACCCGACATCCACTGGATTGTGCCGATGATAGGCATTGCACTCTTTCCTCTTGGAGTGTTTATTGTCTACCAGTGCGTGTTCATGTACCTGCCAACGCTTTATTCAAGGAAAGTTTCGTTCTGATCCTCACACATTCTCTGATCCAAACTCATGCTAACATGTGCTTTAGATATGCCGCCAGTCTGTTCGCAGCATCGGACTTTACACGCTGTACGTTTGCGCTTGCTGCAGTATTGTTCAGCAGACCCATGTACACCTATCTCGGTATGGGTAAAGCTTGTACTCTACTGGCGGGTCTTATGATCGGATGCATCTTCGGTCTGTTCGCTTTGCATCATTACGGTCCGAGATTGAGGCAGAGATCCAAGTTCGGAAAGAAGTAGAGAATAGTTCAAGAAGAGAAAAGTAAGAGAAAATTTGTATGGGAGGGAGCCAATCCGGTATGAACTCCAAGACCAGTATCTAATAACATGGCTTGCTTGGTTGGGTACTGTAACATTGATTGACCTGTTCCTCTCTGTCTTCCTCGATTCTACCTACCACACAAGATCAATCCACCATCGAATCTTTCAAAGACCTCGAAAATCCGTAGCATTCTTCTTTCCTGCCCTCTTTGTCTTCAGAAAGAACATTACACATAACAAGTGAAAGACAAAGTCTTGCGAGAAGCCATCTGTTCTCTACTGTTCTATACGGCACACAAAAAACCGACCCACCAAATTTTCAAATTTTTCAAAAATCCCAAAACTTCACCACTACTCTCTCCCTCCACCCAAAACGATGCTACGACAAGCAAAAGGTGGGGTCTCGCCGGGAATCGAACCCGGGACCACTCGCAATTGGCTTAGAGTTTTCAAGAAACAGCAGAAGCTGCTCTCCCTAAGCGAGTATCATACCGCTAGACCACGAGACCTGATCAACTGATGATTGGTTGATGAAGTTCTGCTTCGTTGGTTGCGTAAAAGTATAGAAAAAATGGAAGTGGAGAAGCGTGAACGTGGTATAGAACAAGGTGGTGAAAGATGGTAAAAAGCATGAGGTGGTGGTGGCTGTCGAAATTGGCTGTGGGGTGGAATCTCGGCTACGAAAATTTGGCAAGGATGAATAGGAATTCTCAGCTTTGACTCGACGACAGAATGGGCAGTAATCACGAAAGCAACGAGTGCTAAAAAGAACATCAATATCAGATTCTACGTAGACTTAAGAGAAGGTGAAGTGGAGGCTGGTGAAAAGAAACACAACTGATTCATAAAGGCAGCGAGCCATATACAATAATCATTAACAAGCGGCAGATAATCACCAAGCCAAAAACCAAAAGAGGGTATATCTATATCTACAATCAGAACAAAACACAATCATATCCATCATGACAGAAGCAAAAACATCCAAAGCCAGAAAATCCTACTTCCTGTCCACAAGATTAGGCAACTTGACCATTTTCGCAAGCCCTCTCATGACATTGACAGGCGACTCCGACCTTTCGCTATCCCTCAAACTATCCACGTCTTCAGAGACTCTGGCTTCATATGTCGAGATCTGGACTTTATGTGCTGGCTTTCTGGGATCCAAGCCTTCGATACCCATGATTCTGTCAATGGAGCTAGTGGGAGAGTGAGCGCGCGGGGGTTCGCGAAGCCCATGCTTCTTCTTCGGGCTGGTGGAAATGGTGCGCATGGAGTATGCGTCGTCGTCTTCACTGATTTGAGAGTGGCCGGAAATAGTTGAGACGCGATCACCAGTGACGGTCACTGTACGGGTTTGTGTTATGCCGTTGAGGCGAGAGAGATCGTAGCTATCGAGATTGCTGGTTGTTGTGGTGCTCTTGTTGGCAGTTGAGTTGTTGTTCGATTGTACCAGTGAGCGACGAGTGAGTGTGTAGAGTAGGCAGTCTACCATTCCGGAGCAGGCGATCAGAGCGCCAGAAGCGAGTTGGTAGGCTTCATGTACGGTATAGGTGTGATGGGCCATACTCCACATACGTCCGGCGGAGAGTGGCAGGGTAAGAATTATATAGGCGAGAGGAAACATGAGCATCAGTCGAGCAGCTCTGTCGACCTTGGCGTGCGTGGTTGAATGTGAAGATGGCAAGATTGTTGTCAGTGTGTTCTTCAAGTGACAGAAGATCAGGACGTAGATTATTACTGTTCCGAATTGGACGACGAAAATCCAGATGTAGTGGAAAGCCAGACGCTCGGTTTGGAACTCAGGAGCAGCCCAGCACCATGCACCAGCTCGTACGTAATAGTGGTTGCCATGGAGTATGGGTCCCATTGCTGATAAGAAGAGTGCGAAGAACCAGCCACCGCCGAGAATAGGATAGAAGATGATGGGCTTGAGATGGCGGCCCTTAACAGCACCATAGAAGGTATGTAGGGCAATGGCCATGACAAAGTAGCCGGAAGACAGGTTGCCTGAATATATGTCAGCAATGGTGCATAAGATAGAAGGTCTTCGAGCAACTGACCTGCATTGAGCAAGAAGCCTTGGCTGGTACACTTCACCGAAGGCGCAACGATGCCATCAGTGAACACCCAATGATATGAAAACATGAATGCAACGCCTTGTAGCAAATCCGCAGCCAGGAGGTTGATGATCAACGCCACATACTGGTTATACCCAACGAACGTCTTGTAATGTGCACGCCATGTCAAGAACCGGTAAATAATGAACAGCAGCATGCCGATGGATGAAGCAGCTGATAAAAGACCAATTGTTCCTGGTACTAGCATTCCCTTTTTCAGAGAAGGTGGTAGCGGTGACATGCTTTCCGGAAATGGAAAGTACTTGTCTGATAATGTAGAGCTTGCCATTGTTGCGGATGACGCCGCAGCTCCGAGTACTGTTGCCATCAAGTCGTGTGTGTGTGGTTGATGGTAAGGATGGTGATCCTTGAGACCACGAACTGTGGAGCGTCCGTGTATTTGAGCAGTGCTCAAGAGACCCTCAGATCTTCAAGCTTTCTACACCGCAGTGCAGTTGAGAGTGGTCCTGCAGAATCGGCAACGGCGACGTTGTTAGATCGTCAGAGATTGATGTCGATGGTAGAGATCCGAAAGTCAAATGCCTTGTTGGAAAAGGAGAAATGCCAGACGCAAGTCAATGTTCCGAGAGATTGGGTCAGATCAGAAATGGAGCAAAGGCAGATTCATATAAACCAGATCAGATGACGGCTTGCTGGATATATGAAGGGGGCGAAGAGCAAAACCAGGACACGGGGTACATGTGGTGGTCTAGTAAATGGTATGCTTGCGCTAGAGACCCTCATGGCCCGCCCATCCAACCCTTCTGCAGGTGCGGGTAGATAGCGCATGGCAACTTGGATTCAGACATGTGTACACGGGATATCGGGACAAGGCTTGCTCGTGGTTCAAAAGTCCTGGCGACCCGTGAGTGGTTGGCGTATTGCTAGAAACTCCTGTCAAAAGGCTGTCAGGGGGGTTCTGGCCCTGAATATTTACCCTTGTTGTCTCCACAAACCGTCGCTGCACGTCAACCGTCAACTTGCAGCATGACTTGCATCTTTGGCGCAAGCTCGCGTACAAAATGGCGTCTTCAGCCATTGACTCGTCCGAATTTGAACCATGGACTTCTTCTCTTGCTGTATCCAATGCCTCTGTCGATATTATTGCGACGCTTGAAGGACTTTGAAGCTTCCAGATTGAGACACTCGGCTGCGAATATATTCTGCAGCAAGCACTTCCGTACTCGCTGGGATCTCTAGACGATCATGCAAGAAGCCGAAACAGACAGTCGTGGGAAAGAGCAATACCATGTGTAGTCACAGTGACTTGAGAGCAGGCCGCTACTTGTCCTCGAGCAGACACGTCCGCCGAACCAACGAAATGCTGCTTATTTACGCGATGGCTTCCAGACTCCACAAGGACATTCTTCCACGGCTAGTCAAGCACGAGGCAACAAGCAAACAAGTTTCTTTTCTCCAAGTCGCAATTGGTGTGGCATTCGAAAATCCATCATAGCGCATCCTGCAACATGCAGGGGACGACTTTGGTGTGGAAGTCAAAAAGTGGAAAAGGGAAGGCGGCGGCGGCGGCTGGAAGAGCTGCTGTCTGCCAAGCCACTGGCTTCGATCCGTTGGCGGTCCGGTCGGCAGCGGACCGTCGCGCTTGTTCGAACGAGTCGAAAGCGCTGCTTTGTTTTCTCAATCTTTGGGCAAAGTCACTGGACACATTCACAGAGATTGAGTACACGATAGCTCAACATCCCACGAGTCTTGTTGCCCTGGTAGATTGGCAGCCGCCGTTCGTGACGGTGAAAATGGCTACAGCACAGACAATGAGGAGCCGGCCGAGTTTGAAGTTGAGATCTAGTCTATCTTCTTTCGGGCAATTGCAGTAGCGGTGATGCGGAAACTGATGATTTGGAAGAGTATACCATGTGGGATATATTGATTGCGATTCACGGAGACTGTCGGTAGATTTGGTGACTTTGTTGATCCTGCCACGAGAGATCGAGGCAGCTAATGCTGGGTGGGTGGGACCTCCCCCGTGTGCTAAACTCTGTCACGCGTATAGCTAGCTGATTAGCTGTAGAAATGCACCATTTCGGCATTTACAGAGGTGATCTCCATAGAGAGCGTGACAGTTAGCACCTCTCTATGGACGACCAGACCGATGTTGAAAATATTGTGTATCTCTACAGTCCAAATGACTCCGGGCATGGCTGTGGGAGATGGCTAGAAGTGACAAAATTTAGCACATGGGGAGGGACTGAGGACTTCAAGCACTTTCGCAGAGTCGGAGGGGAAATGCATGATTGGAAGGGAAGAGAAAACTCCATTGCAGTGTGGTGGAAAATATGCCTTGCAAGAGGACCAAGCCTCGGTTTGAGAAAAAGCGAAGAACATGAAGCAAAGATCTATCTCACAGGATCCTTAATCCACTCCACCGCTGATGCTATGGGCAACATGCAAGAAAGGAGAAGAGAGCCTGCTCATAAGGACTCGGAAAGACAAAAAACGCCAGCCATCCCGGTCATGAATATTGGTTTATATTGTTCATCGTGTACGGTCAGGGTCGATGCTGCCTTGCTCTAGATCTGCGATTGGTTCGTTCGCAATGGGGTCGTAGTTGCGGGTGTTGACTGCCTGCTCTTGGATGTCGTCGATATCCAAGGAGTCATCATTAGAGTGAGCGAGAAGAGGTTGAGCGGAAGATGACGAGTATGAACCACTTCCGCCACGGCCGAATGAACGCACGACATCGGCCTTGCAATTGGGGCAAGTACGACGACGGGTGGTGAGCCATGGTGTACTGGTAAAGGTCAGTCTGGAGCTTCGGGACAAATGGTAGAAACACTTACATGCAATCGACATGGAACTCATGGCCGCAAGGTAGACTCATAACACGGCTGACACCGTCCTCGAATTCGTCGATGCAGATCGCACAATCACGTTGCCTACCGCCGTATCTTCTGCGCCATTCAGCTAATCCAGCCTCACGCTTCTCCTGCACTTGATCCAAGCTTGGAGTGTTTGCAGGACTGGAGCCGGATACAGGTACTTCGCTGACTGTACGCGACCTTGGTCTTGATCTAGTCTGGGAGATAGGTCGTGCTCCAGGGTGGAGAAGCGGTGTAGCCGATGTAGGTGCAGCAGGAGAAGTCGCGGCACTATCCGAGACATTCGAGCTGTTGCTGCTAGGAATGGTATGATAGGTTCGCACTGGGAATCTATCAACGATAGATTTGGGGGCTCTCCATCTTCTACGGCGGATGCGAGAGCGAAGTAGCAGTAGAGCATAGACAATGGTTAGAGTTACAAGAGGTGACACGACCAGTACCAGCAGGGTATCGAAGAAAGGTGAGGAAGACATGGAAGCAGGGGTCAAAGTCACCCACAAGCCATCGTGCGACTCGTCTGAATCGTCATGCTCACCGGTAGCCTTGACTACGGGCTTGTTGTTGACTTGCGACACGACATGTGGCGACTTGATGCTTTTCTTCGAATCAGTGTCCTTTTTGTCGTCAGAACCGACGATGCGACCCATCCAAGACTTGGCAGAGTCCTGAGCTGACTTCTTGTCGGAGCCGGACTGTCCCTTTTCAGGCTTCTTGGGTGACTTGAGGTTGATTGGCTTTTCACCAGCGTGGTGGTATTCTCCACTCCCAGGAGTAATACTTCCTCCTTTAGGGCCAGCATGCGGTGCAGCAGAATTCTGATCGGCTGATTTGGGCAACTTGCTCGACGCTGCCTGAGCGGCATTTATTTGTGAATCAAGCAAGTCGGGGTCTCGCCAGTCGTGGACACCAATGACAAATTCATCGCCGTTGGGTGCCTTGGTCTGTTTGGTCGTCTTGGTAGTACTGGTTGACTTTGTGTTGTACTTTTTGGGACTTTCATCCTCAAAGTCTTGTTGTAGGACCCAGTCGATTTTACCACTACTCGGGGGTCTTCTGCTGTCATGACGATCTTCGTCTGAAGACGAGAACAACGAGCCGAACCAGCTTCCTGACTCCTCGTCGTTGTCTTCGTTCTGACGGTTGGGAATGGGCGAGTGGGTGGGTCTGTTGTTGGTCGAGTCCGACTGCTTCTTCTCTTTGGATGTAGGATTACCACTTGTAGGCAAGCCCAAGCCCAAACGTGCAGCATCTTGAGCAGAAATACCGTTGCGGAAGCCTCCTGAAGGAACCAGCTTAGACAGGAGGTGGGCGGTGGTGTGTGAAGTGAAGATGGAAGGAATGGTGACGTTGGATGTATCGCCCCGGGCGTACATGGTCACCAGTGGACCTCCTCGCATGTCATCACCCACGATTAGGGCAACACCTCCTCTTCTTTGTACCCACTTGGCCTTCTCCAGGAAGCCACATCCACCTCGAGTGAGCAGCACGACCTTGCCTGCAATCTCGGCTGTCTCTTGCAATGATTGAATGTCGGCATGGCCGGGCTTCTTTGCCTTTGTCGATGGCTGTTTCAGCTGTGTCGAGGAAACGTCATCTGAGGAAGACAGAGGTTGGTGTAGATGGTCGTCTGTTCCATCGGTCTGGACGTCTGCAGCGTCACTCTCTGTTTGTGTTTCTGATTCGGTGTTCCTCTTGTTCTTGCTGCCTTTTGCATCTTGTGTACCCGAATTCTTGCTCTTAACATCTTGTTGCGTTGCGGTATCGAAGTTGGTGGGTGAGTATTCGCCGTCATTCCAACCCGGGACATCGCTGCAACCAAGCTCTCCTTCTGCTCCGGTGATGCCTCCATGACCAGGATTGTCGTCGCCAAAGCCGGCGCCTATCCAAATCTGACCGCTCAAACCCCTTCCAGGTAATGGTGGGCCAAAAGCAGCGGGGCGTGCAAGGAAGAAGGTCGAGTTGTCATCGGTCAAGCTGATGATAGCTGAGGGCGGGAACAGCGACGATGGAGAGTTCCAGCTGAAGTAGGCTCCAACACGGTTGTTGCGTGCGGCAGAAACACTCCTCGCCTTGGACGCGGCGACGAAGGACAGTACGATGATGAAGATCAAGCACGACGACAGGGACAGAAGCAGTCGTAGAGGTCGCATGCTTGCTGTGATGTAGAGTTAAATATACAAGGCGTATTACCGCAGCGGTTACAATGCGGGTTGATGCTTGTTTGGTGCGTGGGTCATATCATTAGTTCGCTATCGTTTGGTATGCGCCCGTTGGACCCGACAGTCGGGCAGCAGTGGCGGAGGCTGCGTGTGATGATGATGATGGCGACTCTGCGGAGGCGGGAGAGGGTGTTTCGCTGTATCTAACAGACCGAAAGAGTATCAACAGAGGACTCTGTCTGCAGGCGACACGAAGTATTTGAGAATATAAACACTCGAGACCGTTTCTTCTCTACACATCAAACCAGGCCAGACTTGAGGGGTGTGACCGTGTGTCGAGTATTCACTCTCGTTTGCCTTTGCGCCGCATGACTTCAAACTGATCACTCAATCTTTGTCCTTGCCGACAGCCGAATTTTCACGTGATGCCGCGATATATTAATCCTCGTGAGATATTTCTTGTCATGCGACAGCAACATGGAAGCAGCTCTGCTTCAGGACACGAGCTCCATGTGATTCGAGTTAGAGGAATGCGATATGGATTCTCTGCCTATAAGATAGGGCAGGGCTCGTACTACAACGTGCAATGCACTTGTTATCGCCGTTCGATAGTGTAGCACTCCAGACCTCGAGTTCGAGGTCGGGGTACACTGTTTAAAGCCTCCCCTACATATCCATATGCCCAATACGACACCAACTGAGCTCAAAGTCTTCTTCAATCTTCCAGTGATCGATTCCTCGAGGCTCTGCTCAACAATTCTATGGTCGTGGGAAAAGCGTCTTGGTGCTGACATCAACGATTTGCCGGCAACGCGCATCACCCGTGCTTGGGGGTCCGTGTCGCGCCGATGAAAAAGCAACTCGATCTGTTCACTGGAAGCAGATCCGAACATTTCCTAAACAATACCGATAGGAACGGCTGCCAGGAACAGAGAACATCTTGCAGAAACCGTCTCGCATTATGCATTGCGGATTGAAGATTGGTATATGCTAAACAGTAATAGGCACGAGTCAAGATTCGAAACGAAAGGCGAGTCACCTCGTGGGAAACCCTCGAGCAATGAGAAACTGTGCGGGGAGAGCAAGTGGGGGTGGAGTTTGGCAGAGCGATCATTGATCTGGTTGGTGATGCTTGTCTTCGTAACTGCGTCAGCGGCATCGATTTTGTCTCAGCACTATGAATCGTCTTCCTCTTTCACCTTTATCGACCCGTATGTATTCGTACAAATACGCGTCTATCAACAGATCGGCAGACGGTAAAGGCATGAACCTTGTGCCGTTTCTCTAATAATGAGGTAAGTTCACCTGTTGAGAGAGGAGTTCGATGGCGCTTGCCGTGTGCGGGCAGCAGCACTTCCGTCATGCTCTCCATTTCGAGACAAATACATCTTCGGTGGTTCTTTCCTCCAAACATTTCGGTGTATCCTACCGTCTGTATGCACCTCTTTCGCCTCGAATCCCTCTGAGTTCTCTCAACCTCCAACATCTCACATCGACTCTCATCCTGTTTACCTTTTACATCGAGCATTGAGCTTATCCTGTGCTTGTCCTACTTCAAATCTCCATTAGTGCATTCGTCGCACAACAGAATTCCCCTGCAGCGATACCTCCGGATCACCACAACCTCATCTCTTCGTCCAACCTCATCCCTACATCCTAATCCAACATGAATCTCGACCGTCCAGGCAGGGGCCTTTCGCTCCCCTTCATGAAGTACCGCGAGAGCACTCACCATGAACACCGCCTCGCTGGCTTCAGCTGGCTGCCCAACAAAGTTCGCAACCACTTCATCGCCATCGTTGGCGAGTTCGTCGGCACATTCCTGTTCCTGTTCTTCGCCTTCAGCGCCACCCAAGTCGCCAATGCTGCCACGGGTAATGCGGGCGATGAGACCAACAACGACGACGGTTCCATCACGCAAGCACCCAACACGTCGGCTCTGGCCTACATCGCTCTGGCTTTTGGCTTCTCCCTCGCCGTCAATGCCTGGGTCTTCTTCCGTATCACTGGCGGCCTCTTCAACCCAGCAGTCAGTCAATCCCATGCTCTTTCAAGCCTACCAAGTCACTAACTCTTTCGTAGGTCACCCTCGCCCTTTGCCTCATCGGAGCATGCAAGTGGCTCCGCGGTCTTCTGGTCTTCATCGGTCAAATTCTTGGTGCCATTGCAGCTGCGGGAATCGTCTCCTGTCTCTTTCCCAGTGCAATGAACGTATCAACAACCCTCGGAGGTGGCACCTCAGTCGTCAGAGGCCTGTTCATCGAAATGTTCCTCACAGCCATGTTGGTCTTCACCATCCTCATGCTTGCCGCCGAGAAGCACAAAGGAACCTTCCTTGCACCCATTGGCATCGGATTGTCTCTCTTCATCGCCGAACTCACCGGAGTCTTCTTCACTGGTGGCAGCCTCAACCCAGCCCGCTCATTTGGACCTTGCGTCATCCTTGGTGTTTTCCCCGGATACCGTAAGTTGATTCTTGTCACTCAGTTGAGACATAGTTCACTGACATGGTTGTATAGATTGGATTTACTGGCTCGGCCCGCTAATGGGCTCTGTCCTCGCAGTCGGCTTCTACAAGTTCATCAAGACGTTGGAATATGAGACGGCAAACCCAGGACAAGATTTCAACGACAAAGAGGCCGAAGTCTTCCAGGTGGACGAGGATACCGCGACGACCGCAGCCGACGTTGCTAGACCCAACGTGGCAATCGGACGTAGTGAGTACATTGCCGATGGGCGCGGCATCTATCACTCACAAGATGTCCGTCAAGCTGTAGCTGCTCCTCGTGCTCCCGCAAACTACGGAAACACTGGCTACGGTAACACGCATCCTTCCGGTCCCGCTCCTGCCCTTCCTCCAATCAAGGGTGTCTCCGGTGATAGCAACGCCACTGCTCCAGGACGTGGATATGACGGTACCTTGTCTGGTACTACACATGATGGTGCCGATTCTGACCGTACTCGTGATAGTCTAAATGTGCCTCGAGATGCCCACCGCGCTCCCGACCACGTTTATGACGAAAAGAGACGACGAAGTTCGAGCATCAGCGGTCCCCATCACCACGAACAGAAGCGTCGCAGTTCCAGTTACAGTGGCAACCGCCAAGGGGATCGTTACCAAGCATCGGCTGATGCAGAAAGAGGAGATGTCGGAGGGACTTACAAGGTTTCGGGATTGTGATCAAAGAGCAAGGAGATTTTGATATCATCGACAGCATTAACATTGGTGTGGCAGCATGGCGTTGGAGGTTATTGTTTTAAGGCAGGCGTTTTGTACCGAGCGGCATGGAGGATTGTACGCCCGCGATTCACACGCATTGACAGATCGACACCTACGTATTCTCCTGAGCATACAGACTCGTTGTTTACCTTAATTTGTCTCTTCTCATTTCGCTCTCATGTGAAACTTGAAGCTTCTGCCTCGAGTTCTGTGTACTCTTGATGGACCAAAGTAGACAACCTTATACTGATCAATCACCATCATTAAGGTCCAAGACTTCAAAAAACACAAATCGCATCGAGAACGCAAAACACCACAGTCATCGGACATAGTGACAGACGAGAAGAACGGATGCCCAAAAAGAGCAAAAGAAGACGTTCCGGTGCGGGGAATCGAACCCCGACCTCCTCGGTGAAAGCGAGAAATCCTAGCCGTTAGACCACACCGGATGTGATTATGATGATAGAGCGTTTGAAAACACTATATTGCTACACAACCAGCTAGAGCGATTAAGATGTGATGGCAACCGCACAGCGATGAACAATCTAGGATGGAGAAAATGATCGATCTTCGTACATTATTGTTATAGCTATAGACCTTTGTAGTCCATAAGTGCATGTGTTTTTCTATTTCTTTGTTGTTTTAAGAGAGTTGTCCCTATGCCTTGCAAAGGAATCAATGCGTTTGTCTGCAAGTTTCTAAAGAGCGAGATTCCGAAAGCGGGATCTGAGATTTGGAGACGAGTGTGTAATCTCATGAGTTGAGACTCCTATAACCTGTTTTAAGGTATATCAGAGATGTGTTAGTATATAGAAACCATGTACATCACGCGTGTGGAAGGCAAGAAAGAGGAAAATGTGTCTAAGCACGATGAGAATGGTGTCACCCTGTCTGCTACATACCACTGAAGAATATTTTACCATTTTTACTTCTTTTTTTCCTTCTCTGTTTCGCTTGGGCAGTTTCACCATGGCAGGCAGCTTATGGAGCTTAAGACAGGAACAAGCGGAAACGAATATTGGGGAAGACACGTAGAGGATGATCAGATAGTATTTGTATCTCTATGTTCCGTCTGTGAAGAACAAACAAGAAAAAGATCAACGACTATGATACACAATCGGCAAACAAGTAATTGGCAGATATAGATCAAGAGGTAGAAAAGACATTAGGTATTGTTGTGTGCGTGCTCTTGCTTTCGCGTAAAACCCCGTTAATAATAATACATCCAACCAACAAATTCCAGAGAGACATTATACGAAAAAAAAGGAGGTGTGCTTAATGTCTGCACAACCATCCACATCAAACCCGCAGGTTTAGTGGTGACAGGGGGGATATCATTCGAGCATGAGCGTAAAAGAAAAAAGAACAAGGAAACTCGTAAAGCAAATGTTTAGAGTTGGCGATCTTTTTACTCGTACTCTTCCTTGACGCGTCTCTGGGATTCAGAGTCGATGAAGCTGCCGCGGGAGCGGGTGCTGGCCTTGCGACCAAACATGCCGCCCTTCTTGGGAGTGCGGGTGGTGCTGGAGGACTTGGAAACGGCACCGCCGACGCAGAAGAGGATCATGCAGAGGAAGTAGGCGGCGAAGGCAGCCCAGGTCCAGCCGAAACCGTAGCGACCGAGACGAGCATCTTGACCGTTACGACGGAAAGCGTTGCGGCCTTGGACGAAGCATGCACTGTGACAATCATTAGTATTTTGGAATCGTCATTGTGATGGAAATAAAACTCACGTCATGAGAGCGGCAGCAAGAGCCTGGAAGAAGGCAGCGACGGCAACGGTGAGACCGGAGAGGTATGAACCGAGACGAGTGCAGAGAGCAAGGATACCAGTGAAGAAAGCCAAGGCAGCGAAGAAGAGGGCGATCAGGTAGAAAGCGAACATGAAACGCGAGAGGTAGTAGTAGTGGTGAGTTCCAATGAAAGATTGAGGAACACCCTGGTCGCTGCCGAAGTTTCTTGGAGGGTCGAAGGGAAGAGCAGGAACGGGAGAACCGCAGTTCGCGTTGAGGCCATTTTGTTCACCGCAAACGTAGAAGAAGGTCCAGCGAGAGGGGTTGCGGGGAGCAGATGTTCCTGCAGTGTCGACCTGGAGGAAGTATGTCTTGTTGAGGGGGGTGGTGTTTGAGACGCCCGACAGGATGACGAAGAATTGGAAGAGAAGTCCAGCGCCCAAGAGGATGAGGGAAATCAATCCCAGGATAGGTCCTGTACATTGTGTCAGTTGTCGCGTTCAATGTGATGTGGTAGGTAGAAGACATACGCGCTACAGCCATTGTTGTTGTTTGCTATAAGTGAGAGATTAATTAATAATGTGGCTAGGGCAGTCACAGGGCGATTGGTGTGGAGATGCTATGTTCAAGAAGAAGTTGTTCCTTCGGGTGCAGGTCCCAGGTGGTTTAAAGAGCAACGATGGCCGGGTCTGACGTGTGTGACTTTTTGCTTTCGTCTGTCTTGGACAGAACAAGGTTTGGTTTCGATCACGTCCAATTCGAGCCGAGCTAATGACGTCAAGCACGCGGGAAGAGCACGGAAGGTGGATGAAGGGTCCTGGAGATCGTTTGTGCCTTAAACGTCTGGCGATGGAGAGCAAAGAGAGAGTCGGAGACACAAGACGGCTGTGAGGTTGTTACTTGTGGAAGGGAACAGACAAGTACAAAGAAAATGAGCAGATGGGATTGAAATTGGAAGAATACATTCCATAGGTGCGGACGTTTGGATGGCTGTTTCTAGGGATACAGGGATCTGCACAATTACATGTGCGCATCAAGCCACAAACGTAGCTCGCCCAGACCGACCGACAATTGTCATACCGCCTGACGCTGACCACGGACTGTCTAAGCCATCGGTATACGCCTCCAATATTGCTTCGGCATCATGTCAACGATACTATGGCCACCATTGCTGTCAGATTCAGCCTCAACCCTTGGGCAACAGGTAGACGAAACGCGACAACGCGAGCTCTCCTGGCTGCTCTCAGCTCTCCAGGAAACCTTGTCGAGCTTGAAATCCGGACTTGAGGACTGTAGCTCTCTCCTAGCACCGCGCGAACAAGGCAGCACGCTGGTCGTGTCGTCGCATCGCAGCGAAGCTCTGAAAGGATTTGTTACACGCAATGGCTCCAACATCACAAAAGGCGACATTCAGCTGCGCCTCGCTTCTCTGCCACCTCCACGCGGCCAAACAAGCTACAAGCTGTCCATTTCCACATCACCCTCTGCACCTGCTCTCCAAGTGAAGCAGATTGCCGAAGTCAGGACGTTGATCAATTCGAGCTTGGACGTCGTGGATGCGACGGCATGGACTGGCGACAAGGGCGATGCGAACTTCATCTCTGGGCAGTTGACTCTACTGCACGAGAACATCCGCGACGCGAAGGCTGTGCTGAAGGGCTCATCTGCTGGATCAGAGAGCGACAAGACTTGGGCCTCTGATCCATTGGACGAGAAGGTGCGCCCATCAAGCTTCGACAAAATTGTCTTCCTTGCTAACACAGGACACCCTTCAGATCTTTGACCCTCCACCTCCGCCCAACCTCTCTTTCCACCTCAGTATCGCAGACGCCGCACTTATCCTCCACATCCGCACTCTCGAACCGGCATCCGGCACTGGCAGCTCCACACCACTCGCTGGTGCTCCATCATTCACAGGCTTCGGTCTCCGCGATAGACTTGCACACGCACTCGGTGGTGGCCCACGAGCTCCAGCCCACGACGAAGCCGAAGACGTCTTCTCCTACCGCGGTGCCGAAGTCAGAGTCAAAGAAAAGGTGAGGGTTGAGAGTGCAGATCCTAGTTTGATCAGTGCAATGGCCAAGTTGGCAGCGCTTGAGCACACAGTCGAGCTAGGAAGGAGAGCCTTGGATGTCGTTATGGGCAAGGAACACGAAGGTGACGACGATGAGTAAGATACCAGGATTGAGGATTGCGTTTCTTTCGGAGTTTTTGCGCAATTGGAAGATACCCCTGTCAAGATATCACGAATCCGTCCACTATGTTGAGTGACAGCTACGAAATCCCGGGGTTTTGCGCTCGAATTCACATCCACGGCTTAGACATGTCACGTGTAGTCGGAGCCTGTCATTGAACGAACACCAGCAAACTCATTCAACAGTTCAGAAGAGTCGCATGTCATAGACTCGAAGTCTTCGACCTGGAAATCGATTGCCGGTCTCCCTTCTGTCTTTATGCTTAACACCACTCCAGACATGTATCCGTAGGTGTCAAAGATACTCACTGGTCACTTTCTGGGCACTCCAGCTCCCTACTCGTTAGCAAGATTCTTGACCTTGCCCCCTCGTTCGACTATACATGTCACAAAAAGATCTCCCTGGACCTTCACCTAGTGTTCCAACCTTATCCTGCATGCAATGCGACAGCTATACCTTTCGGAAGATTGGTAGTGACGAGAAATCCATTGTTCGATCTTCTTGCGTCTTTCTCTTTTGTAGATGATTCAGAAGGTTTTCAAATCTTTGTAACTGTGGTTGGAGCAATTCTTGAGGAGTGACAAGTAGTGTGTAGGCAGCAATCCACTGCTTGCAATCGTCTCGTCATCAGATGCTTCTTTGACGACCATAAATATCCGAGGAGTATGAGTAGGATTGATAAGCTTTACCTTTTCGTCCTTGATTGTGGAGGAATACGACTAAAAACTACGTACGTAAGTCAAGTATTGGATTGTCATATACAGGTGCAAATACGCATTTGTATATCCTCATCAACGCATCCATCAATTGCTCGAGATATCGCAATGGTTAAACTGTTACTTACAAGAATTTGGGGATAATGGGATGGCGAGGGTGTTTATGGAGCAGCAGGAGAGGTTGTTTGAGGAGATGAAGGAGAAGGGGGTTTGGGTGGCACCTGAAGAGGGTGAGGGGGAAGGCAATTAATGGAGAGAATAGAACTGATGGCGCGAAGAAATGAATGAGCACGATACCAGAGGTGTCATTGGTGGATAGCAGAATGATCTTGAATTTTTTCTTTCGACTGCTTGGACTTCGCCAGGGTGATCACCATCAATAGCAGCGCGCACAGACCACCACCCTCACTCGAATCCTCAGGCAAAGCACAAAACAGCCGCCGAACATGCAGCACAAAGAATAGATCGACTGCACGTAGGCGCGCGGCTGCATACAACAATTCCTCTGTCAAAGAAGAACCGGGAAAAGAACACTCCTGTTGAGAGGCGGTTCTGTTCATGCAATGCATGTCTCGAGTCAATTACGGCATACTCTAGAACTATTGCCCCTTTCTAGTGGTGGATTGGCCGGGAGAGGCTTTTGTGCGCTGCAAGATGAGCGACACCGTTGGAGAGAGAAAAGCGAGATAGAGTAGAGAGGCGTGAGGAGGGCGTGTAGAGTTTATGTAGTTGGTCGTCGACAGATAAGATGGATTCAAGGCTTCCACTGTACTCTACAGATCTCGTTGCATAGTTACGCAGTACCTCGATAGCGAATGTCAGACTCACAGTCAACTTGATCTTCTTGTCTCGTAAAAGACCTATGACTCTCTTCAATGGTGGTGGCGAAGTAATCAATCAAAATCTTCCATCCTTCAAATTGGACCATGACGTGGAGAATGAGATTGCATGATGGTGCTCTTCGAATATATGAACAGGTGATTTGACTTGTGCCGCTTTATGATGCTTACGATCGATGGAGTTGTGTCGTCTTTTCGTATCACACGTCTGGCCTGCTACGGTTGATGAGGATGTACAGCGACACGGTAGAAGGCCGTTGTGCAGAGAAGGTACAACGTTGTGGAAATGGTAAGAGATACTTGCCATGACAACATGGACAGAAGTTGTACTGGTGTGCCTGTTATGCGGATCTGGATGTTGACCTCCTGAAGCGTGTAGAATGGATGTCCAAGGCATGGCGCAACAGGAGATGGATCATGTTATATTATTGATTGGACAGGCGTCGAAGCAGTGGAAGATCTATGGAACAACAGATTCCCAAGGTCTGGTGGGTTTGATGATGTCTTGGGCCTCCCTGTGAAATTAGGTGGAGGTGGGACCGTGCATTTGTCGAAAAAGGTTCGGGTAGCGCGGAAATGCAATCAGGGGGATGGGCGTTTCATATCAGACAGGTCTTTGGCTGCCTCATGGCCGTTGATGGGTTTTCGAGGGTTGCTACTTGGTTACTCGATGTCCAGCTAGTCGTCGTGAGCTCCTGAAGTTGCGTGCGCAAAAACGGTGTCCAAGTACCAGCGACGATATCTACAGTCTCCATTCCTTTGGCTGTTTCTCGACGCGTCCCTTCCTTAACCATCTTGTTTCCAGACCAACTCGGCTCGGCCTACAGTAGCAATACCGTACGCCGCTTGTTGTCTGCTTTTCAAGTCCGAACCGACATGTCATAGACGAACATAGGGATTGCTGGTCACCCTCAATTGCATTTTAAAAGCGACACGACATCATACACCTACAAGATCAACAACAATAGAAAGCGGGCCGTCATGAGCAACGAAACACTCGCCGAGACGCCCCTCTCGCCCACCTTCTCACACCACCCACACCACGCACAAACAGACTCTCTGGTCAGCGTACCACTCACAGACTCAGTGCTGAGTTCACCACTCGAGGAATCCACCCCTAGACATGGTGGACACGACGACGATGAGGTGAGTCGAAATAAACGTCTCGATGCTGCCTTCCAAGTACTAACACACACACAGCACATGGCTGCTCTCCTCGCCCGTCTCGAGATGGAAAACAACGCCCTCGCCATCGATCCCAAAGCTGGTATCGCTACCATCAACGTCTCCAACCACGATCGCAACGCCTCCCTTGGTGGCGCCTCGCTGTTCAGTCTACACATTCCCAAGGAGGCCCTCGGCATGAGTCTCGGTGACTTCTGGGCCTTTGTCACTCGCGACTACGAAGAGGCTTTGGCTTCTATGCCTACAATGACGCCCATCATGATACACAAAGGAGTGCCCGACTTCTTGAGGCCTGTTGTTTGGGGAGGCATTGCCGGTGCACGCGAAGAAAGACTATACTCGGAATTCGACCGTCTACTCGCCCAGATCGAGAGCGAACCACCAACCTCGGACACTATCATTGACAAGGATATTGGCCGCTGCTTCCCAAATCACCCTCTCTTCGCCCAGGCTGGCGGCGAGGGTCAGACCATGCTCGGTCAGGTCTTGAAGTGTTACAATTTGTACGACTCGGAGATCGGTTACTGCCAGGGAATGGGCTTCATCGTTGGCATTCTGCTCATGAAGATGGACGCGAGAGATGCCTTCTGTGTTTTCGTCAGACTTATGGAAACCCATGGACTCCGCGACTCTTACTCACATTCATTGACTGGACTCCACTCACGTATCTTCCAGTTCCAGCAACTGCTGACTCCTCTAGCTCCCAAGCTTGTTGCCCACTTTAAGAACTTGGGTGTCGAATTCGCATACCTTTCACAATGGTTCATGACCATATTTGCCACAACATGTCCTCTGGATACTCTCTTCCGAATTTACGATGTTGTTCTTGCCGAAGGCGCTAATGAGACTGTCATGCGTGTCGCCTTGGCCTTGATCCTCAAGAACGAACAAAAATTACTGGCAATGGCCGAGTTGGAGGACGTGTTGCAGCTGCTTCTTTCTCGTGGTATCTGGGAGCCCTATGAGAACAACCCGGATCAACTCATCGAGGAAGTCACAACCCTCTTTAAACAGGTCGTCACTCGCGAGGCTCTAGACAAGCTTGGAAAGCAGTTCCTCAAGCAGGCCGAGAGAGGCTCTGCAGACAGGACTGTTCGCGCTCTGGGCTTTACCAGTACTTATGGAAACGCATTTAGACTATTCGATTTCTGGTCCAAGAGCGACTCTCTGTCGCCAGCTGCACCTCTTCGCCGCAAAGCGTCTGGACAATCTCTTTCGACTCTCAACTCGATTTCTGGAAGTGGAGCCAGTATGATCAGCACCGACAGCTATGCTAGCACCGCCCCGACTGAGATGGACGACTTTGAGAGAGACAGCGCTACTCCTACAAAGCCCCATAGATCATTCATCTCACAAGACAGAAACTTGCACGAACAGGTCGAAGGTCTCTTGATGGCACTCAGCGAAGTCCAGCGCGAGGCAGCTCAGACTGCTGCGAACCTTCAACGTGAGGAAGCGAGAAGAATCAGAGCCCAGGAGATTGTTGGAGATTTGCTCGAGCTGTTCCGGGAGAAGAAGACAGTTGATGCATACCGCAGACAGCGACGAACAACTCTTCCCTCCAGAATCGACCACGAGAAAACTCGCGAAGAGATGACTGTGCTGAAGAGACAATCCAACTTTGTCAGATCAGTAACGCAGAGCATTATCGCTGGAAACACTCCTGGTCATGACGCCGATGCTGGATTGCATTCTTCTCTACTCAAGCTTTGTGCTCTCTTTGACGCCGAAGCATCGCTAGACTCTGACAGTGGTTCCGAAAATGGTGATACAGCACCAGCACAAGCACCTGCCGCCAGCGAGTACACAGTCAAATTGGAAGCTGAATTGGTCAAATTGCGCCAACGTGTAGCTAAGGACCGCACGCATCGCCATATGAGACGAACACTAGATCTTAAGGATGCCAGACTATCTCTCAAGGCCGGCGAAACACCTTCCGCCGAGTCCATCAGAGTTCGTCGATCTCTTTACCGCCGACACGAGAACAAGGCCTCTCGCGATCTCTCTGGTTCCTTCCCTGATATCACAATCTCCGTTCCTCGCGTACGACCTCATCAACCTCTACCCTCCCCCCGATCCGCTACTCAACAACACCGCCCTGGTCCTCCTCTCCGCATGATTAGATCACAAGATGGCACGGAAATCATGGCCAAGCCTCAGAGATTTGGTTTCAAACGCAAGACGACTGATGACAGTCTCGATCGCGAAACATCCGGCTCCGTCACTCCAACCACAAGCACTGCATTGATACCTAAACGTAACTCCTCCCTGACATCCCAAACTATTCTCTCCACACCCTCACACGCACCGCCCTCTGATGAGACTCTACTGGTCGAACTCGTAGCAGCCAAGACCCGCGAGGCGACCGCTATCCACGAGAACGAGCTTTTGCAAATTTCTCTGGACAAGACACGTCGACAGATGGAGCAACAAAAAGAGGAAATGCAAGCAAAGATTGACGCCATGGAGGCAATGATGCTCGCACAGATGGAAGCACATGAGAACGAAATGGAGAGGTTGAAGATGATGGTACAGAGGCCTGACACGCCTAGTTCGATGGGTATGCAGACGGGTCCAAACACACCGGAGATGCTGGCGCCTGTTGCCCAAGGAGGTGCTGGTAAAGCTGGACCTTGGGGTTGGTTCGGGAAGGGACGAAGTGTCAGCCATTCGCCTACTATGTGAGATAGAAGATTGAAGGAGGATTTATTATCAAGGACGGCTATGTACGACTGGCTCCATTCTGTAGCAGGCGATGCTTTTTCTTCTTTTTTGCTGGTCTAATGTCTATGAAAGAGAAATGTATAAATCAAGATTGTAGCTTTGCAGAGCATTTCTTTGAACCCCCCTGTATTTTTGAAAATCGTCGTGCATTCTGATAGATGTGTTGATGGCTGTTGGCTGACTCGAGCATGGCAGGGAGGTTGGTGCACAACACAACTTCCGGCTCCTGACTCAAATCCCCGCAACCGAACCTCTCTTTTGAATCTTCCCTGCACGTCTCAACCGTTTGTTTCCCTTCAAGTAACAGCTATGTCACTGATATTTTCTTCGTGTCTTTTGCTGATAGCATTGCGAAATCGAATCTTGGAATCTTTGCAGTTCGACCAGGTGTTCTAGCAAGTTGACTTTCGACACTTCTCAAACTCCGCGGAAGCTGGCTGAAGGATCGAAACTGTTATGTTGAGAGGACTTTCGCTGTTGCCTGGAATCATCTTTTCGACAGCGCCTTCTCCATCGTCTGGTGAAATTTGTTACTCGCTGATATCCTATGATTTCCCATTCGACGAGCGACACATCGTTGTCTCTACCGATAAGCGAAGTCGAAAGTATGGATCCTGGAACCGAACTCGCCTCGATCTTGCTGCAGACGACCTTACAATCTAAAGCTTCCGAGGCACTTTGCATACCGGAAATCTTGTCAGATGTTCTCAAATTGTTGAGACAAGATAAAAAAAAGGCTTTACGAAATCTGGCATCTGTTAATAGGATCTGGTTCCAAGAGGCTACACGACTCTTATGGAGAGAAGCTTCATCCAAAGCATTGATTTCTGTAGAAGAATCACGTCGCAATATTTATGCTCCCAAGATCCGCAAACTTACAGTACACCACGCGTCCTGCCACGTACAGCTTCGTCATTGCAATTTCACATCATTGCGGGTTCTCTGCTTCAATCTGGGAGCTAAAGGTGTGAAGCACGATGTGTATAGCCAGTATTTGCGGCCCACTCTAGAAGAAGTCTTCTTTATGGCCTTGCCACCAGATGAATTTCTGCATGGACTGAATCAGCACTGCCCGCGCCTTTGTGTATTCGCCCAAGGCCTACAAGCACACACAGATCGGTCTGACCTTGCTGATTTTCTGACTACGAATCAGTCCTTGCAAAGTGTGAAGCTTGTCTCAGAGTCTGAAGACAATTCTGTTACACTGCTCCAAGCACTAAGCAAGATGCCTTACCTTGAGGATCTTAGTGTGAAGGGTCAGATCCCCGAGAGCGTGTTAAGGCAGCTGCTGGAATCGTCCGCGGAAACACTAGATCTTCCACGATTCAATACATTATCCAAAGTCGAGATCACCGTTGGTGTACCTGCGCTATCACTGCTTCGCCCAACGTTTAGTGCCATGACAAGCCTCACTCTCGACATTCTGATAGAGAAGGAAAGTCATGAACTCGATGCCCTTGCTCATCTGCCTCTCGAAAGTCTGCAACTCCACATCGCCGCTGGGATTCAATTCTCGTCCCAGGAACTTCTATTCCTGCACAATGCGAAGAATCTGCAAAGTCTTTCTATCCGGCCCAAGCCTTGGAGTCCGACGATAACGATGCCAAACCTCACAATATCTAACGACCACTTCAAACAGATTTTCGCCAATCTATCAGCGCTGAAGAGACTTTTAATTTGGTTCTCTGTAAGAATTAACGACACGCATACCGCTTTGCTCGATCTTGGTCGCTCCTGTCCAAAACTCGAGAACTTGCGCATGTATTGTACCGTCGAGTTGGCTTCTTGGACCAATATACCTACGCCACTGTTTCCAAGCCTCACCTTTCTATGGATAGCCTCTGTCAATGACGACCGGCTTGATATAGATCCAAGCGGACAAATCTCTGAACACTTGGCTGCTTTGATTGATAAAAAATGCACCCAAATTGGATAGATTTGTGGCCATCAATAATTATGCTTATCGTCCGACGGAGGCTAGAGAGTTGTCGAAATATGTGATGAGGGCGCACGGTAGGATAAAAGAGATCTCGCAGACACGACACTCACAACATGACAATGATAGATGAGAATCGAATGACTTTGCGATAGACGACTGATAGCAAACTCTGGGGAAGTCGCGTCTGCTCAACCTACGTCGCAATGGCAACCGGGATTGCCGCCTGAACATATTTTCTTTCCGATCTCAAAACATGTTACAGGAGACCTGTATTATGTACAATACAGACTCTAGAAGTCCCGAATGTCTCCGAGCTATCATACCGGATACTACAATTCTTCCAAGCAAATCGTAACACACTAGCCAAAGCAGCGCGAGTGAACAGCTCGTGGTTCGTGTGGGCTACACGCACCTGACCACACCCATCTGGCTAGGTGTTCAGAAGCCCGTCGTCCTGTATACGCTTCTAAGATACGATCACTTACGCTCGATGATGCGAACGACTCCTGAAAGGCTCACTCAATCACGAAGACTCTGTCCTTCCCTCTGTCGAAGGAGTACCGGGTTATGCAAACGGGACGTTCGGATGGCCCGCCTCTACCTATTGTCTTGCATCATATCCAGCCGTCACTCGAGAGGATTGAATTTTGTGACTGGACCAGTGGATTCGATGAAGCTCTTGTGGAGAAATTATGCTCTGAGTGCCCGCGGCTACGGTATATCAGCCCGGAATATCTTGGTGACGAAATTTCGCCCAACGATCTATCAAGACTCTTCCGCAATCGATCGTTCAGAAGCGTAGAGTTGGGTCTCGAATATGACGCCTTGAACGCGAAGGTATTTGGTGTGCTTTCTCAGATGGAAGATCTCAGAGAGCTGTCAATCACGTCTACACTATTCAGGTTTCAATCTCGACTTTCAACCATTGAGTTCTCGAAAGAAGGTAGTGACTCACTGGTGACGCGAATTTGGGAAGATGTTTATTGTCACGTTGGTTTTGAATTTTATCATCTCATCCAGGGACCTCTTCGGGCCCGATCTTGAATATAGAGTGACCAGAGTGGAAAGGATCTTAGATATCGAAAGTCATCATTGGAAATCCGAGACGGGCACAGAAGAGATTTGGTCCGAGTCGGACAGCGATAGCTCGAATAGTAAGGAATCTGACAGGGATTATGCATCTGAGGACGGGCAAGATGTTTTTGCTCGTGCTGGGAGTCGGTAAGCAAATGTGGCAATTTAGCAGATGTATGAAATCTTTGGCATCGGACTCTCTCCAAACAATGAGTCGAGAAGACATGATGTTGCATGTCATGCTCATCCCGCTTGATCAGTAGGTTTACCGTTACTAGCTGTCAAAATGTACAAGAATATTGAGAATCCAGAGAGGCTCAGTGAGAGCTCGACCGTTCAACACTCTCAGTGGACACATCTCAAAGGCTCAATCACTTTGTGCATCTAGTAGCTGGATAGATGCTCGCATCCTTTTGCAGAAATAGCTGAATATGCTTTAACAAACTGTTATGTACTTTGTATCGAGCCTTCCAAGTTTCGTTTTGTTGATTGTGTTACTCTCATGTCGGGCCGAAAATTTCTCCGCCTTCCCAGATGTTTCCGCCCAATCTTCTCTCATGAATTACAAACACGATGGCCGCAGAACAGGTCTTGACGAGCCCTGAACTCTTGTCCAAAATCATTGGGCGTCTTCCCTATGGCTCATCACTTTGCTCTGCAGCTCGAGTCAACTCGACATGGTTCGATCTTGCCACGAACGTGGTTTGGGGCTCAGCACACCAGATCTCTGTAATCCCAAGCCCGAAACGATTGGCGGACGTGAAGCGCGCTCGTCGTCAATTATATGCTTCAAAACTGCGGTATCTGGATTTCTCTGACAACATGGACTGTACGATCCACTCCCTGTTCCACGGTCTCAGATTTCCAAGAATGACGGATCTTGTTTTGACTGAAGATGGCCAATCGGAAGGCACGTACTGCCCAGTTGCGCAATACCTACAACCCAACCTGAAACGACTCGAATTCCAAGATTGGTCAGACGAGCTCACTACGACACTGCTTGACGACGTTGCTGAGAAATGCCCACATCTTCAACGTGTTGATCTCAGATCATCTGGCCACAGCATTCGGCCTACAGATCTGGTCGAGTTCTTCTTTAAACTCCCTGCACTACGGTACGTAGGGCTTGACATCAGTCGCCGTCTGCTTACGAAGGATGTATTGCTTCAGTTGTCTCGCATCCAGAGCTTAGTGACATTGGAATTGAGTTCCAGCATCAAAGGAGATGATGCATTTCAACATGTCATCGAGCACAACCCAAATCCGTTCGCGGGACTGAAGTTCGCGCATCTTCGCATGAGGTCTCCAGCAATTCCATTTATGGTGCAAGCTTTTCATACCATCGTCACACTGACCTTGACGCTTGAGGACTCTGGAGCGCACGCCCTCAACCATGTCAGCAAGATGAAATCCCTCAACGCCTTGAACATTCAATATCGACAGGATAACACAATCGACCTTGACTCATTGATGTCTCTTCGCTCACTCTCTCAATTACAGCACTTCGGAATTGGCCCAGAAGACAAAGATGGGATGGCTGCGCTAGATGAAGATATGACCGAGGGTGACTTTGATCTGTTTATCACCGGCTTTCCTTCACTGATAGGCTTCAACTTCACTCTGAATCACCCTCTCATGGTTCAGTCACTAAGCTGTCTTGAAAAGCGCTGCCCAAAATTGAGATGGATCACATTAGGCAAGTGCTGGGATCTGTCGTCGCTTGTCAGTATTCCAGCTCCATTGTTCCCAAATATCCACGGCATACACATCTTCCTCGATGAGGCAGATATCGATAGATGGGCTACTCCGGCACAACTCGCCGGCATCATTGACAATCATGCTCCGAAGTTAACATATTTTAACGTCATCACGGACGGTAACTATTCTCTCGGTCTGAGGGAAGCTTGGAGGGCTTTAAGAGGCAAGTACCCTTAGATGCCGGATGAACCATGATTATGGACTGCAGTAGACGAGGCTATAAATGTCCGAAGTTTAGTCGCCTGTATGCCGAAGTTTTTCATAACTGCTAGGTGCTTAGATGAGCTAGAGGACTTAATTACTACTCTATGACCATTGTTTCGAGGACAAGAGCTTCATATGTTGGCTAAGCTTTACAATCAAAAAAAGGCCTAATTCGCTATCCGTACAAAATCTGCGAACGCTAAAAAGACTAGACGAAACTATAGCCTTTTACAATAGCGCAAGTTAAGCATTAATTAGCCATTGTTAATCCGGAGAATATAGACGGATAGATCGGTATTACAGACTTAATAGATACCTATTTTGAGCGCCAAACGTGATTAAGAGGGACAGTCGCCTAGTTAGCAACACCGGAGAAATCGCAGCCGTCGTCCCGGGCCGAGATTGCCCCATCGCATCCCTATCTTAACCTGAGGAAGCAACTGCCTGCTCCTCTCTTGCCTTAACACAAGAGTAACAAGCAAGCTTGATGTCTTCTAAAATTGAATCCTGAGAAAATCTACTCCTGTCTGCTGTTAAAGTCGGTTTCCACATTTGTCCCTCGAACGACCACTATAGCGCTCGGCGCAACCTCAATCTTGGTTAAGGCTTTTCCTGTCTGTTCGCATCGCTATTTGGACACGATGACTTCCTTCACAATAAGTGCACCTTCGATTCGGATACTCGTGGCTCTCTGTATATGTTTGTCCGGCCTTTGGACATCAAACATCCTCAATCACCCCAAAACATTAGAGAGCGATCTTTCGACCGTACTCTCCAATCGAACCCTGACTCTCGAGCTTCCCGGCCATGGCGAAAACAGCATCGCTGCCGCATATATACCAGGCTCTCTGAGTGATGGTGGTCGCGAGTCGATATTCTGGTGCAGCTTGTTAGCTCTCGCTAGTGGTGGAGCCTACATCTACGATAGAATTCGAGCTCACATCTGGTCTCAACTATCCGCCTTGAATGAGGGTACTCAAGCGGTGCCCAAGGGCGAGAGACTTAGATACTATCTGAATGGTGTGAGGAATCTCAAGTTTACTGGATGGATTCATTCGACCGGGGATAAAGACTTCTTCATGGCCTGCATGCTATCAGTTCTTGCAATCATTGGAGCCCTCTTTGCTACCATCGAGTCTGGATTACAAAACATCACTAGCGATACAGTCGTCAAAAAGGCGGAACATTTCTTGTCTGACTCTGGGGCCGGGGGAAACTTAACATTTGGAAGCTCTGCTGCCCACGGAAGCTACACTCTCGAGAGCTGGACCTGTCAACTTGTACCATTGATTCCAATATCAGCCGTTGAAACCTCAACTCGGGCGCGAGACGTTGTGAGCCAGTCTTGTCGTGACGCTCATACCTCTCGCTATATCCTCCTCGCCATGCTGCCTCTCACCATTCTGATGCTTTTCACCGCCTTGAAACCACACTGGTTCACCTTCACCTTGGGCAAGGATGGATCACGTCCCGATTGGATGGCAGTACCACTCGAAGATAATGAGAGTGAAGGGGAAGATGATCTCATGGCGGGCTTCGGCGGCAACGCAAGAGAGCAATGGTTGTTGGAAGAAGAATAAGCTTCAAATCGAACCTCTCAGCTCTTTACTGCACCTTGGTTACTCTATCAGAATGCAAGATGATTTTCGAATGACCTGAAAGGTTCAGCGAAAGCCACTGGACCATCCGCTCTCACTGGACAATGCTTCCGATTGTCAAAAACATCTTGTATCTTGACAGGGTGATTCGCAGGCACCAGGCTCACAAAGATTACTTCGACCTTGCATGGACCCGAAGAGACGCGGCGAGGGCCCGGAAGCGTAATTTCAGCCTTCCTAGCCAGGCGCTATTCCTCTGTCGAAATGCAAGATGGTTTTGCAGTTGTCGAGAATCTCCAGCGAGAGTCATCTAACTCCTTACTCTCACTGGACCAATCTGCAACTACGAAAAACAATCTTGCATCTTGACAAGTACCTTCCAAAGCTTCGTGGCATTGGGAGTGCTACTTTTTCCACCCCTTCGTGAAGACAACTCCATCTCAAATACTGAATCAGCAGCCCGAAGATATATTCTGACCTACCTCACCATTTATGGCATGAACATCACCGTTCCTTACTCTGCCACATGGCTATTCTCTGTGCTGGAAAAGCTCGCCCTGGAAATGTCGTCGGCGGAAACGGCATTTTTCGTGGTCACGACCAGAGATGGTGGCAGGGCTCACAGCACTGGGATCACGAGCACACATCTCGAACACGGTGGTCCGTTGCCAATGACAGGATTGACATAATGCATGGATTATGTAGCCCCCCATCCAAACGGTGAAGGGAGACGCCATGAAAAGACTGAATGTTCCGATACCCCATCACCATCAACAACCATGCAAAAGGGCAATGAAAGAATGTAAATTTCAATCAAGCAAGCGATCTAGCTATTCATGAATCTCCATCACAGTAAACGCATATCTAAAACATTTTAGGCAAAAAGAGAGCATGCCTGCAGAGTCCAAAGATCGGCTTCCTAAGCAATAACATCATTCGCCTGTTCCTCGGCTTTGTCTTCTGTCTTTTGCTCGGCGGCATCTAATCCGTTACCATTTTGATCTTTTCTCACACTCGCAAGCACCTCTGCCAATTCGCGCAAGAATCTGGTGACTTCGTCTTCAGTGCCGACGGTGATGCGGAGGCAGCCTAGACAGCCTGGCTCCTTTCCTCTAAAACGGACGACGACGCCGCGGGATTCGGCGAGTTGTTCGTAAACGGCAAGGGCGATCTCGTTGGAGGGGTTGGAGGAAGAGTCGAGCATTTCTACCAGCAGGAAGTTGCTTGCTGCACCACCGCGGAAACGACCAATGCCGGAAATCGAAGGCATTTCTTTGAGCATACGGTCGCGTTGTGTGATGATCTTGTCGCGGTTGCTGCGCATGACAGCGAGGTTCTTTGGTTGCAAGGCGGCGATGGCGAGTTGAGAGGTGGGGTTCGAGATGTTGTAGGGTGCCTTGAGGGAGTTGAGGAGGCGAGCAATTGGCGGTGATGTGAAGGCGGCACCGAGACGAATGCCAGCGAGACCGAAGGCCTTGGAAAGGGTTTGCATGACGACGAGGTTGGGCCAGTCGTTTACCCACTCGGCGAGCGAGGTGCCATCGGGGGCGAAGTCGATGTAGGCTTCATCTAGCACGACGATACCGTTCCATGTGGGGTGTCTGAGAACGGTCTCGACGTCTTCCTTGCGTGCCAGACTGGCGGTCGGGTTGCCAGGTGAGCAAATGTAGACCATCTTGATGGTGGCATCTTCCGACAGCTTCTCATTGATCAGGTATGGTTTGAGGGCGAAGTCGTTGTTGACGTCTAGCGGGGCCTTGACCACAGTGACATCGTTGACCTGAGCTGAGACAGAGTACATGCCGTATGTGGGAGGGCATGTCAGGATCTTGTCCTTACCAGGGGTGCAGAAGGCGCGTATCAGGGCGTCAATGGCTTCATCGCTGCCAACACCGACGAAGAGGTTGTCCGGCGTCAAGGTCTTTTGTGTGTGGGTCTTGGTGTTACGGAGGTTGCAGAGCAATTGCTTGAGCTCAGGCTGGTGACTGGTAGAATCTGTCAGGCTTCATCCTCATCGTGTTATTCAGGCTGGCGCATACGGATCGGGGTAGCGATTGAGGCCGAGAAGGTCGACTTCGACACTGGCATCTCCGTTCAAAGCATTCTTCAGCTTGCCCGAGGCACCGTCGATTGCCAGACCGGGACCATAGGCGTTCTCATTGGCGTCCAAAAGAATGTTTGTACCGTCGTCTTTGTAGTCGCTAAGGTGAGTCACTTGTCAGTTCAATTGCCATGGATCGCCGGAGGGAAGGACGCACTCTCTAGCACATCTGTAAGGCTCAAGAGCCAGAATGTTGGGACGAGCACAAGTCTCAAGATTGAAGGCGTTGACTGGACTAGACATGGCGAATTGATATCATGTGGGATAATTGTATCAAGGAAACAAAAGATTAATTGCGAAGCTTCAGGTCGACGTTCGGCATGTGAAAGTCAGAGTCATCGCGCTCGGGCTCGGATCAGAAACGTCACCGGCCCGGCCTGCCAAAGACGCCTGACCCAAGCCAGACCCAAAGAGAGACGGGCATGCCGGCTCCTCCGCGACTGCCTGACCGAATCACATGAAAATTGAACAGATAATCGAATCTCCCTCTAGTCTCTCCTAATCTGACAAGCTCCTTCCTTTCTTCACCTCCAGTTCTTGCGTGTTTCTCCGTTGCTTGTTTCCCAAATCGCACCTTCCACAGTTACATCATCTTGCGCCGGCACTTGACGACCGTTTGGATCACAGCTCTACGCGACACGTCCGTCATCTTTTGCATCATCGCGTACAGTTCTATACAACTTCCTTCATCCTGGATCAATAGTAGAACATGGCGTCAACACAACCTATACCCGAAACTCGGGTAATATCACCGTCACCGACACCCACCGAATCCTCGTCCGCACGCGACAGCTACTTCACCAGCACAACCAAAAAGCGCAATGGCCGCGTCAAGAGCCCACCGTCCATCGCAGAATCGCCAGAATCCTCCGACCCAGAAAGCAGCCGCGCCAGACCCCGAAGCCGAAGTCCCAAACTCTCAAAGAAAGACTCGGCAAGAAAGATCCCCAAATCTCCACCAGAGCCTATAAAAACAGATGGACATTTGGATCCGAGTAGTGCGGGCATGGGCTCGAGTTATTGGCGCAACTTGAGTAGGAGTCCGAGTCCGCTGGGCTTGATCCCGTTGCATCGCGAATGGCGCAGTTTCATCCACAGACACGAGATTCCGAGAAAGGCTTTGCATGTCTCTATTGGTTTCTTCACGCTGGGACTGTTCGTCTCTGGCGCGCAGACTAGTGCTATACATCCTCCTCTTCTTACCGCTCTGATCCCCATCTTCGCTGTCGATTTCATACGCATGCATTACCCGTAGGTCCATATGCCACTTACCGTTCTGGCATATAGCAAAGCTAATACAAGTGACAGCCCACTCAACCGCCTCTACATCCGAGCTCTGGGTGCCTTTATGCGTGAATCAGAAGCCCACGATAAGTACAACGGCGTAATCTCCTATCTCGCCGGCGCTTGGGCAGTCCTCCGCTTCTGTCCCAAAGACATCGCCGTCATGTCTATTCTTCTCCTCTCCTGGTGCGATACAGCAGCCTCCACGTTCGGCCGTCTCTGGGGTCGCTACACCCCTCGCGTCCGCAAGGGTAAAAGTCTGGCTGGCACAATAGCTGCCTTTGTCACTGGTGCTGCTGCCGCAGTGGTGTTCTGGGTCGTTGTTGCACCAAGAGTGCCTGCCGAGTGGAGCACTGGAATCAACGCCTTCGCGTTCGACGGAACCCTGTCATTACCACCGACGATCAGGAATCTACTCGGTTGGAAAGAGGTGGAGAGTACAGTCTCTGGCACCGTCGCCACCACTATCGTAGCCGTGGTCTCTGGACTTGTGGCTGCCGTCAGTGAAGCCATTGATGTCTTTGGTCTCGACGACAATCTTACCATCCCTGTGCTCTCGGGCATTGGATTGAATGCTTTCTTTTGGTGTTTCGGTGGCGGTTTGGTTTGATGAATATATGATACCTCTGGGGGAACAAGGGCGACAGGAAATGAATTGAGAGCATGGCAGGGAGGCACGAAAACGAAATTATCATAATGTAGAATATTCACAACTTTCCATACCCATCTTTATGGTTCCTTGTGTCCTCTGGAATAACCTCTACTCCCAACAGACCGTCACTCGATTCTGGATTGGCTCTTGCATTTTTTCACAGGTATAGATTTGACAAACGCTCGTCCTTGAGATTATTGCAGCCGCACCCTTCGTGAGGTCTTCCCAAAGGCCACCCACACTTCAATCTTTCCTCCATACTCCAAGTCACCCTACCTCTTGCATTGAACAACTTCTTGCAGCACTTCTAAATTCAATTGAAAAACTGTTCAGTATTGAAATACTCACTCACTTCGTCATTGCATCATTGCATCATTGCAGCGTTTATATATCACAACTCACCACGGCGTCTGAGATGCCATATTCGATGAACTCTGGCTTCAGGAGCCCTGGCAGTTGGATTTGTGTTTGCGCTTGTATCTGTGTCGGCCCATCGGTTTCGACTTCATGATGCCCATGCAGCAGATGGAGCGCATGAACCCCCTACTGTCATTCAACAAGATGACACTTGCCAATCACAACAGCGTTCACCGAGGCTGGGACAAGACTCAAGTTCGAGTCCAACCGCTACATGACTTGGCCCATTGAGATCGTACGTCGTGAGACTGAGCAAGTCTACGAGCTCAACGCCAGCAAGGTCCAGGACGCCGAAGTCGAAGTCGAAGCCGAGAAGGCTGAGGTCGGGGCCATTAGAGTCGAGCAGGAGGGACAGTAAAGCACTCTTCTGAGTCTTCACTCAAATTGTCTAGGGGTGTGGTCTTGTGGAACGCCCTTAGCCCTCGTTTGTATGAGTAGTATATGGCAGTCAACTAAGATGTATGATGTACCTCAGGGTCTGCAGGAGCGGTAGGAAGTGATTGGTGATCATGTTGGTATCGCTTCGAAGGGTATTCAAGAGGAAGGATAATTGTGCTCTAAGCGATCGCGGAAATGGATGTATACAACTAGGCAGCATAGACAGATCTCCTAGAAGAACCGGCGGTGGGTGGAAGATGTCCGTGTCCTAGTTTATGGGCGTTGACGTCGCGCACTATCCGATGAGCAAGAACGTCTTAATCCAGCTGTTGTGACCGCACAATGGTTTGTTCCTTGGACTAACGATCATCTCAAGGAGAACCCATGTCGCGTCCAGAGATGAACAGAGCGCGTAGCCGAGGATGCGTCCCTATATCAGTGATGAATGTATTCATAAGAGCTCATATCAACTGCTTAGCCCACCAATATACGATCTTATCGCCTGACACACAACGATATCAAGCCCTACCAATTCTCAAACGTGTTTCAGCAGCAATATCAAGGGAGACCTCGGTGTTGGAAGACCTCAAACGTCATGAGGCGCAACCCCACGCGCCCCGGATAACGGAAGAGGATCCGGCACATCCCCCACGGGGCGAGGATCTGGGGTACATACCTAGCAGTTCCTTTTGCAAAAACGGTCGAAGGTGTTGACAAGATCTTCTGTACTTTTGTCCAAGGCTGTCCAAGTCTGATGTCTTATGAGGCGGCTCGGCGGGATGCGCGGCTCTGCTTGTGTTAGATAGTGGTAAGAGGCGGGGTAACATCACCTATTTCGCGTAAATGCAGACGGTGATTCGACAGTGATGACAGGATCGAGCGATATGCTCAAGCGGAAAGGATCCCAAGAGTTCGGCTGACACTGAACAGCCATGGTGACATAGAAGGCGCGCGTAAGCTCTCGAGGGGATAATTGACAGCTCTGTCCTTCCCAGATCGTCAGCTATTTCTTGCTTTCAAACCTGTTTTTGCACTTCTTTTATACACGACTTTCAGCTCTTTTCGGTTCCGCTATACATAGCTGAAGAACCTAGATCCCAGTACACAGTATGAGTAACCGCCACCCAGATGAGCAAAGTTCTGGACAATGGACCAATGCCGGAGTGTCAAGGCCTTATGATGAATGGGCGCAGACACACCACCCTCGAGACTTTACCAGGAACAGGAGTTCGCAGCACATCGACCAGAACCAGCATCCAGACTCTGTACACAGCCAATCTCATGATCCAGATGACGATCCCATGAAGCTGAAGAGATGGACGACCCGACCAGGAGATCACGTCGAGCATATCGGTGAGCATGGAGATGCTGGTGGCGCACCACTGGATACCAACACGACAACATCGTCGTCTGAAGGATTGCGATATACCAGAACTCACCTCGGTCTTCATCCGCATGCACCCATCGCGGAGGAACATGACGCAACGAAGTATTCCAGTTTGTGGTGGAGCAAGGTTAGATTGGCGTTGAGAGAGCCTTTTGCCGAATTCTTTGGAGTCATGATCCTCGTCTTATTTGGTGATGGAGCGGTGGCTCAAGTGCTTCTCAGCAAAGGGCAGACGAGCGCACCCGGCGGTGATGGTTACGGAAATTACAATGCCGTATCTTGGGGATGGGCGTAAGTTCTTGTCGAGCCTCTTATTTGGACCTTTTTTGACCACCTGACAGTATTGGCGTGATGCTGGGTGTATACATCGCTGGTGATTCTGGAGCATACCTCAATCCTGCAATTACCTTCACCAACTGCCTTTTGCGAAAGCTGCCATGGCGAAGATTCCCGGTATACTTCCTTGCACAATTCCTCGGAGGTCTCGTTGCTGCTGGAATCATATACGGCAACTATGTCAACGCCATCAATGCGTACGAAGGTCATGGTGTCAGAACGGTACCTCCAAGCCCGACTGCGACTGCCGGTATATTTTGCACCTACCCTCAAGCATACATGACCAAGGCGAGCATGTTCTTTTCCGAATTCATCGCCAGCACAATCTTGATGTTTACTATATTCGCCCTTAAGGACGACACGAACAATGGAGTGTCTCAAGGCGGAGGCAACTGGTTTCCTCTGGGCTTATTCTTCCTGATCTTCGGCATCGGTGCATGCTTTGGTGTTGAGACCGGCTATGCGAGTAAGTGTTGAATAAATGCATCCCGACGAGCAATGCTGACAAACCGTAGTCAATCTGGCTCGTGACTTTGGACCACGTCTGATGAGCTATGCCTTGGGTTACGGACATGAAGTGTGGAGTGCTGGAGGATATTACTTCTGGATTCCGATGGTTGCACCATTCTGCGGATGTGTGTTCGGAGGTATCCTCTATGACGCATTTATATATACAGGGCCTTCGCCCCTCAATACAGAGTGGCTGGGGTTGAAGGACGTGGTGCATCCTCGCCAGGCGATCGATGAGAGACTTCGGGTGCAGAGGAAGGAAGGTATTGTCTAGACGTTCACCGTCGAGCAGGCAGAACACACAGTCGGTGGAGGTATTAATAGGCAGTTCGAGCTCTCATATCGTGATCGTAGTAGACATAATAGCCACATCTGTATAACATTAATTGATGAGAGTTGTTGAATGTTTCTCGTGTTAATAGAGCGCTCTTCAACTGTTGAAAAAGAAAGGAAAAGGGAAAATAAAGAAAGTTGTTCTGTGACGATCGCCAAGGCTGGTCATCAAAAACGCGTGGGTGCAAGCGCCAAAGTTTGGGAAGGCGCGACGCGTGCTCGATTCACGACTTGTCCGCGTGCCTCGACTCCCTTTGCCGGCGTCGAACAAGGATAGCAGGAGACATACCCAACTCAGACAACGCCATTCTTTTCTATCTGTGAAGCATTGCTCAGCTGTGCTCGAGTTCTCTCCCAAATTCAAGCTCTGAACGACAGAGTATGAGACTCTACGACATCCCTACCAAACGCGTCACGACCACGACTTAGATTGAACGACTCTTGCAAGGAAAGAACGACCCTCACCCACGCATGACTTTCTAGGACGAAGACTTCCACCATGTATCTTCCTCGGACGCTTCTCTCACATCTCTACACGCATCTGGTCCGCAACACGCATCCACTTTCACCACCCGTCTTGATACTCGTATCGCTCGACCCAGATGCTCTCTGCGCGTGTCGAATCCTCACTGCACTACTCAAACGCGACTACATCCCTCACAAAGTCCAACCGGTAGCCGGATACAGCGAATTGGCCGCTGCTGGCAAGGACCTCGTCCTTCCGTTGACGCGTCAACATGGAGGTCAAGGTGGTATTGTCGTCTGTCTAGGCGTTGGTGGACTGGTCGACTTGGAAGAGATGCTCGGTCTGGATGGAGGTGAAGACCCGGAGACACAAATGAACATGTACGACCACGGTGTTGAAGTCTGGGTTGTGGATGCAAGAAGACCGTGGAATTTGCAAAACGTCTTCGGTACTGGAGCAATGGCACCACCCGAGGAACAAGACGCCGCAATAACACCTGCGATAGCAAAGAGGAGGAGGGGCGTTGATGGAGGCAAGCTCTTACCATCATACACACCAGGAAGAGGAGGCATCATCGTTTATGACGATGGCGATATCGAGCAAGAGTTGAACGCTGAGAAAGAAGCCTTCATCGCTCTACAGGACATGCCTGACATAGATGAAGAGGCTGATGATGGTGACCTCGATGACGAGAGCGACTCGGATGATGCTGTTGAGGATTCACAGACACGAAAGCGAAAGACATGGAGTGATGATGATGCAGAGGAAGAAGCAAACAGTGACGACGACGATCTTGACAGACCATATCAAAGGCGGCGCAGTAATTCGGTATGTTCAGTCCTCCTGGGACCGTCTTGACAAACGCTAACAGCCTCATCAGAACACATCAATACCTGCTACTCCTCGATCACCAGCATCACGACACGAACGTATGGAAATGTCCAACCACCCATCATCTTCACAACTAGGGCCAGTCCCTTCATCACCCCCACTTCACCCCAAGGAACCGTCCGCGCGCTCTCTCCGTCGCAAGCTACTCAAGATGAAGCGAAAGCACGAAGCTGTACTAGAAGCATACTACTCATTAGGCACATCAGCATCAGAGCCGATATCATCCATGCTCTACTCGCTGGCCTCAGAGCTTGGTCGTGAGGATAACGATCTCCTTTGGCTAGCCTTGGTCGGTATGTCATCCACTGAGCTCTACGGACGCTCAAAGACAGCAAACTCAGAAGCACGCCAAAATCCCTGGAACTTGAGCCGTGGTGACCAGATTCGAGATGTCCTCCGTGATGAAGTTCGCCGTCTCAACCCAGTACCGGCATCTGATATCGCCAGAGAAAGAGACGAAGCAGGCGGCATCATCCCTACACACGCACGCTCACCGACAGATAACTCGATTCGTCTCTCACCAGAACCTAAGTTCCTTCTCATCAGACATTGGTCTTTGTATGAGAGTATGCTCCACTCACCTTATCTATCATCACGACTTCACATCTGGTCCGATGCTGGACGAAGGAGACTTCACAAGCTTCTCGCAAAGATGGGCGTGTCCCTAGCAGAAGCCGAGAAGGGCTACACACATATGGACATGGAGTTAAAGCGTGGCCTCCGCGAGCGTCTCTTGAAGTTTGCGCCAATGTATGGACTTGACGGGCTAGTACCGCCAGAGGACAGTCACCGTCACAGACATGAAGGCTGGGGCTTCGTCCGCTCATGGGGTTGGCAAGCATGTCTGTCGGCCGTCGATGTTGCCGTCATCACGAGTGCCATACTCGAAGTGGGCACAGAACAGATCTTCGAAACAATCTCTGCCGCGACACCACAAACAGACTTCCGCATGAAAGTCTACTCAAACTACAACTCACGTATGCAAGCTCTGCCGACACCGCCCACATCACACAACGGCGACTCTTCACCTTCACAGTCACAGATCGAGCAGGAAGCCGCAATCACAGATCCAGACTGGACCACCCACCGTTTCTTCGCTGCCTACGACGCTCTTTCGCCATCATCTACAGCTCTTCGCCTCCTCCTCGATCACGTTCCCACAGCACAACATCTGCACAGAGCCATCCTCCGCACCGGCAGTGCTCTTATCTCTAAACATCAAATCCGTCATCTTCGCGCCTTCCGCATGGGCGTCGTTCGTGAAGGCCCAGATGTAGGCCTCTTCATCCACCCTGGCGCCCTAGTCAAACTCGCCACATGGGTCAGCGAAGCAATATCCGTCCTCGAAGCCGAGAAGGGAGCAAAACGCACAGCAGACTCTGGTGCTCTGGTACTAGCAGCTCTTGATGAGCGAAGAAGCGTTTATGTGGTCGTCGGTCTTGGTGGCGGCGATGCAGCAAGCGGGCGTGTACGCAGTCGTGCCGAGCAAAAGGCCCGCGCCGACAAGAAGGCTGCAAAGGAGGCTAAGCAAGCAGAGAAGAAAGCGGCCAAAGTAGCACAACGTCTTCAACGAAAACAAGCACGTCGTGAACGCGATGAAGCCAATGGCATTTTCGTCGACAGCGATGATGAGGACGCCTCTGACGCTGAATCTTTGTCTTCATCTTCCGATTCCTCAGACTCTGAAGATGACTCTGACGACGAAGAGGAGAAAGTTAAACGTGCTCAACGAGGGTATGGAAGCAATAAATTCGGAAGTGCATTCCAAGAAGTCGTTGAGGAGACTGGCGCAAGAGTCAGGATTGATTCATTCGAGCACGAGGTTGTGGAGGTGAAGAAGGAGGACCTCAGTGGGTTCTTGGAAGCGTTGAGTTTCAAGGGTGTGGTTGGATGATTGTGCTATTGTTTGAGGAACAGCTTGCTTTGTTCTTTTGGTTATTATATGGGTAGAGTGGGTTTGCTTCGCTGTTGATGAACAGATGGAAAGATGAAAGTTTATGCATCCATAGCATGATAGGCGACAAGGCGTTTATTGCTTTTCTTGTCATCATAGTTAGTAGCAAATTATCTATAAGGAATATATAGATACCTTTATAAGAGAAATTATAGATAATAAATTACTTAAAGTTAAAGAAAATGTAGGGGAGACTAATAGATATTATCTAGTATAGAGGAGCAACTAATATTATTAAAAGCTAAGAAGAAATAAAAAAGAAGAGAAAAGAGAAGAAAGAGAAGAAATAAGGGTTTAAAATTAATGTAAGGTTAGAAGAAGTATAATATAAGTAAAGTTTAGTAGTAGAATCTAGTATAGTAAGAAGTTTTTAAATAATTATAAAGTCTAGAGTAACTATTATTTTATTACCCTATTACATCTTCTTCCAGCCCAGTCTCAGTTGTAACATCAACCTCCGGTAGGCCCCTGTAATCAGCAGTACACAGCTATAAAAAGGCACAGATATATCAGAGATTAACATTTGCCTCTATCTCCTGACCCCATCGCTGTCACGATCTACCCCCGTCAAAATACACAAACTTATCTGAAAGCGGAGGGTTGTCCAGTGAGATGGAAGGACTTGAGTTTTGACGTCCTGCTTTACATGTCTTTCCTCTGCATCTCATGACCCAATCGTTGTCACGATTCTCCCCTGTCAAAATGCACAAAGGTATCGAGAAACAGCTAAGCGTCCAATGTGAGCGACAAATATTTAGACCTCCATATTTTACATTTCGCATCATCATTTCACTTTCGGATATTCACTTTCTGCCATTCACTCTCACTTCTATAATCATATCTATAATCACTCTCAATCACACATTTCACTCACCTTGCTACAATCACACACTCACAGACATTCACTCACCCATCCCAAACTCCCCCCAAAACAGCTATATAACCCAATCCCTCCCTCGCCACAAACCTAGCCTCCTACAACCACAGAGACTCCTGTGCCCTCAGAGCGGGGGAAGAGACAAAGACCTTGCAAACGGAAGTTTACCGTTGGTCTTGATCATGGTATATGATGCCGCGGAGGTCGGATACGAAGACCGGGTCGTCGACGCGTTGTATTGGGGCTCAGATCCGGTAGAGGCGATAGGAGGGAAGGGCGATGTTGAGGTAACGCATAAGAGATGGAGGGTTAGTGTGGACGGAGGGTGGAGAGGGTAGAAGGCTTGGAGGTGGTGGGTATAGGGGTGTAGATAGAGGATAGGGTCGTCAATGAGATCTGTTCCTGCTAGAAACGTGTGGTGGTACGCAGGCTTTGACGAAACGCACAAGACGACACGATCGTAGCTATCTGACTACGAGAGCCGTAAGATTCCGCTGCTACCCTTCTTATTCGCCGCCGCCGTAGAACCTAGCGTAGCAATATATATCCCGTAGCGTCGAGACCGTAGCTACGCAGACTTTGTCGAACTGCACGACACACTCGCCCGCGTATACTCCTCAAAGGCGGACGAGCTCGGGCAAGCAATCAAGTACGTCGACCCGAGACCGCCGTCGCCCCTTAGGAATCCTCTATGGCGAGCCTCATCGCGCGGGACCGGTGAGTCTCCTTCTTGGCGATCTTGCCAATCGCGACGAAATGTTCTTGTCGTTTGGGAAAAGTCGTTGTGTTTGGTGGCGGGCCTTTTATACCTGTTTGTGAGAACAAAAGTCCGGCAGTTCCATTGTGAAGAAGAATGTTTTGAAAGGTGTGGAATAGAGGTCATGATCTTTGTACTTTGCGCATGCGTGGACTTTCAAACCCATACATGGCTGTTCTGCTATATAAGAATATATACGTTCAGCATCTTTGACAACAGCGATTCAACGGGCACTCAACATGTCTACGACGAAACAGCGGCTTCGAGAATAGCGTCTGACTTGCCCTCCAGATCAGCGGCTGTGGCTCTCTCGCAGATAACAACGAAAGCTCTTCTCTTCTTGGTCTCCTTGTCTCCCTTCTCCAATGCACTGGTGTCGAGTTTAGCCCAGTATCTATCCAGCACTTTGGCGAGCTCGTCAGGATGCTTGGGCAGTCCCAGCTTCTCGATACCACGGCTCGATCTCTCGTCAACGAAAGGGAAAGCTTCAGGCCACAACCACTGCACACGGCGGAAGAAGATGTCGAGACCAGTTTTGCCGACACCTTTGATGTTCTCTTGCAGCAGATCACGCTCCATGTCCCATCCCTTGGAAGCCTGCTCTCTGAGTCTATCGAGACTGGTGTCCGTGTCGTCCTTGCCGAATTTGTGGGCCACGACATCGGCAACTAGACCGATTTGCTCGGCGGTCTTGTCTTTGTGCTGTGTCTTTGCGTCGTCGAGGGCTTGATGTCTCTTTTCCTTGCCGGCACTGATGATGGCTTTGGGGGTGGTGAAGGAGTAGGGCGCATTGAGAATGGTGCGGATAGCGCGAAGACCAAGTTTGTGGCTGATGGGGCGTGACAAGACGGCAGCGCAGATGAGTTCCTCGAAGGGGCTGAGAGCGGAGGAAGAGTAGGTTTTGTAGTCTGCACCGTGTTTTTTCAACTCTTGCGATTCGTCGTCAGGGCGACACAATTCGGCAGAAGCCTCGGAGAGAAGGTAGTTCAAGAGTTGCTCGGTGGTGGGTTGGGACTTTTGTGCGCCACGGCCAGATTTGCGCTCTCCTTCTCGGGGTGGTGGTACGTCAGCCTTGCGCTTCTTAGGCGCCTTCTTCTCGTCGGCTTTGGCTTCGGTCGCAGCAGGTTCGGAAGTGGCTTCTGCAGCTCCCTTGCGCTTCTTTGACTTGGTCTCCTTGGGAGCGCTGACGGGCTCTGCTTCAGCGACAGGTTGCTCTTCAGGTTGTGCAGCAGTAACGGGCTCCTCGGTCTTGGGCGCATCCTCGGTGGTTGATTCTTCTGCCTTGGACTCTTCGACGACAGGTTCCTCAGGCTTGGACGTCTCAGCAGTAGGCTCCTCTACCTTGGTCTCCTCGGCAGCAGGTGCGTGATCAACGGGAGCTGCGGTCTCATCGGCCGTCTCGGCGACACCATTGGTAGCGGGCTCAGCTTGAGGGGCCTTCTTGCCCTTGGGCTTAGGAGCAGCTTTTCCTTTCTTTGGAGGCATTGTGTGATGATACAGAAGATGAGAAGGGCAGTGAGCTTGGAAAAGTGGAATGTTCGAAAGAGAAAAGAGGACGGGAAGGAGACACGATCAACAGCAACAACGTTGTTGGCGGCTGGCACCTACCCCAGACGAATCAATGTCGCACTCCGCGGTGACCCTGACGTAAGTGAGCAACGCGAGACGATCCATATTCGTGCTATTTCCAAGGCTGAAACGAGTACGAGACAATATACAGCTCAGACATGCAGTCGCTTGGCCCAATCATCTCGAGACTTGACCATGCATATCGAGCAGACGAGTATGATAAAATGATGGCGGCTAAATTGATTTCTGCGCTGTTTGCTGACAGGCGCGAAAAGATATCTGGGGGAAGCTACGACCAGCAATCAACGGCATGAGCTCCAGCTACTGCATAGCAACCAGCATTTGGACCTCCTTCGTCTACCACATCATCGATATTTCGAAGTCGAGATGGTTGTGATGAGCTCTCCTATGCTTCTGTGGTGGTATCGTGTACAAAGATCAGCGAATATTACAAGGTTTGAGTATACCAGGATGTCCGTCTCCTCATCAACCTTGATGCTTTGCGCGTACTTTCAAAAACGCGGTACAACGAGCTTTGCAGCCCCGCCTTGTCTTTTTTCTTATCACTTTTTCTGTGCATACCAATTGACTTCTCCAACTTTCCGTTTCCATACCATTCTCTATAATTTATCATGCCTCCCAAGGGTTCAAAAAAGAGAGCTGCCGACACCTCTGCCGGCGCCTCCCAGTCAAAAAGCACAAAGACCAATGCCTCCACATCAGCCGGAGCTGCCTCAGAGGAGCAGCAGAGAGACCCCAGCGTCGAAGTGACAGGTTCAAATGAGCAACCCAATGACGCTTCGAACGACGACTCCAATACTGAAGATCATGAAATGCACGAAGACAAGATCAAGAACGACCCCTACACATACATCACGAACTGCGCCCCTCGTTTCGAATTCGAATCCCGCTACAACAAGGAGCACGAAGATGACGACGACTTTGACGAGGAAAAAGCCAGCGAGCTCTGGGCAGATGAACACAACGACAGAAAATGTGCTTGCTTCAACAAGGACCGCACCGATGGCTGGACCATGATGCGCAAAGCCTTTGCTCGCAAGATGGATGCCGAGACCATTGAGATCCCTCAGCGTGATCAGGACATGTTCGGCATGTATGTTTACAATGACTTTACTGGTTACGGATATCAAGAAGTTGTTGAGAACAACATGGCCGAGTTCAACAAGGTATTGAATGACAAGGATGGCAAGACCGAGGAGCTGTGGACCATCCTCGAGTCCATGGCATGGTGGATCGTAGATGAGCCCAATGCGCCTTGGCATATGATTGATGATGGCGAGCGTTCGTGGTTGACATACAGTCTGCTGGGCTTCATGTTGTTGGCTGCCTTGAACCGCATGGATCGTGAAGGCGACTTCAAGGTGGACTCAAAGTACAAGGATCTGTCACTGGTACTGGGCGTCTGGGCAAAGGCTGCCGATGATCTTGGTGGCGATGTCAGCGATCCTCTTGACGATGGCAAGAGTGGCAGCTCCGACATGGGCGATTACGCTGGCTTCAACCTCCTCTGGTTCCGCTACCTCCTCGCCTTCGCAAAAGAGAATAGCGTTCCCATCCAAGGCGTCACAGATGTCGATGACAAGATCGAAGAATGGTACTCGCAGATAGATGGTAAAGTCAAGTTGCCACCGAAGAAGGAGGACCGCTTCGGCTGGAAGACCAAGGTAAGCAGAAATTTACCCTGACAAACTCCTTTGATCACTTGCTGACATGAAACGTAGTTAAACAAGTACACCAAATCATACGGCAAAGGCGGTAAGATTGGCGGACAAGAATTCAGGATTCCCCTCTGGACTCGCGAGAAGCGCAAGAAGTACGCCTTTGACAAGAAGGACCCTCTCAGTGATGAGCAAATCAATGCCCTGAAAGATGGCATGGTTCTGCAGATGATGTAAGCCATCGTGTACAAATCATCAAAACCACCCTTTTCTCACGAATCATGTATATCAATCTTTGGCTTGTAGAATGCAAGATAATCTTTTGGATCATGACGAACTTTTTCCATTGAAACACAACGATTATGACGCCGCACAGACGCTGATATCGACATGTAACATTGCGCTTTGTGACCCTAGCTCTGGCTTTTATTCTCGTACTGGACGATACGCTGCTTTCGCTGGACAGCTTCCTCGATCAGGAAGTCAGCGTCATTTAGGCAGTTGCCGGTCACTGGTCGCTAGACTCCGGGCCGATTCTTAAAGTAATGCTTCCATGAAGAATACAAAATAAATGTCGATTGGTCTTCTTACAGTTCGCAGTATGATTCAAAGAGTCAGCTACATAAGTTGTATTTCTGTCGAGCTAGTTGTTCGATCATGTTTCTCCACTTCGACGTGAGCTAAAAGATGAGGAAAGCAGCAATCGCTGCTTCTTTCAGGGGTGGCAGGAGCATTCCTGGCAAACCTTCATGAATCCAGTCGTTTTTGGTTTGATCCTACCAAAGCCAGTTGCGGTCTTGCGACTTTTGCAGTCACGACAGCTAGCACTGATATCTCGAACCACCCTCCTCGAACCTCCGCGAAACTGTTCTTACCCCTCTCTACTCGACTAGCTCACCTCCAAAGTCGAGCGAGCTGCACTTTTTGATCAGCCATCAAACTTGACGCCAAAGTCTTGATATAAGAAGTGGCATTGCTTGCTCGCTGCTTTCCTTTCCTTTCTTTCCAACTCGAGCAGAAAGCCATATCTCAAAAAGACCCGGGCAAATCATTTATCCTTATCCAAATTGAATTTTTACCATGCAACTCACACTCTTCGCCCTCACTTTCGCAACCCTCGCAATTGCTGGGCCCATCAACCCCTACGAAGTACGCACCGCTATCAAATCAACACCATCTATGCCATACGGCCAGGGTATCGATCTTCTCACCACTCCCACTGCTGTTGTCGTCAAGCGTGAGGAAGCTATTGAACCCCCTCAGGCTGATGCGAAGGGTTGTGGGCAATGTGGTTGTTGCACTTTCTTTAGTTGTTACTTGAGGAAGGATTGCAGATATGGGGTTATCGATGCGGAGGTTGGGGGATGGGAGCTTGGGTGGATAGAAGTCTGAAGGGAGAACGGAAGGAAAGGGAGGGGGGGTTGCAAAGTTGCTAAACCTGATATTCACCTCTCCGTGTGCTAAAATCTGTCACGTCTAGCCATCTCACGGCCATGCCTAGGGCCGTTTGGACTGTAGTAATGCACAATGGTTTTGACATCGGCCCGGCCGTCCGTAGAGAGTTCCTAAATTTCACACTCTCGGTGGAGGGCTGCACTGATCTTAAAAACATTGTGTATCTCTTCAGCATGCGCGTGACAAAGTTCTGCACACGGGGAGGCAGGAGCTGTCTAGAGACAGTCGATGTTTGGGACCTCAACTGATTTGACCTGCAATTCAGAGCATACAGTAATCGTACTAAATGAATCACCATCCTCTTGCCCATAACTTTTCGGCACTAGCACTTTTCTTCCAATCCGTCACATACCATCCACCAACTCCAAAACCAATCGATCCAATCCTTCATCTCTACTTCTCAGGCCCACCAAAACACCCCTCAATATTACAACACCTCCCCGCATGACACCCACCACTCATCATCCCAGCCATATCCACCATTACAGTCGCATTAACCGTAACCTGCGGCGGACTAATCCTCCAACATCTCGTCTCCGCACAACAGATATGCTCGTCACATTTCTTGGGCGGATAGTCCTTTTCGTCGTATTTCTCTGGAGGAATTCTCGTGTCGTTTGGGAGTATACTTGCTTGGAAGAAATGGTTCGTGGGAATGGTGGAGGTGGAAGTGGTTTGGTTTGATTGGTGGGTTGTGAGGTAGGCTTGGACGAGGGCGAGGAGAGCGATGTCGTGGTCGGTGGTGGCAAGGAGGTCGGGAGTGGATGTTGGTAGAGCTGATGCGATGGCGATGAGGCTTGCCAAAGCGGTCGAGAACTTCATGGTGAAGATATGGGCGACGAGCGAAGGGGCGAGTAGAATTAAGAACAAAGAAACAAAGACAGCGGCGGACCAGGTATCTCCATTTCAAAGCTCAATAAAGGTGGGTGGAAGTAAGCTTTGAAATTGACTCAGATGCACTTGAGTTTGAGAGAGGATTTTGTAATGAGCTCGCGAACCAAGAGTTTGTCTTCCTGAAGACCACGTGGATGATAAGCACGACTGAGCATCGAAATTGAGTTTCAGCATCAGAGATCACAAGACAAAGTTGTCGTTCGATACATTGACACGCAAGTTGGAAGGAACGACATGAGCTTCCAGGCCACCAACGCATTTCAGTCCTCCTTCCTCCCCTAATCACTGGTTCTTCGTATAAGTCTTGCAAGAATACGCTCGCCTAAACCCAACTTTCTCAATATTTCTTCCACTGATAGAACCTTCTCTCGCCGTAGCAACTGCTACGTCGCATCCTCGATCTCTGGCTACCCGAAGTCTCTCCAGGAGTAACGCTTTGTGGACACTCTTTCCTCTGGCATTCGGCAGACAACTGTCGATAAAGAAAACCACGACTTTGATATCTTCTACGTCAATCATTGCCATTGCCGCAGTGCCGACGAGTTCGCCGTCCAGAGAAGCTGAGAATAATATTGTATCGGACCGAGCTGCAGCGCTTTCCGCGAGGACTTCTAGAAGCTCTGGTGCACGGCCAGTGCTACTGAAGCCGTCTACAGACGCTTGGATAAACGTGTTGTGATCTTCTGGACCGAGTATCGAGATATTCATATCGCCTCTGAGGATATCTGGACCCTGGAAGCCGGAAAGAGATTGTTGATATTCGCAGAGCGAGCCAGTGACTGTGTACTGAGCCGACAGTAGATCGAATGCTGAACCATGGGCATAATCGCACATATCGATCTCTGGATGGACGCCATTCTGCTTGTACGCAGCCTCGATGGCATGTAGATCATCCATGGTGACCTCTCCTTCCAATGCGAATCCGTAAGTGTGATTGAGCTTTCGACCAAGCATCGCTGGCGATAGTATGGTGGTAGACCCCGCGACACGTTTGACGGTATATCCTTGAGTCGGGTACAGTGCCTAAGGAGCTAGTATCTGGCGCTCAAGGTGTAGCGCTTCGGCTTTTGCGATGATGTGGTTCATGTTGATTGCCGGATTCGCAAAACTTGACATTGTCGTCCGATTGATAGAGTGAATCAATGGGCCGAGGAGTCAATGACTTTGTTTATGTCTTTGTCAACTTCGTTGTGGCCGTCAAATTATGTCTGGATGACTCATAGCTTCACGAAGGGTCGTTGAGTCATACTAGGACGTGTAGCAACAATGTCGAACAACACAAGCTCGTGTACTCTGTTTCTAGAAATTTGTTATAGGCATCACTGAAAAATGTCGAGCTTTCGACAACAAGCTTTGGTACCTTGATTCACGGGATGTGGATATAGACTTTCTCCGCCAACAGAGAGCTCACCGTAGAGGTCCATCAAAATGCACAGTGTGTTTCGGATCAGCCACACTGTCCACTGAGAGTGATTCTTCGCAATCACTTGTGCTGGAAGAAGGAGATAGAATCAATGCAAAAAACCAGTCTGACAGCTATAGATGTCACCCGAGTCACGCCGTCAAAATGCAAGATGTTTTTGAGATCAGTGAGTTTGTCCAGTGAGAGCTGGTGGGCTACTCGCTCTCGACAGATATGGCACTGTTCTCAAGAACCATCGTGCTTTTTGATACATGAATAGCTGTCTGTACAGGAAGTGAGGAGTATGGACTATTGCACACAAACGACATTCCTGTCAGCGTTTGTGACCCCATACGACACTATCAAAATACACGATATATCTCGAGAACCAGAGCAGTGCCAGTGAGAGTGAGGAACTATCAAGCTCTCACTGGACAGAGCTCTGGTCCTCATGCATATCACGCCTTTTGATATGTATCCAACTACATGTGCTAGAGGAAGGGATCAGGAGACTGAGAGGATGTCATCTCCAGCGATTGAAGTGTGAGTGTCAGAATAGTATCTTGATACAATATTGAATCATTCGGATGATGATGTACCTGGGATAGCACATACCGTACTGATAAGCTGCAATTTTTTTGGCTCTTTCAGGGGCAAATGTGCAGCTGTTTGGTGCTGTAGAAGGTTATGAAGTTATTCGAGATCAAAACTGTCGACGTAGAATTGGTCAAGTTTAGGTCTCTTGGGATACGATTGTTTCATTTTCATCGCTTCTCATGCCTTAATTCAACTCCCTATTGCCCTACGGCTTGCTTGTTATGATCTTATCACCCCCTATTGACCTAACCCCATGGGGCCGGTTGAGCTGGTCCTGCAGCCGTCTCGCTGTTGCGATCAACGCGGCGCCTGGGCACAGCGGCAGGCATACGTGGAGGGCTGTTGAAGCCACCACGACCACTGGCGCTAGCAGAGGCCGCCCCGCGGTTGGATGCGCTAGGAACAGCGCGAGCAGGACGGTTGGCGGATCCACTGGTAGTGGGCGAGGGGGGAGGCAGCTCAAATCTGTCGAGGTCCGTGGTACGGTACCCCCAGTTCTGGAGAAACCTGTTGAGGGCTTGCATATTGACCAGGTTGAAATCTACCTCGACCTTTGGAAGGCCCGTAACTGCGAGGATAGTGGCCAAAACCAGGAGAAGGGTCGCGATCCCGAAAGGATAGGTCAACGCCTCTTCGTACGTGGCCCCGCTATCTCCCTCGTCCTTTGCCTCAATGTAGTTGATCGTAAGAAGTATCAGGATGTCTCCAGCAATCGCGCCGAGCTTAGAAGCTGCTGCTGCGTAGCCAAGATAACGACCCCTAACAGACGGAGCGCAGGTCCCGACAGCTAGGAGAGCCATGTTTGATCCCGCACCGAACTCCTGAGCGAGATGGAAGAAGGCAAAGAAGACCATGAGTACCGGCGACAGAGGGGAGACGAGCAGGGTCCCAACCGTAGCCACGATCAACACCCCGAACACACCCTGGATTGCGGTGCCGATTATCAACGTCTTCTTAGGACCCCAGAGCCGCTTGGCGGTAAAGTACATGCCGAGAATACTGCCCAGCACATTGAAGGCACAGATGAGGGAGGTCCAGCCAAACATGCGCCACAGGTTCGGGCGCTGATTGCCATTGAGGATCAGGACCTCGGTAGGGACGTAAAGGCCGAGGCCTGTCGCAGACATCTCATGGAAGGCCCATGCCATTGCGATAGTAATCAGTGTTGACTGATAGAACTCGTTGAAAAGAGCTGGAGGGATTCGTGTTCTTGCAATGCGCATACGTCTTTGTGCGCCAGTCTCATTGGCCTTGGTACAGCAGTAAACAATGTGACAAGACCATGTATGCAATGGTAGAATGGCACCAATGGTGAGACAGGCTGTCAGTACCCCCTGGAGATGTCCCTCGCCATAGATGAGAAACTGGAACAAGCAGTCAGCACGGGGAGGTCAATCTTAAAAGGCTCGCGAGACGAACCAAGACGAATGGAACAAGATTTGAGAGCAAGTAGCCCAAGTGGTACTGCAGAGTTTCCGAATAGAAAAGAGCGCGCCATTCGCGTCCTTGTATGTGATGGAAGGCCTTGTCAGAGTTCATCACGAACGTGCCAACGAACTCTACGCCTAGACCAAATCCAAAGCCAGAACGAGAAACCGCGAAGAGGATCTTGAGAGTGAGCAGCTGTGCATCATTCTTAACGGAAGCTAGAGAGATTAAGGCGCAAAGGATGGACCAGAAGACCGTTGTGCTAATTCCGAAGAAGATCATCCACTTGCTTGATATGCGATCTGTGTACCGACCGCTCAAAGCCATACCAATGACCATACCCACGTTCAGTGTTATGTCCATGTAAAGTCTCGTATCGACATCGAATACAGATCTGGCGCTCATCATTCCAAGGATGAGGGTGACAGCCCCAAGACTACCATTCAGGTAGCCTTCTGTGAGGCCTGCGTCAGTGAATATGGTTATGAGGAACCAACAGAGGTAATTCCAGATCTCGGCGAACATGTTGGCGAGTTGTCGGGATACAAGGAGAAAAATGGGGGCTGCGACGGGATGTGTAAGGTTTTGGGTGCGCAGAACCAGGATAAGCAAACGTCAGACAGCAAACAGCGGATCGGGAATGGACATTTACTCGCATACAAACAACACAAACATCGCAACATGGCACAACTCATGGATGTCGCCAGAACAACCGTCTTTTTTCTAGAAACCTTAGATAGAGACAGTCAAGAATGTTCATCAAGTTTCTTTGTCATGTTTTGCACTTTCTTAGTCTTTCGCTGTCGTATGGGTCTGATAGCTTTTGAATCCAACCATCCTGCCTACCCAAACCAAACTTTTCATTCTTTCTGTCAAGAGCAGTATCTAAGCCTGCCAGAGCTCCTACCTTGATACCTGGCCCTGTCATTTGCGCAATCCCCAGCTTTAGTACCTTCTCTATGTCTTTGGCATTGCTCAGAGGGCTGCAGCGAATTGACTGTACTCAAGAGATTCACTGCGACTCTCACTTCGCCTCGCCGTGAGCGGTCTGTCTGCAGAACCATTCGTAATGCCCAAAGCAAAAGCGACCAGGCGGTCTGCTGGCTCTGGCAAGTAGTGGTGTTTTTCCAGCTACGATACTGTCATTGACTGGCGCTGAGATGATCACAGATTCGCGCGCCTTGGCTTGTGATAAGCGTTTGGAGCCGTGCTGACTGTTCACTCTGCGACCTTCTAGAGGAGGGCCTGAGCAAAGCAGGTCTAGGTCACTCCAGCAGGTGCGCTCCGGTGGTCGAGCGGCAGCTCTGGGTTCTAGCCATTCGATTGTACCGGGCTGGATTGAGTTTTCATGAGCTTCGCGTGCCTTAATTTGTGCAGCAGGAGGGCCTGAGCAGAACGGGTCTACGTCACTCCAGCAGTAGCGGCGCGGTGGGTGAGCGGCGGCTCCAGATTCAAGCCAATCGACTGTACCGGACTTGACGTCAGTATCCCGAGCTTCGCGTGCCTTGATCTGCGCAGCAGGAGGGTCCGGTTGGCACATAGGATCTTGCGGGCTCCAGCAGAAGTGATCGCGTGGTCCACCAGCAGCTCTAGGTTCGAGGGAGTAATCTCGGTCGTACATGGCGTCGTCGCCTCGGGCTTCGAGGAACTCCGCATGTTCGTTTGCAGGTACCATGCCACACTGACTGCCGGAACAGCAATAGTCGTCAAAACAGAAGTCCACGGGTTGTGAATGTGTCCCAAGCTCTAGTGGTAGCACTTGCCCAGGTTCGGCGACATCATTACGAGACTCGAGCGTCTTGTCGTCTACGATGGTAGCTGCAGAATCGTACTGAGTGTCGTGTCGATCGTGGTAGGTGTAGAATCGAGGCCACGTAGCGCTGGCTTCAAGTTGATGTGGCGACGGCGCTGGACCTCCGACAGAGTCTGTTGAGACACTTCCAATCGGCTTGGCAGTAGCCACCACAGCTGCAGACGATAGCAGAAATAGCAACCTCATGTTGAGCCTGTAGAGGACGAGGGAGTGGAGGTGTGGACCGTGCTGGCAGACAGTAAATGCTTTGAGGGAACTGTCCGTTCTGTGAGAGATGAGGTCGTGATGACTTCTCCGTGAGAGTTCTAAGCGGGAAGGATGGAGCAGTGCGCAGCGCTTTACCTTTTTATATGTGACCAGGTGACAGCTGTGAGAAAGAGTCACCAGATTTTACTGACTCAAAAAGCTCGCGGATGAGTAGAATTGGGGCGTGGAGCCACAGCAACGAGCGCTCCCCAAACTTGCTTCGGATGATCGGTTACCAATCGCTGTCTGCTTCAATAGATCATGTTGAACATGCCTGCTCTGGTGTCCACTGTCATACGACTCTCTGAGACTGCCAGGTTCAACAGACGTTGGCTGGAGAGGATATGGAGCAGCATTAGTGGCTCATACAAGTGGTGCATTGCCAGCCTCTTAGTCTGGCGTTTGCAAGTACCTCTATTGCCGTGATGGCATTGTCGTTGACCGTACTCAGAACAACGTGATGGTTGCGAGCTTCGAGTTGATGATGCCTTGACACGTAAGCACGAAGTTTGCAGTCCGAAGATGAGCCACAAACGTGGCAGGCGTTGAGAACGCGGCGCTTTGACGCACGGTGCGCTATTTCTCTGTATCCGTCAGCTGCTATACTACGCCCATCCCACGAGAGGGTCCGATACTTGTGAAAGTGCTGATAATCTGTCTTCCTATCGCCTATAGAAATGCTCGGGAGACTGTTTAATGCTGTCATAGAAGAATGGAATTCCGACCCGGTCAGATGCTTCGAAGTGTCCGTGGCCCTGTCGCGATTGTGAGCAGTATCGAGAAGTCCGCGTACACAGCAAGATACTTCTGCCTTTCTCAGGGCTGATCAATAGTAGAAGCAGTCAGACTCTGTTGCCTGGGTCTAGGGAGATATCACGAGGGCTCGAGGCTTGGGTCCAGTACTCCTTTGATGAGATGTTCGTTTGACTGAACTTGCACAACTACAATGACAAGCATTATCGTGGTCCGGGAAACCATCAAAAAAACGTAATTAATGCTGACAGCTGCCTTATCCTAATCAGATAGCTTGCAGGTCATCGACACAAGTTTGCCGCCTCACGCAAGGCACTCAAATCAACACTGTTCAATCATGCCAATCTATCACGAATTTTAGGACTGTGCTCTACATCCTAACTGTTATCTAATGAGTGACCAGTATCGAGATCAAGACATTGACAGTCTTGCAAGATCGGAGTGCTGGTATGCAAGACTGATCCAATCGCAGATGACAAAAGACTTGGGCATCTATACGCCAGCTGTACATCAGAACATTGCATAAGAACACCCCAAAGGCGTTCGATGGTATATCCAAACAACGGTCGGTTCATACTGTCCGACTTCCCAGGAAGCCAAGGATGCTCGGCATAACCAGAGCTGTGTGCCACGCTGCGGGGGTTGACAAACTCATCCAGCAGGTCTTGGAAGAGTTGTTTGTCTTGAGTGTGGATACGATGGCGTGACGCGATGAATTGGCCTCGGTACGTCAATGTGTATCCTTGACGTAGTGTTGGATTCGCTCGTGAGTAGATGCTCTTCAGAACGTCCGGACTCTCTGACCAGGTGGAATGGTCCCAACATTGATCCTAAGACGAACAGTATTCTGAAACATCCGACAGGGAAAGAAAGCCAGTGTTGGGAACAAGGTAGTCTTGTATCCTCCGCCGAACGCTCCATGAGTAGTGTAACTCAGCTTGCATGAAAAGAGTATGGTCAGCGGGGTCCTGCCACCCTGTCGTGATGTGGTGCAAAAAGGCAGCACCTTCTCGACCGACATTGGGACGCTGTCTGACGATGACATCGACGTTGAAGGGTAAGTGATGTCGTAAGTCGTCGCGGAGGTCTTCCGGTTCATCTTGACCGGTGCTGTAGATGATGACGCGTGTTGTGAGCCCGGAGAGAGGTGTCATGTTCAGTATTGGGCCAATGTAGCTAGCAACCGAATATGCGGATTCATCATATCTTGATACCACGAGATCCATGCTATCAGGTCCCTGGGACATGTTGCTGGAAGAACTTCTGGCGATCAGAGGCATATTGTGCTGTCGAACTAGCTAAATCTGACCTAGGAACAAGTGCCCCCTAGGCATTCTATCAGCTAGGCTTATAAATAAGCGTTATCGCTTTAATTTGTCTTAGTACTTGTCCGTCAAGTAATTATAGCCGCATCATTCATCCTTATCCGGTTATATGGTTAGTGTGCAATCGCCTTAGCGTTTGCTCAAATTAGACTAACGATAGAGGTTTGGCTCGACGTCCAACTATAAGGTCTAGCGATAACGTTGCGCTAGGGAGTGTCAACGTGCTCGGGCACTCCGGGGCTTGAATCTTGCACTAACTATAATCCTTCAACGCATGCTTCATTGTCTAGAGGTTCCGTGGATGCCCTTTGGGCCAGAGACCGATGTTCTACTAGACCCAAGCAATCTTGCATAATGGATTCTCATTTTGTTTCCGACTTTGAAATTTTTCTCAGATCAGGAACAGGTCTGACGCTGCTCGCTCAATTCAAATTACACCGTCATATGAGATCAATCTCCTAGAATATTTCGTATCTTCCTCGAACCAGCAAAGTATCCGCGACACATTTCAGTATATGCAGAAAACGATTGAAGACTTAGGAAGTTTGGTGAATATATTATTACCTGCTTCCATGTTGCATTTTCAGATATCGCTGGAGTCCTGGAAGGCGCCATAGGTAATTTGGCTTCGCAGCTGTGGCAGAAGCGATCTTTGCGACGACACTGTCACTGTATTGAATCAATCTTGTTGGCTTTGAATTTCATCACAACAACTACACACCGAAAGCTTTTCAGCTAAGTGTAGGCGAATCCGACACCACCGTGTCGGCTGTTCGTCGAGGAAAAGCTATACATGCAGACTTGACCGCGAAGATTCAGCATTAACTGCCGATCCACACGGTGCACTCCTAGACCATGGAGCATAGACATCCCGGTGAACAACCATTCTCACGTTTCACAACAGTCAATCAAAGTGTCAACTAGAAGCAGCTTTTGGCGAAGACCGAGTCAGACATGCAACGGCTACAGCTAAGCATGAGCTGAAGCTCGCTGCAACGGCTATAGCCAGTGCCGAGCTGAACAACGCTGCAATGAGCCAACGAATGGAATGTCTCGATCATGTCCGAACACGCCTTGGACAGCATTGGACGTTGATACAAATAGCTCTCCGTCTTTCATACGACATGGAGACAAGCACCCAACCATGCAACTCGTTCTGCTGTTCTGTTTCGTCCTTGCCGCACACTCTCTAGCCATCGACCAGAGATCGTGCGTCTCGCCCGAGGTACTGACTGTTTCTAAACAAGTCTCGGATCCACACTACTTCTGTGCATGGTATCTCAAGGAGTATGGCATGTTCAACTTTGTCAAGTACTTCAACAGCTAACTATTTACAGTGGAAGGACCAATTCTCCGATTCTGGGCATCAATGTGAATGCACTGCTATCAGCGTGTCAGTGTGTCGTCAGTGTTGAGCCCTCAGGCATTGAAGCAAAGAATCTGGCAGCGATTCAGAAGGCAGCACGTCTTCAAAGCTTTGTCAGCGCAACATGTCCGAGCACACCTGCCAATCCCATCACCAAGCAATTCACCAGTCCAACTTCTTTCTGCCAATTCTCCGCGTCTTTGTAAGTCTGGCTAGCAACATTACCGTCGGGAGCTTAATGCTAACTTCTAGGGAAGCGAACGACATGATTCACCTATACCGAACTTGAACGTTCCTGCCGTGCGCAAAGTTTGCAAGTGTATCTTGAGTGGTCCTAAGATATCGACTTCCAGCATGGTGAAGTCGACTTCGAAATCTTCTTCATCCATTAAAGGCTCAACATCGAGCGTTGCTGGTAAATTGACCAGCAAGTCAACTACGGGCAAAAAATCTTCTACTGCGATCAGATCTTCAACAAAGACCTCATTATCGAAGATCACCGTCTCAAGCAAGAGCTCATCATCAACCAGACTTTCTGCGACTTCATTGTCATCAACTTCGCGAACCTCAAGTCGCGTGTCATCCTCAAGCAAGTCTTCGTCATCCAGATCTTCGACTAGACCGTCCTCATCAACTAGACCGTCCTCATCAACTAGACCGNGCAATACCCTACATATGTCCCCTACGTGTGCTCAGTGGATAGTGGTACCCTTGAGGTCTTTTGCTTCAAGCAAGCGAGTGCCTCGAGCTCGGAAATTAGTACATGGTCGAATGGGTATTCCACTTCTGCGGGTCAATACTTGTGGTCTAACAGCGGTACTCCGCAGTCGGGCTCTACGGTGTTCCGTCTGTATGCCGACCCCGTCAATTGCGTTTCTTGAACACCGTCTCAGCTTTGTCCATCTGCAAATCTCCACATGTCAAGGTTTCTTGTCTGGTCTTACTCGGAAGTCGTGTTTTTTCTGTATACCGGCTTGGCCACATGCGAGTGGCTTGTGTGGATGCCGCTTTTGCTGCTATCAGGCTTATAATAGGTCAGACGTATCCAGATCACGTTTTACGTGCATAGCGCAGAATCATGCTATCTATTGTCACGTGCCACATGCGGAGCCGGATCCAGGTCCACGGTTCTACGCTCTTCGGTCCGTCATGACATTTCCTGCTTTGAGAAAATTCTATATATGCATGCTATCTATCCCATTTCAGCCTCATCTGCTCTTGCCTCGTACTCTTTGGGTTGTTTTTCGACCAATTTTTCAAACCACATGTTGAAGACAACATGAGCATTTGCTCTTCTATGGTTGCTATCTCCATTTACCATTCACTATACGGGCAAATTGACTCGCTACCTCGGCTCCATTCCACTATCCCCGACGTGCTGGATTGCCTTCGTCTGCCGCAAGAATCGAAAGCAATACTATTTGAGCTTCGATGGCATATGGCTTGGTAGGAGTGTCACATGAGTGGGAATCGGTCTCGTTGTTTTGACGGCCACAGTCTCGGCGTCAAGATCTTTTGCACCAAGTGAAGCATACAAGGAGAGTGATGGATAACGGGATCGGGGCACAAAGCAAGAAAGCGCACGACCCGATGATCGCATGTGGGCTGCTTTGACAAAGCTCGGCGATGACATTCTGAATGCGGATATTATGTACGACACTGCTTGGATGCCTCGAAACATCTCGCTCAGGTTGTGATGATTGTATTTCTCCGTCAGGCCGCCGTTTCAAGTCGCCAGCCATGAAGATGCACGATGAATTTGTGACTTCAGTGTGCATATAAAGGTAGCTTGTGATTTAGGTACTATCAACGGACGTGTATCCAAATTTAGATTGCTTCTTGGATGTTGACAGGTATGCTCTACCAACTCACCGTGGCTTGAGACCAAGGTCTGTCATTGATCGTTGAGCACCTTCCATGAGCAGTGATTGAGCATTGTGGTTTAAGATGCAGTCTTGCAATGTATCAGATTACTGCAATATCACGTTGCTCAGTCAAGAAGCGACAAAGATTTCCGTTGGTCTGTATCTAAGATCATTTTGGAAAGAAGAAGTTATCAAGAGATATTGAGAGAAACAAAAAGAGCTATACAATCGAACAATTTGCTATCTCGAAAAACCGAAGACTAGTCCCAAACACGACTTCTCGACGCGTTGCTTCCGTGACTCCTTCCTAACACGACATCAACCACCACATCTCCGAAAACCCACAGCAAACCTCAATTGCAGCACCGCGCACACCAACACCACCTACAACCAGTACCATGGTAACGAGAGGTTTGACTGATGAGGAGATTGAAGAAGGCCTCATATCCATGGAATTGAGGGAGCACACAAGGAAGAGAAAGCACTCCAGCGCCTCATCAGCCCAGATCGCTCGTAACCGACCGCCTCCAGGTGCCAACACCCACGCGATTGAGGGTCCAGACCGTCCAGTGCTCCGATCTAGTAAGTACCTCAGTCTACGCTCTATGCCCTATTGCATGCGCATATCATGAAGTTTGTCATGAGACTAACTGATCTCCTCTAAAGTCGACACAAACGACGTCTCCACCATCTCATCCGATGATGCCCCCTCCACTGAAAACAATCCCTCCTCCTCGGATGATGATTCAGACTACATCCCTTCTCCCACCACCCACAAATACCACATGACCCCTGCCACATCGACCACCTCTCAATCCAATGTTCTCACCAGCTCTACCGCTGCAGCCGCCTTCCAGCCAGCCCTTCCCTCCAGCAACGTGCCTGTTGGAGCACTGGACCCCAAACAGCCATTCAAGCTCAACCAGCCGCGCCCCCTGGGCATTCAAGTCCCTATTGATGCTGCTGCCACCAGTTATGAGTGGAAGTCATACGACCGCACCTCCATCGACTGGAGCAGCAAGTCTGAACTCCTGAGGTTGAACGAGTGGCGTACCCGCGCCACCAGGGCAAGGGGCAAGAAGCTGAAGGCTTACACTGATGGCAGAAGAAAGGAAGCTTGAGCGGTTCGGATCAATACTGATTGACTTGACGCTCCCCCGAAGAAGGCCGGCTCCTCCCTTACTACCCTGGTCGAGTCCTCCAATGATCCGATCTAGAAACCTAAGCAGTGTGGTGGCTGTGCGCCTGATGTCTAAGGTCATCACATTTTCCGTTCGGCATCTAGACAACGAAAGCAGAGCATCTGTCTCGCCGGTAGTTGCGGATAGATCTTCCTTGAAAAGCTCGAGAGAATGAAGCACTATGGAATCAAGAAGGATTGGGCTAGTACCGATAGAGAGGGAGAGGGGAAAACGGGCGAACCCAAGGGCAACGGTGATCAAGTTCTCAAGACGTCTTCTCTGGAATCCGACGCCGTGAACCTGGAGGAAGATGGATATGGCTTAATTTCCCGCAAGAAGCAGCCAGTGATGCTTGTTCAATCGACCAAGCATACTCGGAACGTTTCTTTCAGCTTATCAATTACGTTTACATTGCACTTTTTCCGCCTCTGAACCAACTTCCAATCACACATTGACTGTGCTTTCCACTTTAACATGACATTTCGCCAGATAGACCTCAAGATCCACCGAGGTTCCCATGTTCAAATCGTCTTTCGGAGAGAAAAATCTACAAGTCTTATTCTCCCTGGAAACCATAAAGTCTCACCGATCCTTTGACGACTGCTGAACTTTCCAGCCTTAGCGACACCACCATTATAGCGAGAGAGGAAGGTCGTCCACACAAACATCGTCCCTGGCGGCAAGACACATCTATTTTGGAATCCCGAAGGAGAGGGAGGGGAGTGCGATACGACTCTCACGTCAGTGTACCTTGAGCTCAAACGTCAACGCCCGCGTACCCCATCGGAAGTGATGGAGGAAACGTTGCATTGGTTCAAGGATGCAATACATGTCTACTCGAGGGTCATGAGATGTCGACGTAAATAAGAGATGGTCTGTAACGCCGTGGACCTCCTTTCGAGATGCGGAGGAAAGCAGAATACGTATCCAACGTCTTCGAACATGGTCCTCGACCGTTACTGCTCGTAGATACTGTGGATCAAGATGCAGACATCGCTGCGCTTTTTCAAGAGTGGAAAGTATGGTTGATTGGAGCGAAGGAGATGATGTATGAGAGGCAAGGAAGGTGACGGGTGACATGTTCGACCTGATAACACTCGCCTGAGGGGCGAAATAGTGCTCTCATTACTTCAATACATAGCTCGCTCTCGCATACCATTTCCTTCGTCTGAGCTGTTGTGACGGATTAGCTGATGTTGCGCAGCACAGTGCTGAACCAGCTTCGTGGAATGCCATAGCGGCGTGGGTTTCTGGTGGCATAATGATAGACAGGGTAAGACATAGAAGGGATGATGGTCGGCTCGCCGGTACTAGCAGATCCAACCGCTCTTCATCAAGAGGTCGAGAGGACTAGGTAATGGTTGATGACAGCTCTGCTTGTAATCCAGAGTCTGGCCCATCTCTTGAGAGCAGTAGCGTGGTTGACGGAGAGAAGACATCATGCCCTTGCCATATTCCAGTGTTGCCACGCCACAGCGAGCACACCAGTACATATCCTCGCTCTCTGTCGTATACGATCGCAATCGTCCAGATCACTGATTCAGACAACCACTGAAATTCTCCGTCGTAGAACGCAGCAGTATCTTGGCGCCGTGAGCTGCGAACCGGAGTGCTGTTTTCCTCGCGGCTGGCTGTTTTGTTCACCAACCTCCAAACAAAGCTTGTCACAAGCACCTTTTCCTGCGCAGGAGAAGACCATATACAACAAGAAGGTACGTCTTGCCACACCATCGCCCCTGGCTCCCTTCTCATCCGCCCAACCTCGTATCAAGGCACCCCTATCACAACAACTTGCTTACTCTTTCACACCTTAGGACGCAAAACATGCAAGACATTAAGCCTAGAAGCAGAGGCGGCATGCGAGACGTAGTCAGCTCCGACGAAGATACTATGCCGCTACGTTAACCGGGCACAGAAGACTATCCACGCCCGGATATACGTCGCCGTAGCTCATTCAACGGGGAGGAAAGCGTCTCTATGTTTAGAATTCTACAGCAACGAGCGGGGCACCTTACTCCCTCGATCGTAGCAGCTATGTAGCGGTCGAGGGAGGTTCAAGCTAGGCCTCTGCCGATCACTGCTAGAGAGCTAGGAGGATGTAAGATCTCCTGATTAGCCATATCCTAGAGCCAAGCTGACTGTTTGCAGATGACCCAGATACTGTAAAAATTCAACAACAAAACTACGAAGAGATAGTTTCGCGTGTCATACTAAAGGATGAGAAAGCCAACAAGCTAACTAGCCGCTCAACCCGCGCAGCAGTTCGTGCTGGCAAGCTCCCTAAGCGGAAGCGAGACGACCAGGTCGAAGGTAGCATCCACTACGAGGTACCTGTCGAGAGTGAAGACGACGCTTCCAGTAAGACACATCATCTATTGCTTAAACAGACCGTGCTTTGTGTCAAGGAACAGTGCTGACTATACACCAGTTGCCAAACCTTCTCGTAAGAAGAGGGGAAAGAAATAACTCCTTTTTCGTGGGAACCGACCAAGAAGAAGAAAGAGAAAAGAGGAGTAATGGAAGATGAAAGATGGAAATTGGTTCTTTGTTGCGTTGTTGCGCCTTTTCCGGCCTTATCACAGTCTTTACCGTTTTTCTATTCGAGCATGACATCACCTTCCTTCCCAGCTAGAATCAAGATTGCAGTGAGGGACAATGAGGTCGAGATGTACTCGTAAACGAGGGTAGATGGAGGAAAGCGGAATGAACGACGCGAGGTGGAATTGAGACTTCACCGCCCGGCATCGGGACCTCGGTCCATCTCAAGACCGACTCGACGCTCGTGCACCAAGTTTCGAGGGGCTGCATTATCACCACCCTGTCTCTACCAAACACTCGACAAGATTGACGTCTGCTGCGTCTACCTGTCGCAACCATGAGGGGCCACATTCAATGCGCTTTGCTGCTGGCAGTCCTCTTCGCATGTCTCTGCTCAGCAACCCACACGTCCAACTGGGCCGTCCTGGTCTCGACCTCCCGCTTCTGGTTCAACTACCGCCATCTCGCGAACACCCTCTCCCTCTACCGCACCGTCAAACGCCTCGGTATCCCCGACTCCCAGATCATCCTCATGCTCCCTGACGACATGGCATGTAACCCGCGCAACTCTTTCCCCGGCAGTGTCTTTAATGACAAATCCCGCGAACTCGACCTCTACGATGACCGCGATGCTTCCTCGATGGGCAGTGGTATAGAAGTGGACTACCGTGGCTATGAAGTCACGGTGGAGAATTTCATTCGTCTGCTTACGGATAGATGGCCAGAGTCATACCCGAGGAGTAAGAGATTGATGACGGATGACAGGAGCAATATTTTGATTTACATGACTGGACATGGAGGCAATGAGTTTTTGAAGTTCCAGGATGCAGAGGAGATCTCGTCGCATGACTTGGCTGATGCTTTTGAGCAGATGTGGGAGAAGAAGAGGTATTGAACATATGTGACCTTGATGGTTGGAATGTGAGGACTGACTTGTGGTGATGAACAGATACAACGAGCTGCTCTTCATGATCGACACCTGCCAGGCAAACACCATGTACGGCCAATTCTACACTCCGAACATCATTGCCACTGGTTCCTCCGCTCTTCACCAATCTTCCTACTCCCACCACGCAGATCAAGACGTCGGTGTTGCTGTCATTGACCGCTGGACCTACTACAACCTCGAATTCCTGGAAGAGCAAATCCACTCCACAAGCAGCAACGTCACCCTGGGTCAACTCTTCGACTCCTACGATCCTGTCAAAGTCCACTCCGATGCCGGAATCCGCTACGATCTGTTCAACGGTGGTGAACACGAGGCTCGCAACAGGAAAGTTGTCGATTTCTTCGGAAACGTACAAGGTGTCGAAGTCGACGAGGTCAAGAGTGGAGCAGAATCTTTGGCCGAGTGGAAGGCCGATCTCCAAGCTCTCAAAAACTTGATGCAGAAGTCAAGGGACTTGATGGAAGAGATGAAGAATGTGACGGCTGATGTGGACTTTGCTGAGGCCACTGTTTCGCCATCGCAGGGCGAACAAGATGCTTTCGGTACTGCTAAACTTCTGGATCGAGCATCCACATGGAGCAAACAAGCTATTGGCACTGCAGCCCTGGCTTCCCTCGGTCTTCTCTGGACCCTCAGCTCTCTTTTCGAAACCTGAAACAACCCAGCCATACATTTGAAATATCGATACCAGCAACCACACCAGATCAGTCTCTCTTTCTCCCGCCGCCAAAACTCTCCATAGCCCCATCAACTCCGCTAGCCCACCTAGCCACTCGTTGCAACGAAACGGGCAACACCCCCAACCACTCAACCAACCAAGCATATACCGGCATACACAGCACCTCATTTCTGCCCCTCTCAACAGCGTCCACAATCTCCATGGCCAAATCCTTCGCCGCAACCACGGGTCCGAAAAAGTCACTTGGACTCTTCAATGTCGAGAACATATTCGTGGAAAGTTGACCTGGTTTGACGAGGACCATGCGGATATTCTCAGCGCCTGGATTTGAGGCAGCAGGCAAAGAGGCGATTTCTGCGGACAGGGAAGTGTGGAAAGCGAGGAGAGCGGCTTTGGAGGCGGTGTAGTCGGTTAGGTGGGAGGCGCCTAGATGCCCGAGCACTGAGGAGACGGTGACGATTGTGCCGCCCAGGGGTGCTGCGAGCATAGCTGGCAGAAAGGTGCGGCAAGAGTGAAAGTGGGAGAGTGTGTTTATGTTGAAGGTCCGGGTGTATTGAGATGGTGTTAGGGAGAGCAAGGGGAGACCGTTTACGATTCCTGCGTTGTTCATCAGGATGGTTGGGGTGCCTAGCTGTTGATTACACGTAGTATCAGTATGCGATCCAACTCCCTTCCGAGCTACTACTTCTTTTTCGTGACGGTGCAAATACTGGAAAGGAAAAGATGTGCTTTTTGGGACATGACGAAAAGAAACGATACATACATCTCTCTTCACCTTCTCATAAGCCTTTTCCACAGCCTCAGCATCGCCAACATCAACTTTATACCACCTAATTCCTTCCTCATCTTCATTCTCTGTCCACTCGTCAGGTTTCTTCACATCCCACACCACAACCCCACACCCCTTCCTCTCCAAAACCTCAGCGATCATCCAACCCAACCCTCCCGCCCCACCCGTAACCACCGCAATCTGCTGACCCCAAACCACTTTTCTGGCTTTTCCATTGCCGAATCTCGTGTTCAGAGCGCGGATGCCGTAGAGGATTGTGTACCATACAGCAATCAAGAACGGGGTAGCATGGATGGGTTTGGATATTGCGAGGAGAGTGAGGATGTAGCTGATGGTAAGGAAGTAGATGTATGGGAGGGGAGGGAAAAGGATAGAGGTTAGGTGGAGGAGATAATCTAGAGAGAATGAAGGGGTATGGGGGTGAGGGGATAGGGTTATGGAGTATAGGGTTGAGATTAAGAGGAGGAGGAGAGTGGTAGAGGGGGTGAGGAGGGAAAGGATATCCGTCGTTAGAGCGGAAACTTCGGGCATTGTGTGGTTGGAGTTGCTGGGCTGTTTTGATAGATGGGTGGAAGCTAGACTTGAATGCTTTGGGATATTTTGGTGGGCTTTTTGTGCTATAGGGGATTTATCTTTGTGGTTTTTGTTTCGTTTGATGCGGTGTGTCTCGTTCTTCGATGTTTGTGGATTCGTGGTTGTCGGCGCGTACATTGGGAAGTGCAATTGGTGGAGTTTGCTGACTAAGCTCCAGTGACCTTTGTGTTCTCGAGCTTCGGAGCCTTTCCTTCGAGTCTAAGTGTTGATATGTAAATTCGTAGTCTACCTTGTTCAGCCAAACCATCTGCAAAGACTTTTCGGCGACAGTCAAGCAGAATGCAGCAAAGAGTGCTGAGACAGGTGGGTGTGAAACCCAGGAAGTGGCTCCAAATCAAACAACGTGCACCATAACTCCAGATCGTCCGCGACTCTTCTCAGCAGGTCTGAACTATTTCTTAAATCCTAGAAGAGTTCTTTCATACTCGACAAATCTATTCCACCATCGCTGAGGTACAAAAATGCTTCATGAAACACGTTGTGTTTGTCACCCTGGCGCGGTGATAGCGTTTCCTCGAAGCTTCGCCGCATTCCGTGATGCCAAGACGACCATGTAATCACTTGTAGACTTGTGGCATGATCAAGAGGGGTATGAGGGGATAGCTACGAGCCTATTATGGCTCCCTGAGAAACGAGAGACGACACGATAGACATGTGGTGGAGTCGTTGGACATCGGGAGTGCTCAGGGAGGAGGATGGATCCGCATGCCGGCTTTACGATTGACGATTGGTCCGAGCCTCGTCCCGCATGTCATTGTCCTCGACCCCTCCATGCCGGGTTGATCTCTTGTAATCCTCGCCCATCACCTCGACCACTCCGATTACTTCGAGCTAGCGAATCACAGCTTCATAGCTACCGATAACAGGAACTACAGCACTCGCGACCACCAGATCCGACAGCAAATCGAAGCCGAAACAGCAGTCGCCACCCACACAGCTCTCGTTCTCTCCGTTTCCACACAAAACAAATCGCCTTCGCCGCTGTCGCAAGAAACAACAACTTCATCTGATCAACAAGAACCGTCCACCGGTTCCTTTCCCCCCTCCCTCTCTCCAGTCGGCACTGCCTATACACCTTTAAACACGCCTTGATCCGCTGTGGTCATCGCGAGGTGTCGCAGAGCCAGACCATTCAATCCCGGCACATGAGCAGCCACCTGTGGAAGTACTACCTTCAAGATGATGTCGACCGATTTCGACATTTACTCGAGACGGCCTCGTACAATGTCCGTCCACACCAACACAGGGCACAATCCATGCAGTCTCCCGCTGCCGTAAGCTCGAGTCCGGGTACCCTGAGTACCTCGCCTACACTTACGGCAAAGGCTCGAAAGCCTTCACACTTCTCGCCACATGCAGGAAATGTCCCACCGCTTACTCGAGCCGACATCAACTGGCGCGATGCCAACGGAATGACCTTACTTCACCATGCCGCCTCTTCGACCTCCGAGAACGCTCTGGAATTTGCACAGGCTCTTGTCGAGCATCCCCTGATCGATCTGTATCTGCAAGACACCGAGAACTCATGGACCGCCCTACATCGCGCGTTCTACTTCGGCAACATCACCATCGCTCGCGCCATTATCGAGCGCGATACATCAGATGCTCTTGGAAGAGGAATAGGAGGAGGCTTGGTCAAAATCAAGGATCGTGAGGGACTTGGTCCGTTGGATTTATACTCTGCGACAATCAAGGATAGAACTTTGCGACCGGAGGGCCAAGGACGTCCTAGGGCTGGATCTGATGCCAGTGAAGAGGAGGCTGACATATCTGATGAACAAGAGGCTAGGACACGAGTTATCGAGTTCGCGACAAACATTTCTGGTGATGAGGTCTACACTTTTGGAAGCAACAAGAACATTACCCTTGGATTCGGAGATGAGGATGACCGACAATACCCAGAGCGCATTACTTTGAAACGTCCGGATCATTTGCTACAACGCTTCTACCGCGAATATGTCAGAGACTATGAGAAGACTTGGGCAACATTCGATCCTGTCATCACGCAAACTGGCCACTCAGCTCTTCCACGCTCCTTGCCTGTCGAATCGATGCCTTGGGTGGTCAAGAATAGACCTCTGATTATCCAAGACGTCTTCATGGCCAAACTGTCAACAGCAGTCTTGACTACCGATCCAGAGTCAAACCTTTACATGTGTGGTCACGGACCTGGTGGCCGACTTGGTACTGGAGACGAACAATCCCGCTTCAGATTCGTCTGCATTGAGAATGGCGCTCTTTCTCGCAAAGGGATTGCGACCGTAGCGCTCGGTCAGAATCATACTTTGGCTGTCGATGCTCGTGGAGAGGTCTTTTCCTGGGGTAGTAACTTGTATGGCCAACTCGGATATTCCCTTCCGAAAACTGGCATCACAGATGAGGACCCCGTCAGTTGCGTACCAGCGCAGATCTTTGGACCCCTGAAGCGAGAGATTGTCATTGGTGTCGCAGCTTCACGCATCCACTCGGTCGCATACACTTCTACATCTTTGTACACTTTCGGCAAGAACGAAGGCCAGCTTGGCATTGTCGATTCGGATGCACGATCGCTCGAGTACCAAATCACCCCTCGCAAGGTTGCAGCTTCTCGATTTGCTGCTCCCATTGTCTCGGCTGTAGCCATCGACCGAGCTACCATCTGTCTGCTGGAGAATCATGACGTCTGGGTCTTCGCCAACTACGGATACGCTAAGATCCAGTTCCCTCTCGATGGCTCAAGCAGTTTTCTGAAGGATAGCTTCCGAGTTACCAGATACGATGACACTGTCAATCACATCAGCAAGATCACGGCTGGTGGAGACACGATTTGTGCCATGTCAAGCAGCGGAGAGGTCTACACCTTATCAGTCAGCCAAAGACAAGATCAGGCCAACGCATCCACTACCAATCCGACCAAGATTCGAGGTGCCCTTTCTGCGCCGCAAGAGATTTGGTCCTTGAAGAAAAACAACATGGCCGCTCGCGATGTTGGTGTAGATGCTGACGGATCAATCATCTTGACCACCGAAGAAGGCAGTGTCTGGAAGCGATCAAGAAGAACCAAGATTAAGGACGGAAAGTCCATGGATGCTGTTCAGTACAAGCCAAAGGATTACAAGTTCTCTCGTATCGCTGGACTGTCTCGTGTCACGGCAGTACGATCTTCAGCGTACGGCGCATATGCTGCTGTTCGCAGAGACTGCGATGTCACCAAAACACAGACTTTAGTTGAAGAAAAGACCATTTGGAAAGATCTGTTTCCTCTTCTTTGCTTCCACGATCTTCCTGTCCATGAAGACGAATCTGACAGCGAGAGCGAGGAGCCACAACCACGCTTCTGGCAAGGTCGCAAGAAGCCAGATGAAGTGCAACTCCTCCGCAAACAACTGCTTGAATCGAAGGACATTGAAAAGGACCTTGAGGAACATTTGCGGCAAACGTCAAATGAGGACTTTGCCGAGTTCGACGCCATCATTGGGACCAACGTGTCTGAGTTGCGCTTCCCCGCTCATCAATTCATCCTTGCAGGACGAAGCAGAATTTTGAGAAACGGCTTCCAGTCACTCAAAGACGATAGCGTCTTCAGCGTGCCTGAGTTGATGACCTGCGAGCACGACTCTGTCGGCCGACCTGTTATAATCTTCCAGGGACTCGACATATTGACTCTTGTCGACTTCTTGCTTTACTGCTACACTGATACTATTGTCGACTTCTGGCATCACACTAGACACTCACCCAAGATGGCCTTCAGATACAGACAAGTCCGCACTGAATTGATGAAGATCGCTGCGAAGCTTGAGCTTCTCAAATTGGAGCCTGCAGTCAGACAGATGATTGAGCCAGAGCAGTGTCTGCACATGGATCTGGACATTGCTGCTAGAGACCAAGGCTACTTTGCCAATGGAGATATCAGAGTTCAGCTTGTTGACGATGAAGTCCTTGTTCATGGATCTATGGTCTGCCAGAGATGTCCTTTCTTCGAAGGCATGTTCATGGGGCGCGCTGGTGGTCGATGGCTTGAAGAAAGACGTGGAATGCTACAGAACGCCTCTGATGCTGTGGACGTCGACCTTCAGCATATCGAGTCAAATATTTTCCGTATGGTCATTCGCCATATTTATACAGACGCTGGTGAGGAGCTCTTCGACGACATTGTTAGTGCGGACCTAGATGAGTTCCTTGATGTTGTCATGGAAGTCATGGCTGTTGCGAACGAGCTCATGCTTGATCGCCTCTCACAAGTCTGTCAAAGGGTCGTTGGTCAGCACGTCACAACTCGCAATGTATGCGGTCTACTCAATGCTATCGCACCCAGCTCAGTGACCGAGTTCAAGGACGCAGGTCTTGAGTACCTGTGTCTGAGTTTGGAAGGCATGCTTCAGGGAGGACTTCTCGATGAGCTCGACGAAGATTTGCTGCTAGAGCTGGACGACATCGTTCGCGATAATCAGCTCGCTCTTATGCCATTCGCAAAGAGTGGCCGCGCTGAAGCCATGCTTCATGAACGTCATCCTGAGCTCGCAGCTCTGATTGACCGCGACCGTCAGATCAAGCTTGACTCTATCATGCTACACACCAAGCATCAAGACATTGATGGCTGGGGTCCTAACTCCTTCCGAGGAGGCAGCATTGAGGACAGTGGACATGCAAAACAAAAGGCACGGAGGAAGTCCAAGGATGCACAATCAGCCGCGATTGAATCTGCTCCCAAGGGTAAAGCCGTGTCATCTCTGGGTACGAGTATCGAAGAAGGATCTGCATTGGACTTTGGTGGAACGAAGGTCAGAGCAGAATCAGACTTGGAGACAGCTCTGCGCAGAGATACTGCGGTCGGCACCCCTACTGATTCGTTGCTGGACCCTAAAGGTAAGGCGGCCACGCCTCATGCTGGCACTCCCAAGCAAGGTGGCTTTGGCTCGACTATGACGCCCGCAACACCTGCGAGTGCATCCAGTGTACCTTGGGCAGCTACACCTTCGCCTGGCGCCAAGCTGGAGATGAAGGATATCATGGCACAGGCGTCTTCAAGCCGTGTCTCCAACCTTTCCCTAGGCATTGCAGCAAGTCGAGAGAAGGCTTCAGAGGATGCTTCAGCTGCAAGAGCTGCTGCGAAGATGTCACAGAAGGAGCGCAAGAAAATGCAACAGGCACAACAGTCCGCTGTCGTGGAGATTGAAGAAAAGATTGCCGCAAAGGTCGCCTCGCCATGGCAAGTGGTATCTGGACAGAAGATCCCATCTCTGAAAGACGTCATTGGCGACAAGCCTGCGTCTCCCGGTCCATCAGGCAGACCGCCGCCCACTCCTCGTACCAGCACCACGCCACAATTGACCATGCGTCAGACAATTGCCAATCCGAAGCCATCATCCAAGCCTGCTGCCGCTATTGCCGCTTCACCCAAGAACATCGGTCCTGGCTCACCTATCGTCTTAAATCAGCCATCTCCAAGACTCGGTCCTCAACGCGCTCCCTCAAACCAGGTCAGCGGAAAGTCCCCGGCCCCTGCATCCCCTAGAATACAAGCACAAGCTTCGCCTTTCGCACCAGCCAGACCATCACCCACATCCCGCCAGAGCCAACCTCAGCCTCAACGCAAGGCTTCTGCACAGCAAACAGCCGCCTCCACGTTGGCGCCTCCACCACCTCCAGATCTCTCATCTCAGTCTTTCCCTTCCATCCAGTCAATCGTCCATTCTCCGCGAGCAGCAGAACCCGCACTCCAATTGTCTCTGCAAGAAATCCTCGAACAGCAACAATACGAAAAGGACATTATCAAAGAAGCTGCTGCGGCAAGAAGTCTTCAAGAGATCCAAGCCGAGCAGGAGTTCCAAGAGTGGTGGGACAAGGAAGCCGCTAGGATGAAGGAAGATGAAGAATTCGCTAGACTTATCGCAGAGGGCAAGACGCCTGAGCAAGCTGGTAGGAAGAAGGGCGGAAAGGGAGGAGGCAAGCAAGCTGGACCCGAGAAGAAAAAGGGAGAACAAGCCGCACAGGACAAGAAGAAGACAGAACCTGCTGCATCAAGCCAGCCACCTACTCAAGGCCAGTCTTCCAAGCCACGAGGTGGAAGAGGAAAAGGCAGAGGTGGCGCTGCTGCTCCTGCGGGAGCAAGTAGAGCTGGATAAATCCCTTACTGCATCATGACTACATATCTCTTTCGAAGCACAATATTGCTTCACATACATTGCATTGTATATATACCACTTCATTATAAAATTCATGTTCTTTCAAACCAAACGCTTGCCGATCTTGACGTGTTCATTCTTTGTTAGTGGATTTCCTTTACTCGCAAGGTTGAGCTGAAATCCATCTTCTTGAAGCAAGCATTGCTTGATCCAATGAATGCCCATCTCAGCCAGTACAAAAGAAGATGACGAGAAAGGAGGTTTCTCCCGAGGAAATGAAGTGGTGGTGGAGGTCGGCACTATGACGTAATCAGATGTAGCATAAGCATAGATGCGAGTAGTCACTCGCAACACGGAAGATGACCTTATCCTACCCGTCGTTTTTATATATTGCTGCGTATTCTTGTTGTAACAGCAGAAGCACACTACTTGTTTCCGGTAACCTCCTCAGTCACAATCAACCAGCGTCCCAATTTTGTTATCAGCCGTCTCGGAGAAATCATACACGGACATCTATCACCAGCAGTAAGCTCGCTCATTTGAACCCGTTTTGGACGGAAAAAGGGGTGAGAATTACCAAGAACCATGGAGATCATCAAGGTATCAGTGCTACCCCTTTTCTTACCTTTTACCCCTCTTCGTCCCTGTTCTCCTCTTCACCAATCTCTCCACTTACACAGCGGCCAAGAACAAAAAGAGTCTTGACTAGAAAAACTTGTTAACACGAACCAGATACAACTACGACTATTGTACTGGCACTTGAATCTAGCATTGCATTTTCGACTATGCAAACCATTTGCTCTGACATGCTGTATCCTTGCGTTTCTTCTGGGTCTGTTGAGTTCGCGTTATATCCGTAATGAGTGGGTTGTTAGATTAACAGCCATGGGACCAATCATTGCGGTAGTGGTATTGTGCTCCGAACTTCATCTCGGTGTTGGAAGAGTCGTGCAAGAGGAGGAGGAAGGAAGGGGATAGAAGCACCCCATGAGATTTATAGGCAGCACTGGCTAAACAAAGGAAATTGTTGTATCCTGACGAGCAGGGAAGTGGTGGCTGTTTTATCTCCCTGGCGAAATTTGAAAGTTGTGCAAGACTCCACGATTTTCCTTGATTACCACTACTCTGTTTCCGGACATTGTCAAGGTTGTTGTCTTCAATCGCTTTCAAACAAGACACACACACACACACACACACACACACACACACACACACACACACACACACACACACACACACACACACACACACACACACACACACACGTTCACCGAATGTAGAGGATGTTTCTTTTTGTTGATCTCTATAATATACTGGAGCATCAATCTGATATCTTGACACACATTTACTCTGTACCCAGAAGCTGACGTAACATCCCTTCCCTTCTATCTCAGTGCTAAGTTGTGTAAATCAAGGACAAGCTCGTTTAGAGCACATGATGAATTGACAAGGTCTGAGAAGAGCTTACTACCGACAAGCAAAGACAGCAGTCCTATGATCATAGCGTCTAATTTGTCAGAGGCGAGATCAGCGATCTGGAGTCTGAATGCACTGGAGCAGAAAACGACTACAGGATGGGCTCTGGCCCGCCCCTCTAGATGCAAGAAGGTAACTAAATCTAGCGGTCGAAAGGTAGGATGTTGTTGAGATTGGAGTGGTAGATTAGGACGACAGTGCGGTAGCACCTCCTCTTTGAAGATTCATTTGGAAATCTGTGAGTGTGCTGACATGATCGAGACATGGTTAGTGTCTCGATTTTAATTATTGTTCTCTCGCATCAATATTGGCTACACGATAACCACGGCTCGAGGCAGGAAGAAGAACAGAGTAATACAGGCTTGACCACAGAGGAAGAAATGTCTATGCTCGTCACATCTATCCCACATCTTGTTCATCCTCAGCAACCTCCTGATCATGCCTCCACTCCTTCAAAAAGTCCCATCGCGCCATCACACTACCAACCCCATGTTTCTTCTCCAAAACCCTCATAGCATTGGCATCTCCTCCTTCAACTGCCGCATCTTCCTCCTCCGTCCACACGCCCGCCATATTGACCCTTCCACCTCTGGCTTTCAAGACGAATTTGGCGAGTTTAGGGTTCAGAGATGTGACACGGAGAGCTTCTTTTATGAATTCTTCGGAGAAGCCGAGGGCGATCTGGGAGTCCACCCAGGGCCACACTTCGTCGTCGGCGAGAACTTGGGAGTCGGTGTTGTAATAAGGATTTGGGTCTTCATCGTCGAATTGGGAGGGTGGGGGCGCTATGTCCTGGTCGAAAGGTTGAGTTTCGGCGTCGTAGATTGCTTGAGTGTCTTGCCTGAAATTTTCCTGTGGTTGAGACGGCGCGGAAGAAGCTTCCCAGGGTCGTGTTTCGGGAGGGTCGAGTTGCATTTGAGTGTCGTTGGCGAGGAATTCTGCTGATGATTGGTAGGAATTTGGCTCTGGTGCTGGGCTGGACTCGAGGAACGCTGGGTCGTACACGCGTTCTTCCATGGGCTGTTCTTGCGGTGTTGGAACGTCTTCGTCTTCAACTTCATCTTCATCATCATCAGCGTACTCTTCATCTGCTTGATGAGTACGCGCCTCGGCTGCTTCCATGGCTCTCTCTTTTAGTCCGGGTGGCAGAAGACTTCCCAGAACATCGATAAAGTCCGCTTGGTCATCATCTTCTTCATCCTTCTCCAGATCAATGCCTCTCTTTTCTCCGTCTTCAGAAAACCCATTCTGGGCTTCGATACGAGCGAGATTTGCTCTGGTCAACTGATGGCGGGCGTCTCTAGTTTCCTCCATTTCTCGACGCAGCTGTTGTGCTGCCTCAGCTTCATGCGCTGTCTCTTCTTCATCAGCGAGGAAGCTCGAAGACGGGTCGACTTTGCTGGAGATACTAATAATCTCATCATCTTTGACTGTCGCTTGTTGAGCTGGTCCTGAAGGAGTCGCTGCCTCGGCAGGAACAGTTTGTGGTGACTCTGTGCGACGGCGTTTCGAAGGTCCTTGCTCGGCATTTTCACCGTTCTGTACTTTTCGTTTGGTCGACATGTCGGACACATCAGCCATATCCTGGTCTTCGTTCAACGCACTTGCTCTTGATGCGCGAGGGGTCGTCTCATCTTCAGCGTCAACAATATCCGCTGAGGTCTTCGAAACATCAGCGGCAGCACGCTTCTTCAGATGCGGCAAAGTTTTGATAGGTTGACCCTGATTCTGCCAGAATCTGGCCCATTCACCATCACCTCGACCCTTCTGAAACTCTGGATCATCCTCGTTCTGCAGCACAACAGGTAAGACACGACGTTCGTAGTAAGCACGCCACTCAATGGCGGTACATTTGGAGTAGGCTTCGGCAAAGGACATCCAGGATTCTTGGTAGCGGCCTACGCGAACATTTTGAATGTCAAGCGCACAGTTCAGGAGAAGGTCGTAGTCTTCATCAGTGAATTTGGAGTCGTCGTAAATCGCAGGATCAAGCTCAGTCGATGCAGACTTGTGATTGGCAGAGGGCTGTGATTGAGGCTGACGATATTGCGTCGACTGCTTCGACTGCTTCTGTTGAGACGTAACCGGCGAGCCCATATCCGGAGCTGTAGCCACTGGAGTGCTAGCCTGATCCTTCAATGCTGTAGCAGGGCGAGATTGAGGGGGCTGCAGTGGGCTTCTGGCGACGGTTTGCGGTGAAACTCTTGTCGCGGACTGTCTCAAGGCTGTAGCAGGACGTGATGCAGAAGGCACACTTTGAGATGGTGTCTCCTCAGAAGCGATCACTGAATGTGGTGCAATAGACTGCGGACTACGATTCAGTGGTGATGCAGCGGATGCCGAGGCAGCTGGAGGTACTCTGAAAGCTGCACGCTTCACTGGTGGCCGACTGATTGGTGGCTCCGGGGATGGGGATGGCCGAGCAACAGGGGCATCATCTTCAGCTGGCACCTCTTCGTCAAGATCCACTGTGTGTTGGAGAAGATCGACCCAATGACCACGCCAGGATTGGTAGCTGTGACGAGGGTTCCTGGCTGCCAGTTTCTTATACAGCTCGTTGCCTTGGAGAGCTTCACCTTTGTTGTAAGCTCTTCTCACCCAGGAGATTAGCTCCTCGTCGTCTTCGTCTGTGAACTTCTCACGTGCTTTAGGAATTGTTCTCATTGGCGAGGTTGAAGGCCTCACGATCGGTGTAGAGCGAGGAAGGGCCGTTGAAGACAGATCGGCAATCGAAGAAGCCAAGCTAGGCAAGCTTTCGTCTGGATGATCTTCCCATCCAGAAGGAGGTCTGGAGGCTAGGGCCTTGACATAACGATCGCGCCATGATTGGTAAGTGTGCCTGTTGTTGTGTGCGGCCAGGATTTGATAGATTTTGTTGCCTTGAAGAGCTAGACCGCTGTTATTGGCCTTTTGCACCCATTTATACAAGATTTTGTCGTCGTCAGTGGTAAAAGGAGTTCTGGTGGCTTTTCTTGAGGATAATGTGTTGGTGGTGATTGGGTTGGTGGATTTTGGGCGTCCAGCAAGGAACTTTGACTCGTCTTCCGGTACACTGCCTTCTTTGATGGCAGTCTCGATGAACTTGTAGGATAAAGAACCAGGTGGTGCATCATGGCGTACATGGTCGGCGATCAGATAGTCAGCTTGAGCCTCGAGCTTGACCACCGAGCCGGCGTTACTCTCGACCAGCGAGACGTAGTGTGAGCGTTGAGGCACACGCTGTACAATGAAAAACTTCAAGCCATCAAAGATTCCACCCTGTACACCCGCCGAGTCGTCCATGTCTGTATACACAACGGCCGGCGGCATGGCGGATTGGATGATATCAATGGTCGCTGCCTCATTGGCGAAAACAGAGAGTGACGCGCCGGCACGCGTTGAAGCCGAGTCAGGGTCCACTTTCGGCAGGGCAATGACGTGTCTCTCCCGAGCACCTCCCGCGTCAACTTTCCACCTTGTCTCACTTGACATTTGACATTTGACAGCTCCCAATTTCTCGAAAATGGAAGGCACAAGCAGGAATCCATCATGATCGCCTTTCGCAACACCATCATCGCTGTGGTGGTTATCTCTCTCTTTACGTTTATCGCCCTATTCGGACGACTGCCCGCTCTACGCAAAACTCCCATAGGCTTCAGTCACAGGCTGCTGTGCATTTACGTCCCGAATGGATTCCGTCGGGTTGATGCACGTTATACTGGCGGCCGTATGTCGCGCAGTATTGCTCGACTTACACATTATCTTTTTCAAGAGAAGAACCCGCTCGTTCTACTTCTCTTCCTCACACTCCTGACAGGCAGTGCGACCCTCTTCCTCAAAGCCGCCCTGCCACACCTCGAGACCAAGTTCATCCTACCCATACCGATCGTATTGCTCGCACCATATACCTTTACCTACCTCTGCGTCACCAGCACCGTTGACCATATCACTCCTGCCAACCATGCCGCCGCTATGCGAACATATCCCTACGACCACATCCTCTTCCGTCCTGAGAACGTGTGCCGCACCTGCAATTTGGTGAAGCCTGCCAGGAGTAAACATTGTTCGTTATGTGGTGTATGCGTCGCTCGCTGCGATCATCATTGCGCCTGGGTCAACAATTGCGTCGGCCGCCATAACTACCGCTGGTTCCTGCAAGTCCTTCTCAGTATCGGCATTGTGGAAATCTACGGCGCATATCTCTGTTGGCACATTCTATCTCCACACCTGCATTTGGGTAACTCCAAGTACGGCTGGTTGGAAAAACAATACTGGGCCGAGTTGGGCAATGCTTTTGTGTTTGCTATGAGCATTGGTGGTATTGGTATCTCTGGTGTGGGTTTACTCGCCGTTACAACCCTGCCATTGCCATTTGCGTTGTTCGGATACCATGTCTACCTCATATGGGCAGGTATGACGACAAATGAAAGTGCCAAATGGGCAGACTGGCGCGACGACATGACCGATGGTGTAGCATGGATAGGCAAGAAAAGTGTCGTCGACGCCTACAACAAAGAGCGTAAAGCAAGACAGCTGCGCAATCGTAACAGAGCCAGTGGCATCAAGAATGACGAACTTGCCTCAGAGTCGGAAGAAGAGGAGGAATACATCCCATGGCCAAGGATCAGTGATCAAGTCCTCGTCAGCACCACAGACGGAAAGGCTCCCACAGGCCAGGAACATCTGTGGGAAAAAGCCACAAGCTTGGATATGGTAGAGAATATCTACGACCTTGGTTTCTGGCGTAACTTCATCGCTGTCTTGCAAGGGAAGTAGATTCATGACATCGAACCTATGCAATACCTGTTCCCGTTCAACCCATGTTCGAAAACTTCGTTGCCGATTTCTCTCTCTCTGAACATTTACTCTCAAACATATTCTTGCCCTTCGTCAGCTAAACATACCCAGTGTCGTGTATCCAGAGTCGACGAGACGCAAGTCCTTTTCCCTCTTCAACAACCTCCTCGATAGCGATACCCTCGTGGCCTCTCCCCCCACCTAACCATCCACTTCTCAATACCTCCCGCCTAAGCTATCATATCACAGCACAGCAGTATCAACAAAAGTATCCTTCAAAAAGTCATCGGGATATCTTGCTCCATGTACAATTGCTTCTTCACATGCTTTCCTGATTTCTGCTGTCTCTTTGTTGGTGAGGTGGATGGTAGAGGAGGTGTAGTTTTCCTGGATGCGGGGCAGGGAAGTCGTGCCTGGGATCTGGGTGAGGGTGTTAGTTTCGATGTGGAGAGGGTTTGGGAGTGAAGATAGGGGGGATTGATAGGGAGATAATGATAGGGAGGGAAGATGAGCATGAAAGACAGAGAGTAAGTATAGGGAAGGGATAGGGCAGGGAGAAAGAGAAGTAACACAGTGGAGATAGCTAAGGTAAGGGGACAAAGAGGGAGGAAGAATGGGATAAGGGGGTGTAAGGTAATGACAGGCAGGGAAAGCACGTACGGGAAAAATATCATCTCCTTGAGCCAAAAGCCAGGACAGCGTCAATTGAGAAGCAGTGATATTCTTCTTCTCAGCGATGGAGGTCAAAGTATCAACCAGCTTCAAGTTCTTAGGGAAGTTTTCTTCGCTGACTGTGACAAGTCAAGATTGTTAGCATATGGGTGGAAGTCCTCGTCAAAGATGAAACTCACACCTAGGCGAATACTTCCTCGTATCATCATCAGAGAGGTCACTGTTGCTCCTGATATTGCCGCCCAGCATACCTCGACCTAGAGGCGCGTATGCGACGATGGCGACACCTAGCTCCCTTGCTGTCTTCAAGAGCCCAATCTGCTCAGATTCGATGTCCAGCGAAAATGGACTGCTCGATCATCAGCCACCATTTCTTTACTGCCAGCGCGGGTAAAACTTACGAATACTCGACTTGTACAGCATCCACCTTCTCCACCTTACAAGCCCTCCTCAAAGTCTCGCTAGACACTTCAGAAAGCCCGATATGGCGAATTTTGCCCTGCTTTTTCAACTGCGTCATTGCTTCCATTGTTTTCTCAATCGGTGTGACTTTGTCTACTCGATGAGCATACAATAGATCAATATACTCGACTCCAAGCCTTGACAGAGACTTTTCAGCAGCTTTCATCACGTATTCTGGCGACGAGTCGATGCTCATTTCACCGTTGTCGAATCTGAAGCCGACTTTAGTGGCCAGGAAAATCTTGGAGCGTTTCTCTGGGTTCAGGGCAAACCATTTTGCTGGGTTTGAGTCAGGAGGGGACGAAGACGGTATGACGATGAGAGAGGTAACATACCGAGAAGATCTTCACTATCAGCGTAACAGTCGGCGGTATCCCAGAAACGACAGCCTTGCTCGAATACCGCGTCGAGGATGGCGAGACGTTCGTGGTCGGGTTTTGGAGGGCCGTAGAAACAACTCTATTCAAGAGTAGTGGTGTCAGTGATCTGACCGCGTGGAAAACAAGCGATGGATCACACTCACTAGTCCCATCAATCCGTAGCCGAGGCGAGTAACGAGTGGACCATTGTGTCCAAATGGAGCAGTGGGGAGTTGGCGGTCTGAGGCATTGGCGAGAGTATTTTGTGCTAACTGCATAATGGCGTTCCTTTCGAGGATGAGAATGAGATGAATTTAGAGATGGAAATTGATAGTTCTGCCAATTTGTCGTCTGTATCGTGCTTTATAGTATGTCGTAAGGCTCGCGTTCGGATTTTAAGCTTCGGCTTTTGAGGCTCGCTTCTCTTCGGATTTTGAGCCTTGCGCCCATTCGGCTTTTAGCGGTCGTCTCCTGTAGCCATCTAGATAATACTTCTTGTGTCGTGAGACAGAACTTTAGAAATTAAGGGTGGATCATAGATCAAGTGGTGAACAATCTGGTGCAGATCAAGAATCGAAGAAAGGGCTTTCCAATTCTCAAGTTCCGGAAGCTGCTAGGTGGGATCTTGAAGGTCGAGATGCTGCATAGTGACATGAAACAAGATTGATAAAGCTTCATCAATACTGTGGCAGCCCATCTTATTCTAGAGTGGGGTGGGAAAAGTCCCAATCATTGAAAAACATTGCGTCCAGCTCGCCCGACGTAGCATCTGCAAACCACGGCAGGGAGTCGAACACTCCCAGCGCCAAATCCAGATTGGGATTCAAGCAAGTATCATGCTCGTCAAGAATGGCTCCCGGATTGTCAAAGCCCATGTTCGTCGAAGTGTCCAAAAGTGACCTGGACACGTTTGTCTCATCCGTGCTGACACCGTTGGAGTCTTGTGAAGACAGCGCGGCGATGTTAGTTGACGCACGTTTCATCGCACTCGCCAGCACACCTTGCGAAGGATCATCTCCACTCTGTGCTATCAGAGCTTCGTGCTGTCGATACCACCATTCCAAGACCGGCCATCCCTGCAATGTCAATTCAGCATTGCTACAAGACCCACAGGCTGATAGAGCTGTGGCAAGCATGGGCCAAGGCATGGTAGAATACCACCTATAGGGTTCTCCTCGGGGATCGGTATGCATCATTTGAGTCTTCTCTAGCACGCGGAGAGTCATACGCAGAAGCTCAGAATCTCTGGCAGGGCACTGTAGGATACCATCGCTGTTGTAAAGGGACTTGCATAAGGGACGCAATCTGGAGACTCGGATGATGGCTATGTGACACTGCGTTGCATGCCAAGTGAACCATGCCAGTTGAGAAGATTCGGGATCGCAAAAGCGCAAGACACCCAAGGCTTTCTCCTCAAACTCGCGAGCGTATCCTTGACGTGTCTCTTCGCTCTCATTTTCAGACAAGGCATCAAAGTTCAATAGTCGGCCTGCGAGCTGGTGCTGGAACCTTGAACATTGTAAGTTTCACATCGAGTTGAGGTGCTAAAGCATGCACAAGCAGTGAGTTGGACATCCACTTACAACACATATGCGAATGTCATATCGGTCAGATCTTCCTGGTCTTCTATCGCAACAAGACTTGATGGTCCAAAATCTGCATCGTTGACATGCCGGAGTTGAGCTAACGCTTCTTTGACTTTTCCGTAATCGATTAGTGGATCAGAGCGTTGCGACATAGCGGTTTGGTAGTCCAGCATGCAGATGGTAAGCCATAATCTCACTTTCATTTGCGTCTCGAAGAATTCATCTGTTTTGGTCCTTTTGTAAAGTCGTAGCTTCTCACCAATTCTTACGGCAATGGAGACTAAAGTCCAAGTACTTGTGCTCACATCGAAGGACTTTCTCGCAAACTACTCCATAGATGAGCCGACTGACGGAGTGTTGCGCAAATTTGAGACTCACAAGATATAGCACGAAAGCCTGCAAGACGGCCATATCACTGGTGGAGATCAGATTTGCACTAACCAGAGATCTCTCGCATGCACTGCAGAGCTCTTCTGAGAGCAAAAGTTTGCTCTTCCCCAGTAGTGATCGGGATTGCTGGTCGGTCATACTGCCTGCTGCAGCATAGCATATCGCATTTTGAAGTGCGTCGGCTGACGAATTCTTATTCGAGATCTCTAAACATGTCTCTTCATGCAAGAGCAAGCGTTCTACAGATGGCCGGTGAAGCATCTTGAGGATAGGATCGATCTGTACAAAGTACACGCCCACGAGTCGAGCAATGCCTGTCCTGGAAGGCTGACAGTGAGTATCGGTAGTATTAAGCGCTGCTCGATAGCTGCAGAGGATCTCGGCTCTCGACTTACGCGTCTAAGAGGGATCCGGTCTGATGATCGACTACAGGTGAATGAGATGCTGTACCAATACCCAAAGCCGCGAGAACTCCACCATCCAGAGCCATTTGCGTCGCGGCATGAACGCAGAGGACAGCATCATTGTTGTGCGAAGGTTGCACATCCACTAGGACACCCTCAGAACTGCGCGGATGGCATTGTTCGGGCTGTTCAGATCGGTCTCGGCGAGTTGTCGGAATCCTGTCTGCTCGAATCGCTGCCCTGCCTGCTGTGATGTCGGAGGTGGTAGGAGGTACAGTGCCTTGGTTGGCCATACTTTGGAGCAGAGTTTCGAGGTTCTCAACACGTTCGCGGAGCTCCTTATATGAGGCTTCAGCAGTCGTGACCGCTGCCCGTCTATTTGCATGTCTCGTTACTCGGGGTGTCGACGGCTCTAGGTTACCAATGGACTTTCGGGCATGGCGACCGCGAGGCAAACGATCGCGATAAATTGTTTTGCAAGATACTCCAGCGATAATACAGCCGGTACAAGGATCCAATTTGTCGCATTTAACCTTCCGCTCTCGACAACGTTCACAACTCAGTTGCGGAGCATTTCCACGACCGCGGCGTGATAGGGCAGCCATGACCAAAGTTGACTAGAAGAATTAGCTTGTTGGAGCGTGTTGAACAATAGAGCTGTGCTCCGGGGAGAGACCGTTGTATCGTGACTTGACAACGAGTCGCATGCGAGTTATGGAACCGTCGTCAAGAATGTTGAGGATGTCCAGGCATTGCAGTGTCAGTGATCGATGACTAATGTTCCATTGAAATCTTGATGTTCTCCTGTCACGAAGTGTTTGTTGATTCAATGTCGCTGTGTTTGTGTTCAAGTCGCTGAACGCGACGCCCGAGCTCAAAAGTGCAGCCTCGAAGCTCCGACAAAGCCCACGCTCAAGCCTCTGAGCCTCTAGTCTCAACGCAAAACACCAGTATCTCAACCAATATTGATGCGGTCGCGGAATTGACTTCACTAAACCTGTGTAAACAAACTGAAGCGTGAAACAAAGCGCAAAACGGCAATGAAAGGCCCCTGCCACGATTCGAACGCGGGACCTCTCAGCAGCCCGGGCAGGCTTCGAGTCCAAACGTTTTGTCCAGTCGACTCGACAATGACAAAAGTCGCGCCCATTTGCACTCCCCTGCGGCACACCCCAACATCATTCGTCAATTGGCGGAATGAAACAACGAATTTATCTACGATGTCGCTTTAAATGTCGTCGGACCATGTGTTTGCGTTGATCTCCACGAGCTTGACTAGCTGTGGCTCACTCATGGAGATACCGGAAGCAGATGACACATCTACCAAGAGCTCGAATCGATTGCCTTTCACTGGTCAAGCTCCCATATTCGAACGCGTTTATGCCTTTCGATGAGTACATCTTTTATCGCCGTCTGCTGTCGGAGCATTTGCTTTTGACATTAGAATTGGTGCACTCGGCCCCGTCTCAATGACTCTGGGCTTTCGCTTTCCTCCCCACGAGAGGTTGGTCGTGTTTCGCAACCATTCGTGCGTTAAATCTCCATCTGCTGTTCGTGCAGAACAAATGCCTTTCCGCTTTGCTTGAGATCCAGCTGAGATATCGTGGGGCGCAGGTTGGGCTGCAGCAAGGCGGTTACATCCATGCCATGATTGGTCCAGCGCGCCAAGTCGTTGATAACCAAGAGCAAGACGAAGACAATGAGATCCCTCTCGTCACTCGATCACGGCCAGTCTTTCTGCATTGTACGGACTCCTCGAGATCAGTGACATCATGTTGGCTATCTATCATAGTCATGTTCGTTCCGGTTTTCACAGCGATTGCTTTGAGGCTCTGCCAGTTTTGGGGATCATGAGATCTCTGTTATAGGCATCCACACATCCAGCTAGCCCTAATGCGCGATCCTACAGGGCAACAGGGTTCATGTCAACCTCCAGCTTTGCAAGATGTAACTATTACAACAAAGTCACTGAGTTTCCCCTTCTTTGGCTTTATCGTGGCTGTCACAAACGTTCTTCGTTGTTGAACAGACATTGCAGCAACGAGTCGTTGTGTTCGTCGACATGGATCATGATCTGACTGAGGAAATGGAGCTTGCATTCATGTCGCCAGACATCGATCTGTCTCACGAGCACCTTCTTCCACCGCCAATTCAATCCGATAATGCCTCGCAGGTCAACGGAGTCTCAGCACAACTATCAATCGGCGAAGAGCCTACGGACACTGACGATGATACACCATTGTTAGCCGCAAAGCACGTGGGCCCCCAGGCAAGATTTGCCTCTATCACCGCGCTCTCGCCATGGTTTCCGGAAGCAGACCCCGACAGCGACGAGGCTCAAACATTCCGCGTTAAGCGTTCCCAACGCAAATTTTTGCTCAATGGTTGTGCGGGACTCGCGGCTTTCACCTTTGTTATCAACTTAGGATCATTACTATACGTTCATTATGATGCTGAGGACGAGTCCATTTTCAGCGGCGACTGTGATCAGAGTGCAAAGTTGAATTCGGTATTGCATGTGCTGATCAACATCTTGAGCACTTGCTTGTTAGGTGCATCCAACGTCTGCATGCAGTTGCTTGTCGCCCCGAGGAGGTCGCAGATCGATTTCGCTCACAAAAGCTACAAGTGGCTCGACATTGGAATACCGAGCGTCCATAACTTTCGTACAATTGCTTGGAAGCAGAAGCTGTTATGGTTGTTCTTCGCCTTGACTTCACTGCCGCTCCACTTCCTGTAAGTACAGTTTAGTGCCTGGCTCTTTTGCTCATCCACTACTGCTGCTGCTGCTGCCGCTGTCGCTGCCTCTCCAAGCTCGGGTACTGATGCTATGCTCGGAACGATAGGTACAATTTATCGGTCTACGGCACTGTTGCTGTCAACACCTATGTCATTCTTGTCGTCACTCCGGGTTTCATCAATGGAGCACGATCTGACGCCAGGGCATCTGAAGAGCAAGCCAAGTCAAGAGAGAATATAACTATGTATGGCTTGCAAGACATACCGCCGCATCATTATGTGGAAACGACCCTGAATGAACACAACTGGCGATTCAACTACTCAAAAACCATGTCGAGGCGAAAATTGCGACATCTACCAAAATCGCATGCAACAAGGAGCTTTCGGCATAAGGTTGGACCCTGTGGAGTGTCTTTCGGCTTACACCACGTCTTTCGGGACCCAATCAGACGTTATCCTAGTCTCTACTTACGACTTGGCCATTAACACCACTGTCGCCGAAGACTTACCACTGCTCTTCGCTGCTGAGGAGTACCGACTAATTGGCCCAGGAGTATTCTGGGCCTGCTCTACCACCAATTCTTTTGATTGCAGATCACCTGAGAAGTGGAAGAACGATCCCAGTCTGGTCTCGAATTGGAACGTATACGGGTACAAAATAGACTACTGTCTTCAAAGTCAACACGACAATTCAGATCTATGCCGTGTCATGTATACGGCGCCGATATTGATAAGTCAGTACAACTTACCCGTTTGGTATTCTGACATGCTAATGTTCTTCAGTTGTTTGTATCATGGACTTTGTAAGCTCGTTGCCATAGTCATGACCCGATATCTCTGTCTCGATCAAGATGATCCTGCTATCTGTACTATCGGTGATGCTGTCGCCTCTTTCTTGAAGCGCCAAGACGAAACCACCAAGAACATCTGCCTGACAGACTACTCCAAAATCACAAGAGACAAACAGTATTGGCGTGGCAGACCACGCATGGAGTGGAGGCCGGAGACTAAGCGTTGGTTCTACGGAGCGACTTTACGAAGGTGGATCTGGACACTTGCATCGTATACTTGATCACTCGTTCTGTTGACTATATCGCTGACAGCTTACTAGCTCTATTTTGGTGCTCTCGGGCGGAGTGGCATATCTTATTGCTTCGTTGTTCCAGATAAACAATACCGCCGGCAGCGCCTCCAGCTTCGTTCACTATGGCTTTGGCAAGATTAACGACTACGCGCATGATAACATACAAGGGTTCTCGGATAGTAAGTGTTGTTACCGAGACACCTTCGACAACTGACACTGATTTGCAACCCAGTCAATCTCAAGTTCTATTCACGAGTCCTTTTTGTCAATATCTGGCAATTCGCGATCTCCATGCTTTACATACAATAAAATGCCCTGTTGACTGCAATCCTCTGCAACGATGAGTGGGTTCGATTTTCCACGTCTCGGAAAAGTCTCAGAGTATCTGAACCCCGAGGTGTCCAAAGGTCAAGCTACACGATTTCGATGCCTATGAAGTATAGCATCCCTTTGCTCTCACTTTCAACGATTCTACACTGGACACTTTCTCAATCGGTGTTCGTTACGTTCGTTGAAGGGTTTTGGTACGATGGTACTATGAATCCTGATGGTCGCCGTCCTGTCGTCGGGTTCAGTGTTTGGGCTATCATCACCAGTAAGAAGGATCCATAACTTGCACTTGAAACATTCTGACATCCCTCAAGCTATTTGTATCGGTCTCATCTGGGTTTTAGGAGTGCTGATCCTTACCTTGACCCGCCATTATCCTGCTACAATGCCACTTGGTGCTACGTGTAGTGCTGTGATCAGCGCTGCCTGTCACCAACCGCTTCCGGAAGATGAGAAGGCCTACATGTTTCCGGTGAAATGGGGCGTTATTGAAGCTTCCCAGAACGTCATCGAAGATCAAGGTGCTGACTATGACGGAGCTACCTTCCCTCATTGCAGCTTTACAACAGCTCGAGACGTCCGTCCACCGATACCTGGTCAGATATACATCTAGTACTACTACTTTATGAAGTCAAGTCAGCAAGAAAATGGGCTTCGCGCATCTCATGCACAGCCTCAGCCGTACTCATCAGGATTCAAAGTGTTTTATGAAGCTCTGGTGCATGAACAAAGACAGCTGCGTCTAACTAAATCCTTTGGCCTCTCTTTGAGCCATCACCCCGACTCCAAAATCATCCTGCCTTCTGATAGCTAGCGCAAGTAGCATCTGGCAGGCAGAGATCGCATCTAGTTTTGTCACCTGACCAGGGATGTGGCTCTCTGTTGGAATATGGAGCTTCAATTGTTTGTTCTATGTTGTTAAGACAGAAAATGATATGGAAACAAGATTGGTGTCTGTTCTTGTTTCTTGAGATTGCTATTCATTGCTTATTATGCACATGGAGTCTGGTGTGTTTCTCTCCCCATTCAAAAACATTGTTGCACGACTCAGGGTGACACACACGGCTGTTTGAATATTCGGTTGGGAGTTTTCCCTTTTACATTCTGGAGACCTATCTACGTGTTTCTGATGGGAAAGATGCATCGACGAGTCTCGGTAGCTCTGATCGATGTATCACTATCTCTGGCAGCCGCGCCTTGTCTTCTACTAGGGCATTGAAGAGGACATTGTCGGTACCCTAGAGGTAATAATCAGGACACACGCTGCGTGGCTTGAGCACAGCATCAACCTCCAGTCCAGCATCCATCTTCACCTGAGCAATAGCATCTTTGATCTTCTGATTCGTACCCACTGCTACGAATATGTAGACGATTGCCTCTTCTCCGGCTGGTCCGATTGCTTCGACGTAGTCACGCAAGCAGTCCTCGCGACGCTTGAATACACCAGGCTTGTCCATACAATCTTGGTCTGTGTAGAAGCTTTCGTAGGGGGATGCGAAGATAACGAGTGTTTTCACGTCGTTGTATCGAATTCCTTCGACTGCGGCGGGTGTGGTGAACATGATCTTGCACTTCTTCAGGCGGAAGCGCTCGATGATTTGGCGTCTTTCGGGTTCGGTGGTGAACGCTTCTGACTGGATACCCAGGCTGTTGCATTTGGCGCTCTCTTCGACTACGCGTTCTTTCGACGGATCAATGCAGATGATGCGTTCATCCGCATGCAAGGGCAGCAATGTCTTGACGAAGTATTCGCACCGGGCGGTTGTGTTGAAGTTGCACGTCTGGACTTTGATCTGGCCTGTGAAGTTGACACGAGGGTTTCTTGCAAATGCGATATGCATGGGTCGACACGAGCCGACGAACTCGAGGTAACGCTTTCTTAGCTGACGGTGCAGCTCCAGGTTGAAGTCGATTCTGTGGCTCAACACAATTGTCGTCAAGGGACAAGGGCCGAGAGGAAAGGTTAGCGCTCTCCTGATTGGGCCAGACATCTCACACCTGGCCCAGGCGATGATGCGATCCATGTTGGTTTTGTTTTCTGCAGATGCCAAAACAGCTCCATGATCGATGACAAGAAGGTGGAGAAGTCGAGCGCTGAAATTTGAGTCGCCAGTCAATTCTGCCAGTCTACCAAGAGTACACACGAGAATGTTTGGCTTGGAAGTCAGCAGAGCCGAACGGATCTTGCTATCCCCCCTTTGGCTGAAAAGACGTCGAAGGGCACAGGTGAAGACTTATCGTCAGACTCGTTAAGGAAGGACTCAGTGGTCTTGATGATCTTTTTAACCAGTTCACCAGTAGAAGTCACAATGACGACTGTCGGACAAGCAATTCGTCTCTCAAAATGGTCCTTCCGATGTTCTTCGTGCTCCTGGCTAGATCTCCAACCTTTTAGTGGTTGGGATCTTTACCAAGGAGCCATACGGCAGTCCTGGGGCCAACAATGCTGCAGCATTATCTCTCTTTTTGGCAAGCACCAAATAACTCAAGCTTGTCAAGTCGGGTGATGGCGGTGGAGAAGCCCGAATGTGACAACGTATCCAGCGAGGGACTGGAGCAACCGACGATACAGTTGTGGTAAGCTGCCTGCTTGGATCATCGTTATGAGTAGTCGAGCTTGTAGAAGAAATCAAGACATCCGGCAGAGTTGGCGAGGAGACACCAAGAACTGCCGGCTCCGGGGACAGAGGCTCATGGCGTGTCTGTAACTTATCATGATGCTCAGCAGGAACGGGTAGAGAAGTGGTGGATGGTACTGGAGAAGTGACAGAATTCGGTTGCTTGGAGTCTGGAGTCGAGGACGTATCTTCCTGAATACTGGATGATGCGGTCGATGTATTGGACGCAATGATGGTGGCACTCCGAGGCTTGGATAGAGTAGGCGGTTCGATCGACGCGGGTATGGATCGAACCGGAGCAGTGACGACGTTGTCAGACTTGATAGGAAGATTGGTCGGCAATAGCTTCGAACGGTCAGGAGATGCAGTTTTCGGTCTCACACGACGTTCTTCAGCCTCGAGGGTGAGGTCTGGGACTTCCACAGCATCTCCGTACTGTTCGATGAGTCGCGTAACCAGGCCAGAGATCTTGGCCCGCGAGGGTGCAAAAGCAACTGCAGTGGCGAAGTAGTTCTGCTGTGATCGCGCAGGAGGCGCGGAAGATTTATCATCCGCTGACGCAGGAGCAGATGCAAAGTGCTCGGAAGAGCCATTGCTCTCGCCATGGACAGCGAGATGATCTGAGTCGGTCAAGTTTGGTAGAGTCTCAGGAGAGATCTCTGGTGCAGTCTGTTCGCCGAGTGCTAGAGACTGTTTTTTGCTGGCCGGCTCGACCGATCGCCGGCAATACTTGGATTCAGTGATGCCCATTCTACCAGGTCGGGATTAGTGGAGGTACGTGAGATTGCCATTTTTGTTTTCAACGACAGGAGAAAGCACAAGACGACATGAGTGAGAGACTTTGTTGTGCGCTTCGAAACATTGGGGGGGATACACCGAGTGATGACCAATCACAAGACGAGTTCACCTGGCTAGTGAAGTTTTTAGCTGCCGGGGCTGTTCAGGGCGGAAATAGTTGTTGGGGTGGATGTTCGAAGAGAGGCCAAAGAACCTCTCACTCAAGGCTCGACCTGATCTAGATGCATGCGAAAACTTCCATATCACGATGGCTCAAATGAAACAATAAAGACTTCGTGGGTGGGGAAGAACAAGACTTGATTCACTCTCACGTTTCCAAGAGGAACGAGTACCGACGAATGACAACAATTGTGACGGATGTCATCCGCTGAGCATATCAATACTGGTACACAATGTGGCGGATGCCAAACATCTTGTGCCCTGCTCGTATACTGCTACGATCTCAAGCTTCTCAATATCCTCCGCTTGATAACCTCCCTGTTCGTGCATTGCAATTTGCGGGTACATCCTAACGGGAAGGTGTGATGACACACCCTAGAGTCAAGTCCTCCTCGGCCGCCGGGCTAAATTGTGATGACTTGATGTCGCGGTATTCAATATTGGACCTGGGAGATTGAGCCGAAGGTTGTGGGGTTGGACACTGTGGTATTGACGTTCCCAAGATCCAAGGGATCATCTGTCGGAGCGACGACCAAAATTCGTTCCGTGGTTGGCTTTTGTGTTTTCACATCCATGATCTTACTCATGAGGATGAGCCGCAATGACAGCAGGAGCTGCATCAAGGGTACATAATGGGAGAGGTCGCGAGGTTGATCCACCGAATGGTGTAAGGTTGAGATGGCGATCCAATCGTTCAAACTTCGTCTCTCGCAATTTTCGGAAGTGGAGGCTAAGTCAGGCCCTTTGCTCGTAGCTTCTGCGACTCCTGTCGAGGGCGAGAGCTTTCAGCTAGACATCCTCATAATTGCTGAACATAGTTCGGTGTTAAGGAGCGCTGCATATGCGGAGGTCTGCTCGAAGCAGTCTCGCTAGCTATTGAAGAGTACCCTGTGCCCTTATGTTTGCTGTCAAAGAGTAACGAACAATCCATTGGAAGGAGCTTCCTACAACAAACAGTTCCTGCCGAAGTTCTTCCGGAGTGGTGGGCCGTGCACGATAGTTCATGACGAAGGCCATGGACATCTTCCTCCTTCCTCCTGAAAACAGTTCTCAATACAACTGTGCTTTATTCCTGCTCCATCTTTTCGGCGATTCAGTCATGGTTCTCTCATTCGCCTACTGGGATGCCTTCGTTGAACGAGATATGCACCAACTAAGAGCTGTGTGAAAACGAGCATTACAAGAGCAAGGGAGAGAACTGTTGTCCATTTCGCTGACTACATATTTCTGCTTATTCGTTGTAGAAACCACCGCAATGTTTGACAACGATGGCTGCAGCGCTTGAAGCACCTCAGTATCCACAAGCGCGAGTGTCGTCATATGAGCCGCAGACCAAGTCTGCTCCATGTTGTTTCTGTCCTCCAGTTTTTCAACGATTCAATATCGTCTGGCTTGCCATTGCAAACTCTTGGATCACCAGATAAGCCTCTGGGTTGTGCGGTAGGTTTGACATGCTCATGCACGCGTTTTGAGGCGACTCTTTGCGTTTTGATGGTTTTCTGAAGAGGCTTTGGAGTGTCTGCGCCACCTTCTACCTTCGATGGCGGTGGAATCGCTTTTGACCAAGTGATGCCCATCCTGATCAGCCGAGATTATTGTCTCAGGAAGAGAGGCTGAACTGGAACAACCTGGACCTTGTTTGTTCAGAGAGGCGGAAGTGGTGGTTGATATTTTGCAGAGAAAGCTGACGAGACAAAGGTTGGTAAGGCAGCCTCGTTGGCGTCAATGACAGTGAGCAAGAGGCGATGGTCGAGTTCACTGGGTCATAAAGTTGACTAGCAGTGATGCAGAAATTTTTCCCAATCGCAGTAGTCACTTCTTGCGTCCACCTCAACTCCGAGCTCTGACCATGGTCAATCAGTAAACTACCTCACTCGTCCCATCCCTTCAACGATTGTTTGTCAATCATCGAAATGTCTCAAAACAACCTCATCACTCAGATGATGGAGTTCTCCATCACTTGCCTGGACTGAGTATGAGACGTCCTCCAATTTTAGAGCAGTGATTTTGGACAAGTCAAGATTTATCCAAAAGAGGACATCTGAAAACCTTTTCTTCCTGTGGACCAAGTGACGTTGCTAAGTAATAACGTGCATTTTCATGGGGAAGATCAATGGACACGGCTGTGGCTGAAGTGATGCAATGCAACCCAATACGCAGGAGCAATGACATATAATACATCTCTAGTAACTAGCATTTTATTCGCTACATCTCTTTTCATCAACAGCGATGAGAGTATGCGAAGCTTCAAGCTCGCAGCGACAGCAAGGACAGAGTAACGAGGCCAAGTCCATCACGTTAACAGCGACCGCGAGACGTAGGGAAGGAAAGTCATCAGGTTAGTGAAGCATACACACATTTGCTATTGTCCAATGTATCGTCTAGGCTCGTGTGGGTGGAAACGAATGACTTACTTCCGTGTGTGAAGTCTCCAAAGGGTGCGGGAGACTAAGACGATAAACACGGAGAAGAGGAAGGGTGAATGGGAACTTTAAGGTAGTCTACGGGATGATTGGTCGAGGAGAGGTATCATGATGGTTAGCTTTTCAAGGGTGTATGTACCGCTCGGTGGTCGTCCTGGGGTTCAGATGCCTTGAATAAAAAGCACATGAGTGCCTGCTCTTTCCGTTATCGCATGACAAGCTCGAAACATTACGCATCCAGATTATGTCGTTATAGTGCCCCGCAAGCAATGAAACAAGAGACAAGTATACCTTCCACCACAATATCCTCTCAGTCTACTCCCCCTTCTGTTCCTGCACCCTCCTATCAGTCATAGCCCCAATCAACGCCTTCTCCAACGCCCACGCTGGCAGCAAACTCATCAACCACCACTGCACAGCATGCCTCCACCACCCAATAACCTGCGCCCTTCCACATCCAACTCTTCCCAATGCCTCCTCAGCCATCTTCCTAGCATTACATGTAAACACGCCTTCAGTAGTTTTATTACCCGCACTAACCACGCTCGCAACCACAATACCCAACATTTCGATATTCTTGCTTTCTGCAAGGAGTTCCGTAGCCATGGCTTCGTTGAAAGTGTAGTTGAAGGCTTTGGTTGCTGAGTAGACTGCTAGATAAGGAAGACCGCGGTATCCAGTGACGGAGCAAGTACTCATGATCAATGCAGGCGAGTTGTTTGTTAGAAGCGGTAGCATTTCTCTGGTCAATTGGGTAGGTGAGCGGGAATTCAGATTGATCATTTTATCCACATAGTTCGCGTCGACCTCTGTTAACGTGCCGTAGGAAGGTGACAGTGGAGCGCCGCCGACATTGTTGATTAAGATAGTGAGTTTGCCGGGAAGTGAAGAGGCAGCAGAGACGATGGCGGAGACGTCGACGTCGATGTCGGAGACATCTGCTATGACTGTCTTGACCTGCACGTCTGGATATTGCTGATTGAGCTCCTTGACCAGTTTATCCAGTTTGGTTTGATTGCGGCCATGGAGAAGCAGATTGAATTTCTTGTTTGCGAGAGCGTGAGCGAAACCTTCGCCTATGCCGGAAGTGCTGCCAGTCACCAGAGCCCAGGAGTTTCCGTCATGTTGGTAGCGGTGCAATTTGCTTGGCGTGAGGTATGGAGTGGCGAAATGAACGACCTTGAGAGTCAGGAAGAGAGCTGTGGCCGCGCCAAGGTATTGGAGAGGATCGGTAAAAGCCATTGTCATGGTTGTGATTGTTCTCAAATAAGTGTTGATAATGGAAGTGATGGAAGGAGATGAAGTCGGGTGGAAGTCAGCAAAGCGGGGAAGGGCAGGGTCGCTGACAAATGGACTTGGTGCTGACAGGATTTCGATCCTTCGGCACAGTCATCATCGACGACTTGAATTTGTACTCGCTATCATGAAACATGAGAGTACGATGTCTGAGCTGACTACTTGTATACGTGTATAGCGACCGTGATAATTCGAGACCATGAAAGCGCCCACGCTAGAAATGTTGCTTCGAAGGAAACCATGAAATAAAACACTACCAGGGTATCCGTCAGAATCCTCCATCAAACTCGCTAGCAGCAATCAAACATTGCCAATGACAATCATAAATCGTAACTTGTTTGCATCCTTCATCGGTATCTCTGCTTCTGGGTTGACCTCATCCCCGAGCATACCATCATCAAGCATCAGTGTACTGCTCTTCCATCCCCAGCTCTGGCTGAAGTTGAATGTATCCGGAGCGCTCTCATAGACGCTCAACATACGTCCACCTTTGCTAGGCGAGTATATCTTGAAGTATGTTTTGATCGTGGGTCGACTATCGACATACGGCGGCAGTGTCGGGACACGAACATTTCGTGTGAGCTTTGCAATCTCAGGGTCTTCATCTTCGAAGTCCGAGTCTTGTTCGTCGTAGTATGCAGGTTTGATAGGGAAGTTGGACAAGACATCCAACTCGCTGCTCTTGCGGTATCCACCAAGGCCTCGAGCTCTTGGTGTTGTGTCGACACCGGCAGGACCTGCATCTGGTTCTGCGCTGCCACTGCTATCGGCACCATCACCGTCAACCACATCACCGCTGCGTCTGCGAGTCAGAAAACGCCTGCGTTCTTCAGCTCGGCGATCAGGACGCATGTTTATGTCGCGCTCGAGATGAGAAGTGAGTTGCCCCACATTCGGCCCGCCTGCAGCCAGTGTTTCCTCCGTCTCTCGCTCTTTGGCTCGGTGAAGGTATACTCCAAGCTGAGGGTTCTTACCCCTTCGAACCTTTTGAATGTACAGATTCCACCAGGAGCCGGAGTAGAATATTGTGCGACTGTACACACGCTTCTTTTCTTTGAGCAATCGAGGGCTCGGGAACTCGACGGCAAATCTGAATGGTGGGAAATGAGAGTAACTGACAGGACGCAGTTCAGAAGTGGCAGAATCAGCAGCGGAGTCAGGCCTAATGATCTGCGGGATTGATCGAGTGTCTGATGGGTTGGCAGCAAAGTCGGAGGCCCATTGAACATCTTCTGGTTGAATGGTGGCAGATAGGCGATTAGATTGGGTGTTGGGAGACGGCATCATCGCAGGATCGGTTGCTCCGCCCATCACGATATTGCAGTCTGCGGATGGAATCCAGAACTTGCGAGGCTTGCCATTTCCATCCCATGAGTTCGAAGCAATATCTTCATCATCGAAGTCTTCAAACTCGTCGGACAAGTTGTCGACTTTCTGCTTGCCTTTGATCGAGGGCTCAGTCAAAGAGGCTGCTCGTAGATGAGGACTTCTCAATTCGTTGATGCCTTCGCTTAAGCCCAACTCCATGTCGATATCCTTGGCATTCAACACTTTTTGACGAAGTTCCATCTGCATCCAAAGAGCGTTTGAAATGACTTTATCAGGCATCATTGGTAGTCCAAGGATATCTCTCGCTCTTCTGATGTACTGCAACTGTTCGAAGTCGAGATGGATGTAATGTATGCCTTCGTCTAGAAGCACTAACAAGGGCTCGATATCAGGATGAGTGTATAAGCTGATCCAGCGGTGGAGGCCATCTGGAGCGGCTCCGTTTGCCATGGCATTCTTGCGATACACTGAGTCGAAGCGTACGGCCATTAGATTTGCAGTCTCAGGTGCTTTCCGTACCTTTGACCAGGAGACTGGGTCAACAAGTCCAGCTTCGATAGCAAGGGTCTTGAGATGACGATCAAGAAGACGCTTGGCAAGGACCCATCGATCCCACTCGCCGTTGATGAAAAAGCCATCACCACCGACAATCTCGCGGATGATGTCGCCTGGTATGCCATCCCAGTACTTTGTAGACATCTTCCAGCCATCTCGACATAGCATAGCCTTGGCTGACGCAAGGATCTTGTCTCCAGATCTACCGTAATAGTTGCTAGTGACCAACTTGATCAAGGGCGCAAGTGTGGCCGTTGACATCTGTCGCAGCATGGACTCTATGCTCGAGTCAATCAAGTCCGGCATCTCCAACCAACAGGCAGTAGCAAACAGGCTAACTGCTTCTGCATCTTCTTCTTGCGAAATTGCGGCACCATAAAGTCGCTTCAAAGCCAGCTCGAATGAGACTTGTGTGATGTTGGTGTCGATGTCCTCTGGATGCAGAGTGATTTCGCTTGCTTTGCTTTCTAGCCATGGTCCAGACAAAGCCGACGCGAAGAAAGTTGCTCGGTCCAGAATAAGGCGGTGAAGCTTGTATGGGTAACCAAAAACGTGAACGGTGATATCTGAGTGACGGCCTCCTAGAAGACCTCTTGTATACAGATGATCATGCAAAGGTGCGGTATCACGAGCAGCAGCAGCTGAGACTAGTCAATACAAGGTACATGGAGAAGTGGTCATGAGATAGGAAACAGCTGATAAGAACATACATGTAATGGGAGGGCCCTCTGGTAGTTGAGAGTCGGACAGAGGGCGGTAGTCAGGGGGAGAAGCTACCGACTGGACAGCAAAGAGACGACTGAGGGTGGTGAGGGTAGTGCTCTGCTGCCTGTTGACCGAGTAGCGGCTTGATGCGATCGGGTTACTGGGATCATCGACGTCCTTCTCCACGCGAGGTATTCTCCGACGGTTGACAGTAGCGCGGACATGGTCCTCGGGAGATGATGGAGAATCCAGACTTGGAGAAGAGTCGCCGGCGATATTGCGCGACGAGTCCAAGGTGAGAAGGGCGGGGGCAGGAGTGGGGGTAGATGGAGTCGGGACGAAATGATTAGGCGATGAGTTGAAGAGGGAACGACGAGGGATGTTGGAACGGGGAGTGTTTGTATTATTCTGATGTAGAGGAGAGAGTGACGAGGCATCGAAAAAATGGTTATCGTCGGCCATGATGTCAAGGTCACTTGGAGAGATATGTGCACTTGGGGTAGAGGAATGAGGCGGATGCACGCTACACAGAGTCTACCTCATGCACGATAGCTCGGCGGGCGCAGGCAGGTAGCTGTGTACTGTGCTCCAGGCCGTGGACACGTGCACTCGTCAAACGAATGATGCCGGGCGTGCTTGGAGATGAGATTGATATGAGAGTTGAGTCGACATGGAGACTGAAGGTGAAGAGAAGAAATTCTTGACGTTCTCGCGAAGGATGACATGTGAAATGCTCGAAGATTCTCCAGTCCGAAGAACCATCCTGGTCGGTGCGGTCGTGAGAAAAGAAGCTCAAGCCACCACGCGAAGAAGGGTCCAGCGCGGAGAAACAGACCAAGCCGATCACGGTTAGATCAGAAGACGGCGGCGAACGACGGAAGTCAGTGCTTGGCGTCACGCCAGATGACCATTGGCTGTAGAATGATTCATGAATGCATGATTCTACCATTCTACGCTTCTTCGTTTCTTCTCACTTTCTTGTTTCGACAACCATCCAAGATGCGCCCACCGTTGGCTGTATTCGGAGCGCTGCGGCGCACACTCCCAGCCTTCAATGCTGCTGAAACGTTTGTGTGTCGCAAGAGCGTACACAATAAGGCTCAGACTGGTTACAAGTCTGGGTACAATTCTATTCGCCAGACTCCCTTCCTGAACGCCTTCCGTTCTCGTGCTGCTCCCGCAAGACAGCAATCCACAACAGCCCCCTCCGCCTCCCCGCTATCCGAATTGAGCAGGTCAATTGGTCAACAGACATCTGCTCCTGCAAAGAAGAGTTCGTTCCCTGAGGTCACAGACAAAAAGGTGGGATACTGGTTGCTGGGCAGTGCTGTCAGTGTGTTTGGTATCGTCATCTTTGGTGGTCTTACCAGACTGACCGAATCTGGGTTTGTGCTTAATCCTGTTCCTGCTTCACCACTCTTCCACTGACTGAATGCGGCGCAGTCTGAGTATCACCGAATGGCGACCCGTCACTGGTTCTCTCCCTCCCATGAACGCTGAGAAATGGGAATCCGAATTCGCTCTCTACCGTGCCTCTCCCGAATTCAAGCTTCTCAACCCCCGTATGACATTGGAAGAGTTCAAACAAATCTACTGGATGGAATGGATCCACAGACTGTGGGGTCGTTTCATTGGCATCACCTTCCTGCTACCTACCGCATACTTCATCGCTCGCCGTCGCGTATCTGCTGCCATGGCTCTTAAGCTCACCGGTATCTGCGGTCTGATCGGTTTCCAAGGTGTCATTGGCTGGTGGATGGTTGCAAGTGGTCTCAAGGATGACCTGTTTGCTCCCGGAAGCCATCCTCGTGTCAGTCAATACCGCCTTACTGCTCATTTGGGCACTGCCTTCATCTGCTACCTCGCCATGTTCTGGAACGCCTTGACCATCTTCCGCGAGAACCGTCTTCTGGCCAACCCCCAAGAGTCATCCAAGATTCTCAAGCAGATGATGGTACCTGAACTCAAGTTCTTCCGCCGAAGTGTCGGCGCCCTTCTGGTTCTAGTCTTCGCCACTGCCATGTCTGGAGGTCTTGTCGCTGGCCTCGATGCTGGTCTCATCTATAACGAGTTCCCCTACATGGGTCTTGGTCTGACTCCACCCAAGAAGGAGTTGTTCGACCCCTTTTACAGCCACGTTCCTGACCACTCCGATCTCTGGTGGCGCAACATCCTCGAGAACCCTTCTCTCGTTCAGCTTGATCACCGCATCATGGCTACCACCACTTTCACCGCTGTCATGGCTCTCTGGGCTTACACTCGCTTCAACCCTCGCGTCCGCGCTTTGATGACTCCTGGCGCCAGCAAGGGTATGCGCGGTGTCGTTCACCTCGTTTGGCTCCAGGTCGCTCTTGGAATCTCAACTCTGCTGTACATGGTTCCTGTTCCTCTGGCATCTGCTCACCAGGCTGGTGCTCTGGCCTTGTTGACCGGCACCATGGCTCTCGGCAGCCGTGTCTGGTTCCCCAAGCGCGCTGCTAAGCTTGTCGCTCAAAGACTTGCCGCAGGAGCTCCCCGCCCTTCCGCCATTGGCAAGAGAGGCCCTGATGCCATGCTCGCTGCTCGCACTGGTATGCCCGCTCGTGCGTAAGCTGCAAGCATGATGACTTTTTGATTGTACTTATCATTTCCACTCTTCACATGTACAAAAACAACAACGTATCACTTTTTGGGATAAGGAGTTTTTAGATGGTTGGTTCTTTTTACGAAACGCATAGCGGGTGGTGTACATTTCTTCCATAGACTCAAGAGGTATTAGCCTCTCACATGTATTCACTACGACTTTTTTCTTCCTTTTACTTGCTCCTCGACCATGGACTGTGTTGTAGGTTTACCCAATGCTCTAGAGACACCCCTACAGATGTTTTTCTTGCGAAACGTCTTCCAGTCAAAGGGAAATACATCAGACTAGACAGCTGGGTCCAAATTTGACCAGAGACCAAGCTTGCATTGCTGAAATCCGCTGTTTTGGTACTTGTTGCTTGTCTGGTAGTATATGAGAGTATAGTGTCAGTAGAGCTGTCAATACCCATGACTTTGACTGTGAAACAGTGTTGACAACAAGTATGTGAAGAAGATGCCGATTCTCGATGTTGTGCAGGAGTGCGAGAATAATGGAATCGGTGACCGAGGGGTAAATGATACACTTTGAAACCAACGCACAAGTGCTCTAAAAATTTGAGGAAGGCAGGAAATACCGAGCGAATTTCACACTCCTCCCGAACGTAATTCAAAACGACTAAATTCTATAGTCGCGACCGAAAACCAGCTTCCCTCACTCACGTCAGGGTCTTCCCTGTCCCCATCACCACTTTCTTCCTCCCTTTCTTTTGAGTCATATTTGGTGTGAAGTCATGGTTTTCCATCAATCCGATATGGTCTAGTGGCTAGGATTTCTCGCTCTCAAACCGTCTTCGAAAGAAGCAATCAGGTCCGAGGAGGCCGGGGTTCAATTCCCCGTGTCGGAAAACTTCTACTTTTGCACCTTTTGTTACTGCTGTAGCGGGTATTCTTTTGCCATGGGAAGGAAGACAAGGGGGTGCTTGGTTGGTGGTTGGTGGAATTTTTACTACAGTGAGAGCCGGTTCGATGGTCTGGAGGTTTGATGAAGTATTTGTACGGCATTCGAGAGTAGGATTAGCTGCTAGGGAACTAATGTTCAAAGATTGGGAAAGCTCTTATACAGGACAGAGGAAGAGTTTCGACGATCTTAATTGGAATGAAACACCCAAACCATGCTTTTGGACTCGCTATATGTATTGCACCTCGTAAATCCCAATGATCAAAAGATCAACATCTTCAATTTCTAAACATCATCAATCCAGCCTCAGCCTCCTCGTCCACTGCATCCTCTTCCTGCCTCTCCTCATCCTCATCCTCACCCAACCCCAACCTAGCACCGAACAAACTCCCAAACAACTCATCCGCAGCCCTTTCCGCCCAAACATTTCTATCCTCGGGCGCCATGAAATTCTGCAACTTCTCCTGCACGGTATACCTCATTTTCCTTCCTTTGGACGCCTTTGTGTCTACATTCTTCTTCGTTTTGGCTTCTCTGCGCATTTGGAAGCCGGCGTTTATGGAAATTGTGCTGGAGGCGGAGGCGGCGATGGAGTCGGCGGAGCGCTGTTCGAGGAGTGATTGGAGGAGGAGACCGTAGAAATCCGCGTCGTCGTAGATGTGGCTGGGTTCGGAGTCGGAGGTGGCGGCGGAGGCGAGTTGGAGGGGTGCGCAAGAGCGAGGTGTGCGTGCTCGTTTTATCAGGCGATCGCCGTGCAATTGCTCCTGCAGGACATCTACAATACTTTGGTTGCTCGAGGAAGAATTGTTGAGTTTGTTCTTGGGTGTGATTGCTGAAGCGCCTCTGGCTTTGGCGTTCCATTTTTCGAGAATGGAGACGCGAGAGGGTTGGGCGGAATGTTCTTGGGTGCGCATGTGTGACCATAGGTCTTCGGTGGGTGTGTCGATGGTGTATTCGGCGTGTTTGCGTTTATGGCCTGTGCGGGAGGACTCGAGAGTTTCCCGAAGAGAGTTGAGGGTGGACCAGAGAGTGAATGCTGCAGTTTCGGCGGCGAGGAAGGCATCTTGGGTATCTTCTGTCGGCGTGGAGGAAGCAATGACACCGGTCAAAGTGTTTGTGCCAATCAGAGCCTTTTGAAGCTTGATGCGGGTGTTGAGGAGGGAGTCGAAGGTTGTACGTTGAGACTTTACAGCGCGACCTTTTTCTGCGTCTTGCTTTGCTGCTTGCGAGAGGGAGGCGGCCACCGTCTTTTGTTCTTCGGCCATCATTTTGCGGAGCTCGGTCTTGTCTTCGGCGTTTTCGTCTTCCTCGTCGTCCTCAGAATCGTCCTCGTCGCTCATGTCGGTAGCAGGGCTCTCATCGTCATCTTCCATGTCCTCGTCCTCGTTGCTGACATCTTCCTCCTCACCCTCAGAGGCGGAGATATCCTCGGCACCGTCAACATCGTCCTCACTCTCTTCCTCGTCGAAGCCCTTGCTGAACGGATCATCCTCATCTTCGTCTTCTCCAGTCGCAGCGTCCCTGCTGATTTGAGATCCTTCGTATCGGGGTCCGAGAGGAACAACATCGCGCTTGCGCAGCTTGCTCTTGCCTACATCGACATAGTGTTCTCTTGCGGCTGCGGCATTGTCGTTGTCTGAGATGTCATCGTCGCTGTCGTCCTGTGGCGCTTCCTCTTCCGGGTCAAAGTCTGCGAAGTTCTGTTAGGAACTTGTACGAGATAGACAGCGATTAGTTGTGCATACCCATAGGAGCTGGACTGTCGAGCTCAGCGAGCTGTTCAGCCAACGTCTTTGTCTTGCGTGCCATGATTGTTTACTTGCTGTTCACGAAAAAAGTTGCTTGTCGCAAAAGTTTCTTGAGACGCCGACGAAAGATCGGCGGAAGTCCCTGCCGACGACTTTCCGCTGCGGAGCCTCTTTGTCTTGGCGTCGGCCTTCTTGGAGCTTTCTCATCACTTCTTTGACATGTCACTCTTGATTTTGCACATGTCGTGAATAAGACGCCGCTTGTTCATATCAGCATGCAGTTGTAATCTCGTAGCTAATATCTGTCTCTTGTATGCCGACTCTGATAAGCCAGCCAGTATCATCGAGTAATGTACGCTCCCGAAATACCCCTTCACAAACACCACCCTTAGCCATAACTCTGTATTGGCCTTCTCTGGTATTCTCCTCCATCGGCACCAGCCAGCCTCATCGTACACAGTTTCCCATGCATTCGAGATCCACAATATTGGATCAGACCCATCTTCCCAACAGAAGCAATACATCAAGCCTTCCAGTATTGATCAGATCATACTCCGCAGCATCTTCGAACATGCGGTGAGGAAACACCGTGCGCAAGAATTCGTACTCCTCCTTGTTCATTGAACCATCTAATCTGGCGTACCAGCCGATCAAATCTGCCAATCGGTACTCCGCCTTCTTCACATCTCGAGCCAGAGAGTGAGAGGGTTGCGATCCCGTCTTGGCCTCCTTGCCGTACAGCATTTTGACCTGATTCACTGCAGACCTCATATATCTGGAGCGAATACCGTAAAATGCCCCGGTAGGGTTGTTGACGTATGGATGGAAGTGCGATGGGGCTCTGCCGTATCGAGCCTGGGGAGCAAGCATCATGACAAGCTCCACGATGTCTCGGGTACCTCCAGTCATGTACTCTCTCTCGAGCACCTCGTAGGCTACCTCGCATAGTCGGTTCAACTCGTCCCTACTTGGACGTTGTGCAGATCTTCTCTGTACTGTGTCTGCAAAGCAGTCGATCAAGACTGGAATGACATCGTGTCCACGGTCGGCAGCTTTGGCCATGGCATTGCGAGCCTTGCGGAAGCTCCTCATGATCTCAACACCAGATGCCTTGAGGCCGTCGGGTTGATCGCGGACAGGTCTGCGTCTGTTTCGAAAGTTACGAGCTGATTTTGGTGCCTTTCTAGGTCCTTTGGGAGCATTCATCGGAGCGGATATCTTAGGTGCTCTTGGTGCCGACCTGGGTGGAGGTCTAGCGGGTTTGGGAGCAGGCATGGGATCGAAGCGAGCCAGGTGGCTCAGGATATCTGTCAAAAGTCAGCGTTGTTTGGAGCGCAGAACGTGTCAGACAAACTGTGTTCGCCGAAGCGCCTATGATTGTCATCAGCTTGTTTCTGGTGATGAACCGACACATGAAACATACCTGTTCTGTCAAAAATCTGTCTTGTAGCAATACTCGTAATACTTGAGGGCATCGACCGGGTTTGCGTAAGTAACCATGGCAAGAAAGATGAGCTGATGACGGTTGAGTTGACGACCAGAAAGATAGTCCTGTGTTAGCAAGGCAACCTCTTTGTCCATGTCACCTAGAATCTCGTAGCATATACCAATGTCCGCAAAGAACTCGAAGAGTTCAGCATCGAAAACCGAATGTTCCAAATAGACTGGGCGATCAGGAATCTGCAACTGATCGAGTGATGGGAGAGCCTATTGGTATAAATGAGAAGTGTGTGTGTCCAAGGCAGGAAAAGACTTACACCATCAACATATCTTGCAGGACGCAAGTAGCCACGAATGAAGAACATGTAAGCGTCCAGAGGTGGAAGTGTTGCCAACTGGTAACACCACATCGGACAAGCCTTCAAGAGCTCCGGATAACTCGTGAGAAAGTCATCGATCTCATTGAGAAAGTGCGATGTGATTCTTCTTTTGTCGAGATACTCGAGTAGGGCTTGATCTGCTCTTTGAGCCAGTGAAGGCATTGTATCCATCTTGACCACAGAGCCGTCTTCATGGCGTGGCTTGAATTGCTGTGAGAGATCGTTGGTTGAGATGACTGGGTGTACAGACTGCTCTTGTGAAGGGTTTAGTTGTTGGACAGCTCTTGCCGCGCGCTCTCGCTGTGATCTCTTCGCGCGGCGATGAGGCGCGATAGGCTTGGAGACGTTGGCAGATTGTAGTTGAGAGCATGGGTCTCCTTGAGGGATTGGGCCATTGTCGGCAAAATTGTATGGCGGTGCCATCGCTGAACAGATTAGAAGTTGACGAAACAGAGATGAAGCAGGCTTACTGAAAGTATTGTCTTCTTCTGAAGAACTGCTCGGGTAGTGATGTGTTTGATGGTTGACTAGAGTTCCAACGCGCCGGAATTGAGGCGCGCTTGGGCTCGAAGAGGAAGTAGTAGTCTGGCGCGTACCTTCCAATTGACGTGTTGGTGCTAGATGACGCCGGGAGAAGAGCGCGCCAAATACCGATGATGCGACAGACTGTATTTTGAGTATGAAGGAAGAATTGGCTGGAATTGAATCCATCTTCGCAAGAGTGTTGGCAAAGTGACAGAAAGCGGATCGACAAAACACCTGAAGTCTGAGGTAAGACAGCAATGAAGGCAGACTAAGTCTCGGCTAGAGATCATTGGGCATCGAGAGAAGTGGAAGGAACCATCCTTTTCGGACTGCGTCAAAGCAGGCCTCCTTTAACATCAACTTGGGATCAACAGCTGCTCTGACGCTTGGAGAAGCCTAAGTCATGTCGGGTACCTACCATATTTTCTGCCAGACTACAACAATCAACAATGAATTCATGTCTGGAATGATGTCTGAATCTCGCATGAATTTTGTACTTGAAACAGAGCGAAGTCTAATAGGGAGCCCACCAAACCATGAAACAATCAATATGAACAAAATCTTACGCTAACATATGGGTATGAACGCCGAGAAAGAAAGGGGAACTAGAAAGAGCTTGTACAAAAGGCTTAGAAGACGCTAATGTAATTGCCGATCCTGTCTTTCTGGTTCTGAGCAATGCACTCTGCTATCCAAGTGATGTTGCGGATTTCCTGCGAAAATGTTAGCAAGACGTCATGTAGACGAATCGTGATATGACAAACCTGTTCTCTCAGCTTGACCCATGCATAGACGATAGAGAAGGTGAATTGGCGGGTGAAAGCAAGTTTGGACAACTCCATTTCCTTTTGGTAGAACAAGTCTTCCAAGCTCTTACCCTCATCGGAACCACCGGCCATGTTGCCAACGTTCGAGCCTGAGCCCATGCCAGTTTGATCGAAGAAAGTGCGGTAATCGTGTACACCGTCAACAGCTATTCTGACAGCCTCGGGATCATCTGCTCTTGACAACATCAAAGTTCCTTCGGGATGCAACTTTCCAAAGCTGGGGTATAGCTTTTGTCTGTCGGCCTTGGAGAGATCGGTGCCGAACGAGTTGAGTGTGATGTTGATGCTTCGACGATCGGCTTCGAATTCGAGAATCTCTGTCATGACTTCGGCGGTTGGACTGCCAGCAACACCCGAGTGGGAGTTGACCCAGTTGTGGAAGTCCTCAAGGTAGTTCTTGTAAAGAGTGTTGCGGATAATCTCAATATTGAGCTCGTCGAGGTCTTGATGGCTCAAGGAACCCTTGAAATAGGGAGCGAGGGGAGTCTCAATGAGCACACTGTTGTACAACTCTTCGATGTTTGTGGCGACGCAGAGAGCGGGCATTGTCTCGAACCAGCCCAAGGGGTGGCATCGCTCGAGCAGTTCACGGGTATCTCTCTCGTGCAGAGTTCCGGTGATAAGAAGGGCGACGTTATCAATCATGTATCCATAGGTCAAGAAGTCCATGAACTTGGACAGCGATCCCGTTGCGTTGGCTTGGAGGTAGCGGAATTCGGAGACGAGCTTGTCCAGTGTCTTGTCTGCAAGAGCGCTCGTTGAGGGGTTCGGAGGGAGGTCGGCAAGGAAGTCGCCATACGCTGGGCCCAGCTGAAGCTTCACATCTGGTCGACGATTAGTGGAAGCTCATGATCAGACTGGACGAGGCCGAGTGTACCATCGATCGTCTCGCATTGTGCCAGGTTGCTGTATTGTTGACCTGTCAAAAGCGTGTTACGATAGCCACGCACAACACCCTCGATGTAGCCAGTGGCGACGTTGAAGAAAAGGCCCTCCGACATGGTTGTGTTGCCTGTTGATGATAATGTTGCGCTCCCTCAATAGTCGCCTGCCTTCTAGAGTTCATTACGCTCGACGTCGCCCTGCGATAGGTTGCCAAGCCCGACCCGCGACCACCACGTCATCTTGGCACGCTTTTGCTGCTTTCTCCACCACGCTTGTTGTTTTGTTTCCATCAAAATCAGCCATTCATCAACGGTAGTTATACCAGCACGCCGACTCTTACACTTCACGATGTTGCGACTTACAACGCCATTCATACTCTTGCGAAAATCTGTCGACGTCTTCAGGTCAACTAGAATCACAGTATGTTCACGGCTTTTCACCAGCAATGACAATGGCGAGAAGCCGGAAACATTCAACTATAAGTTGCGCGAGTATCCAGAGTTGCGCAGGGAGTTCAGAAAATTAGGTTTGAACAAAGAGGTCTATGCCAAAGTTCGAGGGGTGCCGGAGTTGTACAAGCTTCTCAGAGCTGGAAGTCGTATCAGAGCCCGACGATGGCTCGCCGCAAGACCCGATCGCGCCGAAGAAAATAGAAAGAACGCGTTCGCTTGGTTTCAGGCGCACAAGGACGACGACAACTGCATGCGGAGGAAGAGGATACATAATTGGGCTTTCAGACAAGACGTACCGGGCAAAAGTGCCTGGATACGAGAGCATCTGCCATGGAAGTTGTATCGACCGATGTTCTATCCCGAGGGAGCTTTGTATCATTGTGAAGGATGCAACTTCGTGCGCCACTATCAGAACAAGACGTGGTATGTAGTCTCCGTTACCGCAGATCGTCCTCCCGGATCCGCATGGCACCAGCCAATCCACTCTTGATGAGAGGCATCTGCCCAGATGAAGCGAGATGACCTTCATGCTGGTCTTTGATCATTGCTGTATATCAGTGGTGTATCCCAATATACAATGTTTGCTTGCTGATTCTACGTAAAACAGGTGGGTGAGCACAACAGATTCAGAACCTCGCAGTCGTCTGTGTCATGGGTGCTATACGAGGTCTGACTGGTCTGAAGTTATGCCCGAAGGCTACGAGGACGTCCGTTCGGGGGAGGAACTCAAAGCACGTTACGAGCAACTGAGTGGAAAAAAATGGATGGAGGCTTGATCAACTGATCATCACGATAAAGACTCTCATCCAAGCAGGCGTACTCTGCTGGCATTCGGATGACCAACGTAGCTCACTGCATCCAAAACTTTCTTTCGTCCTCCAACATACCATGGACTCTACCACCAGTCTTTCCAACAACTACCTCGCCCTTTCCTCGCTTGAGATATTGTCCGTATTCCATCTCTCCTACCACGCGTCCATCATCTTTGTTCCAAACAACCTTGCCTCTCAAGATGGTATACCTCGGCCAGTTGCGGACTTTCACGCCTTCGAAGGGTGTGTAATCAACTCCATGATGCAGCATATCCTGACTGATCACGCATTCGCCTTTGCTCTCAGCATGCCAGATGACAAGATCGGCATCATAACCAGGAGCGATACTGCCCTTGACTCCACCCAGTCCGTACATCTTGGCTGCATTCGCTGATGTAAGCTGCACGAATCTCGGCAATCCCAGGCGTGCTTGATTGGGAGGGAGACATCCTTCACTTTGGCTGAAGAGCAATGACATGCGTGTCTCAACGCCCGGCAGACCATTTGGAATTTTCGCGAATCTGGGAATACCGTCGACGACACCCAATTTCTTGCCTCCAGGATGATCGTACTTGGAAGGTGCGTGATCAGATGAAAAGACTGTGAATGTGCCGTTTGCGACCCCACGCCAAAGAGCTTCCAAATCCTCAGTGTGATGTCTCAGTGGTGGTGAGCAAACATGCTTGGCTCCAGAGAAATGATCATGCGGTTTTGATTTGATCTCTTCGGACAGCAAGAACAGATAATGAGGGCAAGTTTCTGCATGAATGGGCAAAAGCCTCGTTTGTGCTTTTCTTACATGCCCCATCGCAGTCTCAGAAGACATGTGCACGATCAAGATCGGCGCGTCGACAAGTTCAGCGAGCGAAATGGCTCGGTATGAAGCTTCATCCTCGGCAATCCTAGGTCTGGCGATGGAGTGGAAGAATGGCTCCGTGTTGCCATTCGCTTCCAAGCCCTCAATGATCAAAGCAATCATATCGGAGTTCTCTGCGTGGATCATTGTCGTCATGCCTAGCTTCCGGCAGGCCATCATGATCTCAAGCAATTCTCGATCATTCAACTTCATCGGCTCATAAGTCATGTAAAGCTTTACACTGGTAATTCCCTCCTGTTGCGCCAACACCGGAAGTTCTTTTTGCAAGATCTCCTTTGTCGGGTTGGTCAAGATGAAATGGAAGCCATAATCGCAGTAGCTTTGACCTCTGGATTTGGAGTGATAGTCTGCCAGCACTGGCATCAGAGACTCCTCATGGCGCTCTTGACTGGCGAAAGCGATGATTGTGGTCGTACCGCCGGCGATTGCACTTCTAGAGCCAGTTTCCCAGTCATCGCCGGTGGGAGAGTTTGCTTGGGCGAGATGGACGTGGGAGTCGATGCCACCAGGAGTGATGTAGGCTCCTTCTGCATCTATGACTTTTGTTGAGGATGAAGCGGGTAAGGATGTTCCTATGCAGGAGATCTTGCCGTCTTTGACTCCGATTTCTAGGCCTAGAGGGAGGACCTCGCTGGCTGTGACCTATCAGACTTATTAGTGGTCGGTTTTTATATATATTTCTTGCTCCGTTTCTCCCACCCGCTCAAGCGATGAAACAGATAGAAAATGCTGGAACAACTTCAACTTACAATTTGACCATTCTTGACAATGAGATCAAACTCCATGTTCGAAGGTCTAGTTCACGTGATGAAGCCTCTTCCTGGCGTCGAGTCCCTGCCTTGAGTCGCGGATCAAGGGATGTTGACGGTTTGATTCTCCTTCGTCGTCGCACAAGATAAACACGTCGTAGAAGAAGGATATGTCTTCTACCTTTACAAACTCTGGTAAAAATCTAACATGAGCATCGGAGGTCCGTACCCTGAGGCTGTCCCTTCCTATCAACCACAGATAGGCGTGAGATACATTTGGCCGAAACTTCCGAGATAGGCAGGCAAGCTGGCCGATAAGAAACCCCACGTCTATCAGACTTGACTTGCGGCGAAGACACACTTCACCCGGGCGACATCGAGTAGGCCGATAGCAAGATGTAGGTATATCAGAGGTAAGTTCATGAGTCTGCATGACCTTGGCCGGCAGAAGAATATCAACAGTAGTCTGCACATCTGTACCATTTCCTCCACATCATCTCCGTACCTACTACACCATATCATTTCTCCCATTCTGTTCTACACTTTCTCTCCCATCAAGACAGCCATAACTTTCTCACACTTCAATGCCTCGCATACTCAAAGTCGCAGCCGCCCAAGTCGGCGCCGTCGACCGTGACGCCGATCGCGCAGAAACACTCGCCCGCCTCATCGCGTTACTGGACCAAGCGGCCTCCGAGAAAGTCCAACTATTACTCTACCCAGAAGTAACATTCACGACCTTTTTCCCCCGCCACCTTTTCACCTCCTCCTCTGATCTAAACGCCTACTTCGAACACAACGACGACCTAACCACTTCCCCCTCCACCGCACCCCTATTTTCCAAAGCCCAAAACTACGGTATCGATATCGTGGTCGGGTTTGCGGAAAGAACGGATGAGGGTAAAGGGTATAACACATGTGTTTATTACTCCGCTGCTGTGGGGAAAGTGATCAACAAGTATAGAAAGGTGCATCTGCCAGGAACGGTAGAGCCATTCGAAGATCCAGAGGCTGTTAATCAACTGGAAAAACGCTATTTCACGCCCGGTGATTTGGGGTTTCCTGCGTTCAGAGCACCTGGTCTCCTGCCTACATCCTCTGTCCTCAAAGCCAGCACCTCCACACTCAAAGACCCCATTGCAGAAAAAGAAGATCAAGGAAAGGGTGATCCGGTGTTGGGAATGCTCATCTGCAATGACCGTCGCTGGCCAGAAGCCTGGCGCTCTTATGCGCTTCAAGGTGCTGAGCTCCTGTTGATCGGGTATAACACCGTGGCCCACAGTCCTCATCTCTGGGGTACCACTAAACCCATGACGGAGGAGGAAGCGGAGAAAGAAGCATTGTTTCATTCACGTCTGGTCCAACAATCGAATTCCTACATGAACAGTGTCTTCAGCATCTCCTCCGCCCGCTGCGGCCTCGACGACGGTAAATACAACCTAATCGGCGGCTCGGCGATAATAAATCCAGAAGGCCATGTAGTCGCCGAAGCAAAAACCAAAGACGACGAACTAGTGGTTGCAGAAATCGATTTGGAAGAGTGTAGACAAGGCAGGGAAAAGACGTTTGATTTCGGTAGACATAGGAGGATAGAGGCGTATGGGAGGATCGGGGCGCAGACTGGAGTTGTGGAGCCCGAGTTGTTGTAGTAGCTGGATATGATCATGCACGTGTAGTAAGGAATAAAGAATGCAGAGACTTGTCAAGAATGATGTTTTGGGAATGTGTTGTGGGTATCCTACAAGCGAAAAACAAAGGCTACACTACTACTCTTCCGCTCTTTTATAACTCAATCAGACTCTCTTCTACCTTTGGCTGAGCAGGTACGTTCTGTGGGGCTTGAGGGAAGCTCTCCTGCCCGTAGCCGTTATGCGTTGATGGTGCTTGAGGCCACTGCTGTTGCTGCTGTTGTTGAGGCTGCGCTTGAGGCTGAGAGTACTGTTGATGTTGTTGTTGAGGAGGCGGCTGCTGTTGGTAAGGCTGCTGCTGATACTGAGGTGGGGGTTGTTGATGTTGTGTGGGTGGTTGAGCGTATGATTCTGGGCTTACAGGCTGAGGGGCAGAAGGCTCAGAGTATGATTGCTGATGCTCGGGAGGTGAGACAGGATTCTGCTGTTGAGGAGGAGCGTATTGTTGAGGTGGTTGAGCGTATTGTTGTTGATGTTGTTGCTGAGGAGTGCTAGGAGGTTGTTGCTGAGGCTGAACCTGTGGCGGGTACTGAGAGTATTGTTGCTGATATGCAGCTTCGGGTGGGGCCTGCTGAGGGTAACCTTGTTGGGCGTATTGCTGGTGCTGGTTGAAGGATGGATACGGGCTTTGGTTGTAGGCATGCGACTCCATGGCCGGTGCCGAACTGTTGTAGTAGCTTTCAACGCCGCCCATTGGTGCTGAAGGCGGGGCTCCAACACCGGCAGACAACGAAGGATACATGCCAGATTGAGGACGAGGAGCTCCATAGCGCGACTGGTTGTATGTGTTGGACAAGCGTTCTTCCAGCATGCGATCGTAGTATCGGACGACAGTAGCCATCTTAGAGTGAATGTCGAGTAGTGTGTCGTGTTTGCTCATAGTCTCTCCATAAGTTCTGGCAAGTTTGGGCCTCAATGCTCCGATACTCTCATACAGCTCCTGAAGCTGGGGTTCGCGCAGAATGGCACCAGGGGGTTGATGCTGCAGGCGGTCAACCAAAGTTGCGAATAGATTGATATTCTCGGCTTCAACCGCTGTGAGCTCGTTGTTGGTTTTGGGAGCGTATACACTGGGTGTACTCGATCTCTGCTGCTGTTGCTTGAAGCTAGCAGCATGTTTCTTCTTTTGTTCTTCCATGTCGGCGAGCGATGCAGCAATAGCGGCTGCCAACTCCGGGTCGTCTTCTTCCTCTTTCTTTGGCGTAGGCGCCTTTTGAACTGGCTTGGGTGTAGCCATCTGTGATTGCGGCACGTATCCTGCACCAGAGTGACCTTTTGATTCTTCCAAGCTCATCTCAAGTGCTCTTTTCAAGTCGGCGTCGAACGAGTCTTCGGCGACACGAGGGTCGCGGGCCTGCATGCGGGCACCAGTCGGAGGCTTCATGGCGTTGATGTGGGTAGGGAGAGGGGTGGTGCGCGACTTTTCTGTAAGTCTGGCATAACAGCCATCGTCGACACGGACAGGTTGGAGGATGCCGAGGTGAGGCAGAGGTATGGATTTTGCTGAACACTGACCACAGAAGACATTTCCGCAGTTTCGACAATGGTGTTTACGGTTGGTAAAGGTGAAGCGTTCTCGGCAGCGCATACAGACATCCGAGTCTGTCCACTCTGGAGGCTGCACAAGTGTGTTAGTACTGGACATAATACAGCGAGGACGAACAGACTTACCGCACTACTGTCAAACATGGTGGCGGCGACTTCAGTCTTGGGAGGGAAACGGAAACCTTCTCTCTGCAGGGAGCGGTATGTCTCGTCGATGTAGCCTAGCGAGGAGCGGCCTGTAGCAGCAGTAGCCCAGGACTGGATGAGATCTAGGATCCTGGTCTTGACTTCATCGTTCAGTGGAGTGTTGAGGAATGAGACAAGGTTGTCCATAAACTCGCGCGAGGCAATTTCCTGGATGAAATGCTCTCCGCCGTTCTTAACGCACGTGTCGGTCAAGCTCAGAGCGGCCAGTTGGATGTTTGGATTCTTGTTGCCAATCCTCCGTTTCAGCGAGCGCATAGCCTCCTTGGGTGGGATCGTCTTTGATCGGATCAGGTCTGTGATCTCCAGATTGAGGGCAATGTCCTCCAAGCTACTCGAGGTTGCTCTCTCGACCTGCTCGTCCATGGCCGAAGTACCGGCTCCGAACCATGACGCCATGATGTGTGTCAATCTGGTGTAGACGTGCTGTACAGCTTGACCGTATATTCTTAGGCGCCGACAAGGGTTCCAGGAGTGGTGAGGAGGTCGACAGGTGGGTTGGGTGAGTGTCTCGGAGCTTGCTTGGTGCCTAACGGCGGTTGCTTCAGCTTGGGGAAGGAGCGTTCGAGCGTGGCGGGCAGCAATGGCCAGAATGCCGATGCCGACGTCACCCGCGGCCGCGCCTTCCTGGGGAAACTCGAATACCATCCACCTTATTCATCATCACCATACAAACGCCTGCCTAATTCGTCCCGACCATAACACCTGCGAGCACTTCCTAAGCGTGTTCCCCTCACGACATGCCCGCCTCCGTATCGCGCCGACCGACTCAGTCATGAGCCCACCTTATCCCATCTCCCCCACCAACATGGCCATCCCCGACTTCAATTCCGCCGCTACGCCAAATAAGCCCTACCCTCATATCGAAGACTTGAAAGAGAAGGCAAAGATTAGCTCTATTACCAAGAATTCATCCTTGAATCACCTCCTCGACGAGGCCTCCAAGGCAGTCAAGCAAGCCGAAAGTCTTGTCGAATACCGCCGCCCAGATCTCGCTTATGTCGAATATTTGCGAGCCTTTGAGATTGCTGTCGCCATAATTCCACAACATGAACAATATCCTATCTTGAGTAGCCGGAAGGGCTCTCAGTTCACTCAGCATCAAGCCGTCCTCCGCAAGATTAGTTTACTGGCCGATCGCTTCGACAAGATCAAGGAGATCATCATTAACGACAATAGACGAAATGCCACTCCGAAAGCCTCGGATCTACCAGTCCGTCGCTCTTCAATTCAAGCCTCTCCGCCCGCTGCCACCAACGGCAATGCCGCGCTCGCTGATCGCTTCGCGAAACTGCGCATGCAAGCTGCGCCTCTAGACACTTCCTTGAACAGGCGGGTCGACTCTCGCGCATCTATCACCTCTAGCAATGGCTCAATCACTTCACCTACCTCATACAGCAACCGTTCATCGACCGACTTCTCCAACTCCCCCTTCGCCAATGGCTCCTCTATCCGACCAGTTGGCCCGCGGCAGATGCCCAACGGCGCTCCCGGCCACCCTTTCGCCAATCGCATCACCCTCGACACATCTGTCAGCGCTTCTCTACCCATGGCTCCCGCCCCCGCTTACAGCCCTGCACGCAACATGAACACACCAAGCCACATAGACCCTCCTCGGACTTCTGCTCGTAGTATGATTGGAACAGGTGGAAGAAACAACTCTATCGCCTCGAATGCCTCTTCCTACGCACCAGGCAATGAAGGAGATGAATCTGCAGGCTACTTCCCACGCGTCTCACAAGACCGTCCTCCGCCAGGTCCACCTCGACGAAAGTCTGTCCACCGTCCGACAGAGTTACGCATTGGTCCCGAACGACTTTACGACTATTTGAAGATGCATAGTGTCTTGTTGATCGATGTTAGGAACCGCCAAGATTTTGACGAGGGTCACATATATGCACAATCTATCATTTGCATTGAGCCTGCTGCTCTCGAACCTAACATGTCCGCTGAGCAACTTGAGGATGCTCTTGTTCTGTCACCGGAAGCAGAGCAATCCATGTTTTACAACCGCCACAAGTATGACATTGTTGTCTACTACGATCACGACATTTCATCAGAAAGCTTCATCCACCGACCGACATCAGAAAGAGAGCGAAACCTAAAATACCTATATGACGCCCTTTACGAATTCAACTCGGAAAAGCCCCTACAACGGCCGCCAATCTTGCTTATGGGCGGTATTGAGGGTTGGGCAGAGTTGGTCGGTGATCAAGCGCTGAAACGCTCGAGCACTGTCGCACAGCAAAAGTCTGGCCGTCCGATTAGAAGAGTACCTGTGGCAAGCAAAGAGTCGAGACTATACGTACCGAAGAAGCGACTACGAGACTACAATCCACTTGACGCTGAAGAAGAGCGAAAGTGGCACGAAAGAGCCCGCGTTGAGAGTGTCGTTGTTGAGAGGAAGCCATCGTTTGACGAACAGGATGAATCAGGACAGGCAGAGAATGCTACACCATTCTACCAGTCTATCGAGGAGTTCGTACGACGTTTCCCAGAAGCTGGTTCTCTGGAACAACGTTATGGCGTGCAAGAACATCCTGCCTCACTACTCCCAGCACGACCACAACAAGTGCCTTTATATCCAACACCTCCTCCAAAATCAGCAATGCCCTCAATCCCATCACGACCAGTTCCTGCTGCAGCTCGTGTATCATACAGCGGCGTTAGCGACCACCGTGCTGTTTCGGCTCAAAGCACCGGCTCTACATCTGCAGATTTACCTGCATACGTACCTCCGAGATTCTTGCCTTCAAATCTCCGACTACCACGTACTGGTCTGGTCAATTTCGGCGTTACGTGTTACATGAATGCCACCATCCAAGCACTCTCTGCGACCACACCTCTTACCCTCTTCTTCCTCGATGACAGATTCAAGACAATAGTGCAGAGAGACAATTGGAAAGGCAGCAAAGGTGTCTTGCCTGAGCTTTATGCGAATTTGATCAGAAGCATCTGGAAGGGTGATGTTGAGGCTATTCGACCAAGCACACTCCGATCTTTCTGTGCTCGTTTGAACAGCGAATGGGGCATTGATCGCCAGCAAGATGCGAAAGAGTTCTTTGATTTCTTGGTCGACTGCTTGCATGAAGATTTGAACAAGAACTGGTCAAAAACACCACTCAAAGCATTAACTGCAGATCAAGAGGCAACGCGAGAGAAAATGCCGAAGCCAATAGTTTGTCGAACGGAATGGGGCAGATACACACATCGTGAGCAGTCCTATCTGACACAACTCTTCGGTGGACAACACGCTTCCCGTCTACGATGCACGACCTGCCATTTCACGTCCACAACCTACGAAGCCTTCTACAGCATCTCAGTTGAAATCCCTCGTTCCGGTTCCACCAGCATCGAAGATTGCCTACGCTCCTACTGCGCAGAAGAACGACTTTCTGGCGACGAAGTCTGGAAATGTCCACGCTGCAACCGCGAACGCGAAGCCACGAAACAAATCACCATCACTCGCGCCCCTCAATTCCTCGTCGTACATTTCAAACGCTTCAGTGCTGGAAGAGGCGAATCAGCACGTAAAGTCCGCACACCCATCGAGTTCCCACTCAAGAATTTGAACATGTCGCCGTACATGCTGCCATCGCCCAGCGAACAAGACTCTCATCTCATCGTCAAGCAGTATGGTGCTGAAGCTATGAAGGCAGATCCGACTATGCAGCCGCCGTATCTTTATGATGCCTATGCCGTCATGAGACACATTGGCACTACATTGACGTCTGGCCATTATACTTGTCTTGCCAAGGATCGGGCGAGGAATTGTTGGCGACAGTTCAATGATACATGGGTTGGAGACTTTGATCCTGAGAGGCTGAGCGAGAGAGATCGCCTGCAGAATGAGATGGCGTATATAGTGTTTTATGAGAGAAAGCAGACAAGCTGAGGAGGCTGGAGATAAAGATATTTGTATAATGAGACTACATGGACCTACCCCACATCAGATCTGTGTCTTGAGATGTCAACTGCTGTGATGCATGGTTGTTTTGGCCAAGGACATTGTAAGCCAGGCGCTAATCGCCGCTACCCACGCCTTTCTAAGCGCCAGTGTCCAATCATTCGATAATCAGGCGTGCTTCGAGCGCTTCATCGCATTTCTCATATCCTCACAACCTCGACATAATCCAAGTTTGTGGGTCGTCTCTGCCCTCACACCCATATCACGAAGATGCATCTATCCCTCCTTTTGCTATACCTCATTTCCTTGACTCTCTCAACAACACAACCAGAAGCAAATTCACCATATATAGGTCTCAGCCTCTCTTCCCGAACTATAACTCTAGCATCCCATGATGGCAACGACACCATCGTTCTCGCTCAATGGCAAGCAAATCTGGCATATAGAATTTGGTTCGCAGAAGCCATTTCGCAACATCTTGTCCATGAGTATGGTATCCTTGCCCCTTCATCGATTTGATCATCTTAATCTGATTTATTGCAGAATGGTTGATGCTACTGTTGTGGTATGCGAAGTTTTCAACCAAGTTGAGGAAATACTGAACGTAAAGCTGGGAGCGGAAAAGGCGTATATTACTGCTGTTTCTATTCCTTTCCCTATCAGTACTGTTCTCCTCCGCAATCAACTGTTCACCACTATTTCAGGATGCGCGCTTTGGGATAATAGGACTGGGTTTTTCTCCGCGATCTTGGAGACTAGACAGATTCTGTGGGGTGCGTATGGTCTTTCGCAATCGCAGGGATTAGGAGTAGAGGGAATCGTAAATGAGAGTGGAGAGGGAGCGGGAGTGGTGGTCAATGTAGAAATTAATTGGGTGTGTTCTGGTATACAGGTATTGGGGGTTGAAGAGGGAGTTGTATGGGTTATTGGGGTGGATGTTTGGTTGGATTTAGGATGGGGGAAAGATGATGAGGGTGAGGTGAGTTTCCTTTGACCTACTCAGTATGGAGAATCAGGACTGACTTCAATACAGGATAAGACGTGGATCACCAATGTCGAAGAAAGGTTTGAGCGTTTCTTTGCTCAATACTTCGTTTCCACACCGAGTATGAGGAAGGGTGATAGGTATGCTTCAGAGCATTTGCGCATGGTCACATTTACCGGCGATGCGCCCGCTCACGCTTTCGCTCTTGTTAGGGGCGCATTGAGAAGATTGTTGGCGAACTATCCATGGGTGGTGTTCAGAGAAGATTTCGAGCCAGACGAAATCTCTGCTATCGGAGCGGCGATGCTGGGGAAGGTGTTAGCGGAGGAAGAGGCTAGGTACGAATCGGATTACATGGTCGATATGACTAAATTCCAAGACACGTAGAGAGAAGGTGGGATTTGAATGGACAACGGAAGATTGGGAAATGAGTTTTGTTGTTCTCGTCGGTTCATGTGGTTAGAATTCTTATTGTGCTGATGCACTTTTGCAACGGATGTTGCTTTCGACACGACTAACATCATGTTGTCGTGTCAAGTCGGGATCCATCATCCATGCGATATCCTTCCTCATTACGCCTTACTTCAAACCCCAGTCTCCTGATGCATATTTGCAAGCCAACTTGATGCTCTTTCGAGCCAACGCAAAGTCGTGACCTTTACAACAATTCTTGCCCCTTGGACATTTTTCTCGCGGCTTCTTCAAGAAACTCTCGCAAGTAAAAAGGATACCATGAAAGTGAGCGGAATCGCAACTTTCTTGATCGTGCTTACGAAGCTAGAAAAAGAGAGTCAGCACACCTATGAGAATGAAGTTTTGGACTAAGCTTACTCTGCAAACAGCCTTGAGCTTGGATTTGCCTTCCTTGGCGAGAGTGCAGGTGAAAGCCTTTAGTGATGCTGGGTAGAACTCGCGGAATTGGTGGAGGTCGTTGCTTTGGCTGAGTTCTAGCTTCTGCTCGGGTGACAGGAATCTGTCGGGGATGAGGAAAAGCAGGTCGGCGGGATCGTCGGTGACACGCGGGACAGTGTCGAAAGTTGTGGGCTGAGGGGACTCAGGCAGAGTAGAGGTCTCGACAATGGTTGTGTTTGATGCAGTGAGTTTTGTCAAAGCGGCTGGAACGCAAGTCTCGGGTGTGGCTTGAATGGCAGTGTGGTACTCGAATGAGTTTACAGTTGATCTATGCTTGAGACCGTCGACGGTGGCAGACAATCTTACGTCCAGAATAGAGGGCAGAAGCTCAGTAGGGGGGCTGCAGTGTTCAGACTTCCCAACGAGAGTGATGTTGAGCGGGTTGGGAACATTGAGACTGGTGGCGGAAGTCGACAAAGACGAAGTCGTATGCGCACCGGAAATTTGCGGCGAAGGCAGCAGAGTGGAATGGGAAGGGGAAGGTGGTTGTTTTGGAGAACTGTAATGGAAAGTCTTTTGAAGAAGGAGCGGCACAGACAATCCCAAGACTCAAGTGAAGGAAAGATTCCTCAATATTCAGACTTGCAAGAGACGGCTCTTCATCCTTCCAGACACCGATCAGATCCTCTGTCAGAAGGCAGTTATTTTCGTGATTTGGGCCATGTCCACAGAGAGCGATACTCCAATGTGCTCTCTTGAGACCGTCACACCGAATTCAAAATCATTATGCCTTTTGACAGCTATTTTTACAGACTGTGTCGGCGAACTGAGAGCTGAGACTTACATTTCTACGCCGACGGTTACTGCCTTTCCGCGCCTGCTCGAATGCACAATCGAAAGCGAGAACAGCTCTCCGTCCGTGGAAAACTCGATTACCTGACTTCCATTGAACAGGCTGCCGTATCTGAAGATCACTGTGCATTTACACAGTGAGTATGCTTGAGAGATCGCATCAAGGGGATATGGCTGCCGAGAGCTTGGTCTGGCGACTATTCGACCTCCTGATTTGCTTCCTGACAAGAAAAAGCTGCAGACAAGACGGCAGCCCGGAAGGAAGATCAAACATCTCGGTCTTCCGAGGATATCCCGTGGCAGAGGTCAAAGCTTTGGAGATCAGGGTGATACCCTACACCACAATTTCCAGCTCTTCTTTCTGAATTTTCCTGTTCGTAAACCACCAACACGTCTGAATGATAGTTGCAGTATCTTTGATGAGAGTTGGAGTAGTATTCCTTCGTGTGTGGGAACTTGGTATCTTTGTTGCGAGCATGAGCGCACATAAAAGCGGTTCGCACTTTTCCAGACGCTTGACGCAAGAAAGCTCACACGAATGCAATAGCCACAGGCCCAGTGTTTGACCGTACCAGAAATTGAGGAAACGAGGGGCAATCTCGCTCACGAGCTCACAGCTCTTTCTGACTCAGAGTCTCTGGCTTGAAACAGAATGGTTTAATAGCTAAGGACGTGATAGGACCTCATCTGCGTGGAGAGTTGTTCATCGCCCCTCGATTTATGAATTATAATCGTCGCCGGCGAAACAAATCTCCATCAACCAATCACAGTTGATCAGGTCTCGTGGTCTAGCGGTATGATACTCGCTTAGGGAGATTAGCTTCTGCTGTTCTTGAAAACTCTAAGCCAATTGCGAGTGGTCCCGGGTTCGATTCCCGGCGAGACCCCATCTTTTGCTTGTTCTAGCATCGTTTTTGGTAGGGGGAGAGTAGTGGTGAAGCTTTGGGATTTTTGAAAAATTTGAAAATTTGAAACAAGGAGGAAAACTTTGGTGTAAGAGGATGTGGGTAGGGAAAGACTGTATTTTGCTTGTGTGAACGATGTTCAACAGTGTATAGATGAAGAAATAGAAAGAGATAGAGGAACTTTGTGGGTAGGTGGTGTAATTTTGTGAGGAAATCTGGAGTGCTCGAGGCAACCGTAATGAGAAAAGGGGAGATCCTTCTAAAGACGTGTGTGTACTGCTTTGCTTACTTACGACTCCTACTTGTAGGTGTTAGATACCTATCATTGGTGAATGCATGTGCTAAGCATCAGACAATGATCTCGGTAACTTCCGGGCGATGATGATAAAGCTTCGGCGTTTGGCAGGTGCGCACTTGAGAAGTTGAATGATTTCGAAAGCTTTCTTTGTACACGTGCATCTCCGAACATGGAAGCAAACATAACTAGTCGCGAAAAGGCATGAAGCTGCTGGAGTTTTCGAGTCTGCAACGAGGGATGAGTTAGGCGGACTTGTAATAGGCAAATTTCAGTTCGGTACACTTTCGTGCGTATTAACAGGTAGGACTGATGACATTTGTCGTTCAAGATACGCGCTAAGTTAGCCTTTGGACGTACGCTGTTAAAAGGGAAGTAGCGATGCAGGGCTTTAGCTCCGATGTGGTGCGACTGCCTGAAGCAAGCTTGTTGACACCTCAAGCCGGTGAGCCACGGCCCACCACGACAACATCAAATCCTATCAACTCACGAACAATCCTATCATAGCCAACATCTTCCTGAAGCATTCTCCTGCAATCCATCACATTCAAGCCTCATCAACATATGACGAGAACGGATGACAACGACCTCTTTCTAACTCATTTCCACGGCTCGACATTGGTCATCGTCTCTTATAAGTTTTCTCGCAGCTCTTCCGTTGTTACCTCCTTACTCACATCCAAAATGTGCGATTTTCTCGGCCGCCTGTTCAGATCGTCAGATCCAGCCAGCGACATTATCGCTACCAAGGACGAGACGGAAATCGCCAGCTTACCACCTCCTTATGAAGAGCTACCGCCACTGCGCCCGAGCCCCGAGATTCCTACCAGTGCGGTTCATGCACTCAAGCGTTGCCTCATCTGGCGTATGGCCATTGACTTGGGACTGAAGCGCTACGTCCCTCGAATCGAAAGACCAAACGACTATGAATACTCGAGGTTTGAAACATGCTGTGAAGACTATTGCAAGATTCTGGGCGAGCATCCCTTTCCGCAAGAATCGCTGGACGACTCGAATGAGATGTTGTGGTACTTTGTCTTCCGACCGGGTTCTGAGCTTGGTATCCCGTGCGGTGAGTACTTGCCCATACTACGCTTTCCTTCATTGTTGTACATCGTTTCAGCCTGCAGCAATTGACCCTACCCTCACGTCGATGGAAGATTCGCTGACCTTACTGAAATCCTAGATTTGCTGGAGTTCTTCATGTATTCGGTGCGTCGAGCCACAAAACATCCGACTTACGTTGCCAAAAACAAGCGAATCACATGTCATCGTGATGAAGTACTCCTTCTTCGTCTGGTCATCGACTCCAGAATCATTGTCGATCTGGTTACCAATCCTAGGGGAGCATTTGCCCGGAGACTCAAGACAAAGTGCGCAAGACTGCACAGGAAGAACTTTTCGTGGCTCCTGGATCCGGCACTCATCAACTTGGACAACGTCCTCCGCGCTCGACCAGCCAGCATCCAATGCGAAGAAACTCAGAACGGACATTGGAAACAGACTTTGTTGTTGATGGAGGAATGCGAGCGACCATGCGCTGCGTTGATGGATCCCTCCTTGTCAGTCATGACCAGAGTCATGGTGCCTTACTTCTGGACGGACGCGAACCTCCGCCAACAGCCAGGTTTTCTCAGGAAGAGCACCAAAGCTCACGAAAACCGCTTGCCAGCTGCGGTGACCTTCGGGAGTTGGGCATGGTGGAACCCGGATCAGACATACGTCTCTTATGGCGGGCGCATCGTGGGACGATGAGACAAACAAAGAATCGCACGAAAGAGCTCCTACGAGCGTTCCGGTCTGCCCTGTTGCTCTATACACAATACGTCCCCGACCTCAAATCCGTCACCAGACTCCATTAGCTGTCACAATGCAGAGTGTTCGGTCTTGCGCTGCGAGCCGCTATTGAGAGTCGAAATCTTGCCCGGGAGGGCACTCTATGCAATCGCAGACTTCATCATGTCGGAGCCCCCGTCGGCACCATGACTGCCGCCGCGCCACCACCTTTGCAGCAGAAACAACAACAACAACAGCAGCCGTGGGAATGGTTTTTACCCTGCCACGAGGCTTACTATACCTGGGCTGCTTGAACCTTAGAGACAGCATCAGCCAAGTTTCTCACCGTCAACGAAGGCTTTCTTCGCTCTCTTGACATCGAAAACTCCATCCTGACCAACAAAACTCTCATCGCAAAATACTCGCAATGAATCCATTGTTTCGAGAGTTTCCACCAATTCATTAATATCTTGGAACCTAACATTCCAATGCCACCAAGCTTCTTCCTCACCCTCATTATCTCCAGAGTCTTCATCTGGATCAGAGCTGGGTTCTTCCGTAAGGCTTTTCTCTGACAGTTGGTAAATCACCACTGTCTTTGTCTTTCGCTTTTCTTATCGAGCATAGCAAACTGCTCCTTAGTGATATTCGTCTTGGGATTCAATGCGCTTTCTGGGAGTTCTCCCTCAAGGTAACGTTGAATCCGAGCAGCATCCCAACCTATGAAGCCATTCTGGAAAGCGTGGATAGGTGGATTCGTGCGCCAGTGGTCGAAGCTGGCTTGAGATGGATCCTTTGCGAGCACGAAACAGTTCGTCCTTGGCTGTTCGAGCAGCTTGGTGATCGTCTTTATAGTATCTTAGCGAGCCCAGTACATGAGTCTTTACACAGTGACTCACGTTCGGAGAGATATCTGCGGTGCAGAACAGAAGGTATGTAGTCATTGCGATAGCTTGTTGTTACTGTTGTTAAGGACGAAGTCGCGACAGTACGGAGTACTTCAGTAAGAATAGCGAGTTTAAGAAACAAAGCCAAGAAGTTGACCTTTCAACGTCAGAATGTGTGATGTCACATACAGAACTTATCACACGTGACAGACCGAATCATGCTAGCGCTACTGCTACGATGGATCTATTATGACAGTCTGCATATAACGTAGCATCCTTCAAGCATGCATTATAGCTAACAAGCGACTCGCGCAGCCTCTTAACGCTCCGAGGAAGGATTTTTGCCAAGCGATAGCTTTACAGCCGATGAGAAATCAGGATAATGGGGTCCGCATCCAACAGGCTGAGTGATTTGAAATAGGTTTGCTCTACTTCCAACCTCGCGAAGCTCTATCATTACGACCATCGCAAGGCATGATGAATTTGAAGTCGACTTCGTTGTCCATAGAGAGCAGCTGTCGACTATGCTCTCTTTGGCCACTGCAACATTCGAGAAGCTCACTGTGCATTTCTGCAATGGAACAGAAGGGCAGGCCGGTGATGGGGACCTCATGTCTGAAACAGAACCGACACTAGTCCTGTTCCTGCTAAGCAGCAATTGTAAATCGAGAATGTAGGTATGTCGAAAGGCACGATACTTTCCGCTTTCGCGTCGCTGGCCGGAGAGAGCAGATCAAGGGCTCTCAGTGGAGGCTGCAGTTCTTCCCAATTACATCGTGCATTTTGACATTTAGTCAGAAGAGCAGAGTGACCCCGAAGGGATCATCGTGCAATTGATAATCTTCATATAACCAAAACTCAGCACGACCCCGATGCAGCATCATCACAACTCCTCATGCCCACCATGCGGATTGAAATCACGATGGAACTCAACCAAGAATTGCGCATACTTAGCCGCTCCCACAGCAAACAACTCAGAGGGGCGGATCGTGTCATACAGTTGGGCGTATGGATAATCTCCCATGACTTTTTCGACCGCGGTCCGCAAAACATCGAAGGCGTGGGGAGGTGCATCTCCGGAGAATGTGACAGCACGGAGGTCTGGGATGTAGAAGTGATCGCCAGGAGGTGTGGAGGGACCTGGTGGACGAATATGCTTGGCAAGGAAAGCTGATAGCTGGTTTTCGATTCCAGTTGCCTGGTCAATTGTCTATAGTTATAACGTGTGAGTTTGAGATTCCCATCGAATTCGCTCGTGTCACATACAGATTTCTGATCGGTGCCGAGATAGTTTACATCTGTAAAGCCTTTGAACATTGCGTCGTGCTCCAGAGATGCTGCTGCCTTGTATATATGGATAAGTTGGAAGCCCATGAAGTTCCAGTTGTACTCGATGTGTAGGACCAAAGGCTCAACTTTCGCAGACCAGTCAAAGTCTTTCGGCAGTCCGAGGTTTTGTGGCAGATCGAAGCCGTAAGCGATTTGCACTACATGTCTGGTTTCGATCATGGTAAGCCGTAGTATTTCTTTCGGTCTGGGATCCAGCATGGAGGCATCGGTCAACGCATCGATAATGATTTCATCTAGCTTGTGCGTCCTGAGTTTCCAAGGCAGCGCGATGACGGAAATGTAAGTATTATCTGCAGACGCGGCTTCCAGTACATTTCGAGCTGCTTGCAGGACATCGATCAAGGCGGCGTTATCAGCGGGTATCCTGTTTTGTGTAAGCGTTGTCCATTCCGATGCTCCGGAGCTCAAATTACTCGTATTTGGGTTTAAGCTCGACAGCCTGCTGAAACCACGAGATATATGCGCTATCCACTGGTAGTTGTGCGATTATAGAGACATTCCCGCTGTCCGTAAGATTCGCAAGTGTGACTGTCCTCGAGCCTAAACTTAGACCCACGTAAGGTTCATCTATAGCACTTGCCAGCCTTAGAATCAGAACTGCAAGAACGCAGTAGACTGTAAGATACATATTGAGAGAAGTCCACAAACATTATGTTTGCAATGGATATGCCTGTTGACTTTTCTAGCCCGGGCGAGCGTCACATAGGCCAAATGTCATCGATGTACGCGCGCGGTAGTTTTGGCATCGGGGGCAGTGAACTCTTGGCTGAAACAGGTATCATCTATATGTAACAGCTCATTGGACGACCAGATAATGTTAGTCGAGGCAATAGTCGAGGATCCGTCAACTTGTGAGAGTGAGTTCACAGCTGACGTGAGGTAAGAGTATGTTGCATATCCCGTAGTTGTTCAGAGAAAGCACAAAAATACGCTACTCTCATGCACATGCTCTCATCACTAGAACCTCATGAATCTCACTAGTCTGTTCTATGAAGATTTTATAAGACGCAGTCGAAATTCAAACCACAACTTGAAGAATAGGAAAACGATTTCATTCAGGGATAAAAAAAGAGCACCTCCAACGCCACGCCAGAAGAGAAAAGCACCACTGATACAAGACAGCAACAACCCCCCCTCCCCCTCACCACCAAAGAGTGCTAGCACCACTTCATACCATATCACTCCACAGGTTATACCCCTGAACCCCTGGCCCAGTCCATTTCTCTCCGTATGGATTTACCCTGCTCCCATCGAAAAAGCCGTCGTGTGCGGACTGCAACACGTGCAACCAACTGTTAGGTTCCGGCTCTTTGAGCCATTGATTATGGATATGATATGTCCAGGCGCCGCGGAAGAAGTTCTCGAGCGTGCGGTTGTTGGGTGGGAATTTATCTTGTTCGATGCGGTAGGGAAGGATAGCACCTGCGTTGCGTAGAGCGGTGATTTCGGAGTTGGTGGTGGTGAAACTGTCCATGGGTCCTGACATTGGTGTGATAGAGACATGCTCGGAGTCGAGAGCTGGCTGCACTGATCTTTTGAATTTGGCAGATTGCAGCTGATGCTGCTCGGATGTAGTGTTGAAGTCCAAGCGGGCCAGCTGTGGGCCGTCGAAGCTCTCCCACTCATCCTTAAGGGCGTTGAGCTTGCCTTTGAACACAGCACCGTAGTCTCTTAGACAAGGAACTGTACATCTGCCCTCCCGATCCCAGTTAAATTCAGTCCAGATGGGGTCGAAAGCCGCGGTCTCAAGCATAGGGAATTCAAGATCACGGCCTTCTTTCCAGATCATACGTCCCATGACCCGAGGATGGAAGTTCAGGCCCATACGCACACCTCCTCGAAGCAGATAGCTGGAGAGAGAAGAGTTTGCGGTTAAAGACATGATGGCTGTGTTGTATTCTCCGGGATTGTTGTGAGCGCCCCAGCGTTCGGCGAATGCGTGCTTTTGCGGGATGAGCAATGGGCGCAGATCGCGGAGCATAAGGGCGTCCATGTCGAGGTATACGCCGCCGTGTTGATGTAGGATTATGAATCGGACGGTGTCCGAAATTGCTTGGGGGAAGAAGGTCATCTGTTTGGGTGTAAGGGTTACCCACTGTTGACCATGATGATCCTCGATCAAGCCATCTGCGATTGCCATTTCGCCTCTGGCGTTTGGCTTGCCTTTGGTCTTGTAGTAGCCTACTCCGTCAGTGTTGTCGAATTCCTTGGGCAGGGGCATTCTGGTGGGGAACTTCCAGGGCAGAACTTTGATGTCTCCTCTCTCGACCAGAGGCAGGAAGCGTGCAAACAGAGGATCCTTGGTCAGCATTCTCTCGACAGCGTCAGGAGCGCGATCGGTATCAGCCCAAAGCCAGAGTCGACTGCAAGGGATGTTCTGAGTGTAGAAGTAAGATTTGACAAATACTTCTAGCCTCCACGTCGCGGGACCCGCCCAGTAGACGTGGTAAGGGATGATAGGGCCAGAGCAAGTTCCGGTGTTTGATTTGGATGGAAGTTTTGCGTCTCCAGGCGAGACATAGCGCTTCAGAGTGTTGCCATGTCCATCCGCATCCAGATATTCTGCCTTTCTCGGATCTTGTTCACTTGCGCGGTCGACCTGTTCCGGTAGAAGGTAATATCTCTCCTCTTTCTTTGACAGAAACTCAAGGCAGCCAAAGACATCGCGCATCTTCTCAAGCCCGTCGTAAGACCCTCGGCACTCCTCTACAATCATTTGGATATCGGCTTCGGTGTCGACGTGAGGTCTTGTGCCAAAAAAGTCATCGCGCGGGACGACAGCACTCGAGGGACGATTGAAGACATTGGCATGTGGGTTGATGGTGACTGTTCGAGATGTGCTAGCAACCTTTATTTGAACTGCTCCAGCCGTTGTTTGCTTCACTGAGCCGGCGTCTGCGAGAAGTGTGACTTTTTGGCGAGCCTTCTCTCTGGCCGAAGGATCCTGTGCTAGTTGGATGGTGGCATAGATTGAGATGTAGAGGATGAGGGCTAGAAATAGGTTGCGGACCAGCGAGAAGATCGCGCGTGTTCGACTTCCTTCAGGCATGTTCAAGATTGAACACAGGGATGTGAAAGGCCCGAGATGTACACGAGGTTTGAGGTAGGAATGTCAAGTGAGTGAGATCCGATCAACAGAACCCTTTATTGGTGTTCCTTGGACTCGAATGGACTTTTTCGACGGGCTATCGGTTAGCCATAACAATGAATAGATCGAGAGATTTAGAGTTCAAGGTTTCCTTGTAGAACAGAGGCAGTGAGTAGGTGTCGAGAATGCGTTATTGGAGGTCAGTAATGCGAGAAATGATGAATCGATTCAGCAAAGGTAGCTGGGGAGGTCAAGCTATTAATCGAGTGCGGCCACAAACGTGGAAAAAGGCTGGTTTCGTGATGAATTCCATCCAGACCGAGACAAGAAAGGTCGAATGGTACACACGGCGTCAAGCTAGTGCCGCATCCGCTCTAGTGCCCGCTCACACGAAGCTTCTTTTTCCAAGGGGTTCCCTCCCCGCATCCACGTGCGAGAACTCTGTCTTTGCCGTCGTCGACTCTTCGTCCAATCGTAATCTCCTTCAGACATGTTCGTTTGAATGCCCTCTTCTACCGACGGCACAACCTCAACAACTGACAGCTTGTGTTTTGGTCTCGAGGCGTTTCTCTCTCTTTCTCAGCCGTTTCTCCCCTCATGCTTGCCTTGTGTCGCTGTCTGCCGCGTCCCAACTCGACACGTAAATTCATCTACCGCAGCCTTCATCTTCACTATTCAACACTTTCTTCCTCGCGTAGAGAGCAAGTGACCATTCCGTGCCGATCCAATGGTCACATTACACTAAGGCAAGTCTTTGCTCAATCCGATACCTCGTAAATGCCTCAACGCATCACTTCGAGGACGTACTCAGCTTGCGTAACACTTCCCTTCTGACTCGAATCTCCCCAAAAGTTTATTTCATCCTCTTGTAGCTTCGGGTCCCGCGCCTGCCATCATCTTGTATCTCCCTCCTGGCCCTTTGCTACCCACTGCACTACCCACTGTTGATGTTGGCGCCGCTCTCTCGTCGGTGACTTCAGCCACTGTCGTACAAATAAATTATCGTTGTTCTCATGAACATCGATACCCGACACCTATTCATGATGTCTTGACAGGCTATGACTGGGTCTTGGAGCATCTGGTTCCTAGCAGGTCTTTTTACCGTCCTGGTCGAAACATCAACCATCGTGTCAAACTAGCCGTATGCGGTGAACTCGTTGGTGGCAGTCTTGCTGCCATGCTCACATTGACTGAATGTCGCCTTCAAGGACCGTATGTTGCGGCTGCGGCCATCAACGAACCCATCGTGGATTGGGTCTTTCCCGAAGACGATGGTGTTGACGAAGAATCTGTAGCTGATCGCTTCTCTTCCTTCGTCGAAGCATTACAATCTGGCCGAAAACCGAAAGCGAAATCAAAACCACGTCCGACAAGTTTTTCGACTTTCGCAGAGAGTGGTATCCTCAACGCAAGCACATTACTCAAGGCGAGGAACAATCTCTTCAGAAAACATGATGACTACTTCGACACGTTCGCAAGTCCTCTCTTCAACTTTCGCACCGCCGGAATTGCTGTGCCATCACCTCAACCAAAAACTCCTGCAGATGATTTTGCCGAGTTGTCATTGTATGAACGAGATGATTTTCATCGACAACAGATGAAGATGAGTTCATTGTCGTATAGACTGCAAAACCCGGACATGCAAGCAGAAGAAACTGCCGAATCGACGAAGAAGCCAAGGAAGAGTCACAAAAGATGGCCCAACGCGGGCAGTGGACTTAGGATTCCTCAGATGCGTATCTCATCTGCAGCGACCAGTCCACTATCAGACCAGGTTGGAGAGTTTGCCCGACTGATACAGAAGAGTATCGTCGCACAAGAGATCAAGACGGTGGAAGCCGATGGAGACGATGCAGCCAAGGAAGCCGCATACATGCTTGCTGAGCGCCAAATCTATCACAGGACTTCAGAAAGCATGCGCCTTTGGTCTCTTGGTCAGACTCACGATTTGAAGCACATTGCACATTGGTTCGAACAGATTCTCCAATAGACATGGACAATCGAGGTTCTACATATCATATACCACTTCAATCCTCAGAGGCACCTTTATTCTTCTCTCTGTCCCCTTTCGTCATAAACAGATGGCACGATGGCTTCGCAAAGTTTGGTCGACGTCTGGCCGTTCTCAAACTTCGCCCAAACACGAGCTTTAGTTTGTCAAAACGAATTTGGTCTCGGCGAAATGAGACATCTGCTAAAAATACAGCCGACGTTGTCGTATTTCTTTGCAATTGAAGCTTGTGGATATAAAGACTTCTCCAATCTGATGTATGTTCATTGGTTGACTTTACGAGAGCAATGGTCTCGCCGTCCGCGGAACAACATGACCCTGTCACGGTTTCGAAACAGCGGTCATAGCTCACCCCCCACAAGTTCGCCCAGGCCATCACCCCAACAACCAATGTTGACAGAAACCCGGGGCGAAATGATGCACACCCACCACATGTCGCCGTTTTCTCACATTCCGATAACAGAAAATCATAATCCACAACCGTCATCATGCCACGAACACCCCGCGATCGCGGCGAACGTGGTGAAAGGGATCCAGAGCGCGAACGACACCATCACCAACAACGACCCAGAAAAGGCCACCGCTACAACGACAGCACGAGCGAATTGATCGAAAAACCAACACATCAACATCGACGTCACCGCAGTGAATCGCAAAGTCCTAGGAAAAAGAAAAAGAGATATTATTATCCTGAAGATGAAACGACGGAGAGTAGTAAATCTACTAGTAATGCGTTGAGTGCTGGTGCTTTGTCGCAATTGGATGCGGCGAATGTTGGTGATTTGAGGTGGAATAGTAATGGCGGCGCTAAAGGGGCGGAGAGATATACGGATGTCGAGGAAGAGAGGAGAAGACAGGAGAGAAGGGAGAGAAGAGAACGACGGAGGAGAAGAGAAGCTGAAGAAGGACTTAATGTGGATCGCCATAAAGACGAGCGGAAGCAATCACGAGTCATCAGCGGCAGTTATCTGGAACGTGGTACTGAGCCGTATGATGAGAAGGTCGTTTTGGTCGATCAAAGGGTCCGTATGAGAGGTGGCGCTGGCAGCGTCGAGTCTGAAGAGGATGAAGCGCGGCGGCGGAAAAGACGGAGAATCGGTTAGTCTTCTCAGACAAGACTCACACAGTTATGCTGATCAGATTCCAGGTATCATTGGCATCGCTATCCTTGTCATATTGGCAATCGTGATACCTGTCGGTGTCGTGTTGTCCAACAAAAGCAAATCATCGTCTTCTACAGATTCAACAAGCGACACAACAACTTCATCGAATCAACCATCGAACAAGAATCTGAACGGCATTTCGGAGTCAGATATACCCAAGGAGGCACAAGGAACATACCTGGACCCGTTTACCTGGTATGACACCACAGACTTCAATGTCACATACACGGCAGCCACCATCGGCGGACTCTCGGTTATGGGCTTGAACGAAACCTGGGACGACTCGGCCAAAGCAAATGAGAATGTTCCTGCGCTAGACAAATCCTGGGAGTATGGCAAGATGCCCATTAGAGGTGTCAATGTGGGAGGCTGGCTCAGTATCGAACCCGTCATCACCCCTTCTCTCTTCTCCGACTTCAAAACCAGCGACGGCGTCATTGATGAATGGACCCTTTGCAGCAAATTGGGCGCCAGCAGAGCCCAATCGACACTGGAACAACACTACGCTCAATTTCTCACCGAAGCCGATTTCGCCGGCATCCAAGCAGCAGGCTTCGACCACGTCCGCATCCCCTTTTCCTACTGGGCCGTAACAACATACGATGGTGATCCATACGTGCCCAAGATATCCTGGCGCTACCTCCTCCGCGCTATCGAATGGGCACGCAAATATGGATTACGCATAAACCTCGACCTCCACGGCGCCCCAGGCAGTCAAAACGGCTGGAACCACAGCGGCCATCAAGGCGCCATAAACTGGCTAGACGGCACAGATGGCACCTTGAACGGCCAACGCACTCTAGACATCCACTCCCAACTCTCCACCTTCTTCGCGCAACCACGGTATAAGAACATCATCACCATCTACGGTCTCGTCAACGAGCCCAAGATGACCTATCTAGACGTGGACACCGTACTAACCTGGACAAAATCCGCAATCACAAAAATCAGAGCCAACAACCTGACCGCCATAATAACCTTCGGCGACGGCTTCCGCGGCTTGGACAACTGGCAAGGCGAGTTGCAAGATTTCTCCAATTTACTCCTAGACGTCCATCAATACGTCATCTTCAACAACCAACAAATATCCCTCCCACACAGCGATAAAGTAGCTTTCGCATGCTCGGCATGGACGAACCAAACCCTCCGCTCCAGCGACAAAGCCACCGGTTTCGGACCCACGCTTTGCGGCGAATGGAGTCAGGCTGACACGGATTGCGCCACCTATCTCAACAACGTGGGCGTGGGATCACGCTGGGAAGGCACGTTAAACATGCTCTCCACACCCGGCGGCTCCCTAGACGGCAGCGTGCTGTCCCCCACCTGCCCTACCTCCAATTCCCCCCGCTGCTCTTGCGCCAATGCGAACGCCTCACCCTCGACATATTCGCCATCGTACAAGCAATTTCTCCTCGACTTTGCGGAGGCGCAAATGCACAGTTTTGAGCAGGGGTGGGGGTGGTTTTATTGGACGTGGAAGACTGAGTCCGCGTGGCAGTGGAGTTATAAAGATGGCATTGCCGCGGGCGTTTTGCCGCAGAAGACTTGGGATAGAAAATATAGTTGTGGGCAGGGGGTTGATTATGCTGGTATGGGATTGGCGGAGAATTATTAGTTGGAAAGGGGCGAGAAGCTTCTCTCTAGACAATGAGATTGAAATTTTCGATATCATCTTGCCTGTGTACAGCTGTGAAATGGACGTCACTGGTGCGTGAGAGAGAAGGAAACAATTTCACCTTGAGCGGAAATAACAACACACCCATATTATTTGGTTAATGCATTACGTCCCTACGAAGAGACCAGTCATCTTTTATTCCCGGATGGAACAGGCATTCCCGTATCATAAACAAGCTTTATCAAGCCTTTCCAAGCCTTTTAGACAAGAGGTGATCAGCGATTAGCGATCAACGGGACGAAAGAGGTGATTGCGTGGAAGGAAGGGCCTGGAGGTGACGCGCGGCCCTATACGAAAGGTGACTTTGAAAACACGGCTCAGTAGCTACAACAAAAGCCGCGTAAACCTCCCCTTCCGCCCAGCAGACAGAGCCAACAAAAGAGAAAGCGAATGAGCAAACACACCACGCGAATGATGGAAAGGAAATCTTCGTAACCTGTTCTTATTTTCCTCAAAGGGGGTATCTCTATTTCTGTTATGCTTTGCTCGAAATAACCCAACAACCGAAAAGAAACCAAGGAGAAGAACGCCGATATCTCGCCTGTGCCATCCAACCCCATCGTGCTATGCAAAACATCATTTCATCTTCCCGGACCAAATGCTTCATGTGAACTTCACCCTCTCCAAACCTCTCCAAGCATACACAATCCAAGTCTCCAATCCAATCTACTTCATAGGCAACTCTCTAAAAACCCTCTTGAAAATATCCTTACTCTTGTAAAGATTGATCAATCTCAAGCGTTCATTATCCAAATGCGCCGAATCACTGGCCTGTCCACAAGGGAAATGCGCAGCGGGGGCTCCAAATTCCTTTTCCAAGAATCTGATGGCAGGAATGGATCCTCCTTCTCTGATATACAGAGGCTTGGTTCGTGACTTCTTGGTCGTGGGGGAGGGGATGGGAAGAAGAGAGGAGGAGGCATCATTTGTTGCGTCTGTAAGGGCGGAAGACGACGCAGAAGTGGGTCCACCGTTTGCGAGCACGGAAGAGGTGGTAGGGGAGGGTTTGGAGGTATGTGTGTTTTGCACTTCCTCCTTCTTGGGTATTGTGACTTTCAAGGCATTCTCCTTGCTGACTTGTGCGAGCGAAGACTTACGTCTGTGCTGGGGGACTTCGGGGATAGGGCCCCAAACGTCCATGATGGCTTTGTCGAGTGTTTGGAAGATTTGGTTGTTGAATTCGCCGAGCCAGGGTTCGGCTTGGTGGTCGATGGTCACGGTCATGCGGTTGTGAGAGCCGAGTTTGTCGAATTCTGATTGCAAGTATTTGACCAGAGCTTCGCCGACTGTGTCTGCTTCTTGATTGGGGACCAGACGCAGCGAGAGTGCTGCCTTTGCGAGACGCGGTATGATGGCGGCGTTGGCAGGACCGGATGTCTGGAAGCGATGGACAGTCAACGAGGCCTCGCGCCAACGACGCATGAGTGAAAGTGCAAGGTCGCGAGGGTCACCAAGATCAGGGTTGCGAGCGACCAAAGCTTGAGTGATGTCTTCGTAGAGGATCTCTTCCTCCTTGCTCAGCTCAGGGATCGGATCATAGAAGCTGGGGATCTTGACTTTGCCATGACTGCCAGTAAGAGTCGACAATAACATGACAAGATCTTTCAATGGCTCATCCAGTTGCGAACTTCCATCAACACCACTGTGCAGATCAGGATGATCACTCTCGACTTGAACAGTAGCGTGAATAACGCCGCGAAGACCATAAGTGACGCAGGGTATCGAGTCGTCCAGCCAATAACTGTTAGCAAGCAGGATCCAGTCGACATCTCCAATGATTTGCTTGTGCTGTTTGACGGCATTTGCGAATCCGCGTGAACCACTTTCTTCTTCACCTTCGATCAAGAAGATGACATCTGAGCCAAGGGCTTGTTCAGACATGAGCTCGGCACATGCAAAGATGGCAGCCATGATAGGACCCTTGTTGTCGGAAGTACCTCTTCCATACAGGTAGCCATCCAGTCCTTCCATGACGAAAGGGTCGGTGATCCATTTACCTTGCTCGTTATCGGCAGCAACGACATCATAGTGACCATAGAACAGAACCTTCTTTCTGGTGGCGGCTGTCGAGGGATTGCCTCTGAAGCGGGCAAGGATGATGGGATTCGAGCCATCCTCAGTAGGCAGCATCTCAGTGGCGGCGCCGAAGCCCTTGAAGACCGAGCGGAGGTATGAGGCACCACGACGGCAGTCGCCCTTGTACTTGGGGTCAGAAGAAACGGTCTTGTAAGCGATGAAGCGTTTGAGGTGTTCCAGCATCTGCTCGTCTGTGGTTCTCTTGATGGCGGTAGGAGACATGATGCAGTCGCTGACATCCCAGACGGCAACAGTGTTGTCGTTGGCTCCAGTTACATACAAAGGCTTGCCCTTGTAGTAGGTGAAAGCTGAAGTCAGAATTTGACCTTCGTGAGCACGAAGTCTACTAGCGCATTGATATTGACGGTCAAATTTCTGATGGATGTTAGTGAGGTTCACGGTAAGGTGGACAGCGCATAACTCACCCTGACATAGCCAGTGACGGCGGCGGAGAACATGTATCCACCGCCGATGCAGATTGACAAGACATCATCTCTGTGAGCCTTCAAGCTTCGGACGAGTTGTCTAGTCTCCAGGTCCCAGACGTTGACTTCACCACCAGTGCGACCAGAGTAGAGGAAGGTGCCATCGATAGCCAGAGAAAGAATGGACTGGCCTTCTTCTCTTCCATCATCCAAAGTGTAGAGAAGATCAATAGCACCTCCACGCTTTGCATCCATAGTCCAGAGATTGATCACACCATCTCCACCAGCCGAGATCAAGACTTGATCGCCGGGTGCATCAGGCACAACACCCTTTGCCAGCATCATACAATACACATAGCCATAATGAGCAAAGTGCTTGATGTTGTCCTGATCAATCTCAAGAACCTCACCTCCAGCGGCATGACGAGCAGGAAGACCATGATCCGCAGGTCTGGGAGTCCTGATGCCACCAGGACCGCGTGAGTCAAAGAACGGATCTTCTCTCAACGAAGGATGATCGTCCCTCTTTGGCTTTGGTCTGTGATCCTTCTCTTTCAAGTCATACCACTGAATGCTTGTGTTTTGAGCTCCGAGGTAGACGGTGCGCAACAGTGAAGAGTATGCGACACAAAAGACGTCGCCGGTATCGTAGCGAGAGTATAGCGAGTAGACGTGTTGATAGGTGTTCAGGTCCCAGACATTTGTGATGCGATCGGCGGCGCTGGAGAAGAGGAGGTTCTCGTCTTCGCAGATGCAGAGGTCGAGGACGCTGCTCTTGTGGGCTTCGAGCAGAGCTATGCGCTCATACGTGTCGAGCGAGTAGACGATGATCTCGCCGCGCTGGGTACCGGCGAAGACCGCATTATCCGAGAGGGCAAGAGCGAGGATAGAGGCGTCATGGCGAAGTCGATGCGACAAAGTGGGAAGGTTGTGTTGTTGCTGAGTCTCTTGCTGATAGCTGGTCCTTGACGGAGGAAATGACGGTCTACGGGGAAGGAGCTGGTCGTCCGTTTCTGATCCTGCGTTCGACGAGTCCACTGTCAGTGAATTCCGATATCTAAAGGCCAACGACATGGCGCAAGTAATGCCGAGTATTCTTGTAGCATCTGCCTTGTTGTTGTTGTTGTCATGCGACACAAGTCTGGAAGCGACATCTCCAATCAATCAAGATCGCGTGTGGGACTTGCTTCACTCCCGCAGAACCTCAAGGAACAAACAAACTCACCAGTACCAACATCTTGAGTGTCAGAAGGTGCTTCGAACACCGGCCATGCTCCACCACAATTCATCTTCTAGTTAACAATTCAACGACGGCTGGTATCCACAAAGTATCCTATTATGAGTAACTAGAACTTTTTGGCTGGCTGGCATCCCGCACGTCATTCCCGCTGAACTTTGCGACATCGGCACTTGCAGTAACGTACAGCTTCCAGACTTTATTTCCTCATTCTGTTTTACTTCTAAGTGCGACCTCAAATATCAGCCCAGTCATTATGCTCGTCTCTCTCATTATGGTGCCATGTTTACATCTTCTGATCCAATCTCCTCAACAAAATTCCGACCCCTTTTTCTGTCTTCTTCGGCCACTCCTTGAAGCCTCCAAGCTTCGTGCGTGCTTGCTGCTGCACTTTGAGCGCATATCCATGCGCTACTTCCTGCTCTGTAGGTCTGTACGTTTGAGTGTGTACACTGTAGGCTTCGGTTGCCGAGGTTGTTTGTGGAGCCTGCGGGCCATACGTGTAATTTGAGAAGTCTCCGTGAGGCGTTGGAGGTAAGCCTGGCGACTGGGGTGTATGCTGCGGCGCAAACGCAGGACACTGTAACGATGTATGCATACCGAATGCAGGTGGTTGGCCAGGTGTGTTGGGAATCCCTGGCGACTGCAGAGGGGTTTGCATGTGTAGACCTGGTGACTGCGGGTAGTGCGCCGACTGCTGCTGAGGGTAAGACGCATATTGGGTTTGACCATACTGCTGCTGAGGCGTGTGACTCTGTGAGGATGTTGGAGGCCCTGCGAAGGAATGCGCAGTCTGTAGGCCTGGATGAGGCAAATGTGCAGCAAGTGGCGGCGGAGGCGGGAAGGATCCTATGCTCGTAGCGCGTTGTGGTGGACCAGGGAACGTGCTCTGCGGCGAGATTTGATGGCGGTATTGAGCGCCTGCTGTCGTGTACTGACCTGGCTGCTCATGCGTCGCTGCTGCAGAGAGTCCGGTTTCATTACCTGCATCTACCGGAGGTGGCGTCTTCTCACGATGAGAAATTGGCTCGGGAGCGGAAGGAGCTGCTGGGTTGTAGGGTGCCAACGAAGCTGCTGATGCGGGTGTTGAAGTAAGAGCCGTCTGTGAAGACACCGTTCTCTGGCCTTCGGGCGTGCGGTCATGTCGGTTCTGGTTTGACACGTGGGAGACAGTACTCGCCGCTCGGGCATGGGGCGGAGTGTGTATGGCCATATTTTCCAACTGCTGAACCACTGGACTCATGCTACCCTCATGCTCAGGTGGAGGTGCTGCTTCGATGATATCAAGATGCTGATGAGGTAGAATACGCTTCATCAGGTCCAGAAACTTAATGGCATCGTTGGTTGTCCAAAGGTATAGATCCAGAGTGTGTATCTTGTACAGGTACTTGTGTTCGTGTGTGAGACCGAAGGCTGGGAGATGCCAGTGTGAATGATCTGCCGGACGAGGCGAGACTCCACCATGCTTTGCTCCCTCCACGGCAATGGTAAACAGATTCGGGTGCTTGAACGTGTTTATCAGCATGGCATGATCCAAGTCTATGATCATCGGTTAGTAACATCCTCATGTATAGCACGGAGTGGACTGAACGTACAGCCATTGAACGCATCTTGATCAGGTGTACCAGCCGAATTGGCTACCTCGAGTCTCGTCCGTCGCTGGGTCGAATTGTAGTACAGGTACAAATACGAACCCTTGTCAAATCGATGATGGACGGGCTTCGAAGTTGGTTGATTGAAGTAGTAGTGCACGTCGGCAAATCTACATGAGATCAGTATCCAGACAATATGAATTGGGACCGGTCAACTCACATGTTGAGAATCAATGTCTCTCCAGGTAGGGCAGGCATCTTCACGGAGGTGTCGGACGTTCTCTCTGAAGACTTTCTCTGTGTGGTTGATATCTCACAACATCCACAACATGAATGTAAGCCTCCACAAACTCAACAAGATGAGCAACGTAATCAGTGCAGAGATAGTTGAAGATATATTCAATCGAAAAGGCAAAGGGGAATTTTGCCAACAAGCTCAGCAGCAGGAGGAAGAAAGGAGACATCCTAATGATGGTGGGGACGGCAGGATATTGATAAATCTACAAGTAGCATTGGCAATGGCTTGCTATTCTTCGACTTGCAATTGGGCGGCAGAATAGCAAGATGATGCTATCAGATGCAGGTAGTCGGGCGCTTACCGTGTTGCAAGGGTGGGCGCTATCACATGCTTGATGGTGAGAGCGGGCAAGCTGGACGCTGATTGGTCGAATTTATCCTCCATTCGTGGAACGTCGGTGCCAAGAGATTTGGAGAAGATGAAGATGTGAGAAAGTCGGCCAGACATTGTCAATTGTCGCCCTATACCACAAAAGCATCACTCTCGCTCTTCCGCAAGCCGCTTTCAAGGCTCTACACCTGGTCATAAACTCGCATTTCAATCAACACACCTTACCAACCATCACCCGCGCCGAGAGGGCGCCACCCTTATTACCACCATGTCTCTGGTCAACCTCGCACACGTCTGCTCGCACATGCAGAACGCCTCCCTCGCGCGCCTTGGCCTCACCTCAATCCCTCTCTCCCGCATGCATCTCTCCCTTTCTCTCCTCCTCCAAAAGCAAGGTTTCCTCTCCACCGTCACCCTCGGCGGACCCGCACCACCAGCAAAACTGCTGCCCCCAGCCCACACCGAAGAAGCCACCTCACCCACGACACAAAAATCTATCGTCGAGCAAGTGGAAGAAGTCACACAGCAAAATCGCGCATCCCGGAGACTATGGCTGGGCATGAAGTACTGGGACGGCGAGCCCGTGTTGAGGAAGATGAAGTTGTTGTCGAAGCCTACTAAGCGTATTTGGTTGAGCAGTGATGAGCTGGGCGAGATTGTTAGGGGTAAGGATTGCAAGTTCATCAGGGGATTGAGACAGGTTGGCGAGTGCATCTTCGTCAGCACTGACAAGGGGCTCATGGAGGCAAGAGAGTGCGTTGAGAGAAAGATTGGTGGTCAGGTTCTTTGCCGTGTTTGGTAGGCGAATGCACTGTTGCAACAAGAGCAGGAGAACCGTCTTCAATTTGCTTGAGAAGAGTCTTGTAAGAATATCTGACATCGACGACGCTTCATGGATTATTGGTTCCTATTTGTCATGTACAAAAGCAACTTCGTGTCTTCACACACCTGTCATCGACACTGTATTTCTTCGGCGATGTTCGCAGCTTATGTCTGAGTTGGGCACAAGCCTGGCTCAACAATTATTTGGAAGCTCTAAGACGGGTCGAGGCTATCAGTACTTCGACTTCCGTCACAGCAAGCCCCAAAAATAGAACAGGCCTGATCCTCACCAACGCAGGTGGTCAGATTCGATATCGAGAGATGTTATGCCTTATGTCAGCTAAACCGGCAATACTGACTCCGCTGAAAAGGATCAAAAGGTAGAGAAGTAGTGGTTAAGGAAAGAGCAAGGGGAGATTATGTAAGCCGATGCAGGCGGACTTTCTGCCTGCATCGAGGCCCTCTACAAAACCACTCGCAGGGATTTTCACCACCTTGGTTAGGAATTGGAACACATTCAAGCTTCTCGCCATCATTGATCATCATCAGTTGTACCTAGGGACTATGCCCGCCCTGGTTTTCACGATGAGGCCAAAATCTTATCTGATCTCTGCGGATCAATGCGAGCTCGGAAGTGTCTGTCTGCAGACATTCTGACTTCTCTTTCTACGCCGTACTTCTCTCAGTCATATGGAGTTGATAGCCTGTTCAAGGTCTCAGCGAGTCAAACTGACCATCTTTCGTTCGAAAGTAGTGCCGTATTCGTAAGATCTTTTTCCTTGCCATCCAAGCCCCTTTCTGTCTGTCAAGCTTCATGGAAGAAGAAAACCAAAAATCGTTGCTACACGTGAAACAACGTTAACGCCATTCACGCTCAACTCGACCGCAAGACTGAGATAACTTGCTTGTCCGCCCAAGACCATGGTCAAATCCAAGTCGGCGCAGGAAGTCGACACTTCGACAGACCCTGTTCGCATCGCGCAGTCGCAACCGATCGTAGAGACTACTATCGGAAGACTCTTCAAACCTGTAACCAGGAAGAACGATGATCAGGTCGACGACTACTTCCAATCGATCACATTCAAGAACCTATTCAACGCTTTTCCCTTCGAAAAGCTGAGGCTCGCCGACTATGAGAAGCTCAACGACTCAGAGATGGCATCAGAAAAACTCCCTGGCTCGCCAAATGCGCCTAAGATCCCTCAGCCTGGGAGCATCCGAAAGCGCATGGGACGGCAGAAAGACGTTGCTTTCTTCTGATCTCGGCAAGAAAACTTTGATTCCATTTTCTTATCCTTCTAGGATCATCGTCATGGGTTTTGAGACTAGAACAAAATGGATGACTAAATTGTTGCAGTAATTAAGACACGCAAAGATAAAGAATGTCAATCAGATATCCAGCTTCAGAGACATCTTGAGATGGCCAATCTCAGTTTTATCCTGTGAGAAAACAAAAGCTTAGAACTTGCTCACCTTATAACATTAACACCAGGCTTGTTCGCAAACTGGAGTCATTGCTGAACCACCCTGCCAGGCACTCAGCTATGAGACTTTGATCCTGATACAACGGTCCTCTGTGGTGCCGATCGGCCTAGAATATCTTTACGTCTGAACTCAAGATCCTTGCCGATCAGTATCCGTGCACCTTACTGTCTCCGGGTAGGTACGCCGCTGCTGATATAACTGCAAAGTCAAGGCGAGTGCCAGGGTATTTCTTCTCAAAATACACGTGGAATGGCAACTCGCCAATGTTCTCGAGACCTACGCCGTCTCAGAGCGCTGCCATCTGGGGCCAAAGGCTTGACACTCGCACCGTCGGGGATCCAAACTTCTTTGACATTGAGACTCTTTTGCTTGGCAGCTAGGTGCAATGCGCTGAGTCTTCGTGCACATATCCAACGCTCTACGTCTACATCGCGAACGACCAGCGCTCCGATGTTATGGACATCATTGCACTGTATACCTCGAATCAATGGATCAGCAGATACTGGACGGCCTCGATATGGCCATCAGAACAGGTCGCTTACAATGCTGTCCGTTGGGGTGAGACGATACACGAATGATCGACTGAGGCACCATTGTTTATCAACAGCTGGACAATATCATTATGGCCATTTGCCGCGGCAAAACAGAGCGCAGTTCCCCTCTGTGCACCTTGCTCCTCAAATTCCAAAGCCGCTGTGAAGTTCGGATCAGCTCCGTGGCGGAGCAACTCCTGGACAACTTCAACATGACCTCCAAACGACGCCACAAGCAAGCACGGCCCGAGGTGTAACTTCAAATCATGACCTTTGGTGTCGTAAGTCGCTGCGGAGGTGTCATTCAAAGGGTTTGAATCGCTGGGTGTGTAATCGAGCTCGATCAGCTGTCTGCAAGCTATCGAGAGCCCTGCACCAGCAGCTAGATATAAGGGGTATTGCTGATCGGAGTCAACACCATCGAAACTTAAGATATTGAACAGGATGGCGGGTCTGCGTCTAGTCACGGGGTTTCGCAGGAAGACGAGTACAAGTGATCGCGCATCTTCGTTTGTGCCTTCCAGAGCCTTCGCATGCTCGATCCAAAACTTTTGAGCCCATAACGCGAACGGAAATCTCGCAATAAGTTCTTTGGGTCTGACAGCAAGGGCTGAATACCTGTGATCGTATCCATCGAAGCACCCTTTATCGCCTGACTGGGCATTTTCGAATATGCTCCAATCCACGCAATTGAGATAAGCCAGACATATACGTAAAATCGACAGTCTGGCAACTTCTTCACACAAGTGTTGTTGGCAAGGCCTGAAAAGGTCAACTGACGATAGATAGTCCTGGACAGAAGCATGAGAAAGAACCAGATACTCTCGGTAGTAGCCATCGTGAGTTGCAATTGTCACCAATCCTAAGCAAATTTCGACAAGTTTAGATGGATCGAAGAACCTGTCGTTGATATTGAACTCATAGGACTTCCCCGGACAGACAGCGATGGCATCATTGCAGGCTTCAAGGGGCAGTATCCCTCCGGACCAGAAAAGCATCTGTAGGATGACGATCACCTGCTCAAGATGTGGTCCGTCATGTATCAAACTCAACATGCGGGTATATGTTGCATTCAAGGTTCTGGGGAGGTTTGCGAGGGTTTTGTTGATGGCAGACCTGCAGTGACATTGTTTTAGAGCGTCTAATTGAAGCGCGGCCCATCGGAACCTGAGAAACGTGTTAGCAGGAGCTTAAGCTCAAGAACGGTGCACATACATGCCATCAGCCTTTTGTGCCAATGCTTCTCCAATATCGTCACGCAGTGTGGACTGATCATTCCAATGTTTGAAATCGTCACCTTGGATTCTCCATTGCACGTAGGAGCTAATGTCCGCGCTGATTTCACTCGATCGAACTGAGAAAACCTGCTTTTTGTCTGGCCAATCCACTACTTCAGTGCGGGACGTGACCAGTAATCGCACCTTCGGATATCCAGATTCGAAAATATCTCTGCACCACCGCACTATGTCACTTGACGAATTCGACTCGTCGAGTGCGTCAATTATTACCGTGACGCATCCTGGTTGCCTTGTAAGGGACTTCAAAGTGTCTGTCATTTGAGTGACCGCCGGTTGTTGCCTTCCTTTGTTGTTTGATTCATAGAGCAGGTTGATCATTTTCTCTGCTTCTTGAGATTTGTGGTAAAATTGGTCCAGCAGAGACCGTATCATATCCTCGAGTCGCTGTTTTTTCTGGTGGCTAAAGTCGAAATAGAAGTACAATGTTCTATAGGGGTTTTCGTTCATCATATGTTCGATGATAGTCGAGCTAAGAACCGTCTTTCCGCAACCCGAGAGACCGTGAAGCCAGAGGAAGGATGTTGAGGCTTGTTTCCACTGCAGAAACTTATCACTCTCAAGGAGCCATTGACCCGTGCCCATATGGTGCTTATCAAGTGCGCTCCTGTGGTTTATCGAGGGATCGGGTGCATCGAGCCATGCCATGACTCCCATTGATCGGTCATAAGCTTTCATGTCGTCGATCGATGCAGCCATGCTGCGAAAATCGCACGAAACTGATTCTAATTAGACTGGATCTATGGAGTGCATTAATTTCGAATACCACTCACGTTGTTCAATGACCGCGAGCTTTTCCTCTACCTCGACTCTCTGCGGCAGTATCTCGTAGAGCAAGTCTTTGGCATAAGCGGCCGCTGTCAATGCCGCGTAGCCTTGCCATACCTTGTTCTTATGGCTATCGCTATAATCACAGATCCCGCGGATGACCATACAGGGAAAGCGATTCATTATTCCAGCTGCCTCCATTTCGAAGCACAGAATATCCTTCTCATTTGCAAGCCTATCTCGAACCTCGGCATTTTGCATCAGTCGATTGCCGGAAGCAATGAGACCGTAGTGAATCATGGGATCTTTGACGTGCTCAGCTCTTACTCTTCGAGGGACGATACTGAGAGGCAGCTTTGCACAGACATCTACGCATTGACTCATTTTGTGCTGAGGGTGAACGAGGTTGGACGCATAGAGACAATCTGTCTCGGGAGCGGGCCTTGAAAAGCCGTCGCTCTTTAGCATCGGCTCATTATTCAAGATTGACTCGATCGTTTCCTTGAGCCGATGTCCTTTGCGTCTGTACTTTCTCCTGAGGCCAGAGAGACCAGAGCGCACGATAGTGGAAGGCTGGTCGAGGCATCCAGTCTGCACGAAACCGACACCTTGTATGGCTTTACCAAAGTCGTATTGGTAGACACCACCATGACCATCCTGGGGTGAGCTCACGACGACGTCTCCAAGACGGATGTCGTTTTTCGAAGTCGGTGCACCTCCACCAATCCCGACCATCAACCCAATGCGGACGTTGGGGAAGCTGTGAAGCATGTTCGTGACCACGCTTGCAGCAGACCCCAGGCCGTACTCCCCGTCGGGAAGCACTGCGATGACAACATTGTGTCCCGCGATATTCCCGCAGGTGTAGTGGTTTGTATCGTTACGGGATGTTACAAGCGGCCGAGGGTGCGTTTCATCGAGGAAGAGTTCGGCCGCAGTGTATTCTGTTTCAATTGCGCAAATCCAGCCAACAGTGTATCGATTGGGATCTGAGGTCTCAGACATCGGTGAAATGGATCAGAGAGGTGTAGAAAAACTTCGTCTTATAGTGATTGGAGGAGTTGGTCCAAGAGTGCATTATGAATGCAATTCTTGCCGCCCAACTCATGCAGCCTCAACATTTGGCCGCAGCATGAAAATATCTGGCGAGTATGTAGGCAGCGTCTCGAACGCGATCGGGTCATCTTGATGTGCCCATTACACTATGGCAGCCAATAAAAGAGGAAATTGATGTCAGGCCAGTGTGCATGGCGGAACACTGTGGAGATGATCGGCTCGAGAGGCGTGAATTGATACACTAGTCATTGGTGGAACAATGAACGAGAAACAGCTAAGGACATTGCTGAGATTGGTATTGGTGGATACTATTTTGACGCGCGCTTGCTAATATGGTGTTTGAGGGTTGCTGGATTGGCGCCAAGACCGACCACGCTCTTAGTCATCTAGTTTCTGCCCACTACAGTTCATCCGTCGCCTTTGAATTATTGTAAATACGAGCAGAAACTTATCCAATAATGTTTCCAGCGTGGCTGCCATCCGTTGTTCACATTCCAATGTGTGCATACGTTAGCCTCTTAAAGGATTCACTCTCCGCTTGTTAGCTAAAAGAGAAGGGTCGTAAGCAAGTGATGATGGTACTATGCATGCCAATGGGGAATACGCATGCATCTGTGCCAAAGACGACGGAGTATGCCAGATATCAAGACTCTGAGCGGGCTCGCGAGCCGGAATACAGGCTCACCGCCAAACAGTCAAGTCGAGAATCGAGTTTCCTCATATCGTTAAGGGTATCAACGGAGATCTCGACTCGACGATAACACCATTGAGTTTGCATACTACGTTGGACATGTCCACTATTCACTTGCATTGACCGGAACACCTACACACTTCAGTCCAGAGATAAATAATCAACTCACGCACGAGGACTCACGCCACGCTCGCTCTATGATTCAAGCCTGGTTCATAGGCGCACATACAGACACTAGAGGCGAAGCCAGACACGGTGAGGTTTCAATATAACATCTGCAGTAGATATTATCAAGAATCAGCACCAAGGTCCTCCTCTGCGATACAAAACTCAGACAGCACCAACGGGTATCACTCGAGCCTTGGTCTTCGCGTCTTAGAAAGGGGACAGTCTATCTTATCATGAACATATACGTGGGCAATGCTTTCGAGTCGGCGATGGAACGTACTGCGAAGGGATATCAGTTGTTCCCGCGATGCGTAGCATCACAGTATGAGAGACCCTTGGCTGTCATCGAAGATTCCAACGGTACCACTACGCGAGGTGAAAGCCTCCAATTGGAGTCGTGACCTTCTATGATCTTTTCCTTCTTCAATGGTTGCAACTTGTCAACAGTATCGTGATTGTCAACTCGTAATGCATCCTGAACTGCAATCTCAACATCCACCCCCCGAAGCATCAGCATTCGCACCATGATCAAGCAACAGACGCACGTTTCCCACATTTTCTTCAACAGCTGCCACATGCAAGAGCGTTTCCTCCCGCGATTCACAGCTATCCACATTATTTCCTTGTCGAGTATAGATTGTAAGATTTCGAGGTGTTTCTTATCCACCACTGGCACCAAAGCACACCCCTTCACATCGCACCATATTCCACCAGTGTGTGGACTACCGCTCTGAGCCCTAGAGCAGCTGCCAATTGCAAGGCAGATAGTCTAGGTCCGGCGTCCACTTCATCTACACCTGCCCCTAGCTTAAGCAACAAGCGTACGATATCCTCTCTATCTATCTAAACAGCCTAGCGCAGCGGGTATTTCTAGGCAAATCCAAATCTGTAAAACACTGTTGAAAAGGGAGTATTGATGCCAAGACTCGAATATACACTACCTCTAATAGTTCGTAGAGTCCATGTTCCATTAGGGAACCTAACATTGGCATACTGTTCCCAATCTCCGACCATACTTGCAACATCTCATTCAAGCCGCGTTTAAGTACTTATATACTAATTCTGATCCACAACAACCCTTCCCCACCCCCTAGCTCTCGCCCTAACAACACCCATATCATCCATATTCAACAACCCCACACCCCTTCCCACCAACTCCCTCCAAGCAATCTCCCTAATATTCTCCGGCTTCCTCGGGACATCCCAATATCTCGTCACCAATCCCCTAGGCTTTGCTTGATCCAATTGGCTTGCGAAAATATCTGTGTCCGAAGCTGTCAAGGGCTGGGGAAGTTGGTTGTCGTAGATGGGGTAGGGATGTGTGCGTAGAAGATGCCAGGGTGTGGAAGCTAGGTATGAGTTTGAGATGTTGTAGGTGTATGAAGGTGTAGAGGTGCTGTAGTCGTCATGGATGGAAGGGAGATGGGCTAAAGGTGTGTCGAAGAAGATATCGCGGTGGGTAGAGTTGAGTGCTAGAATAGAAGAGAAGGGGGCATTGCCTGTGGCTACGATGGTGAGGGGACCCATCACTCTATGTGTCCCGTTCCAGTAGGTCAGGTAGTTGAGATCGCGCAGAGGTTGCAATTGAGCTTGCAGTTCGGCCAGAGTTTCGGGACCGGACGTTTTGTGGTCGATGAGAAGGATTATTGTTTGTTTAGGTGCGTGGTTGAATATGCCTTTCCAGTCACCATCTGTGATGTCCGTATTCTGAGCGTCAATCATGCGCTTTAGAGGCTCGAGATACATGGCACGTAAGGTGGAAGCTTCGCGCCGTCTTGCAGTCTTGTGCCCGACGTAAAGCTCCGATCGATAGAGATGCACATCAGCTTCGACACTGACACAACCAGAGCCCAGAGCTTCAAACAAGGGCATACGGTGCGAATAGTCGTTATGAGAATGAATCGGCACTGGAATGGCGTTGTGGATGAACGACTGATAATCCTCATGCCATATTGAGTGAGACGTGCGCCCTTGGAGATAACTTGCGAAAGTGTTGTCGAACGGATCGTTGGGTACTCGTTGCAGTCCACCTGTGAGTCTTCTGATCCAGACGATTCCGCCGATACACCTGTGCAAGTTAGCAATCACCTGGACGCGGTGATGGCAACTCTACGCACAGAATGCTAGTGATGACGGCCACACAGAGGACAAGTCTGGACAAGTCAAATGTGATAGAAGATCTTCGCCATGGCTGTTGGATCCTCCCATATAGACCAGACATCTTTGAATGTATCGTCTTTGCTTGCACGGCGTTCACGGCGTTCTCGGCGTCATACAACATACACCGATCGCTGTTATCGCTAGAACTAGTCGTTTGGTCCATGGTGTCAATCAGCCCAGCACGCTTGAGTCGAAAAGATTGTCTTGAAAGGTTCCTTGAAGGACGTTTTGTGAAGGCGTTCAACCTAGGCAGCAATATTATGAAACCTAGGATCCTCTGACATGGTTATCAATACGAGCTCTTGCAATCTTGTGCGGGCTCATCGGCTTCAACATTGTAGCCTAGGATTCATTCGTGTGGAAGTACGGTGCAAAGCTTGACAGAAAACAAAGCTATGCTCGATCATTCGAGTAAACATTCGAGTACTCGATGCTAAGCCGGACCGAGACCTAGCAATGGTGTTACGCCCCAGGTGATTCTTCCACACTCGGGTAAAATGCACACAAAGCCTCATCAAGGGTACTTGGATTGCAGTCTCGTCTAACTCAGCCACTATGAAGAGTCTGCAGGCCGGCTTCATGGACAGAATAGATACTCAAAGGTCTTCCTGGTATGCACAGGACATGGGAAGAAAACTTAGTCGCGAAACTTACTCGACGCTCGTAAAAACAACAGCGCTTGGCTCCAGAAGCCCACCACGATCCTTCGAGGCGCAGCAGATCTTATGGCTCAACGCCCCTTGATTTGCTAGTTACACGAGACACTTGGAAGGCAGCTCATAGCCAGCTCATGAGAAGATCGGAAACGAATGAGAAGTGTACATGATTTCCAAATCGAGAGCGGTATGCCCATCGAAGTCGCGTCTCCAGAACGCATGTAGAAACACGAAGGGGATCGGGTCCGACGCCAAGACCTATGACGTTCGAAGCCATACCGCTGTCCGGGTCATCCACTCAACCATCGAATCTGAGACGAGATCATGCATTGCTAGCGACATAGAAAGTCGGGAATCTAAATAATCTGTTAAGAGATGTCCTGACCAAGGGTGACATAGGGAGTACAGCAGGACGCGAAGCACTTGATACTAACTTCTAGTCTCCTTACACCCAAGTCTAGACACGAGTTTCGGGCGTGGGGACTTTGCAATTACATTTATGGGCGGTGCAAGCTTTCGCGGTTGTTGCACTAGACCTGTAACAAACAGACAACGATCATGTCAAAAACTAATTCAGCACTACAAACCGACCCATCTCACCCGTGTATTTGAGAGAAATGAAGAGCAAAACAGAAGCCCTCGGTAGACGGGACCAGAGCAAAAGGATGGAGTAGCTGGGAATCGAACCCAGAACCTTCTCCACTCAGTAATGCTCGAAGAGCAATGCTAAGAAGATGTCATACCACTAGACCACAACCCCAATTGATGAAGCTCAAGCAGGAAATTTTAGCTTATAACAGTTTCTAGACAAATCGCAGCCACCACGAACTCGCATGTGAAGAAGCGGCAGACCCTGGAAGCTTCTCCACCCCACCAGCGGTGAAGCCCCTCGAGCTCCCTGACACGTCCGTCACCATCGTCTTTCTCCCTCACGTATATCCACACTCCCGTAACACCAGCATGGATTTCGCCTACGATCAGATCCAAGAGGAATCTCTCCCTGCCGACGCCTCGACCTCCTCATCCTCCACCGACCGCCCAAACACCGACCTCAACACTGAATTCCAACAAGCCTTCAAAGCCGTCTCTGCCTCACCCTGGGGCGCCCGCCTCGGTGGTTTCTGGTCTCAAGCAAAGAAACAAGGAGAGAGTTTATACTCTGACGCACAAAAGGAATACGCTTCGAGGTCGGAACAAGCAGCGAAAGTGGCAGGAGAGCTTCAGAAATCGCTGGTGGAGAGCACAAAGAACATATCCATAAACCCTGAGGCTGGGGCGGCGAATACGTCGTTTTCGGATCCTACATTTGCGTTACCGGAGGTGGATGCTGGAGGGGAGAGGGAAAAGGGGAAACAGAAGGAAGGACAGACACAGGGAGGTGTGGAAGCAACAGCAGCAACAGCAGCAACATCACGACCGGATTCCCTCCCTGCGGATATCGTGAAAGAGGCTTCATCTTTAGTCTCTCTGTTGCGCTCCAAAGCGACCGCCGCAACGGCAAATCTCAATCTCCAGAAGATACAAGCGGCCGAAGATGCAGCAGACGAAGCACTCCTCAAATTCGGCACTGGAATCAAGTCCTTCCTCCGCGATGCCGTTACCGTAACCGCCCCTTCCACCTCCGCCACCGGAAACACAGAAGTCCTGTTCGAAACGAATGATGCAGAGGGAAAACGCGTTATCCATTCCTCCCGCTTCGATGCGCAATTGCATGTCATCCACACATCGGCTCAGAGCTTTACCACCGATCCCGATAGTCCTGAATACGCTGCTTTCGCTAGTAGCTTCGACATCGCGGCAAAAACAGATGCCATAGCAGCGGACCTGGAGAAATATCCTGAATTGAGACGGGCCATGGAAAAGCTGGTGCCGGAGAAGGTAGACTACACAACTTTCTGGACGAGATATTATTTCCTGCGCAAGGTTATTCAAGAAGAGGAGGTCAGAAGGAAGGAAGTGTTGAAAGGTATGAACGCCACATCTACACTACCCATCTCAGCCGAGAAGTATTGGAGAAGAGCCATGCTAACAAGAACAAATAGGAGCAACCCAAGAAACAGACGAGGAAATCGCATGGGGTTCCGACGACTCTGACGATGAAGAAGAGGATAAAGCAGCCACACCTACAAAACAGCAAACCTCTGCTTCTACCACCGCTTCTACCACAGCACCCACTTCCACTTCTACGCCCTCCAAACCTTCCACAACACCCGCCAATACATCAACATCAACATCAACACCAGCACCCGCACACGAGGAAGAAACAAAATCAATCTCCTCATCTTCCGAAACTTCCTACGACATCATCTCAGGCACAACCTCCCGCGCCGCCACCTCGCCAAAAGAAGAAAAGATTGCAACAGCTCCCACGACAACCAAGAAGATTGACGAGGAAAGCGATGAGGAGGATTGGGAGTAAGAAGCACCCATTCCCGCCTTTCCAGATCTTGTCATGTGGTATGGGTGTAGAAGAGGAGTTGAATTTGGTTTGGAGGCAGGCGTACACGATGGGCGTTGTGGGGAAATTTTGGGATTTTTCTGGTGTGGAATGGGTGAAGAATGGTGAAGCGTATGTATGGTTGGAAATAAATGACAATCGTTGGTTGAAACTCGATAATATTAGCAAGCCTTTGTATCAGATTTCGAGAGGAAATGGAAGGTGCGAAATTGCTATACTGATGCTACCGCTATGCTACCACTATGCTATGCTATGCTACGCTATGCTCATGTGTGTCTATCGTGTAAAAAGCAACAGAGCGTAAAGAAATTCGCCATACGACTTCCACTGCACCATACTCATTCTTCCTTACGAACCACCCTCCTCCCTCCCCAGCGGACTCCTAGGTATCCCCTCCCCCCTCCTCAACATACCAGCCCTGCCATTTCTCTCAGGCGTCTGGCTTCCCGCCCTGCTTTCTCTCACCGGCGTACCATTTCTCGAACCCGCCACTCTGATCTGTGGAGAAGGAGTAGATGGCATACCGCTACTGCTGCGACCGGAGAAGTAGCGGGGGTATTCGATACTTTGTCTTATTTCCCCACCACCGCCGAAGCCCTCAGAAGCTGCACGATAACCCCTCTCATAATCCGACAGATTCTCAGAAGCGGCTCTGTAACCTCTTTCATAGTCGGAGATATCTTCAGGTGCGGGTGTGTTGCCAGCTCGAGGATGCGCAAGATATTCCTCTCCTCTTCTTTTGATGGGGGATTCGTCGTAAGGGTCAAAGCCGACTCTGCGTCTGGCATCTCTGCGTACGCGTTGGCGGTATTCGGTATTGGAGCCAGCACCGGTTGTTGCGGAGTCTTCGAGGAAGAAATTTAGTAGTTCGTCTTCGATGGTGAGGTGAGAGGATTGGCGGAATTGTTGGAGTGCGGTTAGGCGGATTAGCATTTCGAGGAGGGAGAGGGATGTGCGGATATTTGAGGAAGGGGTTGGTTGCGCTGGTGTGGATGGTTGGTGGGCGATTTGGGTTGTGGCGGGAGTGTTTACGGCTGGTGATGAAGAGGTGGAGTGGAGTTTGAGGCGCGAGAGGTTGGACGTCAAGTCTGCGTCTGTGGATGTCCGGCGTGGTTGAGGTGTGGAAGGCTCGGTTTCCTCATCGGCGTCGTCTTCTTCGTCGTCAGTAGGTGGCTCCTCGGTGTAAACTTCGAAGGCTATCCATTCTGGGTCTAGGTCTGGGGGTAGCCGCCAATGAGCGTCTGAGTCTGGCTTTGATGTTGTTTCTTCTTTTGCGTCGGTGTGAGGTTGTGGAGTGGATTCGCGGAAGAATTGGGCATTGATCTGAGCTTGTTCGTCCAGGTCTGTGTCGTCGCTGTGTTGTGTTTGTGGTCTTTCCTCATCCTCGTCGTAGTAGTCTTGATCTTCGGTGTAGCGTCTCTCCATCATACGGCGAGGCGGCTCTGCGTGAATATCGCGTTTGAGGAGAAGGATGGGATTATTGCTTTCGCCGTCGGAGCCAATGTTCAGGATCTTGCCAGTGTCTGCGTAGAAGATCTTTGAGATTTCATGGATGGGGATGACATCTCGGATGCCCGCAAGAGCGACTTCTTCGAATGGTCCAGGTTGAGGTTCGTCTTCCTCAAATGTGTGAACTCTGTCGTCGTCCAGGTCTTCGACGAGAACCAGTTGGTAAGCATATTCTACGGATGAGTTGTCGGAAGGCAGCTCTTTCGGAAAGTAGCGTGCGCCGCTCGGTGTCGTCAACTTTCCAGGTAGATTATAGAGACTATCCAGTGGTACTCGGACAAGCTTGAGACGGGCCTTGTGGATGACCTCCTTCCATGTAGCTTCACGTGCGCTCTCCTCATCATGTGGTCTATTTGTATGACTGGCAAAGAGCATGTAAATTGAGAGGACATAGACTGGCCCAACTTGAACATTCTGTTGAGGAGTTGCAGTGAACTGTGAGTCGGCTGCTGTGAGGAAGGTGCTGGCTTGTAGTAGTCGAGATGGTGAGACAGTTGCCGGAAGATTTGTAGACAAGTTGACTCCAGAAGTTGTGATGGCGAGGTTGATCAGAGGGACTGCATCTTCAATTCGAGCAAGCAGTTTCTTGACATCCGAAACAATCAACTGCAGCTCCAGCTCATTCTGCTCTTTTGACTTTGCCCGCGAACTCTTGCGTCTGTACAATTCCTCCTCGTTGGCGGCATTTGCGAGTCGAATACCTAGAGCTTGAATCTCCCAGCGAAGGTCTTTGGTAAGAACAACCGCAGATTCCAGAGAAGTGTTTCCACGAGCCGCAATTAATTCTATCATGTCGATGGCCGGTGAGATGATGCGAATTTTGCTTTCCAGTCGGACTTGGAGATTCAAGAGTTCTTCTCGCTTGCCTCCACGCGGCGCAGTCTTGACCAGTCTTGCGCATTGTTTGATAGCATATCCGCTGGTTATGGCTATTCCCGACCGGATGGCATAGTTCATAGCCTGCTGAGTGACTTTTGCGAGAAGAATATCCATGATGGCTGCAGTGAAGACGGTCGTCTGTCGGAAGAGAGACTTGGACTGCAGTTTCAAACTGAAGGAGATACGATGTTGAAGTTGTCTTTTGCTTGTCGAAAATGAGATATTCCTTCAGGCTGCAATGGCGTTTGTTTCACGCGGAGAAGGTCGCCGGTGTTTGTTTCATGTGTTTATCATTCCGTCATTGGTCCCTGCACATCTTGCCCCGGATCGGCCCGGAATTGTGCATCTCTTGCGGATGCACGCGCGTGCAAATTGACGGCCTCTCCTGATCGCGTCTCCCTGATCGTTCCTTCCATTCCACGCGACTCACTGTGGCAAAACATCTTGCAATCGCCAAAATCACGCGTCCCATGCGCTGAAGCACTCGAACATGATAGTAGAATTTCCACCTTGTCTTGCGCCACCCCTCGATACAGGCCCGTCATGGTGCTCTGTCGCATTCGATTGAACTGTCTGGATCACTATCAAGCATACCCTGGACCCCTCGATCCTCCACTATGGGGTGATCCATCATTGCTTTCGCAAAGGAATCTTCCTCAAGTACCCGTCGTCCGAGTCTTTGGCGCCACCGAGACTGGACAGAAAGTGTGTTTACACATCCACGGCGCATTCCCGTACCTCTACCTCGAATACAATGGTCCGCTTGATCGCACCTCGGTCGACGAAAACATTGCAGCTCTACGACTGTCTATAGATCATGCGCTCGCCGTGTCGTATAGAAGAAATATCCAAGATGGCAAAGCCGTCTTTGTCGCCCACATAAGCCTTGTCAAAGGTGTACCCTACTTTGGCTATCATGTCGGATACAAGTACTTCCTCAAGGTCTACCTCCTCAACCCGTCCAACATGACTCGCCTGTCAGATCTTCTACACCAAGGAGCCATACTGAAACAAGTCTTCCAACCATATGAGAGTCACCTTCAATTCCTTGCTCAATGGATGTGCGACTTCAACTTGTATGGCTGTAACTACATCGACACAGACAATCCTTTCTTCCGCGATCCAGTGCCTGCTGTCGAGGATCTTGTCAACCCTCATCACGAATGGCATGATCGGTCAATACCAGACGCTCAGCGTCTACATCCGGACTCTTTTCCCCGTCAAAGCCACTGCAGTCTCGAAGTCGACATCCGTGTACAAGATATTCTGAACCGGGAGGAAGTCAAGGATAGATCTCTGCACCATGACTTTGTCGAACGTCTCAATCACCTGGCTCCCGAGGAAAAGTTTGTACAATCCATGGCTGGCCTATGGAGAGATGAGACCATCCGACGGAAGAAGCGTATGGGTATCTCAAACCCTGGTAGCAGCCCCTTCCCTCCCGAAGTCCTGGTCTCCATGTCGCATGATCCAAGGAATACTGAAAACGCTGGCTGGATACACGAGGAAGAGTTTCGGAAACTTGTCGAAGAGATTGCAAAGGATGAACGCGACAGAATGGGCGGAGACGCCCCATCGTTCGACACATTCGTTAAGCCTCGCGAGGAAGAGTTCCCGGTTCAGACCACTCTAGAGAGCGTGGAGGAGCTCTTTCACGAGAGGTGGCAGATCACCTCCGCTGACGGGCCTGTAAACCTGACGCAGAAGCTGGCCAATGAAAGTTTCGATTTTGGAGATGCACTTGTTGATGAAGCAAGTATTCTTCAGCTGGTATCTGACGAGCCGTCCTACGAGTCTGACGAAGAGGTAGCACGCGAAATTGCCTTGACTCAAGCTCAACAATCTAAGCAAAACGCTGCACCCGATGTCGAGGCTGACGACGAGACACGCCCTGATGGGGAAGATTATGCCAAGCAGTTTTCGGATCCTTTAGACTCAATGTCTACTGTATCAATACCACGAACTTCTCAATCGATACGTGATCACGAACCAGTTGCTCCACTATCAGAAGCTCAGGCAGCCGGAACTCCACACGGAAAGAAGCGTCAGCTAACCAATGGCGAGACTTCTGTCAAGAGACGTAAAGTCGTTGGCTTTGCAGAAGACCCTCAAGACAAGCCTGAAGAAGTCGCACAAGTCAAGCGCAAGAACTTCAAGGTCAAAGACTGCGCGACCGCATCGCAATTGATGGCTGATGGTGATGATGAGCAAGAAAGCGACTTGCTTCGTGACCTCCCCCCTGCATCTACGCAGCTACCGAACAGTCAAGACAGCAGCCAGCGGAGAGTTTCTCAATCATATCCGACCATCAAGAATCCACATGATCCTGATACCATGCTGCGTCTCAGTCAAAGAGACGATTTACCGGGTGAGAGGAATCCTGTCACGCCAGCCAAGTCGAGTCAGGCTCATCGTCATGAGCTGTCATCTTCAAATTGGGCTAGGTCAAAGTACACAGCAAACGCCACCCCTTCAAAGAAGGCTCCCATATCTCCGGCTGCTAGAAAGCTAGCAAGCACTTACTGCCAGAGCTTTGGAGAAGGCGCTAATGGCGTTGTCATCCTCGGTCAGACGCCGCCGAAGAGGGAGGAAGTCTCAGTTTCAATGATTGAACATGGTGCGCCACCTGTCATCTACCAAGACGCTTACTACAGCGATGAGCAAGATGTGCCAGAGCGTGCTCGAGAATATGCTGGACAGGAGTTCAAGCTTGAGAGTAACACTGTTCCATTTCTTCCTGATTTCGACGCCACTGGCGGATCTGATGCTTCTAGAGGAGCTAAGGTCCCCATTGTACTAGACAAGGCAAAAGAAGAGCTTGAGCATCAAGCTAGGAGGAAAGACTGCTTCCTTCAGCGCTGGGAGATTGAAGCTCGTCCTCCATCATTCTTGGAAGTTCAAGACTGGATGCAAGCCTCACGTCTAACTGTAGAGGATGTTCCAGATGATGATGATGGTGAAGTGGACCATCCCCTGTCACAACAAGACTTTCTTAAGCGGACCAAAACCATGCTTTCGCAGATCGAGGGCCCGACACAAAGGAATAAGCATGGCTTCAAGTTCTCTCAGAGGAAAAAGTTGACAAGCGTACAGCATGAGGTACAATACATGTCTATCATGAGTCTTGAAGTGCATGTTAACTCACGCGGCGATCTCGCTCCTGATCCTGAACACGATGAGATCTCTTGCATTATCTGGTCACTGAAAGCTGATGATGCTGATCTCGTTGGCAATGCGGGCCATGACGATAAATATGTTGGTATGATTGTGCTATCAGGCGACGACGACTTGACTGAACGCATGAGGAAGCAAGTAGGCGTCGACGTCGAAGAGGAAGACAATGAACTTGACGTCCTCAACCGACTTGTGGACATTGTACGCGAATATGACCCTGATATCCTTACTGGCTACGAAGTACACAACACTTCGTGGGGCTACCTCATTGAACGTGCTCGTCTTCAGTACGAGTTCAACCTCTGCGAAGAGCTTTCTCGTGTCAGATCACAGTCTCATAGTCGCTTCGGCAAAGATGCAGACAAGTGGGGCTTTGAGCATACATCAACGATCCGCATTACTGGCAGACACATGATCAACATCTGGCGTGCTATGCGAGGTGAGCTCAACCTGCTGCAGTACACCATGGAGAACGTCGTGTTTCACCTTCTTCACAAGCGCATCCCGCATTACTCGTTTGCAGACCTGACGACATGGTACAAAAGCTCGAAGCCTCGAGATCTAGCCAAAGCTCTAGACTATTTCATTACTCGTGTCCAGCTCGACTTGGAGATTCTGGATGCAAACGAGCTTGTTCCTCGTACTTCTGAACAAGCTCGTTTGCTTGGTGTCGACTTCTTCAGCGTCTTTAGTCGAGGCTCTCAATTCAAGGTCGAGTCACTGATGTTCCGTATTGCCAAGCCCGAGTCTTTCGTCCTCGTTTCTCCTAGTCGAAAGCAAGTCGGTCAACAGAATGCTCTGGAATGTCTACCGCTGGTCATGGAGCCACAGAGTGCTTTCTACAACAGCCCTCTGCTGGTTTTGGACTTCCAAAGTCTGTACCCTAGTGTTATGATTGCTTACAACTATTGCTATTCTACATGTCTCGGCCGCATTACAGCCTGGCGAGGTCAGAACAAGATGGGATTCACCGACTTCAAACGCGAACCTGGATTACTTGATCTAGTCAAAGACAAACTCAACATCTCTCCAAATGGTATGATGTACGTCAAGCCAGAGATGCGCAAATCACTGCTCGCGAAGATGTTGGGTGAAATTCTCGAAACCAGAGTGATGGTCAAATCAGGCATGAAGGTCGACAAAGACGACAAGACATTGCAGCAGCTTCTCAACAACAGACAACTTGCGCTCAAACTCATTGCCAATGTCACTTACGGCTACACATCTGCCTCCTTCTCTGGTCGTATGCCATGTTCCGAGATCGCCGACTCAATTGTTCAGACTGGCAGAGAAACACTGGAGAAAGCTATCGCACTCATCCACTCCGTATCAAAATGGGGCGCCGAAGTCGTCTATGGCGACACTGACTCTTTATTTGTCTACCTTAAAGGACGTTCAAAGGACGAAGCTTTCAAGATTGGCGACGAGATAGCGAAAGCAGTCACCGATATGAACCCTCGACCCATCAAACTGAAATTTGAGAAAGTCTACCACCCTTGTGTCCTCTTGGCGAAAAAGCGCTACGTCGGCTTCAAGTACGAACATCCTTCGCAAACAGAACCTGATTTCGACGCCAAAGGTATTGAGACAGTCCGCAGAGACGGCACGCCCGCGGAACAAAAAATCGAGGAAAAGGCATTGAAGTTGCTGTTCCGCACGGCAGACTTATCTCAGGTGAAAGCTTACTTCCAATCTCAATGCCATAAAATTCAACTCGGCAAATTCAGCATTCAAGACTTCTGTTTCGCCAGAGAAGTCAAGCTGGGCAGTTACTCAGACAAAGGACCTGCACCCCCAGGCGCCCTCATTGCAACGAAGAGAATGCTCAAAGATCCTCGCCAGGAACCACAGTATGGCGAACGTGTACCTTACGTCGTTATCGCAGGTGGTCCTGGAGCTAGACTTTTCGAACGTTGCGTCGAACCTGAACGGTTGCTCTTCGACGAACACGCCGAGCTGGACGCTGAATACTACATTTCCAAAAACCTCATTCCACCGCTAGAGCGTATTTTCAATCTCGTAGGCGCAAATGTCCGCGCTTGGTGGGATGAAATGCCTAAAGTCCAACGCGTACGAAACATTGGCGGTGGAGGGAGCAAAGCAGGGGGTACCCACAAGACCATGGAATCATACATGGCCACCTCCACCTGCGTAGTCTGCCGCGTCAAACTCGCCCCCATAGCTCCAATACCCGGTCAAATCGTCCTACCTCTGTGCTCCAAATGTGCGAAGACGCCGGCATTGACGCTTTCGATTCTAAGAGCAAAATTGCAAGCGGCGCATAGCAAGAAAACGGATTTGGACAGAGTGTGTAGGAGTTGTGCTGATGTACCCATGGGCGATGAGGTGAAGTGCGACAGTAGGGATTGTCCTGTCTTTTATTCTAGAATTAAAGCTGGGGCGAAGGTCAAGGCGTTGAGTGGAAGGTTGGAAGGTGTTATTGAGGCTGTGGAAAAGCAGGAAGAGAAGAGGTTCAGGGAGTTGGAGTGGTAAACATGGGGTTTTGTAGGTTCTTCGAAGAATTTCCACCCTCATACAGTCAATATCATTGCTGTCCCATTGGCTGCGCTATTTCGCATCGCTTCTAGCCTTGCTGCGACATGATGCGTGCGCGATTTCATTACCACGGTCTAAACACCGGTCAACTGTAGAAAGTCTTGAGTCGTGAATCCTTCAGGATGTAAGCGCTAGTCGGTTAGGGCTCCGCCCCTCTTCTGGTACGTCAGCAAAATGGCTTTGCAGTATCTCGTCCGGATATGATTTCGTGCGCAAAATACCGCAGCCTACTGCTTTGCTTCGTTCTAATATATTCGACGTATGCGAAGAAGACGAAGGAATGTGTATTCCGTGCAGGGGCTCACCATGAGGATTCAATTGATGATGGTTTTCGGCTAGCGCGGCATTGTCAACCTCACTATATAAATGTCATCTTCCTACTCATTGATACTTGGGCAACAACAGTTGATTTGTTGTCTTGTGTATACTATCAAAGATGTTTATCAATACCCTCTTTCTTCATGTCTTTGTGCTGTCCGCAATCAGTTCGGCCAAACATGTTCCACCTGGCCCTTCATCTCCATACTGTGGACTCAATGTGACATACAAAAAGGTGTTATATCGAAGCGTCTCAGTCCTCAAACTTCTTGCTGATAGTATCAGAACTCCATCTGCGAGACTACTCCTGGAGTCAATTCTTTCTCCGGTTATGTGCATCTGCCATCCTCTCTCCTCGCGGATTCGCAAAATGCGTCTGATCCGTACAATATTTCGACCTTCTTCTGGTACTTTGAGGTCAGTATAATATGGTTGGTTCCAAACGAAGCTAGAATTCACATATCAATGCATAGTCAAGGAACAAGCCAAGGCATGCTCCGCTGACCATCTGGTTTGCTGGAGGCCCTGGCGCAGCTTCCTCTTTCAGCGCCATGACCGAAAATGGCCCATGCTATATCAACGAATATTCCAATGACACAATTCTTAACCCCTACTCTCTCAACGAGAACTCCAATGTCTTGTACATTGATCAACCTGTTCAAGCTGGGTTCTCGTACTCCTCGTTCTACAACAGCACTTACAATTTCCTTACCCTTGATACATCAGTTTCTCCTGTTACGCCGATGGATGCTTACGATGGCGATGTCCCGCCTGAGAATTCGACTTTCAAGTATGGCGTTTGGGCGGATCAAAGTCGGAGGCATACGGCTAGTATGACGATGGATGCTGCACGACCGGTCTGGCATTTCCTGCAGAGTTGGTTCGAGAAGTGAGTTTAGTGTTTACTGGTTGGAATGGTTCGCACTGACACCACGTCTAGCTTCCCGGAGTATCGCACGAGTGACCGTCGTGTCAATCTTTGGGGCAACTCTGTAAGTGTAGTTTCTTGTAGTCTTGAGTATGATCTTTACTAATGGCTTCCTCTACAGTACGGCGGTTTCTGGGTCACCGGATTTACTTCTCACATTCTTGCTCAGAATACCCTTGTCAAGAATGGAACACTTTCTGGTCGAGTCATCCCTATCAACACCATCGGTATTACGAATGGATGTGTAGATGCATTCACAACCGTACAATCTTATGGCGACATCGCGTACAACAACACATACAATACCTCCTTTATCACCTCCGAAGTCTACGCCGACATCCAAAACAACATCACCAAGTCCGGAGGGTGCTACGACCAGATCCATCAATGCCGGGCTGCAGTCGCTCTCTCAGATCCCACAGGCACTGGAATCAACGATACCGTCAATGCCATTTGTGCCGGAGCCACAATCTACTGTCTTGCTTACGCAGGAAATGGAGCTTACCTAGCTACTTCTGGCCGGAGTGCGTTCGACATGGCAGAAAACGCCAGTGCCCCATATCCACCATTTTCCGCCACCACCTATCTCAATCGCCCTGAAGTCAGCAAGCAACTCGGTGTTCCTGTACTGTTCAAACCAGGCTCCATGACCATAAACAACAAATTCATCTACGGCACCGGCGATCTCGCCCGTGTAGATGGAATCCATGCACTCGATACCATCTTAGCTTCAAATGTCAATCTTGCTCTGGTATTTGGAGACAGGGATACAAGATGCAATTGGCTCAGTGGCGAAACCGTCGCGAATACAATCGATTGGAAGGGTAAATCCGCCTATGCAGCTGCTGGATACCAAAAAACACAGACCAATTCGACATACATCGGTGGTCTGACCAAACAATTCCAATCCCTAAGTTTCACTAGGGTATTCCAAGCCGGTCATGCAGTAGGCTTCTTCCAGCCTCAAACCGTCTTCGAGATCTTCGAGAGAAGCAGTGTTTGGGGCACCGATGTTGCGACTGGGAAACAGAAGATTAGGGGTAATGGGACGTATGCGACCAAGGGGGAGAGCAGTGCGTGGAGTCATTTCGAGGTGCTGCCGGAGGTGCCGGAGCCGATTTGTGATATTTGGGACGTGGGGACGTCGTGCTCGGAGGGGCAGATTGAGGCTTTGGTGGAAGGGACTGCGGTGATTGTGGAAGATGTTGTGGTTAGTCCGGCGTATCAGTGATGATTAGTCTGGAACCTGCAATAGGTTCGATAAGAGGCAGAAACGGCAAGAGACTACATCCAGAGAAAACGAGACCAACACAAGACCCAAACTTCTCAGGAGGGTGTATGTCTGTAAACATTGAAATTACAAATTACCGTTGATGCTCCGTACTCAGAGCTTACAACTCACACAGCCGCTACGTCTTTTGCAGTTCGCCAATCCATGTCGTCCCCACAATTACCATAGATGTGATCAACTACATTGTATCGCTCAAAGAGACTGTGGAAAGAGTTACCATCTCTGCCTTGCGTCATTGTCTTCTCCAATTGGAATATCGTGACCTGGGATGTTTTCCGGAATACTCGTCTCGTAGCGTCTCGGATCTCCAACCTTGCGTCGAACACTACCATTCTCGCAGGTTATCATGCAGGTGCCAGTGGAGATTGGTCCAGACACCGAGGCCTGGCCACCGCAAATCCAATGGAGTACAGACATCTGGGACTCCACAGTTGCACCGATATGTTGATTTTGAGGATGATCTGTTGTCGCATTCGAAGCCTTTATATCACGGTGCTGTTGAAACATAGGACAGGAAAGTTTAGCTGAATGACTCAGGATAAAGAACAGTGGTACCAGGAAACTATGGGGACAACAATTATCGGACCAACATTCGGGAGCTACAGGACCAAACTCCAGACATGAGCAAACAACAGACCGTTCTTAGAACGTCGAGGCGACCGATATGAGCTTCATCCAGAAGTCGATGTCTTGGGACCCAGGACCTCCCTCGTCATTTCCGATGATTCCAGCTGACTCTCCATCTCGTGGCCCGACAGTCGTGTCTCTGCTTTGCCGAATACACCAGGATACCAACTCAAGCTGATAATCATGACAACAATCATCAAAGCAGCGTCGAATACAAAGGTGCACCACTCATGACTGAGCAGATAATTCGGACTACCCATGCCATATTCGATGGCGCGGAAGATGTTACGCACAGCGATAAGAACGCTGACCACATAGAGGCCGAGGAGTCTTCTCTGCCATCCTCGCGGTGAAGCTGTCGATTGTCCTCGCATACGGATGTGAAAGTTTATCGCCACGACCAGGAATCCAAAGAAGATGACGATCTGGAGGATGAGGCCTGCGAGGATGATGTTTTGCCCGAGACTGACTTTCGATGCTTTCTTGGCTGAGGAAAGAAGACCGCCGCCTGCTCCTTGAGCCAGAAAGCATGCAACGTCGCCGGCCACGAAGACCTTAGTGAGCAATTTCAGAGGAATCAGGCAGTATCGTTGTCCGTCCACAGAGCGAATGACGCGACCAAGGTACATGTAGACTGATGCAGCGAAGAGGATGGGTGCGAGCAGGATCAAGAGTGATTGTATGGCGTAAGGTAGAGTATCCGTGGTATGGCTACGGGCGTAGGCTCGGGCACCATAGCCGATGACTTCGACTGTTTGAGGATCAGTATCTGCTTAGGACATGCAAGTGTGAAGAAGACTTACAAAGTCCTCCGACGACTAAGGGGATGCAAAACCATTGCTTTTGAAAGATCACGAGGCCGAATTGCGTCAAGGCAAGGAGACCGAAAACACTGGCAACTACGATGTTTCCGACCATAGAAGGATAGTATTCCCAGAGCTGATAGCCCTCATCGTTTGCAGGAGGAGCCATTTCGACAGTCTGATTGATCCGGAAAAAGAGGAATTGAATGGAAAGATTGTCGAGTGGTGCTTGAGTCGAGTGATGCTGTACACTATCTCGTCAAGGCGAACATGTCAGGCTTTATATCGTTCTCTCCAGTCATTGATAATTTGAAATTTACTGTCAGACATATCTGCTGCGGTCTATGAGAGCTATACGACGTATTGTTGAAGCCTGCTGTACGGAGGGTTTCGTAAGCTTTCTATACGCGTATTTGGAAGGAGCACCCGGGGAAGCCGCTGGTTCTGTTCGTCGCGAATTTGCCCCAACCGTCCCTTTTCTCTCGAGCTGAACACATACAGCCTGAGCTTATCTGCGGATCTCCTCAGCCATCATGGCCATGTCAACGATTACGTCGCACAGTTTTTGTTTGTCTTGAGAGCGGCGCAGCAATTATCGATTAGCATTGGGCAGTCAACGAATTTGAGCATAGCTGGGTAGGCAGCTGCCAATGAACACCGAGAAAGCCGTCCCCACCACCTACGACACCAATTGCCGATGAGGTGCGTCACTTCATGATGCCTTTTTGGCTTGAGACTTTGTTATAAGTTGTGAAAAACTGATTAAGCAATGTATTGTACTCATGCTCTAACACTATTCTAACTTCCGACTTGAACGATTATCTAGCTTGATACGTTCCTGCTCGGTCTTTCGACCAATATCTGTTGGGACGCTGTCATGCCCACTGCCATTGATCCTTGCTCAACCACCGCCGAGTATCTTTGGTCCGTCATCTGAGCCACACTCTCTCGAATGAATCTGTCCGGGAGACTGGACACAGTCGAGACGCGTCGCAATTGTTGATCTCGATATTCAGGCTTGCCGGTAACACAACTTGAGCGGTTTTCAAGAATCTGAGGGTGCTTGATGCCCGTTCTCGACTGGTGCGTGCCTGATATGTCTTCTTTTGATGTCAAGAAAGAGCCATTCTCGTCATGCCATGCTCCCAAGCTTCCAGAAGATACGACAAATCCAGTGTCGTGAGAATCTTCTCTCGTCTTTCCATTCTTCCTCTCCAACTCATGGTAAAGACCTCTGGCAGAGCAGCTTGCAAATGTGATAGCTGCTGTAGTCGGCTTGATAACCACTCCCAGCGAACCACGTATCAGTCCCTTTGCAAATCCAACGGGCCCTTCTTTTCTTCCATCACGGATTGGCTGAGTGATAATGCCTGTAAAGCCACTGCCAAAGCCATACGCAAGGGCCTTGGTTCCTTCTTTGAGTCCGGAAGCAACCCCAGGGATGTGTGATAGCTCTCTCACGTCGATATCTCCGTACAGTCTGGGAAGGTTGTTGATGGCATTGGATATAGCAGTTGTATTATCGATAGAGGTCTTGAGACGGTCGGAGGGAGCTTTGAGTGAGGGTTCGGAAAGTGTGCTCGCAGTGTCGGAGCCGGATGACGAGCGGCTCGAAGGGCCGGTATCTGCTCTGGGAACAGAGGCTTGGACGTGATCGCCGTAGGACAGCAGGGGGTACACAACGGGCGATGCCCTTGTTGGTGGATTTGCGTCACGCGACTCTGGAGAGTCTTGTACACTTTCAGAGCCAGCACTCTCCGACTCCTCATATGATGGTGGAGCTTCTTGCAAAGTCTCAGGCAATTCCATATCGCTTGATGTTCCCTTCCGGTCTAGAAGAACTTCTGCATTTTTGACCTCTCCAAGCTTGGCGATCATGATTGTAATGTCTGTGAGCTGGATTGGAAGAAGAGTCGCAAGTGTGGTCGAAAGAAAAAATCAATAGAAGTTTACATTGGCGTCTAGATGTCTCCTATACTTATAGTGATCTCTACAGCGAGCCTAATCCGGCGGAAACCAGATCCAGGTGAGATTTACCAGGTTTCAAGAGCAACAAGGCCAACGAAGCCTCGTATTTTAAGGTTACGCGTGTTCAAGCAGCTTGTACGCGTATTCCCGTATCCTCGTATCCTTTTGCTTAAAGTCTCAACAACACGGTGGGGTGAAAAACATCGCATAGACATTTAAGGCATATCGCTGAGGATTTTGCAAACTATGATGAGACACGTCGAGCTGATTGACCAGATCCTGTGCTTTTCTACTGCACTCTGTACGCGTAAAATATGATGAATTTTTCGCTCAACACCTCCCACTTCTGCGTCGATCATCAAACATCGAGTCTCTGTTTGGGGGTTGGGAACTCTCAAACAGATAAGAAGGCTGAGACGTCCCAGCCAGTTAAAGACTCCTAGCCTATCACCTGAATGATCCTTCACTGTCCGCAAGATAGACCAATCTCAGCAATGGTTTCCCAGGAGCAGAATTTATTCGACTACGCTTTTACTCTACAAGATGACAAGAGTGATCATCAGCAAGTCCTTATGAGCGACAAAGCGATCGGATCATACCGCGAACAGTTGAAATTCAGTCAGGTGCAGTTATCTGCAACCTTTTATTCATTCGACAAGTCTTCCAGCACCGAGACCCTTCCTCAACTATCTCCTACGCCCTCCTCCAATGACTTGCCTGTCCAAGAGACAAGGTCTACGATACATCTTCCGATAGCTATTCCTCGTAATTTACATCCCAAGATATATCACTTACGGTTCTTATCTGACACAATTCCAGAAACCTCAAATCTGTTCGGCGTAAAACACCTTTCACCCTTCGCACGGTGTTACCCTCCAGCTCTTCAGTCTATTCAAAATCCTATATCTCAGGAAGTTTTCGTCGACTTTCTTGACGGTCTCAACGGCGTCTTTGTGGCACACCCGAGCATGTTGGCCATCGGCTCCTCACCCATGATGTCTTTCCTTCGAGTCCGCAAGTACATGCAGAAAATCAATCAAGAGCTGTTCAGACCAAGTGGCCTGAAGGCTAAGATTGTTTCCACGAAGAAGATGATCAGCTCGATAAAATCCCAGACCACGGATGGAAAAGACAGACTTGTTCTCTGCAACTTGGGTGAAGTAGGCACTACACCCATCTCGTGCGACAGGATGGAGTACACCGCTGACATGCATCAGAAATGCGAGGAGAATCCTCAAGACAGGCTGCTCAGAACTTTGGACGGTTATGTGTCTCCCTTGAGCTTCGACGTGCCTAGTCAAGCTTTACCGACCAACTCTGTTGGGAAAGCGCTGAGCACATCCACTTCCTTCATCGACAGAGTCCAAACGAAACTGCTCTCGAACTCTCGCAGAAAGATTTCCAACAACAATATCGGTTTCTGCGACCAGAATGATGCCCGCATCTTTGACCTCGAAAAGGCTATACTGAAATGTCAATCGCAATTGAAGGGCAGATCACTAGACCTTGATCTGGGCACCGCGTCTGCAAAAGAGCATATCGAAATTCACGACCTGAGGGCACATCTCACGGAATTGAAAGTCGAGATGGCACTGGAGAAGCAAGTTCGTGACAATCGCTTGGAGAAAACTCGCATCGCACACGCGAGAACTTTTGCGGCGATTGATGGGGAAGACAATAAACTCGCGAACAGGATCTTGTGGTTGGTGATAACTGAAGATGAGGGAAACAGCACAAGACCAGGAAGGAGCTCAGGAGAGATTGCCAAGATGAAAGTCACAAGTTGAGATGATTTTGTGTTTTTACTACTCATTAATATGTGTTTTGATTTGAGATAGAACTTTACCTCAACCTAGCCAATTTGAGTATATCATGCCTGTAGAAGAACTCCCTATTCCTCTTTCCAAACACATACATAGGAATGCTCAATGCACAAATCCCAATCTCTATACTCCCGAAAATGATAAACATCTTCTCAAATCCTCTATCCAGGACCCACGTGTACGCATAATACGCCAGAACAAAGGAAAACAAATTCTTGAAGATGATCAGGCAAGTAAATGTCTCGATGGCAATATCGCGGTGGGCGTCGAGAAGATATTGGGCTGATGCCGTAGCGCCCATGACCATGGAGATGGTGATACAGGCCAGGAAGACTTCGATAACTACCCAGCCGTATTTCTCGATATTGGCTGATGCGATACCGAAGCCATATAAGCCGATTGCAGAGAAGACCAGTGTAGGGATGACCAGTGCGATGCGAAACTCAGGTTCATATTGACCTCCGTTGCGAACGATGAGTAGTCGAGTCACAAGTTCGGTGTAGATGCCTGCGAGTACCAGACCGATCATAGAGCCAACAAACGCAGCGGTGTACATTTTCCCGGCTTGTTCTTCTGTAAAGAAAAGCGGAGGGCCGAGGAAAATCAAGGCAAGGATTACTCCGACGATCACGGTCCAGCCGATGATGACGCCCTGCATCAAACAACCCCATGCCACTGCTGGTTGTAGAAATAGCGGGAAAGGTCGAAAGAGCAGTTTCAAGAAGCTCTCATCTGTTTTGCGGCCGCTGAAAGGGGCCAGGCGGTGGAGGAACGTGTGTTTCGGCGGAGGTGGAACCGGGTCGTGGAAGGGGACTGGACCAACATTGATGTCGATCTGAAGATAGCGAGGTCGCTGATAAGTTGTTTCGGGAAAAAAGAGGAAGAGCATGACAAAGCCTGCGGCCATAAATATTGCAAGAAAGTAAAAGGACCATTGCCAGCCGAGGTTGTCTCTAGTGGTTATCACTCCGACTGTGAACATCTATCAGTGGGTTCAATCTCAAAATGTAACTCTCCATACGTACCACAGACCGGGGTGAGAAATGCAGCGCCAAAGAGGCAGACGTTGGTGAAGGCCATGCGGAAGCCTCGTTCGTGGACGAAATAAAGATCGCCAACAACATCATTCACCAGCGACTCGAATGGTGCCAGCGCAACCCCTTGCACAATCCTAGCCCAGGTGAGACTTCTGTAATTTAGGTTGTCCGCTGTTGAACCACCCCAGGCTGAAGAAGCCACCATGAGTAATGCGCCAAAGAGAAAGACATGTCTTTTGCCCCATACTCTGGCCAGAGGCACGAAGAGCCAGCTAGCAACTCCAACACCACAGAGATGATATGCGGTCAGAAGTGCTGCATCTTGGAACTTGACTTTGAAAACGACAGCCAAAACGACGGAGTTGGCGGCGACTAATGGTGATGCTGTTGTTGCAATGGCGGCGACGACACAAAGAAGTAGGAGAATCAAGTCTCTTTGCCATAACGGCCAATTCTGCAGCCATATCTTAGTCACTGTTGAGAAAATAAGGAGTGGTGAGCCTTACTAGAGGATCGTTCGGATCTTCGCTCGGTTGCGGAACCAGAATAATGTTGCCAGTCTTGTCCCTTTTCAACGTCGGATCTCTTTTCCATTCTTGATCCAACACATTCGCGGTTCCCGGTACTTTCTTCGCCCTAGGCTCAAGTATCCCTAGAGCCATGGTGTTATCGACATAGACGTATGACTGGGTTTAATAGAGCGACAACTATGTTTCTGATGTAGAAAGGTGGTGGGGCGATTGGTGTTGAAACACAACAAATGACGAAGCAAGGGGTACTGAGGCATGCCAGGCAACGAGAGCGAAGGCATGTTACCAGATGACCGTATAGCCACGTGTGGCGAACAAAGCTACGACGATAACGAAGTCTGCTACGCAATACGGTTGGAATGTAAGCGTTCAAGATCTGACAAAGAAATCTCCATCCATGCGGCTATTCTTGCCATGACTCTTGATTTGGATACATTGTTTTGATCAAAAGCTTACTGAAACCCAGCGCAAGCTCTGTAGTGTTGATCATCTGGAGTGGCTAGGCTATGCATCAAATAGAGCCTGATGTGGAGCTGCTTCGACTCGAACTTAATTCAGAAGCTCGCTGAATTAGAGGCTGGGTGTGGTTGGCAGATCCGGCGCCTGTAAGCGATGTAAAATTGACAGAGGGGCAGTCTGAGGAAATCATTGCTGGTCAGACACAGGGTGAGCCACCATCAAACATTGTGTGCCTGAGAGACCGATATCCCGTAACCCTCCGTAGTCGGCTGTGCAACAATGGCCGAATCCTGCTCTAGACGTCCATGCAGATCAATGCGACACATGGAGATAGCTTTCACCGAGAAATCGCTGTGTGTGAGATAAAGCGAGCAGACGCAGACACTCCCTGCTAGCCAAGGCATCGCTTTCGCGAGGTCGCACTTGCCTATTGAGATCCGTGTCACGCTCGGCGAAGGTAACATTCTATGGCGTGCAACAGGAGAATTGTATTGCATATCATCCTGTTACCTCCTCTGAAACATAGTCACCTCTTGACCCTCTACGTGCTTGATAGACACGAATTCACCGGATGGCGAAGTTGCGAGCTGGAGAAACAGGGTCGTGATTCTGTCAGCCGAAATGCCGGGCGGTGAGCGTCGAATTTTGTCCGGCCAAGCTTTATGCCCCCTCAGTCGCGTCTTGTTTCCCCTCCACCTGCTTCATCGCGAGCCGGACATCTCTCTCACGAACAACAATTGTATGACCGAGCGTCGCGATCACAATGGGTCCGAGGAAGCGTCATTTTGACAAGCAAGAGCGGCATTTCTATACGATGTACACTGCCGTTCTGTGTCAGCCAAAGGTAGAATTATTGAAGTCCGAGCAGGCCAATGATTGATGATTACGCCCTCGTGCAGGATCACCGGTCAAGCAGCGCACAGAAGCTCAGCCTTGGCCTCAGCCTCTTCATCAATGTGAGATTAGCTCTGCAGCTAGGAACTGACACCATGTGTCGCATTCTTACATCTTGATGATGAGCCCACACATCACGTTCAGATCCCCGCTCGACAGGATAAAGAACAAGCCACCTTCCTCTACAGAATGATCGCGTATGAGGACGGCGACAGCCACACACCGCCAAAATCCATAGCACAGTCGAACTACGAGCCAGAGAGTCGATTGATACTTGAACGCGAAACAGAGAACGGATACAGCGATGAAAACCTTCCAGCAAACGAGAGGCTGCAGCCGTATCTGAGTCACAGGAATTCTATGACTGGCTTCCACTTACTCTTAGATTACCCTACCTTGCTTTTCTCACCGGAACCTCTGTCTTACTGAGTGCTCTTGTGTTCTATCTGACCATCACCTCCTTCAGAAACCAGGGGCTTGGCGACAATGACGACTCAGCTACGAGATTCTTTGAATGGAGATTTTTGCCAACTCTGGTCGCAACTATTTATTCGTTACTAGTTGCTACCCTGGTCAACGATGTGCGTCGGACTGAATGCTTCGCTCGATTGTCAAATCCAAAAGGAGCATCTGCAGTTCATACGATATGCTTGCCTTCTAGAGCTTGGTGGAACGACCCAGCTGACGCATGGAGCAAGAACAAAAACAACGGAATCCGCAGCTGGTCTCTTCTGTGCGCTTCTGTGGTTAATATTGCCGCTCTGCTTGTCGTATCTCCGCTGTCAGCAATACTTCTTTCGCCAGTCACCATTCGCTTCACGACTCCCACCAGTTTCAGCACACTTCGGGTTTCAGACCCTGGGGTAACATCCAATTCATCTGACCTGATTGTGTTTCGAACGACTATCGCAGCATTACTCAACGAGCCGACTTCAGCTTGGTTGTCGACCGACCATGCAATTGTTCCTTTCTGGCCTTCTGCCCTCGACAATCCTCCTTTAGGCCCGGTATTCGAAGGGTTTGCCGCGCAAAATTGGTCAAGTCAGACCAATGTGTACCAAGCAGAATTGGATTGTGCTCCAATGTCTTTGACCATGACCGGCAATGATACCTACCGAGACATGTTCGGTGAACTGTTGGCTAATTTGACTTTTGAGGCTTCTTCAAAGGACGGATGCTCAATCGTCTTCTCGGCCATTCTTGGTTACAACAAGGTTCTATCTGAGGGCGGAGGTTGGTGGGCTCCCTCCCCATATCGGGATCTTTCATCAGATATGAAAACACAAGATGCAAGTGTTGAGACTTGCGCCGGCCGCAGCATGGCCCTCGTTGGTACAGCTCTGGATATGGTGGTCGGTGATCCGTATACTGCCAAGACCCCACGATTCGATGCGGAACTACTGCTTTGTTCAAGCAAATACTTCTCATCCAAGGTAGATGCAACAGTGGCGATCAACCAAACGTCCGTGACGGTCATGTTTGACGTAGACGACTACTACCGCACTCGCAGACCACTTTCCGAAGAAGCTCTCAATCTGTCTTCAATAGAGCAAGCGTTCTTTGCCTCTGGATGGTCGGAAAAATTTGGGCGTAACCCTGGTTCACTTTACAACAACGCTGACGGACCTTGGTATGGCGGCCCTCTCTCAGCCATCGCTGCTGGCCATCGCTACAACGAAGATCCTCGCAAACTACAGAACCTGACAAGCCTGCTACCTGACATGAAAGCGATGTTCCAACAATCTTTTGGAGAAAAGTTACTGGAAAGTTGGACGCAAAGCGTAGACCGAGAGTTTGCCATGCCAGATGCGAAAGTGACTGTTAAAAAAGCTAGGATCATAGCTAGTGAAGATGTTGGCTTCCCACTTGCCGTCTTGCTGCTCTGCTCCGGACTTCTGATCTCGGGAGTCGCGTATCTAACACGTCTTGAGCAAAGGCCCCTGAATCTAAGCCAAGAACCCGGGAAGATTGAGTCTACTGCTGCCTTGATTTTAGGAGATCCTGTTCTGAGGGAGTTGTTATGCAATTCAGATAAGCTATCGCAAGAAACCTTGTCGTCCGGGTTAAAAGGTTGCGTGCTCGGCGTTACCAGAGGCCAGATCTTTGTCATGAGTAATTCAGACAAAAGGCTAATCGAGGGTACGTGTCGGCATTCCTACACAGGAAACAACATTAACACTCAGGCAGCTGAACAGCTTCCGGCAATTCATGACGCACGACCGGCAGTCGTTAGACTACCAGTCGGTGCGTTGTTGACGTCTTTCCTGTTCTCCCTTCTTGCAGGTCTTGCAGTGCTGTACCGTCTCTCTTCCAGTACGGGTTTCTATCAGACGTCTGTTGCCTATCAACTACAGCTGCACATAGCGCAAACGACCGCGACTCTTGCACCTTATACAATCGTTCCAACCTTTTTGGCTATCGGCGCTAAGCTATGGTTCGCGATGGTCACAGATTCTGTGCAAAAATACCAGCCTTTTGTCGCGATGATGGGAAGACCGGCAAAACTTTCCGAATCTATATCGGTTGAGTACCATAATACACCTATTGCATTGGTCTCTCTCAAGGCTTTGAAATCTTCGCACTGGTTGCTTGCACTTTTAGGTGTCGGAGCTTTTGCGAGTGAAGCTTGTAAGTTCTTCGGAATCTCCACGACAATCGGTATCTTGCTGACATTCCAAGTTACGGTTAGCATGTCTGCTCTTTGGTACAGAGAACTGAGAGATACCAGCCGTGTGGCTGATCTGTCCCGTGGCCTGAAGATTCGGACCGCTCCAAGCGAGTCAGGTATGAGCGGAAGGAATCATACCCTTCTAAGCTCGAATGATACTCGGGGTCTTTTCATACCTAAGCTTTACGATGTTTCTCTGCAGAACTGGCTTTACAGTGCGACTACTGAGATCACGCAACATGGAGTCACCCCAGCATGGAGCAAAGACACCTGGAGTTTTCTTCCCCTAGATCTGTCCGGCATCGACAATGACATTCGATATGCTAGAGGTGCATTGAACAACAACACGCAAATCCGTAACCTGACACTTCAAACGACAGGATTGAAGGCCTCTCTGGATTGCCATTCCCTGAACTACACGTCTGACCCGCCTTTGTGGCTTACAGAGCTCGACTTCTTGCACAGCCCGATAAGCAATGGTGTCTCCTTGTGGAATGATACCAACCGTCCATTGATACTGGATCTTGGCTATACATTGAAGAATTTCTCCAGTGCTACACTTGATCTGCAATCGATAAATTGTTGCGCTAACGACTCAATGGGAAAGATTGGTGACGCTGTCGTTGGATATTGGTCGAACGCTTATGGATCGGAGCTAACATCCACCTGGATTCACGGTCGTCCAATTCAAGGTCTCTACACACCAAATGGTGACTCACAACAAGAGTTATTTGTATGGCAACAGGCACCACAGATGAGCGCTGTCAGCTGTAAGCCGCGGATTGAGGCAGCGAAGTCACTCGTCACAATCGACATGGAGACCGGTGTTGTGTACGACTACGAGATAATCGGCACGTTGCGCAATGTAAGTGAAGCTTGGTCGTGGCCTTACAGTCAGAAGAATATCACTAGTGACACAACCACGTGGGATGATGACGGAACATATCCCTCTTTCGAGGACGCGGTGCGAGTGAATGCCAGGTGAGTGTCCTGGATGCACTAAAATGACCTTTGCTGAACCCAATCAAGCTGGGGCTATCTATTCTGGGACGCTGTCATCAACTCCGGTCAACAAGGAGCTTGGTTCCGATTCCAAGATCCTGGGCTCAACGTCGATCTCATATCTTACTCCATGTTGCATCTTGCCAACGACAGCCGAGAAGCACTACTCGATCCTGAAATACTTGCGGAACATGCCAGTACGACATTTGGCATCTTCTTCAAGCACTTTGCAAACTGGAACATCACTTGGGACGCTGATTGGACGGGATATGTATACGAGAAGGACATTCCGTCTAAGATCGACGTCACAATCAGTGTACCAACCGACCAATTGCTCATGTCACCAGTCGCAGTCATTATGAGTATGTCGATCCTGGTCTTCTTGATTTTTGTCACCATCATCATGTTCACCACGAATCGCCACAAGTACAAAGCGATTCCTAGGGATGTCAACACGTTAGCCAGCATACTCGGCTAGGTCTATGCGAGCGATCGACTCCTAGCTTGGTCGGAAAGCGCACCGCCGTCGAAGCCATGGTATCAAGCCTTGTTCTCGAAAACATCACCTCTTGCAGCACATCACAGAGTCAAGATGGGTCCATTTATAGATTCTGCTGGCAATGAGAGATGGGGTATCGAAATGGTAGAAACCGAACCGGTCGGTGCTCTACTCAAAGACGAGGAACAAGACCAGACATCTGTTGCGGGACCTGCTGGCGAGTCGATTGAACTGCAACACATCAATCACACAGCTATTGATGGAAGTCAAGATCCGGGCGCTCATGAGAGATTGCTCGCGTTTCCAAAGCTTCCGCCTTGAGCGTTAACGTCTGCGCCTTGAGAGATGAGAAGTTTTGCTATCTCCGTGTGGGTTGGAGTGTTGTGGATTGAAGCTACTTGTAGCGCGTTGCCGAATCGACCCCCACGAGCATTTGGGTCTGCGCCGTGGGAAAGGAGGAGTTTTACTGTCTCGAGATGGCCTTTGCTTGATGCGGTATACAGGGCTGTACCTTGATCGCCTTCATTTCCGGTCGACGCGTTCAGGTCGATGCCAGTGGTAACCAGTTCCTCGATCTCATCTAATTGATTTTTGGAAGCAGCATCATACAGCAAACTTGCGTTTCTGGAAAGAGTCATGGTGCAGGGGTAGTTCCCGTCTCTTCGGGTAAGAGGGGGGCGGGGCTGTGCTGCAGTCGAGGTGGGCGTGAGTCGGATCTATCGAAGGAGTTGCGATACGAAATGTGTAGGCAGCAGGCGCTATATCAAGCCTTTGACGCCATGATCTGCCAAGCCGGGTGAGGGTCATCGCGTCGCTGCCTTGTGTACAGGGCTACAAGCCAGCCGCAAAGGCAAGATCAGACATTGCGATTTTTTCATGCACTTGGCCGCTCGTGCTTCAACGTCATGGGGCGTGGTTGTGTTGATACCGCAAGAAACGATCATACGTCAATCAGCCACCCGTTCTTCTCTGACAGTCTCGAGCCGGAAAGCAAGATGGCCTTGATGCTTTGAACTTCAGATCGGCTGAGGCCAATTGTCAGTAGATACTGTTCGATGCCGCCGTGTTTCATTTCGAGATGTTGTTCCAGAGCATTGACATAATTCGGTAGTGGCTCGGCCCAATCGTCGGGGTAAGATCCCGCTCTGAGTTCTTCTAGTCTCTGCTGCCTGACCCCAGACAGTGCCTGGTAGGTTTGCGCATAATCCAGATATATGCTTTGCCTATCTGCATGGAGTAAAAGCATAGTCATTGAAACAATCAACGATACCATCTCACTGCCCCACTTGTTCAAGATCAAGACAGGGTATGATGATGGGTCTGCCAGTATCTTAAACACAGCTCTGACCTGTGGGAACGAATGGTCGATGATTGCTTTCGGTGTAAACATGCGGTCCTTGGACATCTTCGCACTGGTAACTTTCTGCCAGCTTTTAATACCAGTCGCCGGTGAGATGGCAATGTGAGCCAAGCCTTTGGTCCTCTCCCACAGACCAGTCTGACTGAGCACAAATCTGCCAAATTGCGGACCACATAAGTCGATATAGTGGTTGTTGAGGCCAAGTATGCTGGTATGAGCTATCTTCTCTGGATATTGGAGCGCAAAGTCGGTGTCTTGTTTGCCAGGCAGCAGCACCGTACTGATCATAGGCCATGGCTGCCTTATAATGTCAACATGCACCGAAGACGTTTTGAGCGGGTGTAACTCACATGCCTCTCAAATCAATGATGGAGCGTATGCGATATTGCTCACGTAGAGCGTCCAGGTCCTCCGGAGACGCATCGTCTGCGATGCAAGTTTAGCTATCAAGTGTTGACGACAACACGCGCATGACACATACCAATGTGAGCGCTTCTGAACAACAATCCTGGCTTAACTGTCTTGATCAAGCTTGAGATATCGCGAAAGTTCTTGATTGTTGCCAGCGCAGATGCTTTCTCCCCTTGATGATCCATTGCGGTCGATGTTGTTTCAAGTCGCCTCATTATGCGCGACCGGTCTTCTTATAAGCCAGCGCTGGAACATGGTGCAATCCTTCCGCGGAGCATTGAATAGCCCGGCCAGAAGAAGAACAGTGATGATTGGCTTCTAAAGGAGCGGGATTGGGATGATGATGTTCTTGCGGGAATACGACGGCTATAACGGCCGGCCAAGCCTTCTCAGCTTACTCAGCCATAGTTCGCCGATCTTGTCTGAGAAGGTACCTACCTAGCTCTTCAACCTCCGCTTTCCGCGTCTGCTTGCACCACATGTATAGACAACGACAAGATGGTTGAGGCAACCAATTGCAACAACCTCCATTTTTTGCTACGAAGTTGCTTTGCGAACGCGACACCGATCCTGAAACCTCGAGCTACTGGGTTGCTGGAGGCCGATAGGTGATTGAAAATTGGCGATTAGGGACCGACAAGCATGGCTGCGGAAGACATCTCTGGAGAATTTGCGAGAGACTGTAAAGACTGTTGGGTTGAGAACGTGATTGTGAGAGATTACGGTGAAATTGCTCTGCGTCATGCTGTAGCTCCAGCGTAAGCACTAATGTTGCGTTCGTAAACAAATGCATTGGCAAGGGAGTCGCGACTTGACTGCATCAAGATCCTGTCGGCGTGCCTTCCACGGTTGCTTGCGTCAAACAAGCGGGGTCGCTTCATCAGCAACTTGCAACATTGAGTATATCTGTTCTGCATAAATCAACGATCGACCCTGGACTCCCAAACATCGCAACATCTCAAGATGACCTCTTCAGTCGCCTTGCCTAACGCGAACTCCAATGTCACGCCCTTTACAGTTCGTATCTCGGATGACAGTCTCGAGCAGCTTAAAGCACTACTGCGCATCACACCCATCGCAAGTCAGACCTACGAAAGTAGTCTGCCAGATGCGGACCGCAAATTTGGCATACGATACGACTGGCTTCTGAAGGCCATCAAAGAGTGGAGAGACACGTTCGACTGGTGAGTGTTGAACTGTTCGTCAAAACAGCTCTATCTCAATCATGTCCAGGCGTAAGTATGAAGTATACATGAACACCTTTGATCACTTCCATATGAATATCGACGACAAGTTCGGCAACTTCCATACCCATTTCGTGGCCATGTTCTCGAGGAAGAAAGATGCTCTACCTCTGATGTTGCTTCATGGCTGGCCAGGCAGCTTTCTGGAGTTTCTTCCTACTCTGGACAAGTTACGCAAGAGATACCTGGCCGACGATCTACCGTATCACCTCATCGTACCATCTCTCCCAGGTTACGCTTTCTCAAGCCCTCCTCCTGTCGACAATGAATTCGGAATTGAGGATGTCGCAAGGGTGATGAATCAGCTCATGCTCAACCTGGGCTTCGACAATGGATACATGGTGCAGGGTGGAGATGTTGGAAGTAAGATTGCCAGAGTCATGGCTGTGAAGCATGATACGTGCAAAGGTAGGTGATATGCAACTACTTTCAGAGCCATGCTAACATTCACAGCTATCCACAGTAAGTTGCAGGACGAAACTAACTATTGTAATACTGACAAGACAAGTCAACTTTTGCATCATGGAATACTGCCCTGATGACATAAGCAACATGGACTGCTCTGCAACCGAGGAGGAAGGTCTGCAGAGGGGACGCGAGTTCCTCAGGACCGGCAGTTCGTATGCCGTTCAACATGCCACAAAGCCGAGCACAATCGGCTTCGTGCTCTCAAGTAACCCTGTCGCTTTGCTAGCTTGGTAACTTTTATGAATCTTTTTGGCATGCTCAGCACTCATCAAAATCTAGGATCGGTGAAAAATACCTCGCTTGGACTGAAGAAGACCCACCTATGTCCCTGATTCTTGAGTCCGTCAGTCTATACTGGCTCACTCAATGTGCTGCCACATGTCTCTGGCCATACCGCATCGTAAGTGACTACTAAGCTGATCCTCGGCTCCAACGCTAACAATCTCTTCGTAGTTCTACACGCCCGGCGTCAACGGCAACCCGCACAACATGGCCAAGTACAAGATACCCGCCTCGAAGCCGTTCGGCTATTCTTACTACCCTCATGAGTTGTACCCAGTTCCCAGATCATGGGCCGCAACTACAGGTAATCTGAGCTTCTTCCGTGCTCACGGAAAGGGCGGACATTTTGCTGCTGTTGAGCAGACTGAGGCGTTCTTGAAGGATCTTGAAGAGTTTGTGCAGGAAAGTCGTGGAGCTGCTGGATTTGATGACTCGGAGTGAGAACAACACCCACTCCCGAAGGCCATGATTGGCCAATTATAACCGGAACACGTCGCCGGCGACTCACCGGTTCCCATTGCTGTCTGATGCAGCATCGTAGGAAGACTAGTAATATTAGCCGAGTCTTGGCAAGTGCCGATCAGGGGTCTTTTACCAACAATCATCATGACTTTGCAGTCATTCTACCTTCACTTCTTATCCGTTCGCATCTGAAGAAGTACAGACCAAAAGCTGGTCAAGAGTCTTTGAGTACCTTGTGGCCATCTGAAAAGCCGCGATAGTTGTAGGATGACAGCAGTGATCAACATGGCGGGAACGTTACGGTCCGAGCATATGCAGGTCAATATAATCGCGAATCCTTCAAGAATCCTTCTATTTTCTTGAAGAAAGTGTTGTCTTTCTTTGTCTTCCTCCCATTGTCACAGAAAATCGGAGACTACCTCTTGTATTGAACCAGACATGCAGGGCACTTACGATCTGGTGGTCATTGGAGCAGGTAAGCCCACGCAGCACTCTCAACATTGAGCAAACACCAACTGAATTTCATCAGGTTGGTATGGCCTTGCTGTCGCTGCCACGTATCTTCAAGTCAACCCTGATGCCACAATCCTTGTTCTCGAGGCACAGTCGACTGTGGGTGGAGTATGGAGTGAAGAACGCCAATATCCGGATTTGAAGTCCAATAACATGCTCGGTACATACGAATATCCGGACTTCCCGATGGACACAAAGACCTACGGAGTCAAGCCTGGCGAACACATTCCTGGACATGTGATCCATCGCTATCTCAGCGACTATGCGAAAAAGACTGGAGTTTACGCGCGCATCCAATTCGAGACCAAAGTGCTCGAAGCCTCTAGGAATTCGAATGGAGAAGGATGGACTTTGACCACCGACTCATCCAACCTGGCCACGCTATCCACGAGAAAGCTTGTCGTAGCCACCGGTCTAACCTCCGAACCTTTCATCCCTTCCTTCACCGGCGCAGAACTCTTCACAAAATCCAACGGCCTGCTAATCCACTCTCGCGATTTCAACAAACACACTTCCCATCTCTTCAACAAGTCCACCTCCGTGACCGTCCTCGGTGGCTCAAAATCAGCCTGGGATGTCGCATACGCCTGCGCCACCCGTGACGTACCTGTAAACCTCGTCATTCGCTCCTCAGGCCAAGGACCAACTTGGATGGCACCACCCCACGTAACACCCTTCAAAGCATGGTTGGAAAAACTAGTCCATCGACGCTTTTTGACCTGGCTTTCCCCCTGCATCTGGGGCGATGAAGATGGTTTTTCTACGATCAGAAAGCATTTGCATACGTCGTGGTTGGGCAGGAAGACGGTGGATGCGTTTTGGTGGGTTCTTTCTTCCGATGCTAATGCATTGATGGGGTGGGATAGGCATCCAGAGACGATGAAATTGAAACCTAGACATTCGGCTTTTTGGACGGGGAGTGGATTGGGGATCTTGAATTTCGAAGGTGATTTCTTGGGGTTGGTGAGGGAGGGGAAAGTCAAGGTGTTTTTGGCTGATGTTGAAGGGTTAGGAGAGGGTGTTGTGAGGCTCAGTGATGGAACGGAGCTGGTTACTGATGCTGTTGTTTGCGCGACTGGGTGGAAAGCACGTCCGCCGATCAAGTTTTCTCCTGAAGGTATGGATGCGGAGCTCGGGCTGCCTAGTAACGCGACGCAGATGTTCTCGCAAAAAGACATCGCGGCAGCTGACGCAGAGGTCTTGTCTCGCTTCCCGAAGCTGCGAGAGCAGCCCAAGACGCCTATTCCCGGTGGCGACACTTCCGCCGACGACACGACTCAGCCCTTCACTCTACACCGCTTCATGGCACCACCCAAGCACATGCTAGAGGGCAACGACATCGCTTTCGCAGGCATGATAACTACAATTTCCACGCCCCTCTGCGCTTACCTTCAAGCACTATGGATAACCGCGTACCTCTCCAACAGTCTTTCGCGTCTGCCTTCCTCAACCCTTGAAGCCGGGAAGACCGCCCTGCTACACTCAAGGTTCGGAAGATGGAGGTATGCTTGTGGGTATGGAGCCAGGTTTCCGGACTTTGTGTTTGATGCTGTGCCCTACCTGGACATGTTGATGAGAGATTTGGGGATCAAAGAAAAGAGGAAAGGAGGATGGATGAGTGAGATCTTTGAGGCGTATAGACCGGAGGACTACAAGGATGTCGTTGGTGAGTGGAGCGAGATGCAAAAGAAGCAGCAATAGTGTTGGATTATGCATGAGCCGGCATCGAACTCAATGGACAACTATGTGGATTCGTAGCTGTGCAGATCTACTGAGTCCATGAATAGGTTTACTTGCGTGCATGATATTTGTGAGCGATCTGGTCAGAGCCGCCGTGTTATCTGGAGTAGGCTCCCCCGTTGAAGGCTGAAGCCTAAGCAGATGCCATCCAGAACTCGCTGCTAGAGCGAGATAGGGCGATTACAGAACAGCGCGCAATTGCTCTAGAACTCTAGGGGCCACCACCTACCACGTGTTGACATGTGAGAGTATGCGACCTCATCTGCTGCTGGTTAACTACTTGCCAAACTTTATATCTTGACCGTTGGACTCGTTCGCAGGTGACAGGACGGAAAGTGCCTTGTTCTGTGCGTTGTGCCGACAGCGAGACGTCAAACCGCGCATGTCGCAAATTCAAAGATCCTCCAGACACTCTAGACTTCCTGGATAGGATGTCGCATCAGTGCTGACGGTTTGGAGTTGTGTTCCCTGCTGTACTCCGTAGCCATGAGGTTGAGAGGACAGAAATTCATCGACGCGGCGGGAATCTTGTGACTAATGACGTCGAGGTGAATCTGGAGAGGCATCGAAAGGACAAAGTACTTCAAATTGCGATGGCTCTTTGGTCAGATGTATTCCCTTGTTGAAGAAAGTGTGCGCAGGTAAGCAGCTTCACGACTCGACCGTGGAATGTCATGTGATCAGATTCGGGGTCTTGGCATTGTTCTCCTCGTTCGCAAACTGGAAAGCGCAACTTCAAGGGCTCCCCTCTCCTGATATACAAGCGATTGGTACTTGCACGTCGTCAGAACGCTTCACGAGCATTACAAGCATGTTCGAGCATCGCCGACAGCCGGACGCCAATGCTTACGTGCGAAAGCATCTGACCGTTAAATGTGATAGAGGCGTCGTGCGACACGAGAAAGCAGTTTGAAGCATATACACGCATCGAGCCTCTCCCGCTTTCGACCTTCCCATCTCCATTGCGTTCCGCTCGCAAGCCGGCCGATCAGAACCATCGTAACGAGCGCTGGAACAACGTTAAGAGATGGGTCAGGATGACAAGACGATACAGGACTCGACCGACAATGCTCTATAACGACAGCGTAGCGACGATGGCTTTCGACCATTCTTCGCACTCTTATGTTGCAGACGCATGGACATGTCTTTTGCTGTTCAATTCGAAATCCGCGTGCAAGTTGGCGTGATGCACGCCTAGATACGTACCGAAGACAAGCAAATTGGAACTGCACGCCACGACAGTGCCAATCTATATCGATACTCTATCACGTCTAATGGGGCGCCATGCAGGACAAATACCAGACGCCGAATTCCAACCGCTCTCCGATTCGGTATTGTACACGGACGGGTTCATGCAATTGTGGATCGTGAGCGACTCTGTTCGTCTTGCGATCGACAGTTCTACGATTCGGCCATTGTAATGCCGTATGCCGAAGAAGCTCTTACTACAGGATCCTTCTAACGGTTTTACTGCTCTAGACGTCGGGCAGACTTCATCTTCCAGAATCAGACCCCTTGTGGGGAACTGCAGGGCCAGAAGGCAGGTAACCTGGGGAACAAACTCTGTTTGCCGAAGATGTCTGAACCGTCTCCTCTGGATAAGAACTCATGTACAGTGTAGGTCTGGTTGCGCTTGAAGGTAAGAAAAGTGTTACCCGTATTCAGATCTGTATTGAGTCGACGCAATGAATTCTTCTGTAGTATGCTACAACACCGGTACATGCTGAACAGCAAAGGTAGGCTGTGCTATATCCCTAGCAAATCACACAAGTCTAAGACCTTACTACCTTTAAACAGCAGGACGTTGTGTAGGGCACAACGGTGATATGAAAAATCCGACGCCACGGCCTAACGGTCTTCTAGATCACAACGTCAACATGCCCGAACCTCTTCTCTGGCATCATAGCATCTACCCAGCCAAGTGGTTTAGTACGTGATCAGCAAACTATCTACTGATTCACCGACGATGCGATACCAGAACCGGTGGGGACGGCTTTCACTATCAATTTTTTCGCTGAAACATTCGGGCGTTCTGGTCAACTCGCCTCATATATAACTATGCTTCGCCATACAGTACCCCCGTACGGTGCGATCTCCTAGCAATCTCCAACAACCCAAAATGCGTTTCATCGACACCGCCATCCCGCTCTTTGTGGGTTTGTCTGCTCTTGCCGAAGCGCAGGATGTTGACTTCGGCAAAGTCTACTCGGTTAAGCCGCAATTGAAGTCGGCCAGTAACACCGGATCATCCACATCGTCAGTCAACACAGCCTCGACTGCCTCCTCCATCGTCTCGGTCTTGAGTTCTCGCCATGCTGCAACTATGGTGCCTTCGGGGTCGTCTTCTTCTTCTCAGAAGTCGTCAAGCTCTGCCAAGGCTAGTAGCAGCTCCAAGTCATCGAGCTCTGCCAAGTCAAGCAGCGCATCCAAATCATCGGCTGCCTCTTCCAGGCAGTCATTGAGTAGTGCACAGAGCAGCTCCAGCAAGTTATCGAGCAAGTCATCGAGCAAGTCATCTTCTTCGGTCAAAGCACCCACGACCTTGAGCACACAGAAGGCCACCAGCTCGACGAAACAGTCATCATCCTCCACCAGCAGTAAGACTTCTTCATCTTCCGCTGCTGCGACCAACCTTTGTCCTGCTGTCAACAACAAGGATATCACCGACTCCAAGGGCAAGGTGTACACCATCAAGTGTTCCTCGGATACCAATGTCGGCTCATTCACCAGCAAGTCGGCCACCAACTCCTACACTGATTGTATGACTATCTGCGATACCACCTCTGGATGCGTTGCTTTCTCGTATGTCGGTGGTGATAACGGAAGCGGCTCAGGCACGTGTTGGATGAAGAATTCAGCTGGCAGCGCCATCGCTGCTGGCAAGAACTATGTTGCAGGCTTCTTGAAGTCAGCCACTGTTAACAAGGGCAAAGCATCTGTTTCCAGCAGCAAAAAGTCATCTTCCTCATCCAAGATGGCTACTTCGTCAAAGAAGGCTTCCTCGTCTTCGGCCAAGGTCAGCACTTCGGTCAAGAAGGTCACTTCAACTTCCAGCAAGCGATCTACGTCAACCTCTACCAAGTCAAGCTCAACCAAAGTCAAGCGTGCAACAGCCACTACTTGCTCCAACCCAAATTCAATCCTCTACAACTACGCCCCTAACCCCAACACACCCACTCAATTCTTGGTCGACTCAACCCTGGCTGCCTTGTCTGCTGCACAATGGTATCCTCCCGCCGGTTACAGCACTAGCTTCACTGGACAGTTCGGTGGTCTTTTCGCACCGAACTATCTCGGCTACCAACAGCTCTCTTCCTATAACACTAGCGCATGTGCTGCCTACTGCAATGCCCGCTCTGACTGCAATGCTTTCAACATTTACTTCGAGCGCACGCCTGTCTTCATTCCCGATGACTCTTGCCCGAGTCCCAACGCTGCTGCGACCATCACTTGCGCACTCTACGGCAGCTCTGTCGATGCTTCGACTGCCACCAACATCGGCCAGTACCGTAAGGACTTCATGGTTGTCATCCAAGGATCTAATGGCTACAACCTCAACCCTGCTCCCGCTTCCGTTTCGTCGTTCCAAGGTCCCAATGCTCTTGATGCGGTTGCTTACAGCAGCGGTATCTACTTGGCTCAGCAGTACTTTTCGACATACGATGTTACACAGTGCAGCGCTGCTTGTACCGCCTATACAGCAAAGTCGAAGTCGACTGCTCAGAGCAACAAGGCTTCGACCTACTCACCTTGCAACTACTTCAACGTCTTCAACTTGACGCTGAATGGACAGTCGCAGATGATGGGATGTTATTTGTTCAGCACTTCGGATGCCCAAAACTACGACACCTACAGAACCGCAAAGGGCAGTGATGGTACCGTCTACAACCTGACCAACTCATACGGATATGCTCTCTATCCCCAAGACAAAGGTCTGACCAGTGTCACTTGGTCTGCCGCACCCACCGGCACCGGCGCTTCTTGTGCATCTCTTGGCAAGGCCGGCGATGCTCTGATTGATTACAACACTGTCAACTACACTCTTGGTTGCGGTTACGATGTTCAATACTCTAACGATATCGGTAACCAGACCACTCCTGACTTCTACTCTTGCTTCGCTATCTGCGACAGCGGCGCCTACCCCGGATGTTCTGGTTTCGCTTATCTCGGCAACACTTGCTACTTCAAGAACCTAACTGGTTCGTCTCGCACACCTCAGCTGGACAACTACAATGTCGACATGGCATGGCTTCCTGCCTCTTATGCTGGTTTCGGTGCCTCTACTGTCGCAGCAACTGTCACCTTCACAACTACCACTATTGCATGGACTGGTGCCTCGACTACAACTGTCACATCGATCAACGGTCTTCAAGGAACCATTATCGTCGAGACTCCCGGAAAGGTCACAGCTGCAACTACCACCACCTACGTCACTACCGCCATTGAATCGGGTACTGCGTCTACTATCGCAACCCAGACCATCGCTCCTACCGGTACTGGCAAGACCGGTACTGTCCAAGTCATCTACCCCACGCCTGCCACTACCTGCGGAAACAAGGGTGCTTTGGCAGGATTGTACTCCAACACTTTCTCCAACCTGCAAGGCACTACCAGCTACCCTGCCTTCAAGCCCGAGTCTTTCAAGACAAAGACTCCTTACGCCATCCAGACTGCTTCATACATGGGCGAGTACAACTATCTCAACACTGCACCTACTGTTTATGGCAAAGCCCTCACATACGCCCAGGCCAGCGTCCTGACTCTCAACCACGTCTTCTATCTCTTTGCAGGCCACGGTACTGGCTATTACAGCATCAACTTGCCTCAAGCTGATGACATCACGCTCGTCTGGATTGGTCAGAATGCCTTGTCTGGCTACACACGTGCAAATGCAAATATGTTGCAGACCTATGTCCAAGGCACCCCCACCCCTGTCACGCTCGCCTTCTTCCTCTCTGCAAACACATACACGCCAATCAGAGTCATCTTTGGTAACGGAGCAGAAGTCGGTAACTTCCAAATGAATATGTATGCCCCAGATGGCACCCAGATTCTTGGAAGCAATGCTGGTACCAATACCGGTATGATGAACCCGGATATCGTCCAGTTCCCTTGCGACACCACTCTGGGCGGCAAGTTCGCTGCTTTTGGCAAGGAGACTTGATCCTTTTTCCTTTGTTACTTCACGCTAGATAGACTTCTCTTCACTGTTTTAACTTTCTGCATCTACATGGTATATCATTTTATCAATATTATTCTTTTACTTCATCAAATTTCATCTCTTGCACCATTGAAGTATCAGGCCCGTACTTAAAGAAGATGCTTCTGTCTCCTTATATGCAATGATGCCAGCGTGGAATACCGTGGAGTCAGTTCCATCAGACAAACGAGACAACAAAGTCACTCTAAACAAGACAATCACAAAGCGTGCCGTCACAATATTTCGACCCACAGCTCTGATGAATGATGTAGGTCTGGCCCTTGCTTCTCTTTCCCGCTCACCATACATATTCGTTTGTAAAATTGTCCTTGGGCTGATGTCAGTGACGAGAACGGAGATTCAATGGAAGGTAACTCTCGTGGTTCGGGATTCATGGTGTTTCTCAGTGATGCATTTGATGTGTGGTTGATTTGGGATGGGTTGTGGTGCAGGATAACGTGGACCCAACATGGAGTGCAGAATAGAACCATCCACACTGACGAAAGGAATTCTTCAAAAGTGTGAATTGAGTAGTTGCGCAGACGCAGGCTCGGAAATTGGGGCGACGCACATTTTCTTACACTACCACCCATTTCTCAACATGCCTCGAGATTGGCCACATCTACTTGTTCAGACTCGCAACGACTAAACCTTCAATGTCGACTGATATCTTCGCCGGACATCCATCACACCCCCGATTGCAATGGCGCAAGCACTCTCAACGGCATCCACCCCTGCATCGCATCTCCACCCCTCAACAACGCCCTGATCTCTGACGGATGGATCCAGAAGAACACAACCATTGTTCCCAACATCAGCACCGCATCAAACACATACAACGTCCACTCATGCTCAACAATATACCCACTGCTGCCTCCCTGAATATACTCAATCAAGCGATAAAGCGAGCGCACCAGAATCAACCCACTACCCACATACAACGCCGTAAGATGTTTCTTCCAAGGCAACGGCATAGCCATAACCTTCGTGGTCGGATCCGCACTCATGCGTTTATGAAACACCACAGCGCTGACCATGAAGAAACCGAAAAACAGCAGTTGCAGTACCAGACCACCGATGATGACTTTGTTTCCAGAACTGTTGCCTTGAGCTAGCATTCCACCACCACCACTTTGTGCGAGAAAGGATAGGACATCTCCTAGTACGAAAATCTTTGTGAGCTTTTTGCGTCCGATTATGGAGCGGGAGGAGCCTTCTGTGAGGTCGAGGATGCGGCCGAGTTCCATGTATATGCTTGCGGCGAAGAGGGTGGGTGCGAGAAGTAAGAAGAGGGATTGTAGGATATATGGCATCAAAGTGTAGTCTGGGTGTTGATCTGCGGATTTGGCTCGGGCGGCATAGCCGATGACTTCGACTGTCGGTGGGTCAGCAAGACGGTTGAGGGGAGGATGAGGAGGAGCACTAACAGAGACCGCCGATTACGAAGGGGATGAAGAACCAGGTTCGTGTGCGGAAGAGTTGCCAGGTGTGCAGAATGGTGATGACGATGAAGATGAGGCAGGCTATGATAGCAGCTGCTTTCGATGGCAGGTATTCGTAGTATGAGAAAGCCATGGTCGAGGATGGGTGTCTCGAAATGATGGAGTCGAAGAAGGCTTCGTATGGATGTGTTCTCAGATTCTTAGCAAAGTCGCAGATGGAAGATTGGAACTGATTGGGTTGACGACAATAACCATAAAGGAGTGTGCTTTACGAAGAGAGTGAGAGTAGAACGCTGGACGAAGAAGAAAAGCGATGGAGCATATATCACCTCCTCCTGATGCAAACAAACCCCGTCTTCTGCGGCGCCAACATCTCTTACATCGTATCCCGAGATTGACAATCAGGTTGCGCAGCAGCTATGCTGCAGACAAGTGGCCCACCATCGGTTTCAATACGGCGTATACCGGAAGATGAAACACGATGAAGCTCGGTGTATATACGGTATGGCTATCAAGTGCATGTTTGTGAACGCATGTGCATTGTATAGTGGTTTTCACCTGGGAAGGAGAACCGAGATCAAGCGTGTTGAGTGGCAGACAAATTGAAGTCGGAGGAATTGCTGCTGCAGAGGATGCGTTTGAGTTTTCGTCGTATTGACCGTATTCGCGATGCGACGAGAGATGATGTAGCGCCAGAATTGCGCAAACCGTCAACGTTGCAGCGACCCTGTCGGGAGAGAGCCGCTTACTAATCGACGGACCTCCACCTACTAGACGCACACTACACTCCCCGCTCACTGCGCGCGCTAGTAAGCTTCGCAATTGAATCGCAATCATGGCCGACGGACAAGGACTTGACGACATCGATGCTGGTAAGTATATACATTTTGCAGATTTTTTGCACGTTGTTGACAAGTTCCTAGCTGACATCGAGTCCAACTACGATGAGACCACCGACTCCTTCGATGCTATGAACCTTAAAGCCGACCTTCTGCGTGGAATCTACGCGTATGGTTTCGAGCGTCCGTCTGCTTTCCAGCAGCATGCTATCATGCCAGCCATAAAGGGTGAGTACAAGTCGCAATCTTATGCTAGACTCATGCTCACGATGTCGAAAGGCAAGGACGTTGTTGCGCAGGCGCGGTCTGGTTCCGGGACGACTGCTGCCGTCTCTATCTCCGTCCTTCAAAAGATCGACCCCAATATTAAGGCATGCCAGGTCTTAATCCTTGCCCCAACCCGTGAACGTGCACATCAGATTCAGAAGGTCATTGCTACTATCGGTGGCTTTACAAATGTTGAATGCTACGCTTGCATTGGTGGTACTCGCATAGAGGATGATACAAAGGCTCTTCGGGATGGGCGATGGTCAGTAGTCGTTGGCACCCCTGGCCGTGTCCATGACATGATTCACCGCCGTGCTCTCTGTACCGACAACACAAAGATGATCGTGCTCGACGAGGCCGATACCATATTATCCCGCGGTTTTGCTGAGCAAGTACACGAAATCTTCGGGATACTTTGTCAGAGCACGACCACCCAGGTCGTTCTCTTCTCCGCTACCATACCTCAGGACGTGCTAGAGGTCATCACTGAGTTCATGCGTAATCCAGTCCGCATCACAATTGAGAAGTACGAGACTTGCCTTAAAGGTATCAAACATTTCTACGTTACCGTCGAAAACGAACAAGAAGACTGGAAGGTCGACAGCCTCTCCGATCTTCGCAAGACCATCACCAACAGACAGGCGGTGATTTTCTGCAACACTCGTGGGAAGGTCGAATGGCTTACCGATAAGCTTACTGCCCGCGACTTTGCTGTCTCGGCTATACACCGTGACATGGACGCGCCCCAGCGTGATAACAGTATGAGGCAATTCTTTTCTGGCTCTCACGTCCTGGTCGCTACCAACATGCTCGCCAATACGATCGACGTCCAGCAGGTCCCTCTTGTTATCAACTATGATCTCCCAGCCAACCTAGAGGACTACATTCGCCGTGTCGGACATGACGGTGGCGGTCGACTCGGACGTAAGGGTGTCGCCATCAACTTCGTGGCCGCTGACGAACTGCGCACGATGCATGAAATTGAGCAGTTCTACGGCACTCAAATAGAGAAGATGCCGACAAACTCTGCTGGTAGTAATTTTTCTGCGTTCTATGATGTCGTAGTTACTAATTCGCTTCTTAGACCTCTTCTAAGCGTATAAGCGCCCTTATCTTACTACTACCTTCTGTTCGACTAAGTTAGAAAAATTTAGCTTAGGATAGACTCGTTAGCCCGCGAGGTACTACTAAGAGATGATGTAACGCTAGAACTGCATAAACCGTCACTGTTGCAGTGACCCTATCGAGATAGAGCGGAAAACCTCGACTTCTCACAACGCTCTTACTACTGTTCAAAGTCCTGAAATCATTCTCTTGTAGTGGTCGATCGAACCTAAACCACTACAAATCGAGAGAACGGTAATGTGTATACAAAGCTAACTAACAAACCCAGATTAAATACCATCATCCCTTCCATTCCAAGCAACTCCATCATGCTAATTCCAAGAGCACAAAACCAAAGAAGTGAAGAAAACAGTATAACACGCGGTAGCATGATCAGTCCCCTTGATACAGGTAGCATCCCCCAACTTCGGACAAGTTAGATTACCCACCACATCTCCTTCATCAGCATCGTGTTCGTTTTGCGTCTCGGCGTACGAACAAGTGTCTCCATAAGCACGAACCGTGGCAATGCTTGACTTCATCTCCGGCACTTCTGCATCTCCGACGTAAGTTTCTTTCTCCGACACAAGATTGATACCATTCATGCGGCACACTTCCCAGTCAGTGCCTTCGGGTCGCTCGAATCCGGCGAGTCCAGTGATGAGCTTGAATGGCTCGTGATTCGGACCAAGCTGCTGTTGGCTGTGGAAGTAGAATTCGAATTCACCGGGATATTCGTCGTTGTTGTATGAGAATATTGGTGGGGTAGTGGTGGGGGGAGGAGGCACATCCACCGTGGTATGGGGAGGAGGTTTGTCCACCGTGACATAGGTTGTCGTTGTGGTTGGCGGGGGTGGGGTGTGAGTAGGAGTTGGCAGAGTGGTTGTGATTGTGACAACGGAGATGGGGATTGAGCTGGTCTTTGTAGTGGTTGACGACTCTTTCGTGGGTCCTGACACAGTACCGGTCGATGTCCCCAGGCCACTCGTCGGGCCGGTGTATACCTTGGAGTCAAGACTGACATAATCAAAGTCGGCGTACTGTCCCATGGCGTACGAGGAATCGCATCCAGAGTCACCGTTGGCGCAAGGATCATAGTCATCATTCGGGCAGACGAAATGTTTGTAGACAGAGCCATCTGTGAATGAGCCACCTGATCCAAGCCCGAGGGCGTTAGCGACTGCTTGACGCCCTTTAATGCGAGGTTGATCATCAGTACGTCTCCTGGAGGACACTTGGACACCGCTTTTTGCAAGCCCGCTATGCCAGTTTCCAAGCTTGTTTGCAGCTAGTCCAATCAAGCTTCTGAGATGTTGGACAACACGGCCATCAAGCCCACTCGACGAGGAGTCCTGTCCATGGTGTTGCTCATCTCTCGTCTCCCACGTGTTCTTGTCAAGAGTTGTCTCGTTACTGGAAGCAGCGAGATCACGCTTAACAGGATTTCCACCTGGGACGTCGAAGCATCTGAGGTTGATGCCATTCACTCCAGGGTCAGATCTTGGACTGCCTTCGCCATATTCGACACCATTTGAGTCATCATTCGCCCATCCACCCAAGGCTTCATTCCATATCTTTGTGCCGGGTGAAGGATGAAGGCAGTACTGTGGTGGAAGGTCCATAAGTTGGTCAGGTTCGTTTGGGACGCGTTTGACGACTTTTTGTGTCTTTCTTCCAGCGACGACATCGAACCAAGGATCCCATAACTGATACCTGATGGTCCTTGGTGGCAAAGGTCCAGTGTATCCTTGATTGGCCAGTGTGAACTCGATTCCTAGAAACGGTAAGTTGGTCTCTAGTCCTCCCCGTGCGGAATTGCACCAAGGGTATTCATAACTCACCATAAGGCTCTGCACATCTGTTGTGGGCTGTAGAGTCAAGTAAGTAACCGGCATCGTCGTTCGTGGTGGGAGTGTTCTTAAAATCGACACCTTAAAACATGTTAGTCAAGTGTACCATGTTTAGGTTACAACTTAGTGATGAAAGCTCTTGACTTGGTATCATGCGTGCCAGTTTGAGCTCTGTCCTTGGATGTCGAATACTTACAGTAAATGAGACCATCGGCCAGTTCGAAAGGGCTCAGACCAGGGCCTATTCCGAGAGCAGTTTGAGCGTCGTTTCCAGCGGTCCTGTAGAAGTTCGAAAGGTCTCGTCCTGCTCCACCATTCTCACTGCGATATATAAGTCTGTTGACTGAACGAGTGTTCATGACGTTGGTCCTTGGTTTGCTTTTGGTTGGATGCCCACTACCAAAAGGATATTCTTCGATTTCACAGCCAATTAACCCCCAACCGGTCTTGGGAAATTCATCGCCGTTCCGAATCCTGTTAGCATAGTCAACGCTGACAGAACCTTTCCAACCATATTTACCCTGAGCCCAGATCTCGGTATCGTGGAAGTCGGCGTTTGCCTTGTACGTCAGGACACTCGTTCTTCCCCTCGAACTGATGGCCGATCGTGCATTTGCACAGACATTAGGAAAGCCAGTCACAGGATCGCCATCGCATGTGTACGTTCTGTGGCATATACCATTGAACGGCGGATTGGCTTTGTAGTAAGGTACTGCCGGAGGATTAGGACAAGCTGCCTTTGGCTTTGGTGCTCTCGGCAAGAGTCCAAACATGTTTAAGCCATCGGACCTTTTGCCTAGTGGCTGCCAGGAATCGCCACTATCACAGCAGCTTTGAGCTGCGCTGATCAAGTCTTCTGCTGACGCTGGATCTTCATCTGCAACTCTCTGACAGGAGAAGATTGCATCGTCGCCCCCGAGCAAATCGAGAAGACCACTGTCCACTCCGCAATCAACAGTACCTGAGCTAGGGTTGTAAAAAGGGAAATTTCCGTTGGCACAGAGCCCTGTTGACGTACTGAGAGAGGCATCGCATTTCTCGTCTTCTTCCTCGTCATCTCCGCAGCCTTCATCTCCCTCCTGACATTCTTCACTGCCTGGAGGTGGACCTGGGGGCGGAGTCGGTGGTTCAGGGTCGTTGCTGTCAGGCCAATCGGTATTGTGAGGGGTGCAATTCAGAAGACAAGGCCCATGACAGAAAAGCTTGCAGCGGGTGCCACAACCGAACAGACTTCTGCAGGTCGGGGAAGGTCGGCCTGTATGGATGGTGACAAGCGTTGGTGTGTGAGACGATGTGCGGTGTGTCACGACTGCGCCTCCGCTGGAGGACGAGGTTGTCGTTGAAGAGGGTCGATTGGTTGGCGTAGGCTCTTGATTGGGAGTGGTGAAAGAGTAAGGGTAAGGCGGGGGAGTGATGGTCTGGGTGTTGAGAGGATGGGTTACGCCGCTCTTTCTCTCAGGGTTCGGATCATCGGTGATCACAAATGGCGAAGGCTGTATACTTTCTGTCACATATATCACAGTGTTGTTGGGATCCTTGGCAGTCGGATTGGGAAAAGGTACTTCCCAGTATGGAATGGCCGTGGTAGTAACAGCAGGAATTGTGAGAGTGGTGGTTTGGACGGTACGCGTGACAGTCTTGGAAGAGGTTTTTCGGCCACTTGTGTCGGTATAGGTAACTGTGGTCGTCCAAGCTACATTCAGAGAAGTGGTGTAAAGCGGGAATGTGATGGTTGTAGTGGTAGAAAGCTGAAAAGGCGGAAGGATGAAAGTACACGGTGGTTGACACTGGATGGTAGGGTCTTCCTCGGTCCAGACACTGGGATCAATGAAGACGTAGGTATTATTACCATCGGTTGTAACGCCATCAGAACTGTTTCCCGGGACATATCCGCCGATATCTGCACCTGTATCACCAAGAGGAGTCCATACTGAAACTTCAGTGGTGTACTGTTCCTGGGTGTCATTCGAGTAAACAGGCAGAATACCACCCAAAGGGCTGGCGACCTCAATAGCTCCTTTCGTGAACAGGTTTAGAACCCATACTCCCTGTGAGTAACTCGTCTCAACAAGACGCTGTTGACAAGATTCCGTCGTCAAACAGCCCTGTGTGAAATCGAAGAAGAAACTGTATAGACCGGCGCCATAGACGAAGATATCTGTGGAGTTCAGGATTCTCAAAGCATAAGCTTCTTCACAGTTGTCCTGAGAGCTATCACACATCGGATAAGTGGGATCTTCTGTGAATTTTCCGATGGTGAATGGCTTGGTAGCCGGTGGGTTCGGCTGGAAATATGGTGTCTCTGTTTGCATGCATCCAAGATAGATATCCTTGGCTCCAACGAGTTGGTATTGATAAAGCACGTTGTGCTCCACAGATGAGCCGTAGAACCAACTTGGTCCTTGCGACTCAATCAGGAAGCCACGGCCGGCATACACGTTGAGCTGGGTAGATGTGGTCGTGTTACCTTCCACAGGAAGATCGAGGTCGTGATCTGCAGTCCAACCCCAAATGTTCTCAAAGTAACCAGATGACTGCTTGGTAACGTGCATCAACAAAGAAGCGGCAATGCATTTCGGGTCGACATCTGAAGCACCTTTAGGGCAGTCTTTGAACTGAAGGCGTGATTTAGCAGCTCCACCGACGCGGAAGTGACAATCCCACATTCCAGCTAAAATCTGTCAGCACTTCGTGTGGCATACTCTTCCACATGTACGGCGGATTGCTTACCAGATCCCTGAGACGTTGCCTTAACATTCCACTCCACCAAGATCGCACCCGCAGTGGCGCCCTGAACCGTGAACATCAGATCAGAGAGTTCAACCGTGCCGGAATCGCCGGGCTTGCCCACACGAAACATGACTTTAGGGTCAGTCTCGTCCTCAAAGTAAGATCCTGAAGCCATAATCTGTGACCAAGCAGAACCAACGATTTTTGAGCCGACAGGAACCTCAACAGTACCCTTGACGATATAAACGCCAGCGGGAAAGAAAACAAGAGAGCCGACCGAGCTTGAGAGGATGGAATTGATCAAAGAAGTCTGATCTCCAGTGCCATCATTCTTGACTCCTTTGCTCAGCACATTGACAACATCACCAGATCCCAGAGATGCATACTGAGGTCGAGATACAGCGAACAGGTTGTTGTTGGAGTTCAAGGACGATGATCGCTTCGGGTTGGGACTGATGTAGCCATGAGTGTTGTTCCCCTCATCGTTGATATCTTGGAAGCGATGGCCCATGGCCCAACCGTTCACAGTCAGCGAATCACCTTGGGTGACTTCCAGAAGGGAATCTGCATTTCCAGAATAGAAAACGATCTGATGCGAGTTTGGTCCATCCACGAGCAAATTGTCGAGATACAGTGCAGGGTATGGCCCGCCAGCAGTCAACCCAATAGCGTATGGAACACTGTTGAAATGCGAATCGATAATGGACATTGAGCCTGTTCCTTGGCCGTCGATGCCTCCAAAGTTCGAGCAATCGAAAGCTTGATAGCAGTTGTTGACCGTGATGCTTTGCCACACCCAGCCCCAATTCCAAATTGAGCTGACTGCTGTCAAGCAACTGTTGAAGACGAGATTCCGTGCTGTCATCTGCTGAGAGCCGGCACGATAACCAATGTTTCCATAGTTGAACGTGAGATCGCTCACGAAGCCACCGGATCCGTTTTCTTGGAAGATGCCAACAGCCTTGGTACTGTTACTTCCAGAGTTGACTACTTGACCAGAGACTGGCATGTTGAACACAATGTTTTGCAGAGAAGTTGCTTGCGCTACTTGCCAATGAATGCCGCAAGGGACATATGTCTGATCTCCTTGGACGATGTCATTTGGCATTTGTGTCAAGTCGATGATGAAATTGCGAATCTGGCGGTAGAATTGATTCTGGTTGATATACCATTCATCTCCGTTTGCTTTCGGGATGTATACGTCTGTATCGATCAGAGCTATGCCAGAGAAGTTCGTGGAGCCTTTGATTGTAGGAGGGTCTTGAGGATTGCCAACAAATTGAGTATAATAGTATCTTGAGCGAAGTCAGCAACGTCCGTTCACACTTGAAAACATGAGACTGACTGGATGATAGGAGTGGTGACCAGATATGTACCAGGTGGGAAGTAAACCAAGGCACCTAGAACGCTTGTAGAGCCGCATCCCTCACCACATCGGTCTCCGTCGCTAACAGCTCTGTTGATCGCAGCAGTGTCATCAGTGATACCGTCGCCCACGGCTCCATACTCGGTGACGTCGCGAAAGAATTTGTAGCCCGAAGGTGCGTAAGGCATCTGGAAGAATCAGTGCGTGATAACTGGTGTGAGGCTTTGATCGAGACTGTACCTGTCCTTGGTCACCCATTTCTGCCAACCAGTAACCTGAAGCTCGACGATTGAGAACACTGTTCAGAGTATGATCCAGAGTTTTGCCCGCGGCATCCGTGACATTGCTGATTGTTCTGTTCAGGTCGTTAAAGATTGAAGTGACAGGTCCATTGAGTACGCCTTTATCTGGCGCGGCTCCGAAGGTGTTTCCCTGATTGTCGACCATATAGGAAGGAGGGGGTGAGGGCAACCCGGGCGGCATTCCCTGGAGCTCTACCATTTGGCTCCATACCACAGGCAGCCAACTCAGGACAAAATGAAGGCTTCTCATGGCGATGGAAGGACTGAGCGTGCAAGATTTCAAACTCAGGACGGATCATTTACCTATATATGCCAGAGGATATCCACACCAGATTGCGTCTATGTGACCATGAGCAAATTTGCCGACTCTTGTTAGCGAGATTGAACAGTATCTCCTTTGGCAAGGAGTCATCTGCGAGCATGATTTCGAAAGGCCATCAAGCAGCAAGCTCTGAACGCGAAGGATTATGCTGTGCGACCCGAGGTTAGATCTAAGCATCAGAAGGGGAGTTCAATTTCCTTTACGTGACCAATCAACATGCTTCTATCATCCGAGAAGAGAAGAATATAGGAACTACGCTAGTTGTAGGATCGTAAGATGTAGCCAAGCTTGGTGTGATAACATATCGTGGAAGGAAACGAATCAAGGTCAAATTGGCAAAATGATGGATGGATCAGATCATTGTCATGTGATGCTTGAACTTGTATTGCGGAATATTGATGTGGAGATGGCGAAGCATGCAATGGTGGACCGGATCGGAAGCCGGTCAACAAGAAAGCAAGATTGGCAGGCTCAACCAGCTCATGTCAAAGCCCAAGAATGATTGAACCCAAGATCTGATAACTTTTGGGGCAGCTCGATTGGCACTTTCCTTGTGAGCGCCGACTCCTTCTCTTCAACGTCTATTTCGCTCGCTCTGCATGTTCAAGAATGATTGTTGACATACTGACGGTCCTCGATGTATGGAAGCGATTTGATAATACAACCGGTCTGAATTGATTGTATGATGGTTCTCGGCTCAAGGAGGGGAATGGAGACTGCAAATAGATTCTGCGCCTCGACACTTTGTTCAGAGCGATTGGAGCTCAGCATTGCTTTCTTCATCGTTATGTGTGCATGAAGGAAGCATTGGTATGTGCAGCGAAGCATGATTTAACTATTGCAAGCCATGAGAATCCTTCCGCAGAGCATTGACACACAGAAATTGCTCTTGTTGGTGCTATAGGATTACAGCAAAGCAACTAATGCAGGTTGAGTCATCTGGAACGGCTTTCCGATAATCGAATCATATCGAGTAGACAGGACATTCAGAGCAATCATCTGAATATGTGGTGACCCATGCACGCTCGAATCCTACAGAGGGAATCAAAGTGGAATCCTTGGCTTCGCTTGTTTTCCAAACACTAATGCAAAGCCAATATTTCCCAAGCATTGAACGTGACCATATACCGAGATCAACATCCGTGAAGTTTCGATTGTTCGCCCACTTATCAACTGATGACATGGATGATGATGGCAACAGTCAATTTATGGCTTCTGAACAGTTGAGAATTTGCGGATGTATAATTTTCCATTGAGTCATTTGTACGTATCGCCGAACTCTCCAGATCACTGACTGCTTCTCTCCAATTCACTGCTCAATTTGCTCCCTGCAACGCGATCTTGTCCTGTCTTAACAGCAGTAGCCCGGCAGCTGCGTGACGCGGTTGGCCAAGAAGCCCCATGGAGGTTGACAACCACCTTGGTCTTGGTTGAACTGGTAAGCCTTACCTGGAGGATATCAATCACAGAGTTCATGGACTGCGGAGTTGACCTTTGAACTTACCATCCTTGCATTGGCAGACAGCGTAGTTGATGCAGCAATTGGGAGCTTGGCTGTAGACACGTTAGAAAAGGCAAGAGAGGAGATCAACCATTGGGGAAAACATACAAGGGATAGCAGCCACTGTCGCCGCGAGCGTCAAGTTCAACAGTCTCAACTTCGGGAATGACGCTGGCAAAAGCCAAAGGCAACAGGCTGGCAACGATGATAGAAAGTCTCATCTTGGAATATCGTGAGGAATGATTGTTGGATGGTAGATCAAGATTCGGGGACGACTGATAGTTATAACATATTCTGGCTACCTTTTTGCCGGTCAAGAGCGGCTTGGTACAGAGCAAAGGATTATTCGGCAACTTCGTTCATCATAGCGAAGAAATTGCTTGTTGGTGGAATTGCCAAATCCTTCGTCTTTTGAGCTAACCAGGCGAATTAATCTACGTGCGTTCGGATTGCAGCGGCGAAGCATCCATACAATGCCTCTTCTAAGAAGACTCGTGCTGTTTCACCAGATGAGAGCAATACTGGCAAGCGAGTCCGATGATGGATGATAGGCCATCAGAGTTGCATATCCATGAAGCTAGTGAACCAATTACACATAGAGTAAACAATTGCAGACACTGCGTGGACTGGGCTTTGGGATTCTCAGAAACGAGAACACAGATGAGCCGGGTGAACTTCGGAAAGGCGCTATAGGAAGGAGGTTCAAGAGGTAGCCCCACATTTGTACCGAGGCATTGACATCGCTCATATCTAAGCCAATCTATCTCATCTGTGCGGGGCCTAATTGTCGCTTCACAGGTTCTGACTCGATTTCAACATCTCACAGGGCATCCTACACGCCAAGAATGAATGCTATAAACCCGGCCCGTACCCCTATGCAGTCTGTCTGCGACTTTGATTGAGACAACTGTCCAGACTAACCTCACGGACCCCACCTTCCAACATGTCTCTCGAATTCGTCGAAGCCGAACTACGCGACGCCTTCGAGCATTACCGCTCTCGAGTGATCCAACTGAACAGGAACAATCTCGCCAAACTGTTCGAAATCGTCGAAGTGTCACCTGACAGCACTGAACTAGAGGATCTCGAGCTTGTCGCCGTGGAGGAATGGGATTCACTTCCTGACTCGATCAACACTTTGAGCGACTTTTATTCCCTACTTTCCGATGGCACCGAGCCTCCACTTCCCGGAGACAGACGACTGCAACTTCTTGCCGAGATCGAAGAATGCTTGCAAAACCATGTACCATCCGAGTGGCGACCTCTGAGTTTGCCTGAAGATTTCAAGCAACTTTGCGTACTTACGGATGGCTTAACTGGACCAGGACTACCCAAGACCAATGCAATGTATATCCCGCATGCCTTCAATGGACTGAGCTCTCCTCTCGCATCCCTCAAAGGCAATTATCTCTCTGCCGAGGAGATGAAAGCCGAGCCATTCTTGGATCTGCTGGACTACGAGGTTGCTGTAGCCATCGGCATGGGTGATGTCGCAGGTGGTACTGGTGGTGGCTCATGGTTGTGTTGGTGCAAGGACGACTTCACAGAAACCTGGAAATGGAGATGGGCCGTCCGTCTTGGCCACGATCAACCTCCACGTGTCTATGAAGATGTGGTCAGTCTTCTGGAGAAATACTGGAAAGACTTCCTTACCAACATCATCGCATCTTATGATGATATTGGTCAGAATGATCTGTAGATGGATCATGCTCATCACAGCATTTTTTTATTGCTCTGCCCAATCTTCTTACCATTCATCTTGAATGTCTCTAGGGCATCGGTGCAAGTTCGACTTGACGGCTCAACTCTCGAAGATTGGTTTCTCTTTGCAGTGGCCGCGCAATTGTTCTGAGTCGAGATTGTCTCCTAATTCGTCAATTTAGATGTACCGGTGGCTTTTCCTAGTGGATATGTACGAACAACTATACACCGAAAATCCGCCTGTTATATCTCCACCGGATGGAATTTTATCCAGATCGTGGTCCGAGACCCGCAAATCGCGATCAGATAGCCTGCCAAGAAAGTTTGCATCGTTTAGGTAGGTAGTAATATAGCGAAGCTTTGGGCTTCATCTGCTAAATTTCCGCGAAATCCAGCCAATCCTTCGACATCCGTCATGTATCTAGGAGATACAGCCGGCAAACCAATCGGCACTGTCGTTGTGTTGGGTAATGAACAAGTCAGTCAATCTGCTCGTCTCTCTCTTTCGCGACCCTCGCTTCTTTGAACATGTCTGCTTTTCCAATTTTGTCCTTCCTCGCATTCCTCGCCACTCGAAGGACCGAGGTCGACCCTGAATATGAGCATATCTACACCACATTGACAACATTTGTCTCCCGTGGACAGACGGTAGTGGAAGACATCCCTCCTCTATCTCTGCTTGTTGGATCCAATAACTCGGCTGAGTCACTGCAGTCATTCGCTGTGGCCGTCGAGTATTTACGGCTGTTGGTATGGACATCCCTTACGTACTGCCATGTGGTATCTGTTCAGAAACGCAGAATGATGTATGGTCTGATGGTGATCGCGTTTCTTGTCCCTGTTCTGCTTTTCGATAGCGGACATGAGCATCTATCACCGGCACAGACTGCTGCAACGCTTGGTGAACTCTTCTATACTATTGCACTGGCTACAACCATGATTGGTCGAGACAAAGCTCAGTCAAACGTTTTGACAAGAACAATTTGTCTCGATAGTATGCTCGCCATTTCCTTCCTGCTCGGATGTCAAGACTCGAACTGGATCATTACGATGATCCTCCACCAGTTAGATCAATTACTCGACTTCTGGCAGAGACTGGGAGATAAGAGTCGAACCCTAGTTCGTCTGCACAACCGACTGAGAACAACAGGACACCGCTGACATCTCCAGGTATGGACTTTTGGTGGCGCCGTCTCTCGAGTTCTGCTTCGGATCACCATTTCTTTGGCTTTGGTCTTTGTTGTCCTCAGCTTTACTTATCCGATTTCCGAGCGAGCTGCTGGAGGAAACTGGAACTTACGATACCTTCCTGCAGATACTAGACGATTTCTGCGTGGCATCACTAAACCACAAACTCTCGTCACTGACTACGCAATCTCAAGGTAATCTCATTCAATCTCCTGTTGTCCATCACAGACTACTAACACCAACTCAGATATGCCATTATGCCAGACACACCAAAAAGCCTGTACTTACAAGGAGCCGGGTTCCTCTACACAGACGACTGGACCTGGGACGACAAAATGAACCTATTTCGACCCCTGAACGATACAGAATCCGCCGAGGAAACCACGTCACGCGCGAGTCTAAGAGATTCTATCAGATATACCTGTGCGTCAACGCACCTTTGTTGTCCAAGATCGTACTGACGTCACTTCATCAGCACCATGGACTTTCCGAAAAGCTCACACCTCTGATCATGCTGAAGGTTTCCTCCGAGATAACGAGCTCATCTACATCAGCAGTGGAGATAGTGGAAGATATCTCGCCGTCGAAGTAGGTGTGCCGAGTATAGTCGACCGTGTGAACTTCATGTACGTCGATAACCCCATCGATCCACAAAATGACGGCATTCGGTGGACAGTCAGGTAAACACCACACCAAATCACCCAAATTATCAGACGCGATTCCCTACTGACAGCTATTAAAAGCACTATCGCCTCAACGAACGAAGCTGCGACTTGGGTACTCGAGTACTCTCCAACGCTATCACAGAGATTTAGACTCTGGAACATAGCAGCGAATTGCTCTCTAGCAACATCATACCGCTCATTCCCTGATTGGAATGGTATTCTAGCTAATGATACTGTGCTCAAGGGATTGAGATTGGAGCTTGAGTTGACTTGTTTGAGTGATGCGAGTGTTGCGGCCTCGACTTGGGAAATCGTTGATGGTGAGTCCTAAAAACCGTATTCACATTTCTCTATGCTTTGCAAGGATCGAGGCCTTTGCAAATCAAGAAGACTGATGAAGTGATAAGGATATCAAGAATTCACGAATTCCAAATTGGCATCGGAAACGCAATTGTCAGCATTTTTCCGCTCGTTGCGAGGACGGCTTGGGTATCAACATAACATGATCAAAGCGATTCTAGCCCTGTAAGACAATCCGCTAGCTAACCATTCTTGCAACTTTCCTTCTAACACTTTCTCTAGCAAATCATTCCGTCACAACCACAGTAATCTCCAACACATGCCCATCCCTTCTCCAACCACATTCAACAGAAAACACACTATTCTCTCGAATGTATTGATCAGCGCTTTCATCTTCTTCCGCTTTATACAAGCGATTTTGATCAGGAGAAGAAAGTCTAAGCAATCTGCGCACGTCAATCAAAACCTCAAAGCAAAAGTGTTATCGAGAGTGGCGGTGTGGTTGATGTGTGTGCAATGGCTATGGAACTCGATGTTTGGGAAAGTGAATGGAGGGCTTTGTATTATTTCATTGGTACTGATGATTTTGCTTTAAGAAAAATGGAGGATTCGATCAAGAGGAGACAAGAGCATGGATAAGAGTGTTCGAAGTTCGGTATAATATTTCAAGAGTCTCCTACCCATCTTCAATAGTCACTTCGATGGGTCTTGCGTTTGGCAGAGGATGAGAATATAGGCGAGGAGACTTGCAATTAATCGTGCATCAAAGGCCCACTGACAATATGATGGAAAAACGGTGGTGAAGATCCGTCCGAAGCTCTGAGGTTAGTCACAGTCGTGTCGGCGATGGTTGTGGTCAGGATATATATCACTCAGCGCTTCTACTCCCTACCACGAAGTTTTCGTTACCTCTTTATTGACTTGTGATTAGTCGGAGCCAAGGGAAGATATTAGCATGAAGCTACAATATCTTCCCTTGACATTCTGAGTACAAACACAGCCATCGTAGCCTATTGGCAATGTGCTTGATCGCATAACAGAACAGTAGACCTTATAGCGGAATCAACGAAGTGACAAAAGACTCTCAAATCTCATGGACTGTATGTTGATAGGCGCGACACGTTCCCTTGAGCTTGCTGATAGAAGGATCGAAGAAAGGAAGTTGCAAAGACGGTGGTCAAGTGTGTCGCAAACATGCCAAGCCATGACGCCTTCAGCCCCACTTTTTATCGCCGAGCTCTCCGACTCGCGTCCGCCATCTTCATTCCATTGATTTCATCTTCGATTGCTACAAGACCATTCAGTAATTTATGGAAGGTCACTCTCATCCATACCAAATTGCTATTCATGTCTGGTAGTGAAGCTCCTCGCTCTTTCCTGCAAAAAGCCGTCAGTTCATTGTAGCAAACGCGACACGGTGAGTTGAGACTGACGGCTTTCGCAGTGTGAGAATTGTCGATTGAGGAAGATCAAATGTGACAAGCAAATTCCTTGTGCAAGTTGTCAGACGCTTGGTATTACTTGTCAAGCTGCAGCCGCACGTGCAGCAGAGCATAGGCCTCGTATTGTGGTCACTAGCCAGTATGAAAGACAGATTGCTCTGATTCAGGAACGACTGCAAGGAATTGAAAGCAGTCTGAAACAATTATCGCAACACTCTGCTGCGTCGACCCCTCGACCTGCATCGTACAAGGCAGAAGTCGTCAATGGATCTACTCAGTCGGATAAATCCATCTCGATCTATGAAGGAGAATCATCATTCGGCAATCAGACAATACAAGCAGGTCAGCTTGCCGATGTCACAGCAACAGCAGTCGTTGGCACAGCATCGAATGAGTTATCAAGTGCTCTGTCATTATTGAAAGATAGCTTGAAGCGTCATGAAGCTCTATCGCGAACCCATGAGACGCACCTCAGCACAAGAATCAAGCTCGACCTCATGAGCCAAGACGAGCTTCCCCCTGCTCCGCTCGTCATCGCCCTTATAAACAGAGCAAAAGGTAAATCACCATTGAACGCACTCAGAAGACAATTCGCTTAGCCATATGACACAGCAAACCCATCACTATCATTGGTCGCATTTTCTTACAAAGGCGTCTCACAATTCGAATCACTCTGCCAGAAGGTTTATTTCCCACTTGAACCACCGCCCGCAGGTTCAATGACATTTTTCTACGGCTTTCTTTACTTCGTCATCCGAGACTATTGGGCCCAGCAGGACCCTGCGCTCCGCGAATACGACGCACAAGCGATCATCGACCTCTGCGAGACGAGATTCTGCGCTGGACTTGAAAAGTTCGAAACACTTACCATCCCCGTATTGCCAAATATCCAAGCTCTTCTCATAGGTGTAAGATTCGCTCTCTACCGCCATTGTTATTTTGACTCATTTAACATTTTTGCCAGGCCATCAAAGCGCAAGAAGAATGCAAACTCTCCCTCTCCTGGACCTTCCTCTCCGCAGCAGCAACCCAATGCCACACCCTCGGTTTCCACCGCAAATCCACCCTCTCCCACGAACCCCGCGAAACCGCCGACATCAAACGCCACCTGTTCTGGCAACTCTACATGCTGGATAAAAACCTATCTCTGAACCTAGGCCGCGGCTCCAATTTCAACGATTCGGATATCGATGCCGAGTTTTTCACTCCGTCGACGCATCCGCAGCAGAGACCTTGGGATCTGATGTCTTTGGATACGATTCTGTTTGCCAGATTGCAGGGGCAGGTTTATGAGAGGTTGTATTCTGCTTCTGCTATCGAGGCGGGGGTGGATGAGCGGGCGGCGGCGATTGAGGAACTCTCCTCTCAAGTCAACGCTCTTAGAAATCAACTCCTATCCGTAAGTTTTTCTCTACCCCTTCTTTCCGTCCTCATCAACACGCATATCACTGACGTTTTCGAAAAATCCAACAGATCGATTTTACGGGTGCATACTATCAAGAGCGATTGATAGGGATGGCGCATTCGGCCGATTTCGTCTGTTATTCCGTGTTGACCGTGATCCACCGCGCCCAATCCCTCACCACCACCGCCACCGAAATCAGCCCCAAATGCTATGAAGCTGCCAGATTAGGCTTGGAAAATCACTTGAAGTGTTTTGCGCAATTTCGGAACCGCAGCGTGCCTCAGCAGGCGGAATATGTGAATTGGTGAGTTTTCTTATCCCCTATTCCGATTTTTTACCACTTGATTGTTTTTACACTTGCCTACTTCCTCGCTGTTGTTTCACCAAGGATGTTTAGCTAATAGGAGTTTTTTTTTTTCTAGGATTTTGTTATATCCATCCTTCACGCCTTTCACGGTAATTTTCATCCACGCCATCGCCACATCCGCACCTTCCGAATTACAACTACTCCAAGAAACCGTGGCGGCGTTGAATCACGTAAAAGCCCTTTCCCCAGCAGCACGCCGTTTACACGACGTATGCGCAGCATTCACCCAAGTCGCCGCCGCATTCATAAATTCGCAACGAACACTTAATGGATGGCATAGAAGGGGAGACGGAACATTATCACTGCCATCTGCGGAGACTGGAGTTACTGGTGTGCAAGGGTTTGAGGGTATGGAGGGGATGATGGGGCAGCAGGGGCATGATCAAGATGCCTTGTCTGCGTTCTTGTGCAGTCTTGCTGGTAACAATAGGCCGTTGACGGATTTTTTGCATATGGATTTGTTGGATGCGGAGTTCAATATGCCGGAATTGTTCTCGGCTGGGGAGCAGTAGAGAGCTAGGGTATTCGATCTTTTGATTCACCATTTGCCACATCTGGTCATATCAGACACTTTCATTATTCTAGAAAGCCTCATCTCCGTGAAGAAAGAAGTAGAGTCTTTCATAATCAAATAAGATTGATATCTAGGAAGACGCGATGGATATCATTATGAACATGGCCTTCTCGAGTCTAGAGTCAATGGCGCGGTCCAGATTTCGAACATTCTGTTGTGTATTCTCGCAATCTTGAATACGATTCGGGTGATAGTTTCCATCATGCTGAAAAGTGATTTCTAGTCCTTGCATGCGAGATACTACAAGACGATGGAAGTGATGAAGGGGGCATGCTGGATATGATGATGACTCGGAGAAGATTGACGAACCAAGATTGTCGTGCAGGTCATGCGACAAAACTCCGAGAAAGGCAAGAGCAGCCGAGTCATGGTACTTGAACAGATGGATAGCATCCCAACAAAGGACCAAAGACATGGTTGATGGGTGCGAGCTGTGGGATACAGCCTCAACGAGCATGATATCGAGTCTGACAAGTTCTAGCAAACAAGAATGGTTGTTCCTAGTGGTCGGCGAATCCGAGAAAGACAGAGGTGGTGCAGCGATACCCCACAAAAGGTGGCCCGAGCACAGATGGAGTGATTGGCTGGACTTGGCCTCGGAGATAAACCACGACCTTGACGGTTGCGACTTGCGACTTGCAGGCCTCGATCGTCGCAACATCTCAGTCTTCGTGAAGCAGCCCATGTTGCTGGCAGGAACAATGTCATGGACTTTCTCAAGTCGTGCTGGACCAATCTTCAGGCTGTAGTATGTTGATGTATACCACAAAAGAGGGGCAGAGGGGCTGACAGAGTGTCAACAGGAAGGCTATTCGCACATCGACTACCTCATCTACAGCCACCAGGACGCGACAGATGGCGACAAGGGACTCTGGGACGACCTCGAGCTGCGAAATGATCTTCTCCTCGGCTTGCGACAACGAAAGGTGCTGGTTCAGTCAGCTGTGGCGCAGAAGAAGGTCTGCGTCTTTGGAGGCTTCAAAGCAGCTGACGAATACATGAAAGAGGTGGGATGGAAGGGTGAGACTTTGTCTTGAGGACGTGTTAATATTCTTGCTGACAGGGCGATATACAGTGCATCAACAAGGACGCCTCGAGGCCGCGCTCCTGACACGCGCCAACAACGATCCTAAGAACGTCATGCAGAACCAACACATCTTCACCATGTTTCTTGCTGCTGTAGAGGCTTCACTTTCAATCTCGCTCTCGACGCTATGTGGCGCAGTACGAGTTGGACATCTGACCTGGATTATCCCGACCGAGGGCGACTACCAACTGCTGTCACTTCGCGCGCAAATGACCAGTCAAGGCACACTCGCTCTCCTACCTCACGCCTCCAACACGGGACTATCTACTGCTTCTGAAAAAGACGGTACAAACGTAATACTCGCTCCTTCGGGAACCCCTGCCACCATCGCATCGTCGCTTTCCGACCTCGCCTTGAACGACGACGCCCCTCCATACCAAGCCCGGAGAGAAGCGCGTATGCGTCTCAGTCGTAGAGCAAAAGACGATTCTTGGAAAGATAATGCGACTACGAAATTACGCCAGTCGAGTCTGCCGCATGACGAATCTTGGTTACGCGTCAGTCTGCGATCATCCACCTCCTCCGAACAAGTCGCGTGTTTGTGGCCTGGCCCGCTGTGCTTGGAAATCCCTTCACGACAGTCTCCGCCTTCTATTCATGATACCGACAGTATGCAATGGTTCGACTCGAAGAACCCTTACGACGATCCCCTCAATACAGCCGAGTCTTGGTTTCTTGGCCAGGAAGAGCGTGCAGATTTGGAAAAGAAGACTTTACAGGCTGAAAAGGACAAGACTGCTGTTGCCAACAATCCGCCGGACGAACCGATATCCGATCATCTGTCCGTCACCTCGCCTGTATATTCGCGTAGTATCCAGGATCAGATCAGTGTGAACGGCATATACCCGACCCCTCCTGATGCTGTGCCACCAATCATATGCGCAGACCCGTCGATACCTAGTGTCATTGTTTCCGACAATCCAATCGAAGCATTACCTGGTCTGCCCGAGGACAACCCAGACCAGGATCAAGACCAAGATATGAGAAGGAATAGCAACACTTCCGACGTTGACATCGATACTGAACATTACCGCAAAGGCAGCACCGATGACTTGTTCAACGATGTCGACGAAGAGATGTTTGGTAATCCTGACGTGACTGATGCTGATTTTAGCTTCTTTGACAACCCTGGTGGTCTCCACGCGATGCCTGCAATGCCTACAATTTCTGGACCTCCTGAGGATATGACGGATGTTCTACCGGACCCTACGCCAAAACCGGAACCCGACATGTACCATCCACCGCCTATACAATTAGAGCCCGAGGAAAACATACCAGAAGAACCTGTCAAGATTCAGGACAAGCAGGATTCAGATATCAAGGTCGAGGAGGTGCCAGAGGAGATCGCTTCTACACCACCCCTCAGTCCACTCAAGATCAAGGAGAGACTTTTACCATCAGGTGAAGGGGAAGCAAACGTTATCGGACTGCGACGCGACAGCACATTTCTTCCGGTGGTTTTCAAGGGAGATGTCATCAACTTTGATGCCAAATATAGGACATTGGGCAAATTTGACAGTAAACTTACCAAAAAGAGTGAAAACGCGAACCGGTCTAATAGTATCGCACTTCCGGAAAAGCCGTTTAGAACACGCATGGTCAAGCCTTTGTCTCAAGGAAGAGCCACTGTTGCTGTCACCAAGTTCACACCTCGAGATGACGATATTTCTTACCAAGACTCGGAGCTGGAGACCAGCCAGGAGTCGGACTCGGACTCTGACAGTATCTCTTCCGTCGAAGGAAGCCTTCGATCTCTGGACATTAGGAAAAGAAAAAGAATCTCTGCCGATGAGGGTCCAACACCGAGACTGCTTGCTGAATCAGTCGTTGAGAGTGATGTAGAGAGTATTGTTTCCGATGCAACTGCAATGGCCGATCCTGGACCCATCATTGATCAACTGGTTGCTGCAAAAGAATCTGGAAACAGGATTACAGAACAACAGCACAAATTTTCTGATAATCTTTCCATGTGGAGGACACCCTCGAAGACACTGCCATCAAATCAGGATTTGAACATTTGGTCTGTCCTGGATTTTACAGCTGACGATCTGGTTGATATTGCTCAACTCGTCGCTGAGCAGAGTACATTCTCTACGTCTTCTTCGCTCGAGAGCTCAATGAATCCTACAGTCGGGTCGCCTGTGTATTATACTGCTCAAGATGCTCTCAGGCAAGTCTTTGAGAAGGCGCAAGATTGCGATTTTGCCAAAGTCGGCGCAATGGCTGCACACCACGCTGAACAAGCCATCGCAGCCGCTGCCAAGAGTCAACAGCGTCCCATACCTCGACGGCCTGGTACTGTCAATTCAGTAATCACCATACCTGCTCCAGCTGTTCATGTTCGTCGAGCAAATCAAGGATGGGAGTTGCAGCCTACGGCTGTCAGCTTCTGGGAGACTCTCGGTCTTGAGCCTGCACATGGACCAAAGGATGTTGTAGCATTTGCTCTATATCCTGATTCTGGCGTAGTTTGTGAAGCTGTCGCTGATTTCATGCATGATGTTAGACTGGCGTATGAGAACCGCAAGTTCGGGTTTCATCATGTCGGCGGAGAGACGAGTGAGCATGAGGATGGATTGATGCCATACAAGTCGCATGGGGAGACTTCGGTTGTCAACATCCTTCAAGGTATCCAGACGGCATGCAATGCGCTCGGTGATCTGCTCCACGATGCTGAACTTGAAGACCCCATCATCATCTACATGGTCGATCCTTTCCAAGATGAGTCCATGACCAAATATCTCTGCGGCTGCTTTCAAGCTATGCTCATAGCATACTCCTCCGACCGCGAAGATCCACCACCACTGATCTTGCAAATCATTCCGATGAGCCGTATCGCGTGTCCAACTGCACTCATTGTCCCAGATCAAATTTGGCTAGCCTCCCTCGCCTCTTTCATCTACGACCGCGTCCCCGCAATGGAAAAGAACAATCAAAATTCTGCCTGGCACAAATCCTCATCCCCAAGCATCCATCTCGCAACTCCTCCCAGCCGCAAAATCAATTTCGCACTCACGGAACGCACCCCCAGAAATCTCCTCGAAGAAGCTCAAATTTTGCATTTGGCTTATGCCGTCAATGCCGATAATTCATGGCTCAGCGCAGCTTGGACGGACAACACTGGCCGCCATCAATACCGCGCTTCCTACTGCCTCAGCAACACGGACGGCAGAGTCGTGCTGAATGAACTCAGGGATACAACATTAGCACTCACCCGCACCTCACACTGGCGCATCTTCGTCGCCCGCGCCGGCGTCATGCGCGACTGGGAAAAACGCATCTGGCGCGAAAGACCTTCCGAAACTTGGAGTATCGCGCTCTTGGATGTGGATATCTCGCCTTCACTGCAGGTGGGTGCGAATACCGATGTAGCGGGACAAGGACAAGCGGCATTCATGACACCGGCGGCTACACCACAGGCATCAGCATTTACGAGTCCAGAGGGTGGAGCGCAGGGAACCACACCTACTGCTGGGGAAACACCGCAGCAAACAGTGCTGGAAAGCCAGCAGCAGCAAATGCCTGATCCAGATGCTTTTCTCATCGACAACACGGATGAAACGTGGGGTGTCCTTATGCCCTTCTCTTGCACGCGCAGCACCACTCTTTCCCGCCCACTGGCTTCTGGGTTACTTCTTAAACGTGGCTCTTCCTCCTCTGCTGGCACTGATCCTTCTGCCAATTTTCCATCATTGGCTGTGGATCTCATGGATGTCATGCCCCCGCGCCTGTTGGATGGCACGCCCTCATGGCTCACGCAACGGGCCCCGGAAACCGTGCTTAAGGAATGTCTGGTCTGGTTCAGGGGCTTGGGCTTACTCGGGAAAATCAGAAGTGTGCCCGGGTGTGAGGCTGGGAATGTACCTTGGCATTTGGGTGTTGCGATACAAGGTGTTGATGCATTGACGGGGTTTTTGGAGTAGTGCTGGAAGAAATGTGGGCGTGGGCTTGCAAAGGCGTAGTGAGGCGTGCAAGATACAGTAATAGCACAAGATCTAGAAATATGTTGTGTGTTGTTGTGTTGTTGTGTTTTTGTGAGAATTAAATCCCTCAAGTATTCGCGGAGACATTTATAACCCCTCTGAATTATCTTCAAAAGATAGGAGTTCAATCCAAATTTTTACAATTGCGTTTCGCGCACATTTTCTCGTTTTTTGGCTCAAAAAAAAGAAAAAAAAGAAAGAAAAAAAGAGAAACCCTTTTACTCGAATGTATCCAACGTGCTCGATTCACACCGAGGCTGATGTGTGCGTATTTTTTTGGTTTTTCTTGCATCGATGTAGGTACTTTTGGTGCTTGCTTGTTCGGTATCATATCAGCACAAAAAGACGGGGGAAAAAAAATATAGTAAATCAGAAAGAAAAAAAAATGACAGACGGGGGTCGCTGTAAATAGATGAATGAACCTCTTGTAAAATTGCTTCAAGTCAGGCCAGTCGAGAAAGTATAGATACGGTAGATATACAGCACACAATATATGCTCCACTCCACTCCACTCCACCATCTCACAAGACAGAAATCTTTTGTTCGCCGTCAAGTGCTGTGAAGAACGAGAACATGGGTTTTAGGCAGTCAAGTAGGTCGGTCTATACCAAAAACGACATTCCTGTGGACCGGTCTTCAACTCATGATTTGGTTTTTGCGGTTTCATTGCTCGAAAGACCACGGCGGATCTTCATTTCTTTGTGTGCCGAGATTGGACAACCAGTCGAGCTCGTTGAAACCAAAGCCAGTGCCAGTGTTCTCCAGCATATCCGGGTCCGCCATGGGTACATCCCACATCATATCGTCGAACCAGAAATTGTTCATCGCGGCAGCTCCGTTTGGTGATAGGCCCCAGACATCCTCTGTGTTCATGCCTGCAGGTTGTATCGGCAGTTGATTGTTTTCGACGGTGTTGTTCTGATTGAATGCGAGGACTGTGGTCGCTGTGTTGAAGTTCAGTGGTTGAGTGGTTGTCCAGGTAGATGCGTCCTGAGCAGAGGTCAAATGCTTGCTGGCTTCGTAAAGTCTAGAAACCACATCCTTGGACTTTGAAGCGGCTGCTGACCAGGGCCCCATCCTCTCGAAGAAGTCCAGAGCTTTTTCAACTTGTGCTTGCCATTCCGAAATGTCTCTATGACTGCTGATATCAGAGAAGTTACTGGGCGATTCTCCAGTTTCGTTCGCTTCGGAGTCTTGTTCGGAGTTCTTTGCCGGGGTTGTTGTCCTAGCTAATGACGAAAATATGCAAACGAGGGGGACCATGACAGCTTGATACCTTGATGAAGTGTTAGTATGGCAATCGCGATCCGAGTTTCGAAGGCTGTAACCTACATGAACCAAACACCATTCCAACCAGCGAGCAAATCTTCTGGGCACATACTGCTGATATCTGCAATGGTCCGAGCTGCCACAGCTCGACAGCGGCCCACACCTACTTTCTCTTCGGCTGATAATGATGTATCTGGTACATTGCGTAAAGCAGTAGCCAAAAGATAAGGCCTGTGCAGCAGAAGTCGCAGATTCTGGTATCTCCAATACATGATCATACTTGGTATCTCTAGGACGTCGGCTGTGTTTGAACGTTTTGATGCCTTGGAAGAACGACGCTTTGTGCTGAAACTTGAGTCATGCGAGGTCGAAGGCTTCAATGACGCAGGCAATTCGCTATGCCATTGCAGGAGATCTTTGTCAAGTCGGTTGAGCTCTTCAAAGGGTAGGAGTGGCGATGCAGATAGTGCATCTTGGATCTGAGTGGCAATGCGACAGAACGCTACATTGTGCAAAAGTGGCAGGAACTTTGCTGTGGCCGGATCTTGAGCATCTTTGACCTGTGTTCCTGTCAGTTGTGCTTTCCAATCTTGACGAAATGCAAAGAATGCTCACATATGGTATTTGTACCGTGATACCGCGGCTAGGTTGCCCTAATGAAGGTCTTCCAGTGGTTGTGCTGAAGAACGTCAGGCGTGAGCAGATCGAAAGATTGGTGGTAGACTCACTTTGCCCATGTATCCAAGACATAGAGACTCCACCAGGTTCGCCGCCGAACATCAGCAGAAGTTGCCTTGTTCGTTGGAAGTCCGTCAGATGAATTTGCATCCGTATATTCTCTATGCAGACCTAACACGGTTGCTTGTCGCAGAGTCGCACCCATAAGGTTGTTTGCGAGGTTCGGTCGGCTAACATAATGAAGGCTGGCCGTGTCAGTCATGGTCGTTTATAAACGTAAGACTTCTGTGGAGACATACTAGTAGCCGCTCAATAGACCTAGCGCTTGAACGACAAGTGTGTTGCCACTGCCAAGACTGTCAAAATCCAGCAGCTGCATCGCGCGCTGATAGTAAGCTTGATGAGCATTACTGGTACAGTCGGAGGAAACCACTGAACCCAATGCAAGTACAGTGTTGAGTAAAGCCAGCCAAGGTGAGTCTCTCCGCTCTCCGTAGAGCCAAGTCAGCCAGAATGACTGCTCGTCCAACATAGGCATGAGAGGATGTACTTTGCTGAAATATGCTTCAATCAAAGTTTGGCCCAGTTCTGCTGGAGGCAGATGTGTAGGGTCCAGACTTCCAGGCTCCGGGGAAGGCGAAGCAACCCGACTCGGTATAGCAGTCTCAGGTTGACCTTGAGCCAGTAGCCTCCGTGTTGCTGGCGCCACTCTGCAGATAACCTTCAGAGCAGCAGTTATAGATGAGACTCCTACGTATGAGGAAGGTCGACCCAAGGACAGCGAAAGACCATTGACATCGTCAGAGATCCCTTGGACTCTCGTTTGATGTCGCGTTGCTTCATCCACGACAGGATCCTGCTCTGGAGCTTGTATCAGAGCCTCCAAACTCTCAGCTCCTTCAGATTCGAGTGTAGAAACCGGAGACTCTAGGTCCGAGATGCGAGAAATTGTCTCAGCTGTCGCTGGCATTCCGACCGTTGCTATAAGGTCGTCCCTTGAAAGCGTAGCCAGGTGAACAATGTCTCTTCCAGGGAAAAGGCGTTCGAAAACAATGCGATACCGTTCCACTGACGCTGACAAGTCTTCTACCAGCCTATATTGCATAAGCGTTCCAATGGAGGTATTGAATCACAGATTGCGACAAGACTCACTTCTTCGACGGCACCACGCGTGGAGGTGGCTTCTGGTACAAGCAAGCGTCTGCTTGCTGTTGGCATGATATCAGCCTCCGAATCTCCATGGCTTTTGCGGCAATCATACCTGGTAGTAAACGCCTATGACTGTTTCAGAAAAAATTGCGAACCAATAAAGACAAGTTGTCTACTTACACTGGCCGCAAGGCACGGCGCCATCACAACGGATCTTCCTCCGCCGACAGGATCCTATTTTCACATCAGCTTCTGACAGTGGATGACACTATCGGGAAAGATTGTACCACAGGCATTACTCGTGGTAATGCGTCGTGATGCTGAAGGCCTCGCTGGTTTGGCGCCTTCGTCGGAAGTCTTAGTGGCAGGAAAAGTATGGAACATCGTGGTGGTGGCGGGGAAGCTAACGACCTCGGCGACGTATGTATTGTCAGGAAGGCGCGAACAGTCTGTCGCGCTGGTTTGAATCACGCATCGATTTCGGATAGGACAGAAAGTAGCAATTTTATGTTCTCGGTGAAGGCTAGGGCACAAGTTGTTCTTAAGAGAAGGCCAAGAATTAAGGTTCTTTGGATCGTTCTTGCAGGTGCGGCGTTGGATCTGCGGACAAATTCTGGCCCCCCACCAAGCGACCATTTGGGGAGGAACTCGGCGAGAAATCATGAGAATCAATGACGGAAACATGGAAAGAATGTCATACTCCGAGTAGAGCTTAGGGCATAATTTAATGTTGAACCGCGCGTTTATCAGAAACCATAATTTGTGGATATACGTTAAGTCGGTGTTTGTAGTCTATCTATGAGTATCACTTATGCATCGTACCTCCTGCCCATAGTATCTCCATTTCAGAGGTGTGTCGCCAGCTTTCAATCCTTTTACTGTGATGATCTGTTCATCTCCAGGTACAATGTCCACAGCACTGTCGTTTACCAACACGCCTTCTCTCTCCTCAAAGACTAGGCCTTTTGTCGGCTTCTTTGACGATACGGTGATCTTACCATTGTCAAAGACAACCTTGACGCCTCTGTCATCCATGTTCAGATACTTCAGCGGCTGGGGCCAGTCAATATCTCGAGAAACAGCGCTGTCTTCTCCATCTATCCATATCCTCGCCGCAAGAACATGCGGCTCTTCCTTCTCATTGTTAAGCTCACCATCAAAGATGGTGATTGCGCCGTTTGCTGTGATCTTGACATTCTTCTTGATCATAGCTTCTTTGATCTCCTTGCCAGTGGCAATAGAGATGAATTTGAGCTCTACCTTCGTAGCGAGGACTTCTTTCGTACTGTTGCTAGAGACCCAGCATTCGAAAGAGCTCGTCTTCACAGGTCGAGCATGAACAACACTCCAGTCGTGATGAGCTCTTCTAACAGCAACAGCTATCGGAGCCAACACCCGTCGCATAGCATAGTATGCCGGCTTCTTTCGCTGAAAGTAGTCGATGATAGCCCATGAAGTGACAGGCCAACAGTCGTTAAGTTGCCAGACCAAGGCGCCACCACAGCGGCGTTTCTGACCCCACTGCTGTCGCCAGCCTCGGTATCCGTACATCAACGCATCTGATTGGCTGAGTTGTGTGAGATGAATATATGCCTCGAGACTAGGATCGGTAGTCCTGAAGTTCTCGATCAAGTATGTTGCAATTCTTCTTTCATGGCCATCGGCTTTGTTGTGGAAGTCAATCATGTGTGATTGCGGATAAAGCTCAGCTGGATCAGTAACGTAGTGTTTGATCGTGTCAATGTGAGGGAATGCTTCCATGCCGAATTCGCTGTTGAAACGACCACCCAGAGTGTCGTAGATCTGGTACTTGATCTGCTTTCCATGCCATACGTCCCACGTATGCAAATCGCCAACAGTCTGGTCGGACGATATGAGGCCATCACCCCAAGGTGATCCGAAATGGTATGGTACGTGAGGCGAGTGCGCCGCAACGACCTCTGGCAAGATCTGCAGACTGTTAGTCACGCCTGCAATAGATCCGATGAAGGTCTCTCTGACTTGCCTTCTCATAGATATAGCGAGCTGGGAAGTCGGTTTCCAGCCAATTTTCTGGATTTTTGTCTGCGTAGTCGTATGTAAGGCCACACTGTTCTTGTACTTGATAGTCTTCGTTGTTGCCGGCATAGATGACAATCGAAGGATGATGACGAATACGCTTGACTTGTGCGACGCACTCGGCCTCGACAGAGTCTCTGAATGATTTGATCGCGGCTGGGTAGTTTCCGCAACCGAACATGAAATCTTGCCAGACGAGGATACCCAGCTCATCACAGGTATCGTAGAAGACGTCTTCTTCCCAAATACCACCACCCCAGATTCTGCGAAAAGTCAGCTATTGAAAGTCAACTTCATCTGAAGGTGAAACGTACCTGATCATGACTTGGTAGCCATCAACAAGAGTCTGGAGCCAAGACCGATACTTCTCTTCCGTGATCCGAGGCGTGAAGCTGTCGGCAGGGATCCAACATGATCCACCACAGAACACGTCGACACCATTGACTCTGAAAAAGAAAGATTTCCCGATCTCATCGGGTTCTTGTACCAGCTCACCACGGCGAAAGCCAATCTTTCTGCTGCATGTCTGAACTTCCTTGCCATTTTTCCGAAGCACAGCCTCGCAAGTGTATAGTGGTTGATCGCCATACCCATGAGGGTACCACAGCTTTGGTTGAGATAGGTGGAAATCGGCCTTGGCAACACCGTTACCATCCACTGATACCGTCTTCTCGAAGACCAGACTGTCAGCTGAGCGTATCGAGATGTTTACATCGGATCCGGAGGATCGTTCTGTGGAGGCCGAAACATGGACAACCACGTCGTCCAGAGATGCGCTCAAATCGTAATCAATTCTCAAATCGGAAATTCGAGCATAAGAGGTTTCGAGGCGCACTGCCCGCCACGGACCACAAGTCGTCAACACAGGGCCCCAATCCCATCCGAAGTGGTACTGGGCTTTTCTTACTGCGAGCCTGGCCATGTCCGCATTGAAGCCGACCCATTTGTGTTCAGGGTGAGCATCTTTGATCTTGCGACCTTCCACAAGTGCTGGGCGGAAGTCGATTTCCAGAACGTTAGCATTATTATGATTGAGTCTCTTTGTGACATCCATTCTGTACGGAATGAACATGTTGTCGCTTTCAAGAATCACATCTCCGTTGACCTTGACTGTAGCGAAGGTATCGAGACCGTCGAAGACAAGCTCATGGATCTGGCCATCCTTCGCTGCTCCGACATCTGGGAGCGTTGTTCTGTATGTCCAGCTCTTGTCGGCTACCCATTCGCACTTGAGCTCGTTGAAGCCGAGGAAGGGGTCTGGGATGCTGCAGCATCGGCATCAGCGACTGTGAATTCACAAGGTGGAAAGAGCTTACACGTCGTTTGCGATGAGATCGAGGTGTACGTTGGTAGGCACAGTCTCCACAGGCATCCAATTGTCCAGATCAGTCTGCTTGAACTCCCATGAATCTTTGAGCTCTTGCACCAGCAAGGCTTCGGTAGCTCCTGCTGTTCCGGTCATGTTGTCTGGTGAAGAAGTAGATAGGCGTCAGCCGCGACTGCGGCGAGCGTTTGCATCTTATAAACCACCACGGTGATTTGCGCGACCCTGAACCGGATAATATCTGGCTGCCCGCTCGTCGAAGGTTTGACAATGGACAAGTTCGGTGGCCGACAGGGCGGAGGTGTCCTTGAGCTCCGCTCCGAAAGCGGCTAGACTACCCCGACCTCCGACCTTGGCAGCCACCACGACCGAGGTTCCCAAATCAAGAACGGAGCAGCTTCCTCCGACGGACAACCTGTTCTCAATTCACTCTCAAGGGACCATCAAGTCGTGTATGCAACTCGATAACCTGAATCTGCGCCACGTACCACGAAGTCACATGGAACCTCCAACCTTCACCACTCCGCCCATGTCGAACATGCCACTTGAGGCGCGAAGGAAAATCGCGAAGGAACGCGACTGAATTTGGCGAGCTGTCTGGCCAAGCTTACTCTATCAATTGGAAGCGAGGACAGTATTTTCGCACTTTCAAACTGTCCAATTGCAGAATTCACCGCTTGGCTCGCTGCGCCGATACTGTAGCCATAATCTCAACCACTCAAATCTCGGGGCTCCGCGACTTGCCAATTCTTCCGTGTGATGCCCGAGTCCGCTTTGAATGTATCGAGTATCCATGGCCCCTGAAAGGTATGAGAAGCTTGAGTATCCCAAAGCTAACTCCTTCGGCTCTCCATTCGTTTTCTCGAGAGCGCAAGCGAGGTGATCTAGTCATTTAGCTTCTATTGCTATAGGCTTCCAGGACCGTTTCTCCCTGTGACAGAGCCTCTGATCTTAGTTTCCTGCTCTTGATCTCCTGGACGCAAACGCCTCACGACAAAATGTCACGCGGTGACTCACACATGAAGGAACAGTCCACGAGCGGAGCGCTCATGCCAGTCTAGATGGGGACCTTGCAGTATGCATATGCTTGCGGGGTAGACTAGACCAATGAGCAGTATCTTGGGACACGCTATGTGCGCAAACATCACGAGAATTCATCTCCCAAACTACAGTCGAGCCTTCCAGACCTTAGGGATGTCGGCCCTGCATCCCGAGAATAAGCTCGAAATCCTTCGCGACTCAAGCAATTTTGCGCAAGCGACAGTCTTTCGTTACACATATTGAACAATAGCTGACTAGAGGATATTACTTCATGGACACATGACAAGGATGAGGTCGAAAATTGTTCTCACAATAGTGTTTCCAGGGCTCGGTAAGCTTCAACGGCTGCTCATATTGAATGCGGAGGATTCGTCTCCGTCTTGATCTGCCCGAAATGAACACTCTGGGGCAACTACGCGGGGTGCATGCAGATCTATATCTCTAGAGTCCATCCCCACACTCTTTGCAATACATCTCATCTCAGCGACTCATCCATTGCTTACAACTTTACCATCTTCGTCGAGATCTCCTTGACTCACAACTGTCATCATGACTATGGACGAGAAGTACGCCCCTCAAGGCGTCGAGGTACTGCATACTCAAGTAACGATCTGATAGAACATGCTGACATGCAACAGAAGGTCGACACACTCGATTCAGACGAGCACATTGAAACAATTGAAGGCAGCGCGGCTTTCAACGATGCCTTGATGCGAGAACACCCCACCCTGATGAGCTCAGCTACTCTGATGCTCTTTGGATGTACTCTTCTCGGCTTCTTGTGCCAGTAAGTCGTGCCTTTCCACACTCCTTGAACTTTGATGTCTGACATGTGCTCAGGACGATGAATGGCTACGACGGCAGTCTGCTCAATGGTCTACTCGCAAACCCAGAGTTCAAGTCTTACTTCCATGGCTCCAACTCTGGAATATGGGCGGGTATTGTATCATCCATGTACCAGATTGGTGGCGTTGTTGCATTACCCTTCGTCGGTCCTGCCATCGATGGTTTTGGCCGACGTAAAGGCATGTTCATCGGCGCTTTCATCATCGCAGTCGGCACGATCATCTCTGGAACAACGTTCATGGACAGAAATCTCAAACAGTTCATCGGAGGAAGATTCGTTCTTGGTACGTTCTTTGCGTAAGAACAATTCACCGATCATGACTAACATCATGCTAGGCTTCGGTGTCTCCATTGCCTCCTCTGCTGGACCGATCTACGTCGTCGAGATGTCCCATCCTGCATACCGTGGCAAGGTGACCGCATTCTGCAACACCTTCTGGTTCACTGGAAACATCGTTGCTGCCGGTGCCGTCAGAGGTGCTTTGAACTTGTCCGGCAATGCCTCCTGGATCCTTCCCGTATGGCTCCAGATGGCCTGTCCAGTGATCATCTGCCTCTTCTGCTGGTTCGTTCCCGAGTCACCACGTTGGCTGTACGTCAACAACAAGCAAGATACTGCTCGTGCCACTCTTACCAAATGGCATGGACAAGGCAACCCGGACAGTGCATGGGTCAGGTTGCAACTTGCCGAGTATGAGGAGTGCTTGAACATGGATGGTGCAGACAAGAGGTACGTCCAGTGATATCATACTATTCTCTACGTGTGAAATATGCTAATTATGCCGTTTTTGGTAGATACTGGGATTACTCCGCCCTCTTCAAGAACCGCAGCTCTCGCTACCGACTCGCATGCAACTGTGCCTTCTCTTGTTTTGGTCAGTGGGCTGGCAAGTAAGTCTCTCTCATGGTACAGATACCTTATACCATGTCGTCGTCGCCCTGACTGGCGCATGGCGATGTGGTGTATGGCGTACCAACCTGTCTTCTTACTTCTTGCAAGAACTCGACTAACTTTCATTACAGTGCTGTACTGAGCTACTTTATCTCCGCCGTTCTTGACACTGCCGGCTACCACAAGGCCATTGAGCAAACGAACATCAACCTCGGCTACGCCTGCTTCCAATTCGTCTTTGCCCTCGTTGGATCCACATTCGTCGATCGCTTCGGTAGACGCAAGCTTATGATAGGAGCCATGAGCGGTTGCGCAGTCGTTTGGATTGGCATGACTACCGCCAGTGGCTTGTTCAAAGAGACCGAAAACCCTGCTGCCGCTAAAGCAACCGTTGCCATGATTTTCATGTTCGGCGCGATCTTTTCCTTCGGCATCACACCCCTTCAAGCCCTCTACCCAGTTGAGGTTCTTTCCTTCGAGATGAGAGCCAAGGGTATGGCCTTCTCAAGCTTGGCTGTCAACGCTGGCGGTCTGCTTAACCAGTTTGCTTGGCCAGTCTCGCTCAAGCGTATTGGCTGGAAGACTTACATCATCTTTATCGCCTGGTGTACTGCTCAGGCTATCATCATGTACTTCTTTTTCCCTGAAACCCGCAACCGCACTGTAAGTCAAACACACAACAATACCTCGCTTTCGAACATTCACTAATCTATCCATCACAGCTCGAGGAACTCGACGCCATCTTCGAAGCCCCCAACCCGGTCAAGAAGTCACTTGAGAAGAAGCAGGTCATCGTCAGCGAGCAGAACGGCGTCAGTGCAATTGAGAAGGTCGTGGTCTGAGAGGTCTCAAACACACTCGGTTCAAGAATGTCTTTTACAGGTGGACAGTATGCTCAGATAGTAACGGATGTATGTTTTATGCAAAGGTCAGATCACACTGACTCGTGTTGTTTCCTATGACGCAATGAATGAATCCTTCTTTGGACACCGCGTATTACAGTCCAAGAGTGCTGAGAATATTTTATCGTCTCATGTTAGTGATTGTAATGAACCTTTTCACATATGTGGCTAACGCTGCGAAACATGGTTGAAAATTGGACTACAACCACACTGACAGCTTCAAATTTCAAGAATGCCTGGAACAGATTAGAAGAGCAGAAGACCATTTCCATCATCCAAGGACTTCTGGATGGCACTGTGGAGCCTGAGACAGCGGCTCACGATATCGCATCGACCTACCACCCTCGTCTGTTGAAAGGCGAGAAGATCTCTTACTATCCGTTCACCTTGCTATCTCTCGCCATCATCCATCCAGCAACCACATTCAAGAACTTCGAAGATATCGTGCAAATGCTCATGCACGTTTCCAAACTCCCGGATATCATCGTGAATGGCGAGCCTTTCAAGGAAAACTACCGTACTTACTGGCATGATATTCCCGAATTCAGTTTCGAATTTTCCCAAACAGCTTTGAGTGTGTTTTCCTCCTTCTTCTTGCACTCTCTCAAATTCCTGCTTACCTGTTTCATCACAGTCGTCAATACAATCGAGGACATCGACCTCGGAAACTGCACAGTCACCTGGCACGAACAAGCACAACAATACCTCTCCGCCTCCACCTTCGCCTCCCTCTACCTCCGCGCTCTCTCCCCTACCCTCTCCCCCGTCGGATTCAAAAGCATGCAAACAGAAGCCCTCTTCAGCCTCTCCAACGCCCTCGAAGTCTCCACCAATTCTTCTCCCCAGCTCCGTCGCGCAGGAATATACATCCCCGCCGCCTCTGCATACCTCATCCACTCCGCCCCACTCATTTGGTCCTTCTGCAAGACCAAAGAAAAGTATCAGGCAGATAAGGTTTGGAAAGAGTGGATTGGGGGTAGTGATGGCAGTGATGGCAGTGAGCCTTTGTGGAAAGGGGATGATGGGTTTAGTGTGCAACGATGGGGGTTTTGGAAGGAGAGATTGGGGGATCTGGCCGGGTTGAAGAGGAGAGGGTCTGCTGGACGCGTTATTGATGAAATCGTGATGTATGCGAGAATGGCGGGACGGGCGATGGATGGAGTTGAGCTGGAATATGGAGTTGCTTTGGATGGTGTTTCTTGCTTATATGAGCATGGTAATTGATCGTGAATTCGAAGTGGTGAGGAAAGGACGATGGTGAGAGTGGACGCGTCGATGACGGAGCGCGTTGTGGTAGATTTTCGGGACGATTGAAGCTTCGGACTTGCAGCCTTGTAGGCTTTCAAGCGAACGATATCAATCTTTTGCATGAGCGCCAACCATCTGTTTCGAGCCATCTGGTAATCGAAAGCTCCTCGAGCAATCTCATGGTGTCTTACTTGACGTACGCATCGATTGGCATGTTTTTTGTGTTGGATCGTATTCTCCAGTGAAGGAGTAGGCTTTGATGTGGTCTGTGGTCAGTTTCGTCAAATTGAGAATTGAAATCACGAGAACCCAATCTATGCCTCCACATGACAATTATGGGCTCTAATAATACATCAGTAGCATGAGGAGCTGTATCTTCGATCATCTGATTCTTATTGTCTCGCCATAGTACTCTTTCGTGGACTATTATCGTCCAAAAACTGTCTGCAGATGATGCTTTGGGGAGCACCCTGACCTCGGTCTCTCTTCCGGATCGGCAGTTTCATCCTCCGCACATCCCGCTTTCCCGCATCTGTCACCCAACCCACTCAAACCGTTGACTTCCTGCCGCTGCAGCTACGTCACAAAGTCTCTTATCAACTTTCGCTCGGCCGCTGCGAAAAAATCAGGGTTGTCGCAACGCTTGTTGCCCTGCTCTAGGTTGTTTACATGCCACGTGTAAGCTTTTTGTGATGTCGGTAGCCCCCACTTTCCGTAAACAATCAAGGCAGAGGGGGCATGTGAAAGCGCCGTTTGTTGGGAGGGGCAGTGGTGTAGGTCTTTGTTGAGGTGATTCTCATCCCACTTCCTATTGCTTGGGATATTATACATATCGTGAGCTTGCTGTCCGCTTTCCCGTTCTACCTTTTCTTCTCATACATATTTTTTTTCTCCTCTTAATATCATTATCATTTGAGGCATATCATCAACCATGGGCGGCGAAGAACCTACTCCTGAGAACTACACTCTGCTCCAGGGCTTTGAGTGGAATGTTCCTGCTGATGGCAAGCACTATGTTCGTTTGAACGGTGCCATGCCCGCATACAAGCACATTGGTATCTCCAACATCTGGCTCCCTCCCGGCTGCAAAGCCAGCTCCCCCAACGTAAGCTCTCAACCTCCACATCTCCGCACAATCTCCCGATTTCCCCATACTGACTCGGACACCTCTTCCAGGGCAACGGCTACGACGTCTACGATCTCTACGACCTCGGCGAATTCGACCAAAAGGGCGGCAAGGCCACCAAATGGGGCACGAAAGATGAATTGATGACCCTCTCCAAATCCGCAAAGGACTCTGGCATCGGTCTCTACTGGGACGCGGTGCTCAACCACAAAGCCGCCGCCGACAAGAAGGAAAAATGCCACGTCATCGAAGTCGACTCCAACGACCGCGACAAGCAAATCTCGGACCGTCATGAGATCACCGCATGGTTGGGCTTCAACTTTGAGGGCAGAGGCGACAAGTACAGCAAGCAGAAGTACCATTGGTACCATTTCGGCGGTACGGATTATGATGCTGAAAGTGGACGCAATGCTATCTTCCAGATCCAGGGTGAGGGTAAGGGATGGAGTGAGAGTGTAGACGATGAGGGCGGTAATGCCGATTTCCTCATGTTTGCCGATCTCGACTACTCTCACCCCGAGGTGTGCGAGGACGTCACAAACTGGGGCAAGTGGATTGTTTCCGAAGTAGGACTCCGAGGCTTCAGACTCGACGCCGTCCAGCACTTCTCCCAGCGCTTCACAAAAGAATGGATCGAGGCGTTGAGAAAGGAACACGGAGATCTCTTCTACGTCGGCGAATTCTGGACCGGCAACAAGCAAGATCTCGTCGACTGGGTAAACCAGATGGACAGGAAATTCTCCCTCTACGACTCCCCTCTTCTCAACAACTTCTCAAACATCAGCAAGGGCGAAGCCGCAGATCTCCGAAAAGTTTTCGACGACACTCTGGTTCAGGAAATGCCCGTCAACGCCGTGGTAAGTGTCTTCTTCCTCCTGCATGATCAGCGAAAAAACATCTCGACGAGTATATACTAACGCAAACAAAACAGACCGTCGTAGTAAACCACGACACCCAGCCCGGCCAAACCGTCGAAACCCCCGTCGAAGGCTTCTTCAAGCCCCTCGCTTACTCCCTGATCCTCCTCCGCCGCGACGGCTACCCCTCAGTTTTCTACGGCGACCTCTACGGCATGAAAGGCGACAACCCGGAACCCCCATCCTGCGGCGACAAACTCGCCGACCTCGTCCTCGCGAGAAAACTCTACGCTTACGGCGAATTGAACGATTACTGGAACGATGCAAACTGTATCGGTTGGGTGAGAAGAGGTACACATGATAGAAAGGACGGATGTGCGGTTGTGATGAGCAATACCGGGCCTGGAGAGATTCAGATGCACGTGGGCCCTGAGCATAAGGGTGAAGTGTGGACGGATATCTTGGGCTGGGAGCAAGGAGAGGTTACTATTGATGAGGAAGGTAATGGTGTGTTCAAGTGTCCTGGATGCAGTGTTGCTGTTTGGGTCAACAAGGATGCCGAGGGCAGAGAGAACTTCCCTGTCAATTTTGACAGCGACATTTACAAGGAGGCTGGCAAGGAGAATGGTGATGAGGAAAAGAAGGATGAGGAGAACAAGGAATAGAAGACGCAATGGATATATGAAGGAAGCTTCACAGCAGCGCGGAATTTTCGGATCAAATTACGAAAGAAGGGAATAGCGATAAACACAAGAGATAGATTCTTCACAGGATAGATAATGCAACGACAGTTATAGACGAAACAGATTTAACAATCACTTCATCATCGCACGGCTTGCTTACTCATCAGAGTGCTCCAACCTCCGGCTGACTACCTCTACCAGCCTCTGCGCAACACACCAACTCGAACCACACACAGCAACTCACCTCGTGTCAAACACCCCACCACACATCAACCCACCACGTGTCAAACCGTCTACACGACTCACGAAAACGGCAAAAGATCAAACACGTTCGAACCTCGCTGTCGAACTCCGAAAACGGGCAAGCGTTTGGTCGTTTCCTGTTTCACCGGCTTCTTCTTTTCCCAGCCCTGGAGTTTTGAGTTGGAGACATTTTTCGCCGTCGCCGAAGGTTAACGGAGAAGAAGGAGAGAAGAAAGCATGCCAGTATGCCGACTGTTGGAGCTGTTCGCTTGGGTTCGGTTGAAGCCATTGTCGTGTGTCTTGTTCGGCGTGAGCAATTGGCTGTGGTCGGCTAATGCTGCATTGATGCTAAGAGGCCAACCCGGATACTCACGACAATCCACATGATTCGGTTGTAGGCATCTTGTGACTGGAGTGAGGATTCAGCCCTGCGCCATTCTGATCGTATCCCAAGACCCTTGGGGGTTTGTTCGACTTCAGCCTTGCCATTTGAGACAATCACTCATGTTTCACCGCCAACGCCCGAACGTCGAAGACGGGTTTGAGCGAAGATGTCCGGCTTCACTAACACTCACCCTCAACCAAGCCATCGCGAGGAGGTTGGAGTTGCCAGTTGAGTCACATCGTCGCTGGCGTCTTCTGAAGCCGTGGACTCGGGAGTCGAGTCGTTCCAGAGAAGATTCTGTCGGGTCAAGTAGGATTGAAGCTTGCTGAACTTAAACACGGGTATAACGGCCTGCTTCCACGGACGTTTGCTGCCTGCTAGGTGACTTGCAATGTGGGAATGTTTCTTCTTGGTCGGCAATAGCATTACCGACTGGTAGAATCTGTCAACTCGGTGGTGTCAAAGGCTCTTGACCATGCGGGACGAAAGATTGTGACTGGAGAAGGGTTAGGCATATTTCAAATAGACACATCAGACCACAGTCTATAGAACAGCTTGGATGTATGCCGGGCACAAGTCAAGCCATTTCCTCTTCAAATCTGTGATTGTAGTGTTGGGACGCGATTCTTCCCATCCATGGACGCGAAAGTCGCTTTCGCAGGGTGTGTGTGGCAGGTGATCTGTTGATGGTTCGAGAGTCACACCGGGTTTCAACGGTTAGCTACGCCTGCTTCGTCTGCCGTGACTTCGCATCCTGATGCCGAATGTCGAGACATCCCCTGCGTACTCTCTGCTCTTGAACAGCGTAAGCTGAGAAAGAGACATGGTCTGAGAACATGTCTCTCGCAACCCAAAGATAGATATCTCAGCTCAGCGGGATGGAGTGCATGCAGGAGGAGCTGAGCCGTGCAGTTGAGCAGTCTTGTTGTACAGACAGATCCCTCGCCAGTCGTCTGCCGTGTTGGATGAAACCTTCTTGCAAATCTTCAGCATTCGGGATGTCCACATGGCCAAGTCAGGTCGAAAGAGCGCAGAAGATTTAGGGAACAAAATGATCGTCTCGAGCCGAAGCGCCGGCACGTGGTGCTGGTACAAAGATTCGAGGCTCGTAAATCGTCCGATTCGTCTCGAGCCGATCAAGTAGGGCTGAAGAGCCGCGAAAAGAAAGACACACCAAGACCTTTCACCGCATCTAAGAAGACCCTTGTCCGCGTTCGAGTCGGGTCTAAGAGCACTTGCGGAGCTCAGCTGTGGCTTGTTTGGTGTATTTCCAGCACGGGAAAGTACCCTTAGCAATATCGGGCATGCCGAACCTTCTCACCGACCCTGGAAGAGGTCAAGTCTGGGGACACTTGACTTGCAGAATCAATAATGCTAGCGACAGGAGCTGAAGCCCAGCCCAAGCCCATGTCTCATCCGCGGGCGCAACGGCAGGGAAACATTTTGCGGGGTCGTTGCAGGACGCTGATGCCGCGACGAACGTTGGTGTTGCGGACTGAGTCCTTCTCAACGCTGTCGTTAATTGTATGTGGTTCGAATTGTTCGATGGAACGTCTGACATGTTCAGAGTACCTGATGATGTCGATTAGTTACAACATGGCAGGTATTCTGCAGGAACAGAGAACAAGTAGCGGCACACAGCCCCAGCCGGAGATTTCTCCAGAGGGCAACAAGCTTTTCGCTAGCCCCATTCGGTCAGTAATTTCGCTGCTTCCGATCACGGAAGGATCGCGTTTTCCTCGCGCGTGTCGACAGGATACGGTTTAGTCCTTCTCAGGACAGTCAAATGTGATCAAGGTTATGATTAACCACGGGGACTTGTCCTGATCGCCGGGCTGGCATCAAGCATGCGTGGGTTGTCAAAGTTCGACCCAACCCAGGGCTTGGCCCGGGGCTGCACTAGACAAGACAACTCTTCACGTAGTTACACAGTTCAGCTCCCTTCGGTCTCGATGCCGAGAGTCTCGGTCTTTCGAGTCTTGCTAAGCTGCCATTGTTCGACAAAGGTCTTGCGGCCTCGCCGATGGTATGTATGTATCAGCCGCAAGTTCCTACGCGACCTAAAATCTATGGTGGGATTGTCCTCGTTCGTTGGCTGTAAGGAGAAAATGGGCTGGAAGGATTACGAGGTCAGAAAGGTATAAAGAGGACGTGGTAGTCCTGCTGGGTAAGTCCATTATCAACCATCAACACTACTTCCTCAAGCAACAACCAGCTCTCAAAGCAATCAACCTTCAAAACAAACAATCCATTACACAAGCATTCGACAAAATGCGTGTTGTTACTCTCATTGCTGCTGCCGCTGCCCTTGCGGTTGCTTCCCCTGTTGCCCACCCTCAGATCTTCGACCTTGAGGATCTCGAGTCCATTGACGCTGCTCCCGCTGTTACCGCACCTGCTGGCGTGGGAAGTGAGACTGTCACCTACAATGTCGCTGCCGCTACCGCTAGCGTCTTCGCCGAGGTTGCCAGCGACGTGACCCCTGATATTGAGACTGCCGCCGGCACCACTTCTTCTGTCTTGAAGCGTGATGCTTGCTCGCCTCAGCCCCAATCACCCTACACCTACACCACCTCCACCGACACTGACGTTGCATTCCTTAATGACAACACCTACTCTGATGCCGCTAAGAACGCTGTCACTCCCAATGGATGGAAGCAAACTTTCCAAAATCTTCAGGGATCGGTCAGCACTTCTGGATACTTGGGCTATGTCTCTTACCCCTCGTACAATCCCGACGTGTGCGCCGCTGAATGCTCAAAAAGAACTGGATGCCTTTCCTTCAACATCTTCTTCGAGCGTAACCCTACCCTCGACCCCAGCAGAGGCGGCGATTGCCCCCAGCCTCTTTCTCAAACTGCACTCAAGTGCACCTTCTGGGGTGTGCCCACCGAGAAGGAGTCCGCTGTTAACGTTGGCCAATACCGCAACGATTACCACGTCGTTATTAGCGGATCCAACGGCTATAAGATTATCAAACCCGGCAAACCTCTCCCTGGTCTCACTGACACTGCTCTTGAGAACTGTGCCATACAGGAGACCTGCGGGTCCTACCTGACCGTCAAGACCTTCAACGACGGCAAGCCTTACGACCCAAACCGCTGCGATGCTGCCTGCGCTGCCATCACTGCCGAGTCTCTCAAGGCCAACAAGCCCGAAAGAACTTGCCAGTACTTCACCTCCTACATGCAGATGAAGAACGGTCTTCCTCAATTCCAGGCTTGCGCCATCTACAGTGCCAGCTGGACTCCTTCTGTCTGCAAGAACACCGGCTACACCTCTAACGGTAACGTCTACACCATCGATTACTCTTACAGTTACTCCAACACTTCTATCCCTGGCACTTGCTCCTACAAGGGTCAGACTGGTCAAACCTCTCTGAATTAGAGTGTCAATGTTTCTTTGTTATACCATGTATCATGACTATAAACCCTGGTATGCCAAAGTTGGGCACTGAAATACAATCCTTTGTTCTTTGCAAATTTACTACGCTGTGCAAAATGTTCAGATCGTTCTCCGATGCCTCTTTCAACGGGGAATTGACGCAAGAAAGCCTTACATTGTACAACGATCAACTATCGTGCATACCTACATTCACCGAGAATCACAACGACCTACAGAAAGCCGATTTGTCCGTCATCCAACAATGGCTACGACGATTCAACCGGAAAAGCTAGACTTTCAGACATACAACAAAATGACCCGTGTGGTAGGTACATATAGGGGTCGACGAATATGCCCGCTGCTGGAGATAACAGACATGAAGATACTTCCTGGAAGGTGAGCGGAGTTTTCACTGGTATACAGATGAATAGTGTCTAGTGAAAGCCGAATCAGAAACCCGGAAAATAACATAGTTGTTTAGCTCTCCTACATCGCCGGCTATCTTACAGTAAGAGCTGCCAATAGCAATGTTAGAAACATACGGAAAGTTGGTGACATAACTATCTTTACTAAGAAATCGATAATGAAAAGCGTCTACCTCCTAAGGCGCGTTTTACTCGCAGCGTGCGGTAGGCTATATTGTCCTCTATTTGTACGCTTACAATTCCGTTTATACGCGCTCATTCTTATAACTTCTACGGAACCCTCTCGAATTTCCTCTAGGTAGACGTTCGAGCACGAAATTTCCGTCGCTCTTACTCGATTTCTCTTACCTTTACATATGAGCGCTCGCCTATAATAACACATTTTCCGCCGTCTCTTCTTAGCTTCCTCTACCTCCCTTCTCCTCTACCCTCCGACCTTCTACTCCTCTCCTCTACTTCTTATATCTTATTTAAAACAACCTCCTATAATAATAACCTCTTAATACGCGCTATAGCTCGTTTAAACCTTTTAGGATCTCTCTCTACTATTGTAGATTGCTTTATTAAGCATCTATAATAGTTTCTACGTACTCTAGCGCACCCCTATATATCGTCTAGTACAAACCTTTCCTTCTTCGTCCTATCCTCTCTATTCTCTCTATTCTCCTCCTTTTATACTTTGTCCCTTATCTTTTAGTTTTCTCTACTTAAACGTCTTTACTACACTAGACTATTACTCCTTTAAGCATTTCTCCGTTAGCAGTCTTTTAATCGACCTAGATCTAACATTCTACAATAACAGCCCTCTATCTAAACCCCGAATCGCTAACTTAACATCGCTCTACGATTAATATAGCTAATCCTATCTAAACTACCGCTAACACCCTCGTTATCGGAGACACATTAATACACCCCTTTCTCTAGCTAGGAGAAGCTTAGCCTAACCTAACCGGCTGTCCATGTATTATCATTAATTACTCTAATAGCTATACCTTAAGCACATTTAGCACGATTATAGTACCTAAAGGCGCTAAGGGCATTATAAAGTTAGTTAATAAGAATAGGACATACGTCGATATCGTCTTACTCCGAGACTAACCTAGTATTAGCATCTACCGTAGCTAGGTAGCCGCCCGAGTTGTTAAGGTAGCCTATAAGAACTAACATCGCTAAGAGAATACCGTCCGAACCGGCTTTAACCTTATAACTATCGGAGGCTTAACGGCTGCCGTTACTAACGCTACCTTTACTAGTAGTCCTACCTGTTAAGTTCTCGACCGGTTCTAGAAGGCAATCTAGAGTAGGCGTAAAGTTCTAACTTATATTAACTAAAACTGTCTTAATGCTATTAGTAAGTACTAAGGCCCTAAGGCACTTACGAGGAAAGTGTTCTCGGACATCGTAAGGGATTCTCCTAGTGTTATTAATTAACTCGACAGTAGCAAACCGTACACTACTAAGACAATTAACGTAGCATATAAGGCTACCTTTCGAGAGGGCTAGTAGAGCGTTAACTGTAAGGCCTACTACGGCATCCTACCTAACTCTACTACCGTTAAGATAAAGGCGCTCGCTAAGAGCAATTAAGAGATAGATCCTAGCCTTTACGTTAGTGTTACCTAAGATCTTCTACGCGATAAAGACTACGAGAGAAAGTTTAAGGATTAAACCTCTACGACATATTACTACAATTATGTTAGAGGGGCTAAGGACCGCCGCTTCCGCTTTATAGTAATCTTCGAGCACTAGGACCTTCGCCCCCTTTTCGAACAGTCGGTCATCTATTTGTTTAAAACCTAGGCTCACTTTATTAAGGAAGCCTTAACCTTAGCTAGCTTTAAAGACATTAGTAATAAGGAGGGCGACTAGTCCGATCTTAGGGAATTAGCGGACCGCAAGATTTAAGGAAGACTTATTTACGAGGTATAAAGAATACTACTAATCCTCTCTTTTCGACATTATAACTAATGTTATATAGATCTTTAAGCAAGCTAAGGCTTAAGTTCCTAAGTTTAAGGGTAGATGTAATGATCCCGCATTCCGCATAGTAGGTCTTAATAACTAGAGCCTACTCTATTAGGTCGATACTATAGAGGCTAGTCTTTAGACTAAAGTTGTCGTCCCCCGCTAATACGTAGAGTATCGTCGTAGAGTTAAGAGAGACTACTATAAGACCTCTACTACGGACCCCTAGCATTTTAGCATTCTTTTTAGAGCCGGCTATAGAAAAGACAGCTTTAAGAGTAGTCTTAGTCGTAATAAGGACGGAAAAGATGTTATCCCTCCCGCTAGAACCGACTATAATGTTATAGTCTAGGTCCCTAAGAGAGAATAGCGCCTTCCGTAT